CTATTTGAACTAACGATTAAGTAAATACAAACACATATTACAACACATATGTCACAACTCGTGGCGCTACGAAAGACTGAATAAAGGTCACCGTCAGCAGGAAACCTGCTCATAATACAAATCATCAAGGGCGGAAAACCTACCGGATAGGACTGCCACAAAAACAATTTCTGCACCTTTCGTTCAACAACGATCCTGATTGCATTTTTATGACGTTAAGACAATAACGCTAAGATAACCACAGATTGCAAAAAAAACTTGTGAGGGATAAACAAGAACTACTATTGTAAGGACCCCCAGCTTTCGCTATGAGAATGACGGGATTATACTCCAATAAAGCGTACAGAACTCTAGAGCAAAGCGCTTCCTCATGAAGTAAGATAGTGATGCAACGGAATATACAGATAGTCAGATAATAACTAAACAGTTGGTACATAATATATGAAATGTCACCAAAGAAAGTCTGTCGGTGGTGAACCACTACTGTATAATGCTCGCGATGGGATTATGGTGTTAATTGCCACCGGAGCATGCCATTTTATGGATAGTAGCCTATAGGTCCCTACCATACACTGCTTAGCGGCTCAAAAACCGATCCAGGCTATTTAGATAAAATTTCTCCATAAAGTAAACACAAGAGAACCGTTAGCATATTTACCTGCCATGAATTGAGAAAGGACATTGTGTATGTATGTGCCGGGGCGCTGTTGGCGGCTATATATCGGACTAGCTGTGTAAGATCAAGGGACACAGAGAGATGGAGGATCCGGAAGCTCCCAGCAAGAATACTTTGGCCCAAGAGAAGGAAATGATGGATCTGAAGAGTGCGCGGGAATAAGCGCACACGCTGGCGCAACGGTGTATAAACTCGCCGAAGGGTGGACGGCGTAGTGTCGGCAAAAAAGGCTACTTTATACACACACCAGAGATTTCGTCATAGGAAGATCCTCTACCTCCGTTATGCGTAGTAACTATATGAGCTGATGTTGGCTGGGGGTTGTAGAATTTGGTTGTGAGCTGTGGGTGCGCGTATATGTGTCCTTAACAGAAAAGACAAGAGGATGCGATATATGAGATTTGGTTAAAAGCGAACTAAAGCCCGAAGGGTTCCACTAGAAACAACATATCCGCCATGTGTCGTATGGAAATGTCTCCAGATGGACCAATGTTGCTTTTACCCGAGCTGATCAGGACGGAAGCTGGTGGCTGTGAAAATGGCCTGTAGGTATTATTTGCCGACATGTTTCCCTTCCTGTTACCATCATTTTAATTCCATCAGAAGATGAAAGCAGCAGAATTTTTCCTCCCACTTTAATCCTTGGCAATGTATACGAATTGGAGTGGATAGTGTATGTATGCTAACCAAGGGATCCCTTCTAGTTTGTCCCGGGTTACTTGTCGCCGGAGAAGCCCCGGTGACATATACATACAAAATGTGGATGTACGCCGGCCGCTTTTCCTATTACACCGCCTCTGTCATTTGACACTCGCGCCGAGCGTGCGCGGATTCACGGGTTAACCTTCTGTTGCGCTTTGCACCGGATATGCACATGGGAGTATAATTATCGTGATTTCCGCCATAATGCAATCTGGCAACTGTTGAAATTTTATTATGGAATCGCTGTGTAGATTACGCCAAGCCATTATTAGCCGTCGCAAACGATATTGGTGAAAAGCTGTCCCTCGTCGTGCTAACGAAATTGTTCATGTGTTGTCGCAAATTGTTAGCATATAATTAACTACAGATTAAATACTGCAGTAAATATATAGTGTGCACTATACAGGTTTTGAAGCATCTGATTGTAATACAGTAATACATTAATATACAACAGATTTTATCACATATAATTTAGCACATCACAATTTTGTGAGAAGGTAATCTGGATTGAATGATTAAATGTATTTAATCACAGTTAATTGTGGGTGCACGTCCCTCCCATTTTGGGTTTATGGCCGTTTGTCGGTTTTCATTGGTTTGCTGGGTGGCCTTGTTTCCTCAGATTCGGAGATTCTGAGATGTTTGCTCGTTGCTGGAGAGTTGTGTGCTTTCTTGAACTCATTTTCTGCAGTTTTGGCAAGGGAAATTTTTCTCCCTCCCGCCCATTCCCATTGCATTGTTGTTGTTTGTTCTGTTTGTTACATTTATGGCATTTATTTTGATCACGTTGATGGTTGTGCTATTAAAGGGGGGCTGACGGGCCTGCGCCCAGAAGTCTTCCAGTTCCGGCAACATTATGCTCGCATCTCGCAGTAGACACCCACAATTAATGCTGTTACTAACGTCTCCACGATATACGTTACGTACTAATCTTCTCATGGTCAGTATTAACTGTTTCATTAAAAATTTTCTAGTAATTTCCAACAATGGAATTCACCCACGATAACTGCAATCTCACTCCTCCAGAATCTAATTAGCTTAATAGTGGGGATCTTGATCCTGTTTCCGATTGAAGCTTTAATGACCATGTTTGCTTTCCATATCCCTTTTGATGCCCTGTCATTCTGCAGTGTGTAATAGGGTTAATTGGAACTCAGGTGAATCCATTTATGAATGGTCCACGTGCTCCCATTTCCGGTATGGGATCATAAGCGGATTGGAGAATACTTTTGCTGACACGTTACATTACTAACACACAGTAATATTGAACACAACATACAAGGAATAGAGAGCGCAAATGAAGACCATCTACAACATAAAGTAATATATTACACAAAATTAATACATATTATTATTATTATTATCACTCTACAGTAGCCAATAATATCAATTACTCTTTACAGTATATAATTGTCATATAATTATTAAAGTAACATTATTAAAGTAACGACAACATATTATTAAAGTAACGATAACATTGTCCGGTTTACCATGCACCTTTCACAGTATTAGCAAAAAAATTTTCCAAAACAAACATTGTTTATAAAACAGCTATTTGGTGACTAACAAAGGGTTGTGGTAACTAGTAAGTATGAAGCAAAACAAACTTTGACACACATTCACATAATTGTAATGAAACCGTAAGGGGGAATAAAATCATTTGATACCTTTCCGTTTGGTGTATTAAATTAAATTAATTAATGTGAGTATAATTAAGGGTGCGGCTATTGCCGCTACCTCGCGTCACCTTTTGGCTAGTCTCACCATCTTTAACCACATCTAAACTATTCCCACTACATTTTTTAAATGAATTCTAACACCACCTTTTTGACTATTATTATTGTCACCGCCTTCACGCACCTGTTTTGGCTAGTCCCATCTGTTTGTTGCATTTATTGCTGTAATGCATTTTTATTGCGACTGCGATGTCTTGCTAACTGCAGAAACATTTCCATAGACCGGAAGAATACGTTGATAAAATTGTTTGTATGCGCTCCACCAGTCCTCAAACCATGGCGGAAGCCTAATGACCAGTGACCACATTTCTCGACGGTTGTACCGATGGATCGCCATATGCATATAGGTCTGCATTTCTTCCGGCAATAATGTAATACATACCGCTCAATTTTTCCGAAGGTCTCGACCTTGTTACAGAGATTGCGTATTGCCGGTTGCAGTACTAACAGTCTACCACTGCCGGCATTTAAATGTCTTAATGTCTTAAACGCTTATTGTTATGTATATTATTACTCTTCAATATTATTACTACTCAGAAGACCCTGTAATTAAATTCAGTTACTTGCACAGAATTATATGAAGTGGAATTAGCCAAAAGGGGGTGCCGCAGGGGGGGGGATAGCCAAAGGTAATGCAGAAAATATTAATATTTAAAAAAATGTGGTGCGAATAGTCAAAACGTGGTGAAAGCTGGTGATAATAGCCACAGGTGTTGCTAAGGTGCTAAGAATAGCCATTTCAGAAAATTAAAATTCATCAAGTCGCTATGTCAAAATCGGAAATCGAGTATAAGGGCCGGGGCAAATAAATAGTGCCGACAGGAGAAAGGAGAGAAGAAAAACTAAGGAGCGCAAAGAGCGTTAATGTTTTTTGGAAAAATATACTTTGTTTTTTGTATACGTAAAAGATTTCTTCACCATGAGACCAGAAGACAGAGAGCATTCCAGAAAAAGCCGGGAAACATGTACAGCTGGCTAGGTAAAGACAGCGATTTCTTCAAATAGGAAAGCTCAAATTTTGACTACAGATGTACTCCGATAAAAACAAGCTTTGCATAGTGGTAAACAAAAGGATAAATATGATTTACACTTATGATCATAATATTACTGCGCTCATAGTGCAGTCAATTACAGTGATACTAACTCGTAAATTTGTTTTAAATACTGTCAAGCACGTACTGCTTCTGCAGTATGGTTTATACGGCACACACCAACTCAACACGCCAGTTCCTATAACGGAAGAGCAGAGAGCTTTTTGTTGAGTTCGTAGTGTAGTACGTATATCACATGATTGTGAGTTAATTTGTACATGATCTACCATCCGCTAAAATTTTTATACATCCGCTTTCCGTCGACAGCCATTGTTAGGGACACGTAGCAGGATTACTTGAGTTATCACACCTATCTGAAATCGATAACATACGTATGGACAATTATCCTGGTTTGCTGCCGGCGCAAAAAGTTTGCCGAAGACTAGAATTTATGGATTAAATTAAGACATACAAGTTGAATCAGCAAAAAATGCCTGCTCCTCGTTAAGATGCCAAAAGAAGGTCAATTTTCCAAGGTTATGGACGGATTTCTGTGTTGAAAAAATCGAAGTGGTTGACAATAGGAAAATGGTATCCAATTAGCCGTTGAATAAGTTTTTGAAACCCGGTAGCGGTTACGTATGTTTACTTTAAAAACGGATAACCTTGATAAACACACTCCGTTGTAACGCTTTCTGTCGCAAGCTATCGATCCTCTTCGGCACAAAGCACCGCATTATCATAGCTGTCCCCAGTTAGCTACCATCCCCAGTTTTTCTTCCAGTAATTTTTTGTTAAATGTTTTCGATTTAACCGTCAAAACAATCTAGTGGTTATGATAGCATTCAAAGTTCTTATGAAGTTATAGCTTATTTAAGCAAAATAAAAAATGGATATTGTTCTTTTTCGAATTGTTTTAGTTTCGTTTCTTCATTGTTATGTGGATAAACGCGTTTTAATTTATGGGCAACTGCAAAGGACTCGGTCAACAACTTTGAGTCCCGATGTATCATTTGTGGATATTTCTACCGATGGCGGGGATTTAAGTACTTTTTCCGAAGATACAACAACAACCCCGTTTTATACTACGACGATCGTGACATCAACCACAGCATTTCCGGTACAACCCGTACCCATACCCGATCCGCGCGATAAACAGCTACGCTTATGCCTGACCATTGAAAGTTCACCATCATTTTTTTATTACTATCGGCGAGTAGCCACCGCCATCGACATGGGAATCGAAAGAGCAAATCGCCAAATATTAACCAACAATTACAAGATAGCACCTTATTATAAAGATTATGGAAAAATTTGCTTGAAGAAGAACAACGCCGTTAAATACGCATTGGAAATGTTTACCGGTGGGATTACATGCCATGCTTATCTTGGGCCAGGTACAGCTTGCAAATTGCAGTATGAATCTACCTGTTGTACTCCTATGCTTGTAGCTGAATTGATTGTGAGCTGGCCGTAAATTTATGCATTTTTTTAATTTCTGACTGAAGATTAACGACAATCTCAGATTTATACAAACTGAAATTGGAAGAGCTAGCTGTTACGTATTCCATGTTGTTTGGAAACTGCGAATGGTGTACCTCGTGTAATGCATTATACGGAAGGATTGTATTACTTGCAGTCAGTCATGCTAACGGTTAGCTGAAATTCTGTTTTGTAGCAAAGTTTGTCACAAGTAACAACTAGGGTAGAGTTCCTAAGTCTGAGATACTTGCTAGTGTAAAATGTTGTGATGATCACACTGCACTGTACTTAGATTTAGTTTAAGCAATAACACTCCTAAAATTATGCTTCCGGATATTAAAGAGTCCGTTCTGTGTTCTGGCCGCACAAACACGTGTACAAATAATTTTACTCTCATATGATGCATCAAAAGAATTTATTCTTATTACCCCATAAATTCATAATTATACCGTACGTGGCAGACCTGGGCAGTTATAGAAAATTGACCTAAAGTTAGAGTTACGAGTTACAGGGAGCGTGCGAGTTACGCTAAGAGTTAAGTTATTTATGCAAGAAAACCGAGTTTCGAGTTAAACCGCGAGGTACGCTACCATAGACAATATATAGTATTTTTATGAGAGTTAAGTTAGAGTTAAGTTTTCTTCTGAACGAGTTACGCTAAAGAGTTAAGTTATAACTCAATAACTCAAAAATAACTCGCGTTAAGTTAAATAGTTAAAATTAACTGCCCAGGTCTGGTACGTGGTACTGAAGCATGTTTAACTGATAATTACGTGAATTACAGGATGTGGTTATAGCGCTGATAGCTTGTACAACCTGGCGGAGTATCTGCAGGTATGTTGTGGTTAGTGGCCACTAACGATACATTTTAGTGATTTTACCAATTTGTAAACTGTATAATCTATTAGCACAGGAAAAGGCTCGTAATAGCCTGATTGTATATCAGTAATTCATTAAAGAGGTGCACTAATACTCCAGAACTAACACAGATAATATAAAGATAAAGTTGACACATCAATATCCATATCGGTTTACGTATTTCATGTTAACACAAAACAGTGTAAAGTCAAAAGACCGGCACGAGTCACACTTCTTGTGTTTAAATAGATTGCAATACTTGCTTGTCCAGCGGCTGGATCGTGTAACGCAGCTGAACGAGACCAGTATCCGCTGATGACACGCACTTCCTTCACCCACAAGGATACATCCAAACTGCTCTTCCGTTTTTTCTCTCAATATGGCTATAAACACGTGGTGGCTATTATGGATGATAGTAACAGTTTTTACGAACAGTTTGGTGTTACGTTCACCGCAGAACTCCGAAAGCGTCCAGACTTCGCATCGACCATCGTGCAGAAACCGATCAGAAGCGGTGATGCTACCGCGGACACATATGTCAACCTGCTTAAAGAAGCCAACTCCACTGCGCGAGGTAAGTGACCTTTATATCTCCAAACAAAATTCCCTTTACAAGTGATAATAATTGTTCTTGTAGTGTATTTACTATGCTCAAATGCAAGTGTGGTTCGACAGATTATGGTAAGTCCAAACAGCGCCTTGACTTATATTACACAATCATGAGATGAGATTAATAAAATTATTATTATTCGATCGAAATTCGTAATTATTCGTCCAAAAAGGTATTAAAATAACTGGTTCTTTTATACAGCTAACTGCGAACACGTTAAATATGCTGGATGGAAGCTATGTAAGTAACGTAGAGTCGTAGTTATTTTAACAAGAATACTAAATTCTAAAAAAAACGTGTTCAACTATTTCGCCGGTTGAGATTGCTTCCTTTTAATAACTGCACAGGTTTACATCGCGATTGAGCTTTTTCAAAGCAGTACTTGGGGAACATTTACTTGGAGCATGGGTAATGCACAAGACAGAGTAAGAAAAATGGCATTTGAATTTTGCGGTACAAAAAAAGGTAACAGAAATATAGCAATGGTTTTTATAGGATGCTAAATTTGCCTATAATTCATTACTATTGGTTGCTCTGAACCCGCAACATACCGAATATTTCGACGAATTTTCTTCTGACATCAGACGGCTGTCCCGGCAGAACTACAATTATTCGTTTGGCGAATTTGAAGATGTAAGCCGCTGCGGTAATTTGCCTAGTATTGTCTTCATGCACATGCATAATAATGATAATTTTGCCATTATGCATGTTATTTCAGTTATTTCATAATCAATACAACCTACAATTTGAATTTATTTTTAGATTGACCCCGTTGTTATTAGCTACTATGAATCGGTTCTAATGTATGCAGACGTTATAAATAAAATACTGGCAAGTGGAGGAAATATTTATGACGGCAAGCTCGTATCCTCGTTATTTCGAAACGGAGCTTTCAACAGTCCTGTCAGTGGGAACGTAAAATTGGACAGCTTTGGTGATCGACTTTCAGACTTTATTATAAGGACAATGGACTACGATACTGGGCGATATATGGTTCGTTTTGGTATATGTTGAGTTCATGGCGGAATCTGGAATTAGTCGAGCTGTACTTTACCGTCATTAACTAATAATTACAGTATTAGAATTAAAGCCACTGCTTGCGAGTGCGTCTGTAATATGCTGCTTACTTGTTAGGATTTTGTTGCTTATTCTGCTAATACCGACCAGCTAGTGCAAGTGGGCCCGCCCGTTTGGGGCACACCGGACGGTAATCTTCCTCCTGATAGTCCACGGTGCGGTTTCACCGGGGACGCTCCAATCTGCCATCCTCAAGGTCAGTGGAACGGTGGCAAGTTTTTGTGGTGCTGCACGTACAGTCGAATAATACGTCATACTGACGACGTAATATCCAGGTCTCTCTGGCGGTTTGCTGGGAGCGGCAGTAGCGATCCCTATCATTGTTCTCCTGTTACTTTTTGGCCTTATCGGTTATCTAATCATGCGGTAAGAAACCAGAACGCAAACGGTTTATCTGTGGTTAAGAAACGTCTTGATTTTGTAAGGCAATATAAAGTACGATAAAATATAAATAAACGAATGTAAAGTACGATATGTATAAAGTACGATACATAAAATAAAATCATCAAAAGATTAGTGCAGAACAACTTAAGCCGTGTGTGTAGAATAACTGAAAGGTTTTAACTGAAAGGTTTTAACTTGCGACTATGCGCTTATTTTGACCATGAAATAATGTAAGGTCACTGAGGAACGAAGGGCTGGATCCGAACTGGTGGCGCATATCTCAGTCTGAACTCGATATTACCGGAACCAAAGGAAGTCAAGGCAGCCGCATTGCCAGTAGTAAAAAGTCTCTGGTAAGTTTTGTTTTTCGTCTAATAAGTCAGCATGGCTGACCTTTGGTTACCTTCCGTAGCAGAACGACGAAACCACATCTCAAACAACCAAACAAACGGATGCCACTTCTGGTATGAGTGTCATGAATGGACGCACGGCTACTCTACGCGGAAATGTCATTACCATCATTGATGTTGCGGAAAAACGCCGACGACCCAATCCCCAAATGATTAAAGAACTAAACCAAGTATATGTCTAGGCTGCCGTTGTGAACTGTAACTACTTACGGATTTTGCATTAAAATCTTTAACAAAGAACGTAAATGCAGGTCCGGGTAGTTACCCATCAGAATTTACAACGCCTGCTGGGTGTATCGGTGAACGATGACGGATACGTCGTGTACATCGTAGGCGAACTGTGCCAAAAAGGCTCTCTGACTGATTTATTGGAAAAGGACTCCCTGAAGCTCGACTGGTCCTTCAAGAACTCGTTAATTAAAGACATTGTTATGGTACTTGAAAAACATTTATTAAAGATAATTAGCACATGTGCATGCGCGAGTAAAAGGTCACGATGTCAGTCTGGAGTTGGCATAATTTTTTTGCTAGGGAATGACGTATCTCCATGGATCATCTATTGAATCGCATGGGAATTTGACGGCACATACTTGCCTTGTGGACAGTCGGTTTATGCTAAAGGTAGTTGCAGATTACGCATTTAATATACAGAGGGTGATTTCGCAATATGCTTCCACTTTATTCATAAATTAATTTTCCCTTGCTGGAAGCATATTGCGAAATCACCCTCTGTAGTGCGCTCTTCACCCACATTAAAGTCTGTTGGATTTTGAACTATATTGGTATACGTATATCTTACGATTAAACCAGTACGTTTAAACAAATGTTCACGTGAAATGCAGGTGTCCGACTTTGGATTAACGTCATTTCGTGACGTTCGAGACTTATTACCACCAGCGGAAGATGACGACGATCGCAACTTTGATTATCTATTATGGCGAGCTCCGGAACTCTTACGGCAGCAAATGCCAGTTAAAGGAACGCAAAAAGGTATTGATTTCTGCCGTAGTGCATATGAAGTCCTCCTTCATTTGCGCTACGTTCCTGCCTACGTGTACAACTTTTGTGAGAAGAGGAATTGATTTATAATATTTGCAGGAGATGTTTACAGTTTCGCCATTCTACTGCAGCAAATTATTCTTCGTACTGGTCCGTTTGATACACCTGGAGACGCCACCAAAGCGCATCAAACTGCCAAAGAAGTGATAATGGAAGTACGTAATTAAAGTAAATCGTTGTCTGCCATTTTTAGCCTACAATGTCTATACTGTTATTTATGGAATTACAAAGCCGCCACGCTGTAGATGTCTTCTAAACCGAGGCCAATAAAGGTCAAATGCAATGAAAAATTACCTAACTGCGGCATCCTCATATTTGTTTGTTAATTTGTCTTATTTTGTGATGCAAATTCAACTTCTTGCATAAATCACTTCGTATACAGTGTTGATTTTCCTGCTGTAACTTGTTTTGACGTCGAAGGTGAAAAAAGGAACTCAACCGCCTTTTCGACCTCAAGTTCCTCCTTCCGCATGTTCCAGTGAACTGTTCGGTCTGATGGAACGCTGTTGGGAAGAGTATCCCATTGAACGCCCTACTTTTTCCAAAATCAAGGAAGGTCTGAAAAAGGTCATAGGAAATTCCGGCGACAACATAATTGATCACTTGCTTAAGCGCATGGAACAGTACGCCGCTGATCTGGAAGCGCAAGTGGCAGAAAAAACCGAACAGTTCGTCGAAGAAAAACGGCGCTCTGAAGAATTACTCAGTCAACTGCTGCCAAAGTACGATGCCAATTTGTTTTTAGTGTTCCTTCATATTTAGGCGATGACATGGTCCAACATAAATATGAACCCAAAATTAAGATCGTAACTATAAACCAAAAATATTAAAACGGTGCTCTACGACATTTTACAGATCGGTCGCGGAATCGTTGACACGAGGTCACAACGTCGATCCCGAACTGTACGACAGCGTAACCGTGTACTTCAGCGATATTGTCAGCTTCACAACCATTTCGGCTGCTGGATCACCAATGGATGTGGTTTCCATGTTGAACAATTTGTATACCATGTTTGACAGTATTCTTGAAAAATATGATGCATATAAAGTGGAAACAATTGGCGATGCCTATATGGTTCGTACTCTGCGTGAAAGTTATTAGTGCGAACAGTATTTGACCTTTATATTTCACAGCTTGCCAGCGGTCTGCCGGTGCGCAACGGAAATCGCCATGCGAGCCAAGTGGCTTTAGTGTCACTAAATATAAGAAAAGACTTAGACACCTTTAAAATTCCCCACCTTCCTGACGATAAACTCAGGTTACGCATTGGCCTTCATTCGGGTAAATATCCATGTGGAATACTAGTTGCATTGATTATCATTGCAACTAGTAGTCCATATCAATGATTGATTGATACATATGTTGTACTGTAGAATGTCGCATACTTTATGCACAGACCGTGTAATTCTTAATGGAAAGAACCGTAAACGATTTACATAAATACAGGATCAAATTTTGTATCTATAAATTGTAAAAAGTGTTGGCATTAAAATTGACAAACTTACAATATACAGATTTGGTTTAACTGACCATATTTTGCTACAGGATCGTGTGTTGCTGGAATCGTTGGATTAAAGATGCCGCGATATTGTCTGTAAGGCGATAGTTTACTACAATATATCAAAGCTGTTTTCAAAAACCGTAGTTAATAAAAGGTCATCAGCAGTGACTGCCTGTTTTATTTAGGTTCGGTGATACCGTTCAGATAGCACAAAAGATGGAATCCAGCGGAGAAGGTATTTTTTCCCTGTATATGAAGCTTTGCCTTTTACGGATTTCTAATACGCTAAAATTAAAATAAGGGTGTTATAACTTCATTAAAAGAAGGGTGCTTTTAAAACGTTTGGAACAATCGACAGATTAAAAAGTGCTTACTCAATAGCCCAGTTTTTGGTTAGAGCACAATCCGCATTACCATGCTGATTTGCGGGACAGCGGTGTATTATTCTGCTGCTTGCAGCTTAATCCGTTAGAAACATTAACTATAAAATAAATCTATGAAGTGCATATTAATAATTCAAATTGCCAGATCAAACCACGTATTGCATTTAAATTATTTTTTTCTTCAGCAATGAAAATCCAAGCCACTCACGCCACTAAGCAGTTGCTGGAAGATATCGGCGGCTTTCAGCTGCAAGAACGAGACCGCGTTATAGAATTTAAGGTATGCAACTCTCTATATGTGTAAAATACTCTGTATATATTTCTCATACAAACTTGTCAATACAGTTGCATCGAAATTTTTTACATTATACAGGACATGGAAATCCGAACATACTGGCTGTTGTCCGGAAAGTAGCAGAAGGAATGCGCTGTTTGCCTCTTTGCTAGCCGCATGAGAGTGGGAATATTTTCTTTCGATTACTTTCTGTCTGGATTGCTTGAATTTGTTCTGTTCTGACTAGTAAAGGTGTTTGTTTTAATGTACTTCTCTGAATTTTGTTCCTGGTACGTACGTAGCACAGTTGGAATTGCCTGCATTTAGAAGTGGTAAACCACTGCAGAAAGAGTGAAGTTTTGTGCTATCCAAAATCTTGTTATATGCTTGCCAACTATATTTTTGATTTTTTTGCAAATAGATTTATGAGTGCAGATGTTTGTTTTACTTTCGTTGTTGCCGGTACAATGATTAACAGTAAATATTTGAATGCAATTTGTATTAAGGGTTTACGTATCAAATAATGCTTGGACGTACTTGTTTCTTCTGCAAGCCGGAAAGGCCTGATTATTCGACGTTCTATAACGAATGACACATTGTTATCGTACATATGTGTGGGAATATTACATATATATATAAACTAATCTACTCTGGCTGTCAGAGTGCCCACTGCATCTGTACTGGTATAATTTGGTACATGATACATATACATATGTTACGATGTAGCTCACTACATAATTTTTTTATGGATTAGGCAAACAGTTTAACATCCAGCAATCCCTGCGCATACAATACAGGAAAAATATTGAATCGAGAAAAAATCGATGGCCCAACAAAAGTCTGCGCGAATCCAATTAAATTTTGAAAGATTTCTTACATAGCAAAATGGACGTCCAGTCCTGATTTATTTGCTTTACGAACAAATGGCCGTCGTTAACACCATATAGTCAACACATCATGTCGAGCGCGGCATTTTTTGCATCAGTGGTAATATCTTGCATCAGAACATTCTGCAGATACATTTTTGCAACCGCGCAACATAGATGCAACGCTATTTGCCTGTTCACTGAAAAATTAGTTTGCATTTCGCACTTTTACGAGAAAACATGCATTTCCTCTTTATTACGTTACAAATTATCGTTGTACTCTTTGTGACCTTTAGCCGGTACAGTAACACCCAAAATACTGAGTCGGAAGTTGTTGCTGTGGACGGCACAACGGATGCTTTGGAGTCAGAGGCAGGCGACACAACCACTCTGCCAACTGAATCTAGTGAGGAGAACATCGAGGGGAGTAGCGAAGCTGTAGAGCCATCCACAGCGGAAACAAGAACGGCCACCACCAAACTCATTGCTTCAAACAATACAGCTAGCCGTGCCACTAATCCGCACCTTGTGCCGACCGCCGCCACTGTCCCCACAACTGCCAATAGGGTCACTGTTTCTACTGCAACATCAGCAGGATCATCGTCACCTTTCCCGGTGAGGGCTCTACCCTCACCCAGCATTCTGCGCAATAAGCAGATTCGGTTATGCCTGGTAATTGAAAGTTCACCGTCGTTGTTCTACAATTATCGACGCGTGGCTGCGGCTATTGATAAGGGAGTCGAGCGCGCCAACAAGCAGATTCTAATTGAGGGCTACACGATTAATCCGTACTATAAAAATATGGGAAGGACATGTGATAAAAAGAATGATGCAGTGAAGAATGTTTTGGATATACAAAATTCCGGGATAACGTGCAGCGCTTATTTAGGTCCAGGTATGACAAGCCGGTTCAGACATATTTCTAGTACTTTGTACATACGATTAGTAACACGTATTGTATCTAGCACGCAGTTTCCTTTGATGAAGTTAATGCCTTTTGCCTTAATGCCTTAATCTGTAGTTGTTTTCTGCAGGATGTGGATATAACGCAGATAGTTTGTACAACTATGTGGAATATACTCAAGTAAGAACAAATTACACGTACACTATTTAACTATTTATAAAACATTCGAAATCAATATCCGGCGCCCGAACAATATAGAGAAAATACAAAATGTAACGCGTCTACAGTTAAACTGGTCGAATAAATCTGCGAATTAGTTATAATTATGAATTCTTTAAACCCCTTTAAGAATAACTCTGCTCTGTATATGTAGACTTCCATTATGGCTTGTCCAGGAGCGGGTTCCAGTAATGCGGCAGATAGGAGTCAGTATCCGTTGCTAGCACGAGTGTCGTTCACTCACAAGGACACCACTGCATTGTTATTCCGATTTTTTCGAGCTTATCAGTACAGCCACGTTTTCGCCATTATGGATACAACCAATAGTTTTTACGAGCAGTTCGGCATCACATTTTCATCGGAATTACGAAAGCAACAAGATCTCGTGCAAACGATTCTTACGCGAAATATTAAAAGTGCTACGGCTACCAATCAAACTTACACCAGTCTCCTAAAAGAAGGCAACTCCACGGCAAGAGGTATAATCATACCTACTCGATCTTACCTAATTAAATTGATAGCTAATATATCGGTGCTTAAATGTTACAGACATGTATATTGACATAAATATAGGGTCGATTTGAATTTCTTAAAAAGATTGTCTTGATTTAAATGTTACAGAGGTATAATCATATATACCGGTACCTGTAATACCGTCTAAAAACGTTGTACGATAACAACGTTTTCAGACGATAGGAAATTTGGTCGCTTTTACTAATCCACCAATAAGTACTTAGTTTTTTTCAGTATTCCTCCTGGCTGCAAATGCAACTGTCACTCGTCAAATCATGGTATGTGCCCACTTGAAAATACCACACACGTAGAAAGGTCAGGCACTATTATCCGAGCGATTTATATAGGTTTACAGTGTTTGTTATACCGATCAACCACGATCGCTTCTATTAGCATCTTACTAAAATTCACTCAGTTTTTATGTATGTAGATAACTGCACTGCAAATGGGAATGACGGATGGCAGCTATGTACGTTAACAACGTTATAATTAATTGCTGATTGGAGGTGTAAATTCATGGTCTGATTATGTTCGGTAATTTACAGGTATACATTGCTATCGAATTGTTTCAAAGTTCGACTTGGGGACCGTTTACATGGAACATGGGCACTTCTAGCGATAGAGTATGCAGTTTATGTAATCAAATTTTCACACTCATGTTATAATTTGTATGCACACGCATACGAGTATATAAGTTTATTAATTGACTGTTGAATAATGTCAGGATGCTAAACTGGCATACACTTCCATGCTGCTTATCGCCTTGAACCCCCAACGTACGGATTATTATGCACAATTTGCATCGGAGATTAGAGAAGAATCAAGGATCAAATATAACTACACATTTGAAGAATTTGAAAACGTGATTTAATCTTTGTGCCGTATTGGGTTGTTGGCAGAATTATGATAGTTGAGTTATGCATATTTTCTCTGTAGATTGATCCGGTGGTCATCAGCTTTTACGAAGCTGTGATCATGTACGCCAGCATTGTTAACCAAGTGCTAACAATGAGAAGAAACATATTCGATGGACAGTTAGTATCTTCATTGTACCGGAATCAGACATTCCCTAGTCCCGTTACCGGGACCGTTACCATGGATGGCGGTGGCGATCGGCAGTCTGACTTTGTTATCAAAACGCTGGATAGTAAATCTGGCCGATTCCTAGTGAGTTAGTTATACTTAAAATTTCTTTACCTTACTTTACTTTATTTTACAATACTTTACTTTGCTTTACTTTGCTTTGCTTTGCTTTGCTTTGCTTTGCTTTGCTTTGCTTTGCTTTTACTTTACTTTACTTTACTTTACTTTACTTTACTTTACTTTACTTTAATTTAATTTGTGGTTAAACTAGATTTTTACAGGAATTTATTACCTACATGGTATCCACAAATAAGTTCACACAAACGGGCCCGCCGCTTTGGCCGAGTGCAGATGGCTTTCTCCCACCGGACACGCCCAGATGCGGTTTTACCGGGGAAGCTTTGATCTGCCATCCACAAGGTATTAGCAAACGGCTGAACAAATTAAAAATATTCACAATTCCGAACAATAAGTGGATACTCCAAAGCCAGAAAACCAACAGTTTTGAATATTCCAAGCTGCTCTGACGTTACGCATACTTCAAAAGGAAAGCAATTTTGCTCTGCAGGCCTTTCGGGAGGATTGTTAGCTGCGGTGGTGGTAATACCATTACTCATCGTTTTAGCGTTATGCGGTATCATTTGTTATTTCGTTGCGAGGTAAATTTCTTAAAGTGAGCCAGGTCCGTTAAAGTTCAAGAATACAAAGATAATTTCTGTTATTCCATACAGATCATTACGAAACGAAGGATTAGATCCTAACTGGTGGCGCGTGACGATGACTGAACTCGATATTACCGGCACAAAAGGCAGTCAAGGCAGCCGAATTGCTAGCAGCAAAAAATCTCTTGTAAATTTATTATACCTACCGTTGTTAGTTTATGATTAAGTGCTGCCAACAACATGTAAATATGGTCTTTGCAGAACGATGACACCCAGTCGCAAACGACGCGACAGACGGACACGGTTTCGGGTGCCAGTGTTATGTTAGGACGCACGGCGACGCTGCGTGGTAATGTGATTACCATCATCGATGTCTCGGAGAAACGACGACGTCCCAATCCACAAATGATTAAGGAGTTAAATCAGGTGTCCTGGGGAAAGAGCTTTATTTTGCTACGGTATTTTTTTCCGGTGGTTATAATTTCAACTAATTTAGGTGCGCGTGATTACGCATCAAAATCTACAGCGATTGTTAGGCGTTTCGGTCAACGACGATGGCTACATCATATATATACTCGGTGAATTATGCCAAAAAGGGTCACTAACGGATTTACTGGAAAAAGACTCTCTAAAACTGGATTGGTCATTTAAGAACTCTCTTATAAAGGATCTCGTAATGGTATGCTTTGCCACCAGCTACCTTATCTGTGGATGACAAATCAAATTGCTAAGCGTTGCAGGGCATGACGTATCTTCAAGGGACGGCGATTGAATCGCACGGAAATCTGACTGCTCATACGTGTCTCATTGATAGCCGCTTTATGTTAAAGGTCAGCGCTGCTAATTACTTATGCAACTCTTTCCTTCTCCTTATCCTAAATTACCGGCAACGGTATTTTTAATTATGTGTTTCAGATCACCGATTTTGGTTTGAATTCGTTTCGCGAGATTCGTGATCTGGACCCGCCATCGGAAGATCAGAACGACCGTCATTTTGATCTTCTTCTCTGGCGTGCACCAGAGCTGCTCCGTCAGGTCATGCCCATCAAGGGATCCCAAGTGGGTATCGTTATTCTTAACCAGATTATAAAATATTCAAACAACATGCCAGTTTGCTGGCTATTCAGAATAACATTATCACCACACTTCTTTTCCATTTTCAGAAAGGTAAAAAATATTTTAACTAACTGGCTACATTAACCGCCGATACGATGCCCATACTGACTGGCTGCATTTCATCAGGCGATGTATATAGTTTTGCAATATTATTGCAACAAATTATTTTACGCACCGCACCTTTTGATACTCCCGGAGATCCGACCAAAGCGCATCAAACAGCAAAGGAAATGGTCATGGAGGTGGGTGATAAAATGACGTCATTTATAAAGACTGTTAAAGTGTACTCTGTACTTGTAATAATTGCCCAAGCGCAATACTTCTGCAGCCTACCCTATCCTATATCGATAGACTCGGTCCAACGAAAATCACACGGTCTTTGCGAACACTTACAAATGGGAAAATTCTTATTGTATTAATTTTTATGATATACATAAAAGGATATTTACATTAAACTTTGTTACGTACACAGTGATGTGATTTCTTACAAGGTTTTGTACATATGTCTGCACATGCGTAGGTCAAAAAGGGCACGCAACCTCCATTTCGACCGCAAGTGCCGCCTTCCGCATGTTCTAATGAATTATTTACTTTAATGGAGCGCTGCTGGGACGAATATCCAATTGAGCGACCCACATTCTCCAAAATTAAGGAGGGACTGAAAAAGGTCATCGGGAATTCGGGAGACAATATCATTGATCATTTACTCAAAAGGATGGAGCAATACGCAAGTGACCTGGAAGCCCAGGTTGCCGAGAAAACTGAACAGTTCATCGAAGAGAAACATCGTTCTGAGGAGCTCTTAAGCCAATTACTGCCCAAGTAAGATGTGGGATCAAAGTTGAAAAAAACTAATATAAAAGTGGAATGTAGCGTATGGCTTTCATGCTCTGCATTTACCAACTTTTTCTATTTGGATAGGTCTATTGCGGAATTTCTTACGCGGGGACAGAATGTCGACCCCGAATCATACGACAATGTCACGATCTATTTCAGTGACATTGTAGGTTTCACAACGATATCTGCAGCTGGAACGGCGATGGATGTTGTATCCATGTTGAATAATTTATACACAACATTTGATAACATTCTTGCTCGCTTTGACGCTTATAAAGTGGAAACTATTGGAGATGCTTACATGGTAGGTCGCATCGGATGAGCTCTTATACAGACATGATAATCCGCGTATTTCTTTGTTCAGCTGGCCAGCGGTCTGCCTGTCCGCAACGGAAATCGTCACGCGCAGCAGGTTGCTCTGGTGGCATTGAGCATTCGGAAGGATCTGGACACATTTAGAATCCCCCATTTACCCATGGACAAACTTCGGTTGAGAATCGGTTTGTGTTCGGGTAAGTGTGCATAGAATTATGCATGTCATCAAAGGCGTACTGCTACCTGGAAGAGTTCTACCGCAATTGATCGCAGCTGATTAAAAAACCAGCGCCTAAAAATTATTTATTACCTCTGTCTAGGACCATGCGTCGCAGGAATTGTGGGACTGAAGATGCCTCGTTACTGCTTGTAAGTGAGAAATTTTGAAAACAAAATGGAAATTAATAAAGATAACATATTTGTTAATAGCTATAGAAGATTTATTCTGTGCATGTTTTGGTAATCACATATTTTGTAGCAAGCTTCGTTGCACGAGAGGTTGAGAGATTAAAAATGCAGTTTCAGAAAATAAATGTAATACCAGTAAGACGTAGTTATATATGCTTCCTTTTGTAAAGGTTTGGAGATACTGTACAAATTGCCCAGAAAATGGAATCAAGTGGCCAGCGTAAGTAGACATTAAAAGCAATATTATTATGAACACAGTATTTAATTAATACAGTGCTGCGCGTGCACCTAGAATGCCATAACATGTATCGGAAAAATACTGTAGTAATTTTTTTAAAATTCTAGCGATGAAAATCCAAGTCACCAGTTCTACGAGAGAGCTGTTGGAAGAAATTGGTAGCTTCCAGATGCAAGAACGTGACGAGACCGTAATGTTTAAGGTACGCAAAGTGTGCATTGGGCGAATAATTCGTTAGTTCATAACGGAGCCGGAAAATTAATGGGGATTTTCTAAAACTTCGCTATTTTATTTAGGAAAATGAACTCAAAACATATTGGCTTCTCTCTGGATCTGGAAAATAGAAGACCTGCATCACTAAGAGCAGTACTACTAGTACTAAGAACAGCAGTGCGTACTGCGTAGTTGGTATGAAGTTTTCTCACTGTTATTACGAACTGCCAGTGCTGGAGCAGGATCACACAATCACACAAATAAATGTTTTGACATACATATTCTGCCCATCATACGCATAAACACACACACACACCCATGACCGTGATTAGCGGTTAAAAGAAGCGTGCGTTGAATGTCTGCTAAAGAAAACGAATCGCTAATTTAAGGATACGCCCGAGCTCGACACTGAGTGTGTCATTGGCTACATACATTGTTGATGGGAACAATCAGACTACGAGTTTTTTTTTGCTACCAGCGAAGCTTTCGTTTTGCTGCAAGTGTATGTACTGCACAACTTGTACTGGCAGGCTACTGAACAGTTCTATTTTCTAAAGAGACAATTTATATGACGTATTATTAGATACACCGAATAAGTTTCAGACAATGATAGTTAAACGTTATTACATAATTACGGAATAATAATTAGTACGAAAACCGCTACGGTACTAGTAGGATAACTAGTAATGTAATTTGCTAATTTTAAGCTAACCATAATTATGATTATAATGCACTGATTATAATCAGTGCATGAATTGTTTGGTATCGAGCCGACGTAGAGAATTTTCCGAGAAGATTCCTTAGTTATTAAGCATAAACTGTCCCACAGTAGCTACCCGGACTAGTACATTGTAGGATTGATCTACATTAATGGCATGCGTGTGCGATACCTCCACATGGGAACGTCGATTGTATAATAATATGCTACGGCAGCGCTATCCTGCAGTTTGTTCACTTCCACCAGTAATTACAGTCGTTCAACTGGAGGTGCGCAATTTACCCGCCCTCTCCCCGGAAAACAGTGGTCCCGACGCAATAATAATTTATCTCACCAGGTTGCCGTAGTGTGTGCCTGTAATAGTGGATGTACCTGCATGTACATATGCAACATAAAAGACTGCGGCTGTACGGAAGCGCACTGTTTATTGATTGGCATGCCGGCAACAAACACAGAGAGAGGCAGGTGCCGGTACATATACAATCTATGTTTCCCTGTGCTTCGACGATTCCACATACGGAATGCAACAAATGCCATGCAAACCGTTTCTTCCCTTAAATAAATATCACCAATTCGTCGCTGTGGGGTATTCTTCCATTACGCACGCACAGAAGCTAAAAAAGTATTCGCGGAATATTACAGCTAGTATCAGTCTGTTTTGCTGCTACTTTTAAATTCTTCTAGGAATAAATTATGTGTTATATTTACTGGTATTGCACCCCTTCCGGTTGTTGGTAGCGTGAGAAATGCGGTTGATAGCCCATCTATATTTTGTTTTTGGATACTTATCTTTTTGCACCTCAGCGCAGTCATCCATTTCTGTCACACTTCCCAGTTCTTCCAATGTCGGTCGTGATATCAGCTCTGATAACAACACACAGGGAACATACACAGCAGCACCAGCAGCCACTACCTCCTATCCCGTTCGCATCACACAGGCGCCGGATCTCAGTAATCGCAATATCCTCTTGTGCCTACTAATTGAACGCTCCCGCGGAGATAAGTCGGTGTTCTATGATTATGATCGGGTAGCATCCGCCATACAATTGGCTGTTGATCATGTTAATCAACATGTCTTATCCGGCGGATACCAGTTGCAGACATTCTATAAAGATATTGGGAAAAACTGTGATAAGAAAAACGATATTGTTAAATATGCCCTGCAAGTACTGTCCGTCGGGGTCAACTGCAATGCGTACCTTGGTCCAGGTAAGTGTTTCCGGTGTCCAAGATAGCCACCTAATTTAATGCAAAACGGCAGAGTGCCATTGACAGATAGTTATTGTCACTGACATGGTGATGGATATTTTTCATAAGATGGTTTTCCATATTTTGTGGATGCAGTCATGTGCTGCCCGAAGGAGTATTATCGAATTTTTGTGTCACACGTTCTTATTTCTGTAACGGTTGACTGATATTGACAATCAACACGGCATAAAATTAATATTCAAAGCACACTGTAGATCTTGGGTGTATCAGGTTTTCAAATACTTATTATACTTCAATTGGCTACGCGAATATAGTAGTACTTTTCGTAACATGCCATGGTCATATTTCTTAGCCTCATTTCAGCTCTAACTGCACAATTAAAAAGTGAAACGATTTGGCAGACGGGTCGTATCATACTCGTATTACCCGTTTGCAACTGTAACGAACGCCCAGTGCACGGGCTGTAAATAAGTAAACAAATCAATTTGAAAAAAGACGTCATTTGGCAATTGAAAAGTTTTCCTTATCTTCGAATGTTTCGCACTCCCCGATCGACATAGTAAATAAAAATAATCGGCTTATCGTGTAATTAAAAAGCAATGTAATGTTTTTAAGCTATTAGAAAACGTAAACATCTCCGTAAATAAATTTATGAAAAAAATCGAACTTGATTTGCGTATATTTCAGTGCAGGCTGAGGCGATACAAATTCTGCGTAAGAGGTGCTCCCATGAGTACAGCTTACGCAAGGCTGATAATTAACAACTGCATAATGCATGAAAGATGCACAATTTTCCAGGTTGTGGATACAGTGCTGACAGTCTGTACAACTTGGTGGAATATATGCAGATCCCGATGATGGGTTGTCCGGCTGCCGGCTTTGGAGCGGCATCCGATCGTGAGAAGTACATAATGGCCACGCGAATGAGTTTCACGCATAAAAACACCGTCAACGTGATCTTCCGATTCTTCACACAGCATGCCTATAAACATGTCTTTGTCGTCCAAGATGATTCTGTCAGCTTTTTTGAACAGCTTACCGCGGTATTTAACGGAGAGATCCGTAAGCGCACCGATCTCATACAAACCGTTACCGAATATCCCTTTCGCAGCCGGGATGCAACGATTGAACAGTATGAGCGTATGCTGTCAACGGGTAATCAGTCGTCCAGAGGTAGGTTACGCCGGGAGTAAAACCATACAAATTCACGGTAAATCCCATTTATCCATAGCTAATATATGTACGAGTACTACGGTAGTAGTTAATTTTAAATTACCCTATTCCTTTCATTTATGGCGTCCGCTGTGTGACCATTAATACGCCTCTTCAACAGGCAGGTCCGAAATTGGTTACAGAATTTTTATTTGATTGTAGTGTTTGTTGTACTATCGAATGCCACCGTTCTCCGAACACTGATGGTAATTAGTGAAAAAATTGTGTATCGATCTCTCGTCGTATTTCGTACCAATTTAAAAGGGCATTTTTTAAATATGGCTTTGAATTTTAGATTACTGCTCAAAGATTAGGCATGACCAACGGACAATACGTACGTATGTATATGCATATTACGAGTAGACTGCATAAATAGTTCGGCTAGGCCGCTAGCGTACTAAAACTCTTAATTGTACTTCTGAAAATTAACCACATAAATAAAACAGCTTCATTTGTAATGATTAATAAGTTGGGATTTATTTACAAAGCTCTATTTTATATTCTGGAAAAGTAATATTGTGAGAAGTAACCGTACATTTTATTCAGGTTTATATTGCTGTCGAATTATTTGACAGTCAAAGCTGGGGGAAGTTTACGTGGAGTTTTGGAGATCAGGGCGACAGGGTAAATTTATGCCATATGACTACAAATTTTTAAAGAAAAAGATTTTTGCAATAAAAAATTACTTTGACAGGAAGCCAAACAAGCCTACGAATCCGTGTTATTAGTCGCGCTCCACCAAGTCAGGAACGATTATTACGACACGTTTTCCACGAATGTTAAACGCCTTGCCAGGAAATCTATGAATTACACTTTCGGGGCTTTCGAAGAGGTAGAATCGGTTTCCCATCTTGCAAAACCATAAGTATTCGTAACACTGCAGCTATTGAATGCACTTTTTGATTTAGATTGATCCTGTAGTGACGAGTTTCTACGATGCGACGGTGTTATACAGTACAATAATGAATAAAATCATTACATCCGGTGGCAACATTTACGACGGCGTCAAAACATCGGGCATGATGCGTAACTTTACCTTCTCCAGTCCGGTTAGCGGAGACGTACGGATTGATGCCGTGGGCGATCGGCAATCGGATTACGTCGTCAAAAGCATGAATCCCGATACCGGAAGATTTGAGGTGATCCTGCAAACCTCTGCAAATAGGCCATTATCGACGTGGAAACACAGGAGATCGGATTAAAATTGAACAAATGACAGTTAAAGCAACAAATTAGTCAATTATGCGCAGTTGTTGTCGCAAAATACCCATACGTACTATGCATACTATGCATATAATATTGCATGCTAGCGATGCGATGTCAACCAATCCTAAATACATTCAATATCATGTCGATGTTTTATATGTACAAGATTAGAGTTATTTACTGTTTAGCTAGGAAGGTTTAATTTATGATTCAAGTGTACTTAATCAAAATTATTATTAACTAGTCCAAATTTTGATATTGCTTTAATTTGGTTATTCATTACATTACAGTAAAACCATTGCTTAGTTTGGCTTACTGTTTAATTACAGGATTTTTACACATACACCGCCATAGGCGACTCGATGGTGGCCACAGGACCATTATATTGGCCAACTAAAGTGCTGCCGCCTGATGTTCCCCGATGTGGCTTTCAAGGAGAGTTTGCAATTTGTCATCCGCAAGGTACTTCTTGTTATTTTCGTACTTTCGTCTGAAAATGAAGGCACTGTGCATAAAAAACGGAGTGGTCTGTTAACAATGTATGAGCACATTACCGCTGTGTGCACGCGTGCGGTGTATCGGATGCGTAATTATTCATTGATTTTTAGTGGGTCTCTCTGGACCGATGATAGCTGTGGCTGTCGCCATACCGGTTGTTGCCTTCTTCGTAATAATTGGATTGGTTGTTTATTGCGTAATCAGGTAAAAAAATTCCCACGTGCAACTTAATGCATTTGACTACTACCGGTATTTGCCGCGCTTCATACAGATTTTATTAACCGGCACTTTCGGGATAGATTTTTGCGCAACGAAGGCCTGGATCCCAATTGGTGGCGAGTGCCGCAGTCCGAAGTTGATATCACTGGACCAAAAAACGCCAGTCAAGGAAGCAGAATTGGGCGATCGCAAAAATCATTGGTACGATGCATTTTTCTCGTTTCACTCCCACACTGATGTAAATAAATATATGATAAATCTCGCTTGTCAAAGGTGGTACGTAAGTAAACTATAAGAGGTGATTTTTGTAAGAGATGCCAAAATTACTTTCAGCAAGATGACGCTGTTTCCCAAACAACGCGAAATACCGAAGCGACATCGGGCTACAGTATGGCTGGGAGAACAGCGACATGGAAAGGAAATGTCGTCAGTATCACCGACATTTCCGAAAAGCGCATTCGCCCAAATCCCAACTTCATTAGGGAATTAAACCAGGTAATGGGAAAAATTTGCACCATTAGCACTACTAGTAGTACTGTTGCTGGGGCGGGTCACTGGCGCGTTGTCCCGGCGCAGAATATTAATGCTTACTTAAACACGACAGTATGATGCAACAACAACATTTTGTGCACCAATTTTGACAGGTGCGCCTCGTCAGCCATCAGAACCTGCAGCGACTTTTAGGAGTGTCTATGAGCGAAGATGGATTCTGTATGTATTTGCTGGGTGAACTGTGCCAAAAGGGCTCGCTAATGGATTTGCTGGAAAAGGACTCACTTAAACTGGATTGGTCGTTTAAAAACTCATTAATAAAAGACATAGTCATGGTAAGCGCAGCCACTCTGAATTAGTGGATTGGTGTAATACTTAACTGCAGATTTCCAGGGAAATTTTCTATTTATCAGGATATATTTTAATGCTAATCTGCATATCATTTAAAGGGCATGGCATTTCTTCATACCTCATCCATTGAGTCGCACGGAAACCTTACAGCGCATACGTGCCTGGTGGATAGCCGGTTTATGCTAAAGGTAAATAATAATCTAAATCTAAAAACATTATTTAGTAAACTTTTGGTCTGGAACCGATCCGCAAAAGATGCGAAACTGTCGATACTGCGAATGCAGTGAATTTATTACACGTTAAACGTATCGGCAAATCACAAACTTAGAATGCTTACTCGTATGAACCGAGCTATGGAAAAAATTGCGTTCTGTAGTAGAGGAAAATTACATATAATCTCTTATTATCTGTCTATTATCTGTTGTAAGGATATCAAAAAAGGATAAAGTATACGATAATAACCCTTATTATAAAATTTTTACAGTTTCGTATGAAATTTCTTTCGAGTGACTGGTGAGACGAACTGTAGTGGAAATTGGAGGATAATTTATAGTTTAGAAGTACTTAGTTTAAAGCACACCGTGAAATCTGAGTAAGTTGTGGCAGTTTAATGTATGCTCCTTTGTGTCATCCCAGTCCACTACTTCATGCTTGATTGATCTTTTACTCGTTTCGTGCAGTGCGTCCATTGCCAAAAATGAACGGGTTAAAGGCCAGAAAATGTTTAGCCGCAACAATAAAAACGTCCTACATATATGGATTCTTTGTGGAAATAATAAAAGTTAATTTCGCTGCACAATAGATAACCGACTTTGGTCTGACAACACTTCGGGAGTTGCGCGAATTATTGCCGCCCATGGAAGATCAAGATGATCGAAATTTCGATTATTTACTATGGCGCGCACCGGAACTCCTGCGCCAACAAATGCCACCCAAAGGCTCACAGGTTGGGCTCTTTTCCTGTGTCTGTAAAGTGTTTAAATTAGCTAACACAAATAAAAGTTTTCCATCGATTTTTAACTACCGTTTGTCGTTTGCATTGCAGAAAGGTGCCCACGCATTGTCAAGTTCATCTCCTTCAATAACTAGTCAAAAATGCCAAAGTTTCACAATGTGTTTTCGTAATTGGCAGGTGATGTCTACAGCTTTGGAATATTGTTACAGCAAATAATACTTCGATCAGCTCCCTTCGATGCGCCGGGTGATGCAACAAAAGCCCAACAGACCACTGCCAAAGAAGTAGTACTGGAGGTAAAGGTCAAATTTAATTTCCAGAGCACGATTTGTTACAACTAATCATTAAAAATTTTAAGGATAATAATCGATATACCCAGCAGATCACCATTTCAAAGTTACTAATGTCCGGCCTCAGTATATGCTACGCAACATTTTGATACTCTGTACATTTAAAAATACAACTAAACGATTAATAGTGTTGAATAATCATATTTACACTAATTGATCCACACTGTCCTCAATAACAACGTACGAGTGACCTGCGAGGTCTTTTGTGGCAACTTTTGAACTGAATTATTTCCATGTTACTTGTTTACCGATCAGCCATAACGCTCAGAACTTATATTATATTGCCTGCAACGTACTGATCCTGATAGGTGACGACACAATGTATATACCGGTTATAGAAAATTAAGCATTTCATCCGATTCTCTGATAGGTAAAAAAAGGACTTCAACCGCCATATCGTCCACGTGTGCCCAGCTCCGCATGCTCAAGTGAGCTCTTCAACTTAATGGAGAGGTGTTGGGATGGTAAGATTACACAGCTTGTTATCGAATGTTCCGCTAACCCGTATTATTGAACCACTATTAAGCTTTAAAATAAAATACCGACAAAGTTAATATAACGAGTTATCATAAATAATAAAACTAATTTGCTGTGATATTATAAATTGTGGCCACTGTCCTGTTACGAGCTGGCATAAGTTTCTCACTTAAATTTTATTTATTCAGCGGGGTTTTTTGTCATGGAGTATTGAAAATAGTTTACCAGAGTGTAAACGTAACACTTCAACATATCGACCAATTTTGACAGAGTACCCCATTGAGCGTCCCACCTTTGCTAAGATAAAAGACGGACTGAAGAAGGTTATCGGCAATTCCGGTGATAACATAATCGACCACCTCCTGAAGAGGATGGAGCAATATGCCAATGATCTCGAACAGCAGGTTGCTGAAAAGACGCAACAGTTTATGGAGGAGAAACGTCGCTCAGAAGAATTACTGAGCCAACTTCTTCCCAAGTACATTCAATTCGCTTTTGTTTCATTCAGACAGTTTCATTCAGATAAACTAACCAGGTGTTTTGGTATTTCAGATCAATAGCTGAATCGTTGACCAGAGGTCAGAATGTGGACCCAGAATCATTCGATAGTGTTACGATATACTTTAGTGATATTGTCGGCTTCACAACGATTTCCGCGGCTGGAACACCGATGGATGTTGTCTCCATGCTGAACAACCTGTATACGATGTTTGATAGCATCCTGGAAAAATTTGATGCATATAAAGTGGAGACAATTGGAGATGCTTACATGGTACTATATTTCGCACACTCAAAAGGTCACGAAAAAGATACAATGGTGTTTTCATTACGTATTAGGTTGCGAGCGGCCTTCCTGTGCGTAACGGTAATCGCCATGCCAGCGAGATTGCTCTGGTATCCTTGCAAATACGAAAGGATCTCGATACCTTTAAAATTCCTCATCAGCCAAACGATAAGTTACGATTGCGCATAGGACTGCACTCAGGTAATTGTATACGTACTGTATTCGAAGTCGAAAGAAATACTCGAAAAGCTGAATGGTTGGACAAAAAGCTGAATGGCCCTTCTTGTTTTGGAAAACATTCAGCGCTACTTATTATTGTGAACTTGTCAATGCATTAAAATGATTAGGCATTTCCTTAAAACGTCCATAATTTTTATTCTTTCGCTGGTGTTGGAAACTGCAACCTCGGTACCCTGCGTATGCTACTGATTTAATATACGTACTTTACATGAAGTTTTCTTTGATTCTGCAGGTGCATGCGTTGCCGGAATTGTCGGTTTGAAAATGCCAAGATACTGCTTGTATGTACAGATAGAATATACAAAACATGTACTCTAAATTGCACTTACTGCAAATTTACTGTGCGTTTTATATGCGTATATTTATCTACAGTATTCAAATAAAATTTTATCGTTCAGGGCTCGAATAAAGCAAACCACCGTGTTGTGACATTTACTTACTTACTACTTTGTGCGAAAACTATACAGCAACTTGTAGAGTACTTGTGCTGCAAATTCGGTTCTAACGTACATGATACATAAATTTTGCTTTCGTTAACAGATTTGGTGATACTGTTCAAATTGCGATGAAAATGGAGTCCAGCGGCGAACGTAAGCGTTTTATAAAACTTTTTCCACTAATGTTGTAAGCAATAACTTAAAACAAATTTTCAACGGCTTTGATATCATGCAGCCATGAAAATTCAAGTGACCCTTGCTGCTAAACAATTGTTGGACGATATTGGAGGATTCCAAATGCAGGAAAGAGATAGAACCGTAGAATTTAAGGTAACCCCATCCACGAAAAGCAACACCAGGCTTATTCATGAAGCATGTTGCATTGTTTAATAAATTTTATTGCAGGGAAACGAAATTCGCACATTCTGGTTGCTGTCGGCAAAGTAAATTGGCAACTGACTGTGACATCTGCCATATTCCTTGTTGATTCTTCCACAGAAATTAAGATAACGGAACCACAGCTTTGGATGCCTTTTCCTACAGTCTATCCATCGGAATTACTCTTTTCGCTTCTTAGTAGCTCCATATTTCCACGCATAACAACACTAAAATGTTATAGTTGACGATCGACTCATGTAAATATATCTTCGCTGCGATGCCGACCATCACACCGTCCATTTTTATTTGTGTCTCCCTCTCATAACATGCTTGCCATTATGGTCATTTCCGTATTGCCAGTTTTTATATGCAGTCGAAGTTGCATAATAAAATTCATATGGAATTAACTGGTCGTGTGCTCGTAGAGCAGCGCTATAGATTTACATAAATGGCATTATGCAATACTATGCATGCAACCGTTAAGTACATCGTAATAGCGTAATCCCAAATTCGTGATCAACGGGTGCTACACTAAAACCAGATTATCAAAATTGATGATAAAATGCTCGCAATTTGACTCGCTTCCAGGGCTGTAGTGGTTTTTGCTTCTGGCCAGGTAAGGCGATCGAAATGGCTTACCATAATCTAAAGTAAAACCAAACAAAAATTGAATTCAGATGTATGTGGATGTAGATGCCAGAACAGCAAGAATTCACAATTTTGCGCAACAAAAAATTTGCAAATTCGCAAAAATCTTTCGCAAAATGGGCATTAGAAGACTTCGAAAATGAGTAAATATTAATTCTAAATGTACTGTACAGAGTATGTACCTACAGATATACCTCAGAGGTGGTATCACTTCAGCTAACAATCGCTGAATATTTGTACTATCTGAACTACGTACTACGAGTAGATGTACGTAGATATATTCGTATGTATAAATTATTTAACAGTTTCCAGATTTGTGTTGGCTTTTTGGAATTGTAATACGTACTTCCTTCATTGTCTGTGGGCTGAAATCATTTAATTTCATTATGTCCCGCATGACGCGACTTCTTAACTGGATTTCCGCTTCTTTGATATTTGAGCCTTCAGCGGAACGGTACTGACCATGCTGATGATAAGGAGGCAGAGATGTGGCTCTTATTGCTGCTTGCTCCAGGAACGTTTTTGTGTTGTCAAAGGTATTTTCTCCGTCTTGTATGACCGGTATCCCACCAATTTTCTTTTCGATTTTTTTGTTCTCTGTCAGTAGCATTTGTTCAGGAATAGCCGCACTGCTTGTTTTGCTGAAATTAAATATGGCACCAATAGTGATCAGTATATAAGGACCCGAAAGCTATTTTCTCCACGAGACAAACCTGGATTTATGTCGCACTTTTTCGTCATAGCGGAGTCGTTCCACGTAGTTCGGAATGCGGCTGACATCGTGCGACGTTTCGGCAAGAAGCTTGTCATACAGTTTTAGTTCTTGCTGGCTGGATTCCAGGAAAAGGCCGCTTTTTATTTGCGTGAGATTATCGCGTGGCATAAAATGCGAACTGCGAAATTGCTTGCCGTTCCTGTTCCCAAAATAAGCCAAATAACTCTCCTGGGGCGAATGATTACTGTCGTTCACCGTGAAATCCACCAAGCGCTGCAGTGTTTTATCCAGGTGAACGGCATCATCTGCCTGGAAATTTCAACACACTTAATGATTAAATATACCTCTTCTATAGCGTTAGGTAACGAATTTTGATGATATAATGATAATACAGTTATATTTATATTTGAAAAATAATACACGACGCATTAGGTACGCAACGGGAATATTAATACTGCTAGTTCGTAGTTGCGTACGTTTTCATCTTTTTGGCTTCCATTAACCACTCCCGTCGATAAATAAATTTTACTGGATTTGGACATTTCGTCTACTGCTTTGCGCTCTTTAACAGCGGATGCAGTACGAGCACGCTTGTGACGCTTCGAAGTGGTCTGCAAATATAATGAAAAAAATACAGTGACCTTTCCATAATCTGAGAGGTACTACGGGGTTTTTCAGCATACAGCTGATAAAATTGTACTCACTTGCTTTAAAGGGAACTTTGGCAATTTGACAGATAAATGGCGCAGTCGGATATTTACCGGCTTTGACTGACTCTCATCCACGCGGCCAATCGTAAATGTCGAATTTAAGGACTTTTTTGTAACAATGGTCGTACGCACCGCGTTCACAGACTTCGGTTGGTTTCCGGAGGGATTTTTAGTGCTTTTACCAATCTTTAAGGGCTGTTCTTTTAGCGGCGTTTCTTCAATTTTTGCGACCAGCGTCTTACTTTGGTTTCGGACTGGCTTGCGAAGACCAGGTATTGTTTTGTTCTCCTTCTGTGCTGCTTCGTCCTGACTTTGTAATTGTTTTGCCCTGTCTGGACGTTGTAAAGTAGGCGGCTGCAGCTTTTGCTTTTGCGGCTGCTGTTTCATCAGTTGCGTCGTTTTGGCTTTCTTAATTATTTTTTCAGGATTTTGCCTTTCTTTGGTAGCAGTGCGGACTGGCTGCGTTGGATTTTTAACCAATACTTGTTCCGGGAAAGAGTCTTGCCGTTCTAGAAATTTTTTTGGATTCCTTTTAACAGTTTTCCTTGGACTTTCACTAACGCGTTTCTCTTTGGAGACAGTTCTAAACGGCTGTGTAATCGTTTTATTTTGTGCTTTCTCTCGTAGTGGAGCCGCGCTAGATTTCGTCGGTGCAGTTTTCCCGGCGGCAACGGTGTCCTTAATTTTCTTTTTCTCCGGTGTCTTTAAGGAAATTACACCTTTTCTGTCCTCTTTTTTCACAAGACGTTTAGGTTTTAATTGGGTCAACACGGGAATGACAACCGGCATTGAGGTCACTTTCGGGATCGTATTGACATATTGCTTTTCTGCGGCGTCATCTTTCTCAACCGAAGCATCCGACAGAGGACTGAGCGGACTAATCACGGTTGTTAGATTCAGTTGGGGAATGGAAAGACGCCGAGGAATTGGTACTTTTGTTGGCGACACGGCTTTCGAGCTGGGTGGCGAGTCCAAAGTATCATCTCGGACACTAAGTGGGGAGCTAATTAACCGCACTGACTGTGGCTCGTGATTACCACCGTTAACGTTGTCGCGACGAAGACTTCCGGGATCTGGAGAGGACAATACACTGGGTGGATTGTTTTTATTGGTGAAATCGAAGAAGCTATTCACGGGGCTACGGCTTTCTGCTCTGCCGTCGATAATCGAAAGGGGAGATACTGGACCACTGTTCGCCTTAACTTCTACGACAACAAAGCAGAAAATAAGAACAAAATGCCTATTGAAGCAGTATTATGAGCTGAATTATGACAATCGACGATAACAGCATGATGCATGGCACTGCATAAAAGAATTCGTAAAAGCATCGACAAAAATTAAAAAAATGGTATATACAGTGAATACACCTAGTAATTAAATCATGTACATGAATCGGTCGTTATTCAAATTAAAAACGAAATGGAAGTTCGAAGCGGAGATAAACCGTACAATCGTAAATGTTGGTATACAACTATACATCATAATTATTTTAACTATTTTGCCCGTCAACTGTATTGAACACAGCTACTATTCGTATGTAGATTTAAGGTATATGCAAAGATTATGAATAGCTCTATTGTTTAGGCAGTCCAGTCTGTCCAGACATACCTGAAACATCGTCGTCGTAGTTGGACAGCACTTCTTCCAAGTCAGATTTATCATCGTTTTCCTCCATGTCAAATGTAAACGAGAAGTGTATATGAGAAATGTTAAATGTATATTAGAAGTGTTAAAGGTATAATACACAAAACTGCTTTGAAAAATACCGAAAGTACCAATAAACAAAAATTACAGTCAGATTATGACACGTGAGGGAAGTGTTAGAAACCCCTGCTTTAGATTTTGAGGCTATAGTAAAGCACCTACGAAAGTGCGCGCATTCATAAGGATGTAGACGCCAAACTGTGTACGAGTGCCAACCAGCTCGGGAACATCTGCGATTGCCGACCTTCGGTACCTGAAGCGATGCACTAAAGCAGGTTATAATATATAACGGGCCGATGAGATGAAAAGAGGTAAATCGATATTGCTCACCTGTTTAAAATGCTAAAACGGGATCGGTCGTATGATGCTAGTTAAATACAAATGGATCACTTTTTGTAGGCCACCCAGGATCTGCTGATAAGGCCAACCGCCTACTGTCCTATTTCGTTAAATTTTGGCGTAGTTGTAACAATGCCATTAGGTTTATTTGGCTTATATCGTTGTATACATTACTGCTGTGATACTGATTACGGAGTGCATATTAATTATTATCGTTGTTCAGTGTAAAAATGGGATGACCAAACAAGCAACCTCGACCGGTATAACGCCGTTTGAAGACTTTGGCATATTATGATCAGTTCGCTTTACGTATAAGTATTGCACTATAGAATAAAATTTTGCTGTTGTACTCGTAATTGTAGAAAGGCTTTGACCTCAACGCTGCACGAACTGAAGAATTATTGTCTGGTGTGTAACAGTGCACAGAAGTGCGGCCCCTACATTTTTTTTTCAAAAATTACTATCCAGTGTCTATTGCTTACCTTATACTTTCCATTGATTCACCGATTACCGAATAAAAACCACGGAATGTTCACCGAGTATTTTTGTGCAGCATGTCTTACTACGCCAGACGTTCACTGACAATACTTTGAAATGTTGACTTGCAGAAAAATTCTGTAACTTTTTATCCTTTGTATAAAAATTCTGTAACTTTCTATCCACTTTACTGCTTGCGTTTGGTACTTGCAAGTTAAGTGCTCGAACGGAACGTAAAATTACTGTACAACAATAGGTTGACCTTTTGCACTGTTAATGGGTGCAAATGTACACCGCACGCGGGTTTTTGTACTCATATAATCACGCTCCGATTTTTAACAGACTATGTATACAGGAAACAATATCTGCACGAAATAGTAGAAAATTTTGTCCGTTATACAGAACAACTACGAAGAACCGCGCCTTTATTTCTTTGCATTTAGACAAGTTACACATGTACAGCAGGTACGTACATGTTTTCGTTTTCCTTTCCTTTATCCAGGCGCAAAGTGGACTGTCCGTCCGTCAACTGTCCGTTAAATTATATTGTCCGTCAACTGTCCATTAAATTATTATAGTACGTTTAATTTGAATGCAAGGTGAAATAAGATTGAACAAAAAAAATAGATAATTGAAACACTGAATTAGAATTATTGTTACTTTTGTAATACAGTGAATTGTATTTATTTGCCATTTTAATTTGGAAGATTAGTGATTGTACTGATAGTGGTAAGTTTCACTGGTAACCCTTGTTCAGGAAATTTTTGCGCCAGAGTAAGGGTACTGCTGAAACACAGAGCATGAAAATGTGATTTTATTCTTAAAACGTTCAATGACATGGCTAAAATTTATTTTGTATTTAAATTAACACATAATATGCAAGGAAACTGGTAAGAGTCCTTAACTTTGGTGATGTTTGCGATATTCATCATCAAATGCCGATCATAGATTTATGTTATCAATCGCTGATCAAAAGATATTCCCTAACGTATTTGGCTGGCCATTAGCGCTTTTACAGCACTGCCGTTTTGTGTGCGATACAATTAACATAATCGAAATTTTCCATCTCACGCTTTCTCAGTTTTTCGAAGTGAGAAGCATTGTAGTTGTATTGCAATCAATTATAGCTTTGCCTTAAGAATAAATTTTGTGTCATCGTGTAATACGAGTAATTTTAACTGTTTTGTCTGCAGGCACTGGCTGCAAACATGTCACAGCTAGCAACACCTTCATTAATCTTTATAATTTTATTGTACATTCTGCTCTTAACTATCGGAATATGGACGGCCAAAAAAATGACGCATTTACGGGCAGATGAACTATTGGTTAATGGCCGAAATTTAAATGCAGCTGTGGCTGCTATTGCAATCACCGGTGAGTGTTCTTTTGCACGGTCAAAAATCGTATAATCGTTAATATTTCACGGCGCGCAGTAGTGTCACATTAACGGGAGAATAAGCACAGCACACAATAATTACTATATTTATGCAGCGTTAATTTTATAGAATACTAAAAAGAGGAATTTAACTCCTAAGCAGCTTTGGTTTGTGCTCTTCAGTTTTTTTGATAAACGTACGTACTTAAGGCGATCACCTTTGTCTAAAACGTGGCGTGATCTGTATATGTAGCATCTGCGGTAGCCGGAAGATTTATATCCCAGATTGCCGAAACTGTTTACGATACGACTTCCATAAATGGTGGACTTATCTGGTGCCAGGAACCACTTGCAACAGCAATCAGCCTTTTGATTGGTACAATAAAGATTTACTATTATAGTTACCCCATTTCCTGTGCATATTCACTGCAATCCTTATGCATAAGAAACGCTGTATCAAGGGGATTTTAGGTGGTCTGCTTTTCGCTAGTCCAATGCGATCAAAAAATTATTTGACGGTTCTGGACCCTTGCTCGGAAAGATATGGAGCCATTATGGCAGGTGTGCTGTTCATTCCGCTGGCATTGTACGAGTTTGTTAGTATGGGAGCGTCACTGTCTTACTTTGGTAAATATGATTTTGTGGACGTACTTATTCGTAAGTATCACAATCTTTGAACGAGCATTTTATACTACAGGAGACATACTATTTCGCCACAGTTTTCTTAATATTGGACACGCACCTGTATTTTTCATCTGCGTGGGGGCTACTAGCGTTAGCATTACGTACTGCTTTCTCGGTGGGATAAGAAGTGTGGTTTACACTGACGTTGCCAAAGTTGCCATAATCTTTTGCGGTTTGGTAAGCACACCCACGTTATACCTTTAATGAACTAAAAGTTTTAATAAGTTTTAATTAGTAAGTTTTAATAAGTAAGTTTTAGTAAGTTTTAATATGTAACTACGGCCTTTACTTTTTGGTATAAAATATGGACATTCATTGCAGTTCGCAAATCAAGAAAATTATTTGATCTATATATGCATATACATACTGACTAGCAATTGATATTAAAAAATTGCATATTTTCAGTGGATATTTGCACCGTGCGCCTTGGCAAATTATAATTTTGTTCGCTGCATTCGCTTAACATTTGACCAATGGCTTGGACATTTACCGCCAGTATATGGAGGAGTATATTTCGATAATTACATTGTGGCGATAACCTGCGGATTAGTGTGTCAGAGTTATTTCCAGCGTATTCTTTCCGTACGCAATGCTAATCAGGCGCGCATAGCCAGCATGCTCGCCGCTGTACTCTGTATCCTGATCGCTGCACCTTCCGCATTAATTGGCGCTGTCGGCAAATCAACAGGTCGAGCTGTGGTCATATTGTAATAGTTTTTTGTCGCCTTATTGCACTGCATACGAATTACAACATAATATTATACTGAAAAATCTTTGAGCTTCCGTGCTGTGTATTCGAGCTTTAAAGTGCTTCTGTTTTGAATGTACACAGATTGGAATCGAACAGAAATCGGACATTCCCCGACTGATAAAGAGATACCGTTTATTTTTAATACCGTACTCCAGACTTTGACGCCGCCGGTAATTGCGTCGGTGGCCATTGGTGTTATTGCCGTTGCTACAATCAGCGCCTTTGACAATTCTTTGCTGTCCCTAAGTACCATGTTCGTATCCAACGTGCGACCGGCTTTTGTGCGGTCTTATGTAAGTAGGCAAATTGGAATTATGTAAAAAGCTTTAAATGCATGACATGCATGCATTTTACATTAAATTTTTGTATGGAGTTTTTTGTATAACACCGTTTAAAATTAATTTCATGCATTAGAAAATGTTATACATAATCATCTCTTTATCTGATTTTAACAGAAGTCTGAAAAGCAGCACATCCGGTGGTTCAAAGTCTGTGTAATCAACTGTGGAGTAATTGGCACCGCGTTAGGATGTGTGGTTTTGCCGTATCGCGGCATAAAATTACTTTTAACGGACATTATCAGTACGGCCGTATTCCCGCAGCTGGTCTGTGCTCTGTTCGTTCCGAAATGCAATGGTTATGGGTCGCTGTCAGCAATCGGACTAACAACAATAGCCCGCTTATTATTTGGTGAGCCATCTCTGTCCCGGCATCTGACAGTTGTTCGTCTGCCGCTTTACAACGCAGATCTGGATGTGCAGTTGTTTCCCTATCGGTCCGTATTACTACTGGTATCGTTAGCGTCAACCGTATTGTTTAGCAAACTGGCGACCTATGGCTTTGTTAAATCACGGAAAGTACCTATTCGATTTGACTTTCTACATGTTTTCGATCGTTCCGTTCCCGATTTACTATCGACTGTTAATTCGGTTCCGATGCGCGATCAGATTTTTGATTCACAAGAGTCGGTTGCAGCCGAAAGGACAAAACATCCCGCTTCAATTCAAATAAAAAACCAATCCGTTTGCGTTTGACCGTAATTCGTGCAATGTAATCAAGTCACACAGACGCATTACTTCGAAGAACTACAGAGTAGTGCATGGTAACAACCTGAACAAATAATACACTTTGTACAGTTTCGATTAAACAGAGTGCAATAAGTAAGACGAACAACAGTATTACTTTACTATCATATCTGTACATTATATTACAATCATACCATACCATATTTTTTAAACTATATGCTATGGTTTACCGTCTTACCATATATTTTTTTATTTTTTGCTTAACCGACACAATATTAACTACAAATCCAGAAAAAAAATCAAATTCCAGGATGCGGGCACTGAAGAATCCTTCGCGCATGTCGAGATGATGTAGAGGTGCAAACGGAAATGGTATCAGAATGCGTAAGCTTCTGTGCTGATTATTGGGACCTTGTCGTGCTTCATAATTTGACCTGAAAGTGCAAAAGATGTCAGTTTTCAGCCGTTAGCAACATTTGTAAATTCGAGCAAGACTTTCAACATTTACTTTAATGCCTATTTGACTTTCAGAATTTGTTTTGTTAAAATATTGAGTTTAACTGTAGGTATGAATTAAAGTTTTGTGTGCGAGTGTTGTACTCGTAATAAGATTTATATAACAGTATGTTAAGCGCTCCATTCCCATATATCGCTCCATTCCCATATATGTTCGTATGGTTTATCATTTTTGTGTGTGTTACCAAATTGTTTAGGCATATAATTTGCTTATGCTAAAGATTCTAAGCGTAATGACTTGCCAGCTTTAACAGGACCAGTCGAAAATAACAAATGATGCGAATTGTGGAGATCAAATTCCTGTTCCTGGACGATAAACTTTTTATCCAGATCAAGCGCACAATGGAGTACATCATCTTCCACTGTGGCTTCGGTAACATGAACCGGTGCTTGCTGCAACCAGAATACTGAAGTAAACACCACATTATTCATAGCAAAATTAAACCGACTATGCACTTAATTGTACAAAGATGAAACAATTTGTAGCAACGTTAACAGAGGGCGCAATTACCGGCAAACCTTGAATATTCAGATGTTCCGGATTATATGTCAACTGCGCTTCAGTAAACGTCCCATTTTGAATGCAGTGTATAACTGCATCGCGTCCCATGTTTTCGTCCTGTAATGAGTGCAGTAGTATACAGAATCACCATATTTAATGCAGCTTTATACACCTAAAAACAAAGTTTACCTCGGAGAATCCCAGTGCTAACCAACGATTTCTGTTCAAGTGACCTTTCGATCGCAGCTCCACGTGCACTAGACTGGCGGATAGTGTTGTCACCGCTGCCAACTGCTGGCACAGTCTCGGATCTGGTATACAGTCATGTGGCCTTCCAATACAATGTTTTCCATTACTCCCACAGCCTTTCGCCAGTTCTTGCAAACAGAACGTTCCTAGCAAACTATTGAGAACCAAACCAGTTATTATCAAGCCGTAATCCATAACTAGTGATTGTCAAATTGTTTGCGTTGTAATCCACATCAGTTAGGGAGAATATATGGCGACCTGTTAATGGGTTGACCTTTGCTCTTCATGCATTGTGTAACCATCCATAAGGGATCCAAAAACTGAAAAGATTCGGCACCTTTTATACAAATTATCGCTGTGGAGTATATCATGAATAACGATTTCTCCTATGCTCAGCGTGTTATTCGCATCTGAGCGGTCATTTCTTTAAAACTATTAAACTGCAGTGAAGGCCGTTTATTGTCATAAAACCATAGTCAACGTGCATTCACCGGAGAACAGTTACAGACTGTACAGTGCTATTGTGGGTGACAATAGTAATTCTATAGTACGTGCATAATCTATTGTATTATAATGACTAGCAGTGTATCCTCTAACACTCACAAAACAACAACATGGTGATTTTTTTAAAGGGAAACCAGAAATTTCTAACGACATCTACAGCGGTTATGCGAATGGATGATCGTTCAAGAGTCGGTACCGGTCACGCAAGTGAAGTACTGTTTGCATGTAAAGTACTACATACTGTAGTTTCATATGGAATCATTTCAAGCATTCGTACTGTGCTTCACATATACTTCATCTATACTAATCCAAAAACTCATCTCCCATACAACAGAATTTTTGCATAGATAATTAATAATTTATCAAGTGAATGCGGCCAAGGAGTCCGATTAAAAATTAGAGCTTGTTATGTGGGACGCAGCTCGAACTGAAGCTAATTGTAAGCTGCGCATTCAAAAGAAACAACGAGCATAATTTTTTTAACATTATACTGTAATGTTGTGATACTCCCCACTTTGCAGAATGCTCAATTCGCACATAGCTGTTAGCTAAATTATCATTTGTTTTTATTCACAAAATGCACATCAGCGAGCGCCACTCAGTAAATAAATTCAAATGAAGAATTTCTACATTTAACACGAGAAGCATTTAAAACACTCATACAGCACTCATATAGCACTACCACGCATAATCTCCAAATACCTAAATTTTATTATTTTTAAAATGCTTAAATGTGTTCCCTTCTTTATTTTTATATCGGAGCATTCTAAACAGTTTTATTTTATTAACAAACGAAACCCAGCTGACCCAGCCGCCGATAAGGGATAACACAGGACACTTTTGGAAATGTCAGTATCAGATGTTGTAAGATTTATGGAAGATAATAAGGAAGTCCTAATGAACAGAATTAATTGATAGCATGGTTAAAAGGTATTTCTGGAGCGATTTTCATCTGTTCGCATCATGTAATCCGCTTGTTTCTAAAATGTTTTTTGTGGTTGTAGCGTGAGCAATATCTTAATGGCATACGAATTACAGGCAAAAACAACTGCTACGATCGGAAATGATGTGTCAAAAATTACGGTTCTTGATTTTACAGGGATTTTGTTGTATACTTCGGGATGCTGTTGTACCGCCTTATCACCTTTTTGGTAATGCAATCAGATGGGTTGTACTGATGGTCAGTGAGTAGCTGTGTAATACGGTAAGCAATAGCGCTACTTAGTAGCTGATTTCTAATTTTGTCTTCGTTCTGTTTTATTCTATTAAATCTATTTCAACCGATGACGTAAATTTCGTTAACAGGCCAATGTAGCAATGGTATAATTATAATTTAATCCTTTCTGTCGTACAAACACCGTACCGTATTATAATACACCATTTCAAGTGCAACAGATTTGGTATGCGAACATACGCAACATTTGGCAGCTGATGACACAACACCAAACGATCGATCGTTACGTCATTGTTTTCCAAGAAGTAAACAACTTTAATATTGGCAAAATTGGATCAGAAGTAAATATTTGCGCAATGATTATGCTAGCTAGACTACAATGACGGAATAAAACATATCTTTCAGAATCTAAAACTTATGAGCCTTTTCCGAAATATGAGGAGCCTTATCGTGACGGGATATCGATCCTTTAAAACAAAAAAAGAAATTAAATAACAGGAGCATAATTTGTTTGAATTGTGCTGTTTACCGTCTTTGAGCGGTCCGGTAGCCAGAATGAGATGGTGATCTTGCACTAAATCGTAAACAGAATCGTCCTTTTGAGGATTCTTTAAGGTGAAGTGCTTCTTCAGCCTGACTATGCATTGCAAATGTCCATTCTCTAATTTGGCACTGTCCACTTGCAAAGGTGTTTGCTGAAAAAGGATGACTCATAGTATTTAATTACAAAATTATACTGGTGCAACCTGAACATATATTCTGCATTTTGCACAGCCACGCGACGAATGGTTTTGATACTAATAGATTATGCGCTGCCATACACAAAAAAATTCTTACATCGATGTCTTTCCATCCAGTGTTGAAGTGGCGATTCGGAACATTAAAGGTCAATTTAGCTTGCACTACGTTATGTTCGTCGTTAAAACAGTGCACAACGGCAGAGTTCGGCATCTGTCCACTCTGCAAAACCATGTACTTTCATTAGTCTGCTCTTTGAGAAATGACTTCTTGACACAAAATTGTATTAATTAAAATGTAATATTGATTATGCGAGAAAATCGCGATTCTTTAAATAAGTACTGAAACAGATTCCGATGCTTCCTTATTCACTAACTGCTACTATTGTCTTCCTATGGATTACGGTGTTAATTTCCAGTATCTAAATGTCACTTTTATGTTTGTACTCGTAATATTTACCAGCGAAAATCCCACTCCAATCCAACGGTTTGTAAAGTTTAGCTGCAGGTTCTCCTTGCTGGCAAACGCAGACAGATCGATCCACAAGGTATCGTTATCGTGGGAAGCAATTGTCGCCAGAACTTCACAGGTGTGGAAATCACTAGCCACGCAGCCTTTTTTCAGTCCATGACAAACCACATCCGGCTGTCCGCACTCATGGGCTTCGGTCCTATTAGTGTGTGTTGCATAGCTTAATGATGCCGCTATGGCTATCGTGATAAATGTTAAAATACAGTACATTTCTATCTGCTATACAACTAGAATTTCGTGGTATAAGGATGACCGCAAAAACCTCATGCAATTTATTTACTGAACAACGCGCTTGAAGCCAAATGTGCGAAAAAAGTAGCAAAAACAGTAATGTATATACAACGTCTGTCCACTGTCCTCGTGGATGACCTTTGGGCTCTCGTTAACGCTGTCGCTCGAGTGGGCTGTTCACGATGGTGTTCAGACGGTTATTTTATACGCCCCGGCAGCTGACATATTATGCACCGGCGGGCTCTCTTAACAATTTGTTGCCGTTTGTGAGGCCGCTGGCATATGCATAATTAAGATCTCGTTATACGATATCATGACCTGCATCACCGAGTGGCCCAGACAACAATGGGCAGACTGTTGATGCATCCTGCCTACACAACGGGACGAAAATAACACCGGCTTACGACACCGACAACCGATACCGGCGTCCGATGTTGCATTTATAAACAGGAAAATATGTATATTGTAGGTTGAAAAAATATCGGCGTAACAATATCTGGCAGCCAGCACAATAGCGATGTGTGTTCGGTTTTGTATTTTGATTATGATGATGTCAATGATATTTTGGAAGTCGTCGGAAGTTTTCGGCGGACGATATCCAATACAAGCGGAAATTAACTCAGTGCAGTGTATTCTAAAAAGTGGATTGTGTTTTTTGAAAAGGATTGTATTTTGGATTGTGTTTTTATATTTCTAATATGTTGAAGTCACTAAGCGATTCCTACATATGTATGTATGTGCATCATGTTCTGCATGGAAATATATGAGTTACCATCAAAATTGATGTTACCATTACCAAGCTTTCTATTTCAATTACAAAACTTCCGTGTACACGTCTAATTTTTTACAATTACGTAGCAGTTGTAATTCAGCAGGTTTATTTATTTCTTAAACGATATATTTTCCTTTTTGCTCCAGCGGTAAATTTATTTCATTGGTTGTAATTGGCTCCACTATACGATATATCTACCAGGGTCCGTGACATCATTCATTTGTGTGAAAACTCGTTTGTTTTCGCTACAAGTACAACACGCTGAATAAATCCGACTTTTCACAACACAATAATGTGCCTAACCATCTCAGTAGACTAATACTTAACAAGTTCTGGCCTTTATAATTAATTAATCTCTATAAAAAAACTAATTTCTATAAAAATAAATTATCACAGTTTTCCTTCTCCTACGTATATAAAACTAATCAGTTGGTAATGCAACAAAAAAGTGAACAAACATTTGTTTGAATTAGGAATTCAGGAAAAAACAACTTCTAGAAAAATGCACGTAAAAACATGATCGATAAAATGTCGCTGACTGTGATGGTATGATGCCGCCAACATAAGTTGCATTACAATTCTCCGGATTCGCTGTAAGGATCTTCCACTACTTGATCGAATATTTCCTGATAGGCAGAATTAAATTGCTGATAAGGGAGATCCAGGGACAGATATGTTTCCGCCGAATCATCTCCCACAATGTCTTGTAAATTTCTCTGCAATTTACTGAAGACTGGACGATTCGTGGGGACCAGATCCCAGCATTTCCGCATAACGTCATATCTGAAAAATATTTGGCATCTTAGGCCTTGTCCCGAATTCAAAGCAAATCTCGTTCTTGTACGGTTGCTCAACCGCACGAGGTGGCTGTATGCAGTGGCCACGCCTACAGATACGGTACGCGAAGCCACCTCGCGAGGTGGAGTTGCTGTATCGCAACGAGATTCGCTTTGAATTCGGGACGAGGCCTTATTGTACCTCAATATTCAAAGACTGAACTACCAGTAAAATTAGTTGCAGAATATTTACATCACTTCGGGGCAATATGGTGGACGAGACAACTGATAGCCGCTGGATAGTGTTTTTAGGAAATCCACAACATAACCGTGTATACCGCTATCGGCATAGGGTGTTTCTCCCAGAGTGAATATTTCCCATAACAGAACTCCGAATGACCACACATCGCTATACTGCGAGAATACTCGTCCTTTGATAGACTCCGGAGGCATCCATCTTACCGGTAGCGGAACCTAGGAAAATTATGAAATTACTAACTTTACATAAATAACTTGTGTGAAATACGGTATCGAATTAATTAAGACAGAAAGCAACTTTTTCGACCATAAATGCAACTAATTATTTGATGGTAGTAAATCTTTGTCGCTATCCGTCATTAGTGACGATTAAACAATGTCGTCATTAGTAACGATTCGAAAAAACTGGTCATAAAACAAGGTAAGCCTTGGTTGTAAACTTTTGTTGAAACAGGAGTATATTATACTCGTAATATAGAATCTGTGAGTAAATGATTAATAGCATACGAGTGTCGAACAGATGCAGTACATGTTATCATTGACATCAATGCACGCTTACAACAATGCAGTGCACGATGGTCGTTATGTTGAGGTTTTTAAAAAAAACTAAATTGTGTCGATATATGGCGACCATGCCTGTAATTACGAACAAACAACCGGTGCAATCATATATCGCCTCACGCTGACTGCTTTGCTTGTTCGATTGCCCGTAATTTTCATGGGAATGTAGGTTGACCCACCTGTTGATTATACACAACGTACTCGGCTTGTTGCCGGGCCATTCCAAAATCAGCAATTTTTATAATTCGTCCGTCCGTTATCAGGACATTTCGTGCCGCTAGATCACGGTGTATTATGGACCGGCTATTCAGATACTCCATGCCACGGCTAATTTGATAGGTAAACGACAGGAGATCACGCGTAGCCAGCAAAGTATTGTCGAAATTGTCTTCCGGAAATGTTTGCTTAGGCCCGGCCTTTTCGATGTTTTCTTGCAGTTTTTTCGCCTCAATACTGCTCCATTCCAGCAGCCGCCCAGCTGAATCAACATGGTTATAAAAATAAACTCCACGGTGCTGCTTGACATATTTTAACAATGAGCCATGTGTGCAAAACTCCAATAAGAGCAGTACATCTCCTAAAGAAAACACCACACTTGAGGGTTAAAAATTAAACTGCGAATCGTACAAAAATTTTATTGTGACATTTTCAGTATTTGTTGAATACCTTTTATGATGGCGCCCAAAAGATTGACAATGTTCAGATGTCTGCCGGCTTTGATCATCACTTTCATCTCTTCGAAGAGCTGCTTTATCTGGTCAACATCCTTGTCATTTTTGACACTTTTCACGGCGACAACGGTCGGGCGCGGTTGCCCGCGCAATCCTCTGGCTAAACCTTTTCGAACGACTCCATATTCACCGTTCCCCAAAACGAAGTTACCTGCAATAAAATCAAACCGATGAACTACAATACTGAATATTTACGTCCTTTCAGAACAAAATAAAAGTGACCCTGGTGCTAATTATTACGCTAAGCAATCAGATGATACATAACTACCCATATTTTGATAAAAATAAATAAGGCTATACAGTAAAATATTAAGAAAAATTCACATTTAATGTGGAAGAGACCACAGTTCGAATTACGTACTAATCTGTAGATCAGCTGAGGGGATCTCCAGCAAACTAACGTAATGCTGCATAGCGGAGTTAGCTGTATCATCCCCAGTTAGCATATATATCCGGTATGCCGAACTGGACAGCGAATCGGTCAACGTGATAATGGATTCCTTGCGCATATCACCGTGCCGCCACTGTCGTCGCCGCCAGTAGATACACAATACAACAGCAATTATTACTGCGGCTAGTGGTAGTAGAGTTCCCAAAACCGCCGCTAAAATTGTTCGTGAATTATCATTTTTCACGGACCCTTCGGTAGCAATCATACTGGGAGTTTGCCGTACAACGACCCAGTCAATAAAAAAGCGCGTAGGGAATATTGTGGTGTCAGCCGGTGGTCCCGGAAACATCCCACCCACCGCCACATTCATCACAATCTGCATCTTATCGGTGGGAATCTGAGCTCTCTCGGAAACGGAGAAGATCTCTTGATTGTCGAAGTACCAAACCATTTTCTCTTTGGTCCACAGTAATTTGTACAAGTGATAATCTTCCGTAATATCCATCGGGCTCGAGTAAGTGTTACTGGCAGATTGTGTTGTTGGTTGACCTTGGTCACTGAAAGTTTAACAGCGAAATATGCGTGTGTTACATAATATATACAGAGCGACTGTGCTATATGTAAAGATAAAGAACTAACGATTAATTTATGTTATTGTTAATTTTGCAAACAGAATCAAATCAGAAATCGCGCAAAGTATTAAGCAATTACATTAAGTAACGCTTACCGCCTTTAGTCAATTCTGAATAGTAATCGGGGAAAAATAAATTTTCACGTTCTGTACAACAAATTTTTTAAATATTGTGTTAATAATGTTGTATTGTTGTAAATTAATGAAATATTATTTACTTCTTTAGGGTGTAGTAATCCGAGGTGTAGATATTGTATGTTTGGTCACCGCGCGCATCGATCACACTGACTGCCGGTGGCCAGTGACTGCACACGGTGGCCGCTGGGCACTCAAAGTGACTCAGCCACAATGCTGTCCATACACCTTTTCCTTTCGGGACCTTGGCGCGCCACTCAATCTCTCCATATAAGAAGTTGAACGCTTTTCCCGTATCCACGCGGCCGGATGTGTAATTGGCGGTAGTCGTGTTTCCGCGTTCCATTAGTTTCTGCTTCGTCATAATTTCCAGGAATCCGTTGTTGACAGCAACATTCTCCGGGATGTAGTATTGCAGTTCCTGATTGACTTGGCTCTTCTGGTTGGTTGGTGTCCATTTGGACAAGTTCAGCGCGGGTCCATCGAAATCATCACGAAAAACATCATATTCGGTGCTATTAGAAGGATCCGCTGGATCAGTATGTACATGACAGATTTTGATAAACAGAATTATAAAACACCACCGATACATAGCGTGCAGCCCCATAATATGCAGGGAAAAGTTCTAGACTTCACTTGTGCCAATACTGTACATTTGTCGCGCATGCTAGCACATGTTGTTGTTTATAAGATTTTCGAAACAGTTACCGGTATGTTACCTGTTGAAATACGGCAGTACAGAAATAACATTATGCACCGCATAAGCACAAAGAATTTTCAGCTGATTGTATACCTTTAGGCTTTAGGGAACGATGCCGACGACGTGTGCGTCTATAGAACGTCATTCGTCTGACGCATTGCAGCGCAGTCATTTTGCAAAAATTACCAGTAGAAATTACCAGTAGAAAATGCTCATTGCGTTTTAGCTAACCATAAGTCAACAACTGCTACAATCCCATTTCCAGTTTAACCGGCTGCCCGGTATGAATAAATATACATATAAACAATGTTTATAAGCGGATGAGCGGTCACGATCAACAGGCACTGACTTAAAAACGTGCAATCACTAGGCTAGAAGTGTACGTACATTAATTGATCATGGATTTGGGGAAAACAATATAGATATCAATATTATGCTGGACTTGTCTGTAAAGGAAAAACTAACCGATCATAAAATGCAGCTTCATACTCAGTTACCGTACCCCTGTATCTGCAATTTCTTGGGCAATTATTGTATGATTTTCTACATCCACTTGCTGCAAATCGAAACAATTTCAAAATCCCGCGGTCACAATTGTCACATAAGCCGATTGTTGCTGGCAACAGGGTTTACCTTTATAATTAAACAGACAGATTTAAAAACTATTGAACGTCGTTAATCGGCAACAGATTTTTAACTGATTTCATGACTGGAAACTGGCAAGGATTACTGGGCATAAGGCAAGGATTACTGGGCATAGCGCCGGTAGATAAGTAACGAGAATGGTCCAAATCAGTTCTAAAAATCCGAGCCCTCTGCATTGTTTTTACTGTTGATGTTGGTATCTCCAGTACACATGCACAAAGCTGTTTGATGAATTAGTGAACAATGCAAACATCATTAATATTATCCAACTGCCGCAAAAGGCCTGGTCATGAAATACGTTTTGGTCCAAGTTTATTCCCGGTGATCTTGTTCACTGGACGAATGCCGAATTCCCGCGTCAGATATCAATATTGATTCACTGGCGCAAATATTCTGTCACCCGCACTTTGTCAGATTCTTGTTTTATTCTTTCCAAATTACGTGATCAGGCTTACACCTTTCGGTCCAAACATTCGGATTCGCTTTGCTGTCGAACACCTGTTTTGTAGATATCTTTAAAGCCAAACGCTATTGCGGTTTAATAAGTAGGAGAAAATCAAACTCCACAGATCAAGGGGGCAGCAAAACCGTCAGCGCGCTGTACGTCAGGTTTACTAACTGAAGCTTTAATAAACCGGAAAATATCCACCTGCATGTATTAAAACACAAGACTGTAATGCAAGCAACTGTGATACAACTGCCCAGATGAAAATTTAAGAATTTTTCACCGGAAGTTAAAATGATTCTGAAGGCAAACACATGTTTCTAAGTTTGTGTTTAAAATTTCAACGTGAATAGGTTTAAGAACATATGCGGTATCAGCAAAAATTCGTACGTTTCGATCGTTGCCTAATTTGCTGCTGCGCGGAGTATCAACAGCCAGAGGGTAACCTTTAGGGAGCTTTACAGATGATTATCGTAAGTATCTGTATATATAAACGATGCCGGAGAAAGCCTGCTAATGCTCAAACTTAACCATATTAAAGCCATTGCAAAACAAAGACTACCCACAGAACATACTTAATTATATTACGAAGTTCAAAGCAAAAACTAATGTTGCACACCTCAGGTCGCATCGGCGAAATTGCCACCAAAAATACATAAATTTGGATGGATGGATTGATTTTTAAAAAAATTTGGATGTCTCTAGTCTCTAAGCTTCCAACAGGGCTTGGTTTTAATTGATGTAGGAATGCTGATGGGCAAAGGTCAAATATTGGTTTTGGTCTGAAATATTGCTGTATAAAATCGAGCCCTTTGCTTATTATGCGTTTATTCAAACTTAAACCAGTCATCAAAATTACCGTAATATAATTAAAACATGGCTGAAGTAATGTTATTCAAATTACAAAATTTTACCATGCGGAGAACACCGGAATGTTGTACATTATATGTTTTTGTTGTTATGTATTTACAACGTAGTGTTATTATAATGGTCATACGCTGATTCACGTCAAACGCTTTAGGCACAGCTAAAGTGAGATTATTTACACCAAAATTCTACGGATCTGTCTTGAGTTTTGCCTGTGGTAAAGAACTAGCAAGGTTCTTACATGGATATATAACGTAGTCATCGTTATACTCCGAAAATAAACTACTTACATATTGCTATTATATGCTCTGAATTCTCACTAATGCATCCGTTAATTATGACCAAGACTCATTTTAAACAATCCTGTACCTTCGAGGTAAACCATATTATGATTACTATCGATGAGTAGCAATTGATTTCGTCGACACGAGAGCTTCTAAAGGCATTTTATTGTTATCACTTGCCAATAAACGATGGCTTCTTCTGATCCCGGCTGCAACTGGGATGGTGTGTTTGGCATAACAAATGGAACGGCAGCACCGGACGATACAGCACAGACTAATCCCAGTCATTACGTGTATTTAATTGGATATCCTATTCTGCTGTGTTGCTGCACAATGGGGAGTTTATTGATAGTGGCTGCATTACTAAAAGATTCCATTAAGACATCTTCGACCGTTTATTTAATTTGTTTGGCTGTTAGTGACTTATGTGTTCTGTAAGTAACTTCCAAATTCACTTATTTTACGATGAAATAAAATCACATAATTATTATTAATTTTAATTTTATACTGAAAATTTTATGCGCGCTCTTACTTTGCTGCACAGGAAACAGTTCGCATCCGTGCACTAGTATTTATAGAATCCATTTTTCAATGTTAATTTTTGCATCTACATGTACATGTACGTTCGATGCAGCATATGATTGATATGAATATAATTATACTATAATTATTGTACGAGTATATGTACCTCGAATAGGCTATGTGACTGCAACAGTCGGGCTGTTTAATTAACAGATGGTCCATTCTCCCGGATTACATTGTCGAAGCGCAAGCGAATCTTGGGATGCTGAACGAAAACAGCTCCATTGTGCACGATTCCATATATTACAAAGGTTTTGGCTCATTTTGGGGCGAAACAGCAACACAGTTCTCCGACTGGTAAACTGCACATCTGTGTTTTCACTGCGCACAATAAATACTCCCTCACGCACCGAATTTACAGGACACTCATAATTTTCGCTGTCGAACGCTTAGTGGTTTCCCTAAGACCACTTCGTAGAAGAACGGTTCCCGACGGATTTCGCAAAGCCATTATTGTGCAGGCCGTAGTCCTGTTTCTGGCGATACTCTTTTCTCTCAGTTATCTCGTGTGGTACTATTACTACATGTCGGTGGCTGATACGTGCCTGGCTCCTACACTTCCGGATGTTCTCCAGCTTTGTGCACCGGCTTTATACCGCTGGTATTTGTTGCAGACGGATGCTGAGGTACGCAAAAGAACGTTAACAACCGAAAGAAAACGAATTTCATTGATATCCTTATTGCGACCAATGCGGCGGATTACTTTTTCACCCGTATAGAAGACTTGCAAAACGTCTGTTCAATTTCCCATTGCTTGCTGGCAGCAGCAGTACCGAAATTCATTTATATTATTGTACCTACTCAGTGCTCGTTGGAAATTCTAAACCCGGACTTGTAAATGTAAAAGTACAGATACACACCTAAAAAATAAATATCTATAAAATATATACATATATATGTATTTGCTGGATTATTTCAGATGGGAATGTGGATAGCCAAGTGGATATTATTACTGATATTCGATGTCAGCTTGATGGCTGTTCTGTGGCTGCACTGGAACGCAATGCGTCGACACTATCCAGGATTGCCGGTCACTGCAGCGCCGATGACGACGACCACCAACGCCAACGCCACGGTCCCACGCAATGCCAGCATCATCCTGGCTGGGAGTCTGACACTGTACACGGTGTCGCAGTTGCCCCTTGTCATCCTCACCTGTCTGAAGATCGCCCGTCGGCCACCGTATTGCTCGTACAATTTGACGCCGGATGCCGAAAACCGCGCCACGCCGGTGGTAAATATTATTAGCTGGAGTAACTACTGTATGTCGTTCTTTGTCTACTGTCTGGTCAGCTCCAAATTCCGCCGACAGTTTCGCAGTCTGTACAGGAGGACATCAGAGCAGGCCTCGTATTCTGCATCATCCAAGAGGATGTCGGCAGCAACGGAAATCATCGTTCTTGATACAACCCGAAGAGACTCCAACGAGCGTTTTAACCGGATAATGAGCAAACTTTGATGGGCATCGATTGTAATCTTGCTAACTGCACAATGTTTTACAGTATTATGACTGTAAAATCGGCATAAACAGCCCGTTAACGGAACAGGAATAAATAAGCATTCGGGCGCCTCTCCACCAAAACATGCAAAACAACTTATATAACATTCGCAACCGCAACTGTCTGCGATCCGCTAGTCGAACGCGCGATACCATAAATAAAAATGCAGTTCTTATTAATTGTTCACTGTTTATTGCTGGATTTTTACTGATACGTATTCCGTTATCAATTGAATGAATATTTTAGAGTTAAGTATTTTATGTCGTGGGAAGGTGTTAAATGCTTTTATGGTGACAGATATGATTAATAGCAGCGGTCATCGCACCGTCCGATGTCTGAAAGACCGCTGGAGAAATAGGCGATTGCGAAATGTTGGGTTAGTCACGATCCATCCGCGACCAGACTATCCCCAAAAAAAATCTATGAGAACATGCGCTATACTACTAGTCCAGTACTTCGTCTTGAGTTGTCTGTGCGCCGAAAGAATTATTTGTACTACGCACTTGTGGTTCCTTTTCGACTTAACATTAGCTGACGTCCGCGATAGCAAACAATTTACCTATTTTAAAAGCACGGCGGTTCAACACAAAAAAAAAACAGAATCTGGCGAGCACAAAGGTCACAGTAAAAACTGCCAGTGGCCTTTGTTATCGGTGAGATTGTCAAAATATTGATCCAGATTGTTTTGTAATTTGCTTTTTAAATTCCTAGCCCCGTTGTGCCTGGATGCTTGTTAGGGCGATAAATAACTGCAGGTACGAGGTTCCGAATCAATTAAGACTTTAACGTACCCAGCTAAACCAGGGAGCTCGAGCGCAGGTACGACTGATATTGTACATATAGCTTTGTACGACTATATATTTCCATTTAGCTTTCGGTTTTACAGTTGAAGAGATATCAGCTGACGTAAATTTGTTTGAATCAAAACTTATACGAAAAACGGTACTTAAAAAACAATAAAGCAGACCGTTTTAACAAGACCGGTTTTGTTTTCTTTTGATTATTCCACACGGCTCAAGCATTGCCCGCGGGATAGGTATGCACAATGCATAGCATAGCTGACTACAGTAAGGCCTAACGCACGACAAAAGATAGTGTGATTCACATAAAATCCACAAATAATTTCCCCTTAGACGAATGCTGTTTCTCCGGGTCCTTCTGTATATAAAAGTTTTAACGTGTACGATGCATTAGTAAATCAACAATGCAGAAATAAATTTTCTGTTTCGTATTCAAGAAAACGACATAATTTGGATAACGATCTTATAATCATATTGGAACACGACATATAGTCCCATCACAGCCATGACTGACAACGAAACCTTGACCCCAACGTTAACGGTTAACAATGGTGGATGCGATTGGGATACAGCCTTGGGTGTTAATACCACGTTCGAGAATGTGGAGAACAATTCCACAATCTATGTTTATTTGGTATTGTACCCGGTTCTGTTGTTCTGCTGTACGGTGGGCAGCAGTCTGACAATCGCTGCATTGGTGAAAGACCCCAGCAGTCGCCGAACTTCAACCGCCGTTTACATGATTTGCTCTGCTTGTGGAAATTTATGTATATTGTAAGTGATAGAATATTTGAGCATATGTAATTGTACGTACTGTAGTAAGCAGTTATCAATCAGAAATTTCAGTGCAGTAAATAATTACCTTGATTGAAATTCTATAAAGTACTTTTGCAGATGGTCAGCATTACCCGATTATATTACATCAGCAAAATCTTCCCTTGGCATTGACGAGAACGATGATAACAGCACTAGTAGCGCAGATCTTTTGGCGTTGCTGCAATATAAAGGTTTTGGCGTTTTTTGGAATGAAACGTCCATTCAGTTTGTAGACTGGTAAGGAATTTTCCACGTTTATAGCATCAAAGTTCATGATTTACTGTCTTTTGGAACAAAATATTACTCATAATTCTGCAATCTGCCCTTTGCAGGACGTTAATAGTATTCTCTGTCGAGCGGCTGCTGGTTACACTGCGCCCTTTGTCCGCTATGGCCCGAACAGCTTCCACAGCGTGGCAGAAAACAATCATAAAAGAATTGATTGTTCTTCTTTTGGCCTGCTTGTTTTCCTTATCCTGGTTGTGCACGTACTATTATTGGTTACCATTATCGGCGACATCACTATTAACTTTCCAGGAGCTCCTGACACCGCCATTACGACGTTGGTACACTGTGCAGAACGATGCTGAAGTAAGTTTTACTAACATCTAGCAAATACAACATTAAGAATCAAAATGAACAGCTTATATACTATATAATATACACACTTTCGCACAGCACAGTTTATACAAGTACTACGATACTATGTAAAAATACTGTATTACGAATACTTGTGTTATTTTGTGTTGAAATTATTGTGTTGTACGGAATCGTTTTCATATTTGCTGCATCATAACTCACGATCAATAAAACTATTCAATAAAACTACTCCCTAGGGTACCTACTCTAGAGTAGCATGCATACCTATTAGAATAAACCGCCCATATTTTGAAATTTGAACCGATGAAGAATGCACATACGTTGTACATATTGACTTCAGCAAAGCAATTTCCCCATAACATAGTGATTTCTGCAATAATATAAGTGACATTCAACCTGAATGATATGTTCAGAAGTAAATTCAACGGTATTCGGATTTTTAGAATGATTCAGCTTTCTGTGCAAATATAGGTGGGGATGTGGATAGCCAAGTGGCTAGCTCTCTCGTTTCTGAGTGCGGCCCTTATTTTCGTTCTCTGGAAGCACCGAAAAGCCATCTCAAAGTCGGTCGCTCAGAAAAAGGACAACCGCGCCCGCAATGCCAACTTAATCGTCATCGGAAGCCTTACACTGTACATGGTGACCCAACTGCCGTATGTTTTGTTGACCTGCTTGAAAATTGCCAGATCGCCACCATACTGTACTTTACGTATGACCAACGCCCAGGATAGCAAGGCCAGATCAGTTGTCAACGTAGTCAGCTGGAGCAACTATTCCGTCAGCTTTTTTGTGTATTATCTGTCGAGTGCGAAGTTCCGCGAACAGGTGAAAAGCATGTTCACCGGTGTAAGGAACGGGAAGCAGCATCGAAATAAAGGGGGCATGCATCCGACCCAGAGCAGAGTCCAGTTGACAATGCAAACACTGAGTCCAAAAAATAGCAGTTCGTCCGATGATACAGAGATCGCTGTGGAGAAGTCCGAGGATGACCAAATAGAAGAAATTAAAGCCATGACCGAGATCGACTTGCGAAGACGAAAATCTATTCTACAAGCAGCTAGTATTCATCTGTCCGAGGAAGAGCGGACGTCAGAAGAAATCAGCACCATGGCGGAAATAGATTTGCGAAGGCGGAAATCCATTCTGCAAGCTACAACTGTTCATTTGTAGCCCGATATGTGTCTGTATGTTCGCTTCTGTTCCTTTATATGGCCAATGTTCTGCATAGGGATAGCGGAGCATTACACGGCTCCAATATCATATTATTCCGACCATGTGATAAATTGGCAGTTGATGGCCAGTCCACTTTTATTTCTCGTCACACGTGCTTTCAATGATTTTGTAATACTCGTACTTTTGTTTTCCTGCACCTGCAGGCTTAACAGTCAATTTCTGGCTGTTAAATCGGAAGATAAATTTACAAATCCCGGCGTTACAAATCAAGTGTTAGCAGTTAAGTTAGCTTGTGAATTGATTTCCAATCTTCAGTAAATTTCATACTCCGATTAAGTATTACAATGCTCCATACCCAATCAAACACAGCAATCAAATGCAACAGTGTCACAGCATATAGGTAACCATGTAAACATTAAAACAAATTCATTCGAAAAGTCCATTTCCAAAACGCTGAAAGCAGGCATCAAGCACCGTCAATCCAACTAACTCATCTGTTTTCCAAGAAAATTCTGCAAAAGGATAAAACCAATAAATGTAGCAGCTCGCAGGAAACCAGTTCAAGCCTTGTCCAAAAAGCGGAAAAGCTATGAAAACTGTGACATCAAATATTTCACCCCAAGCAATTCTGAAAGATCACATCGGCGACTAAATTCATAATAAAACTACATGTCTACAAATTACACTGGAAAATTTTGAAAGAAAAGCAGAAAGACCTGTAGGCATGCAGTATATAATCGGATAATTCTTATTAAGAGATACAAACACGCCGCCTGTCAACACACTAAAAATTTACGAATTGTTCCATCAATATCTTTATTCATAATTACGCGGAATCCTCCGTATTTCAAGGTTAAACGCGACAAAATACACGGAAAAGTGCCGCTCACCGTTTTGAACGTCTCAACTCCGCGAATAAAAGCATCTGCTTCCTGACTGCAATTCAGCGTTCGCGTGGTGTTCTGCTTGTAGCATTCCATTACTGCTTGCTGCAGGTCACTACTTATAACGTTCTGCGATTTTGTCCTGTTGAAGAGAATGGTTAGAGTCAGCGCAGCATGCAGATACATTTAGTTTTTCCCCATTAAATTTAAGATTACAGTGTGCACTTACGCAAACATGGACTCTACATTCTTCAAAGATCGATGAAGCTCTTCTCCAGAAGTTTTTCTCACATGCTCTGACTAAAACATGTGGCCAATTATGATTTACATAGAAGTATGTATCATAATATCAGGAGACTGACCAACATATATGTACATTTACAGGCGTTCAAACCACGTAACTTCATCTGGCGGTTAAGTATTAACGCTTTTGTTTCTGTTTTAACAGCGCAGCGCTCATACGCACTGGTACTATCGTCGGGACGTAATATTAATTTTATATTAAATACATACTCTGTATTTGCCAGATGATTCGACAAGAAAATGCTAATAGGTAACTCCGATGCAACAGTTATTTAATACTGAAAACTGAAAAGTGCAGCAAAAAATCACTGTCCTGAATTCCTAATCCAAATCAAAATCATGATTTATTTCATACAATACACGTTGCATCAAAATTATTTCATAAGTTGCATCGAAATTCATGCAACACGCAAGCAATTACGGCATACACTGGCAGATTGTGTATTACACCTATTCCCGTATTCTGGTATCGGGTGCGCAAAACGAGAACGTATACGTACTGGCTACCTTGTGACACTCCGCAATTGCCCAATAAAATCTACTTAATTTAACGCAAAACAAAAGCTAAGTAGTCTAGTTTCGAACAAAAGACTATAACTTACATCGGTTTCCAATCGCTTATATCGCTCTTGCCAGTCGTCTTCCAATTGGCGCAACATCTGGTTATAATCACCCTGCATCCGTTCTTGCATCAGACCCTGCGCAATAAATCCCCTCTGCTCTCCGGAAGGTTGGTCTGTATTCCACACCATGCCATCACTCTGCATCCCACTCGATGACGCCGCGGTTCGCGTGGTGGTGTCATTCTTCGTTTTCCCGCTGGAAGAACTCGTTTCTGGCGCTTGTGAGTGTGATGGTTCGCCATGCTGTTTGCTGTGTGATGGCGCTTCACCCGACCGCAAGCGCTTCGCAACGCTGTCTGAAATCTGAATAACGGATAACCAGTTGAGTGCTGCGGAACAAGACGCATAAAAATAACACGTAAAAGCCAAATTCAAGATGACTGATGACCAATTCCACAATCAACAGTAACACTCAACTTCAGCATACCGCGATCACTCCAGCTTGTTCGCGCTCGAAGGTAACTCGTCTGGTGGCTGTCGGCTGATTCCCCATTACAAGAGGTGTATAGGAGCTCAAAGTAAATCATACAACCTAGGTTACTCCGAAAATTGTTCAGTTTCTTTAACTGCACTAGTTTTTTTCAGCAAAATGTCGTCGAGATCAAAAAGGGCCATACGTGATAGGAGCAAAAGCTATAAGCTAAAGTTTTGCAACCCATCATCTGCCTAGGTGCCTGCACCCTCTCCCGAAGGCGGCTGCAACATTACACAAAATAAATAAACGTAAACCGTAAATCGTAAAATTTTTTCGTGAAGTATCAAGTCACAAAAATGCATTACCTAAATTGTTTTTCAGTTTTGCCAGCGACTTTCGCAGTCTGTGGCCCTGGTTTTGCTGTGGCCGCATAATGGCACTCAGTGCTGTCTGATATTGATTTCGAATTGTAAATTGTACTTATAACAATGCATTCTTATGGAACAGGATTTCGTTTCCTGGAGGTCTCCCAGGAATCTCTTCCGAAATACGAAAATTTTATCATAGATTCTCTGCGGAAAGCTACCGCAGTAGGTTTCACTGTGCATTCACCAATATCACCAAGTACTACCAGTCAGCTTGGAGATGAAACACTGGAAGAGTGGTATGCGCGTAACAAGACCGCTGCCTTACATGAAGAAATCATTAGCGTTGGGCTGGCAGCTGCACATTGCTCCGAAGACAACATCGACGCAACTACCGGCGAACCGACAAAAATCGTGTTCCAGAACTTCAACTTGACCACTTGCACAATGGCGCCCAGTAAGGTGCGACGCGAAGACATGCTGCGGATGCTGGATCTTGGATACGATTATAACTATATAGCTGGCGCTGGCATTCCGTATTACCGAGGACGCGATGATACCATTAACCAGTCAGAAATCTCGCAGAAGATTCGGAAAGTCTTCATGGGTGTGCACGGATCCGGTGACGGGTGCCATCCAGTTATCGTTCGGAATGGTCTTTCAGGTACTGTGCGATTATTGTGCATCCACTGGTATCTTGGGTGCATTGCTTTCGATGAAGTAAAGATTCGAAAAATGAAAATCATAAAAGTTTTCATTTATTGTGAATCATCTTCGTGATAGGTCGTTGTAATTTCGTTTGCGATGTGCATCGTATTTTGTATTCCGACCTATACGTATACGAATACGTCGACATTTTTTCCATTCCGGCCATTTTCACAATTAGGACTGTCAAATATCAGCAGCCCGCTTGTATCTGCGGCACGACTGATGCGCACGTATCGGTTTCTCATCTTTCCGCTATGACTAAGAGAAAAAAATTGAAACATGTTCCCACCACTGATAACGGATACACTCGTAGAAATAAACACCAAATCTGACAGCACCGTGAATTCTGCAATAAATCTGCCTTCAGTGCCATTCACTACCATGGACAACGCAACACAACAAGCGCTAACTTATTAAGAAAAATTAATTTTTTCTTCTTTTTTCTTCATGTGTAATAAATTTGCTAATTAGGTGTTAAAAAAACCAGGTGCGAAATTACTAATTAGGGGCAGATTCGCTAATTACAGTAATTTGGTGTTATATGTGCTAATTAGGTGTGAATGACTCTAGTTAGTTCATCAGATTTTCGCTCAATCACTAATTATTAAGTTAATTAATTAAACCTTATTATCTTAAAACCTTAATGACGAACTGCAGTAAGTACAGCGTAATTACATACAGTTTAATGCAGCCTGGATCATTACGAACGTTTATTAGCAGCGCAGAATAATTTTGAAGAGTTGACAAGCGGTCATGAATGTGAGCGCGAATTATGAAACCGAGCTCAACAGCTCGGTTTTCTAATTCAGCAACTGATTCTCCATCTGACCAATGCGCGCGGCGTTATCAGTGAATCTGTCTGACTCACAAATCAGTGCGTGAGTCGTTGCGCACTCGAGAGTTTCGACCTAGATACAATTCGCATCAGAGTCCCAATCCGTGGCATATTTGACAGCAACTATTAATATGGATTCACAATTTCACATGCCAGATACCAGAGTAGCGGTATTCTCTGCGCTTTTCAGCCTTTTCCACATTGAAAACCTTAATAATTATTTAATAATTTCGTTTACAAGCTTACATAAAAATAGACAATATTATCATGTAATAAATTTTTTGAAAGTTTTATCATGTAATAAAGTTTTGGAAGTTTTTGTCACGTGGAACAACGCAAAGAATACCGTATCTCTGGCGTCCGGTTTGCGAATCCATATTGTGAAAATGTCCGGAAAATATCCATAATACGTAGAAGTACGCGAGCAGCGTTGCACAATTAAATTTGGAAAATAAGTACTCTACATACATGTGAAAATCGGTAATACCTGTATGTAGTAAACAGTAACGTATTTCCGGGTAGCCCAGTTATGCAGAATTAAACAGCAATTTTTATTTTCAGACCTTTTAATGGCTATGTCGGCCTTCGTGGGAATACTGAGTGATACGGCCAAAGAGCATCTTCAACGCATTCATGATTTGTTCCCAGGAAAAGTTTATGATGCTGCACTACTGTCGGACCAAAGTGCTTTATCCTGGGATGGACTGCCTTTTCGTTGCGATTTTTCACTGGACGGCGCTGATGACTGTGATGTTTTTTCTCTGTCACATGATGTGGGCGAACGCACTGTGCAAACCAAAGCTCCCAATACGAAACATCCGGCAGCGCTGGATGCTTTTGAAAATCTCATGGCCTTCCTTCATTGTCTTTCAGCGAAGAAGGGAATAAAGCGTTTGTTAAAAAGCACTGCTGCTTCTCCTGTAATGGAAATGAATGAGTTCGAAAACAGGATTTCTTGTCCGGGAATGAAAATGCCGGTACTGGTTGAACCCATTCCAACTTCGCGATTTGCAAGCTCGAAACGCAAGCGTGCAAACTTCGATTTTACCATACCTCTGTCGGATGTTGTCACAGATAAACGGCATAATCCTGGTTGTTAACTAACTTTGATGTGGTGATACAGAATTAAGTAGATAATCCTGACTGACATACGGTTAATTGTGATGGAATTGAACTTTATTTCGCTACTTGTTTGCTATTAAAAAGTAAGTGTTAAGTGCACATTGCCGACCGCTGGCTACTCTAGCACTTTGCTGATAAGTCTCTCGTTGTATCGTAAATTCGTACATAGTATGGCAAAATGCGAAGTTACTGCACTTGATGGCTAATTTTTATTAAAAACTTAGAATCATTTTGGCACCACAATGCCACCAGCCGATGAAAAAATTTACAGCGGGTATCTTATTGACCTTTAACTTTCTGTTTCCAGCAGATGCATAAAAATGTCAAAATGTGCTACCCATAAAAACACATGGAACAATTTACGTATACATATTTACACATGTTGATATTTTGCACAATATTAGTTAGTATACAAATATTATAGAATTAGAATCTACATTCTACAATCTTTGACTGTCAGTAAAATGATAATCAAACAAATTCTGCTATTTATCCGCTATACGGTAGCAACTTGCAGCGACGCGGACAGAAAGCACTTTTAAGTTTGTTATAGGTCGACCACGTTAAAAACTGGGATTTACGTACGTTATCCTAAAGCAGCTGTTCGGGAAGTAAAAGATCAGGAAAAGAGTACATAATTTAACCAAATTACCAAACGGCAAACACATCAAAGTATCCAACAATTTACGATCAAGTTCCGAGCGGAAAAAAGTTTAGGAACCAAGCTGGCAAAAAGCTGGAACTTAGTGTACGAGTACGTCAAATAATAAAAATAAATCAAATAATAACAATAATTCTGACCGAACAGTAAAATGATTAGTATTGAGATGCCTCAACATATCTCTATAATAATAATATCCCAATAATCAATGAATGATCAAGTAGAGTAGAAATACTACGTATTCCATTAAATAATCATGATCAGGCTGACATTATCTATATCTATATTGTCAGTACTTCTAGTGGTAATGTAATTATGTAAGTACCTCGTATGAATATTGGCGGTACAAGTTACTGCATGCTCAAGGTACCGTATGTACAAATGTTTGTATTTATATCTATTGAATTTTTACTGGTTTTTAAATTTTTCGGCATTACGTACAAGCACGTTAAAAGTGAATCTGCAATACAGCCTGATGCTGTTGATGGAAGAATTATTTCTTCAGCGGCGCCATCTCATTGTCCACACCAGATAACGATTCCCGCCTTGTTTACTTTAACGTCGTTAAACTATGGTAAAATAGCTAGAATAGATAGTTAGTTCTACATATTATTTTACTGGGATAAATATTGTATACTTGCACACAATTCGACTCTCCCGTTGGACTAATTGCACAACGCATGATTTGTTACGCATCTACAGTAGTCAGTAGGCAAAAGGCTCTGTATTATGAATTACTAACATGTCCCACAAATTTACAGTAAGTAATGTGCTATATAGTACGATAGTAGCACTGCCTGTGTGCTACTGCGAGCTACCTATTTTATTGCTGAAAGCAGATCTGGTAGGCAAAATTTGTCACACAATTTACGACAAAGCATTAATTTTACGGTTAGACTAGTATTGTATTTTACAACAGTTCTATCGAAATCGATCATATTATAGTACGTACATTCAAACCACATGCAGCACGCCTTGCAGTGCGTCTATCTTTACTCTAGATTTTAGTACTCTTTTCAAAAGCTAAACTTCCACTTTTTTGAAGTCAGGTGCTTAATTTATGCTCATAAATTTAATTTGAACTTTTTTATGTCAGTAAACGTGTTAATTTCAAAGCTCTAGCTAGTTCGCGTGACCTGACCACTACGTTAAAAGAAGCCAAGACACGTAGAGTACTCAATTCAGAGTGGCTACAACGCAATGGCGAACGCTACAAAAGTCATAAACCTATTGTTATGATCATAAAACTGAAATTTTAATAGTTCTAGTTTTATCGGTATTTGACCACTGCACTACGTAAATACTGTAGTAGAAGCAAGTATGAACCGACCGTGGTACCCACAGACGTGCTTTGAAACGTCTGACCACTAACAGGCTCAACAGGGAGCATGTGCTTATCGGCAGCTGCAATACATAGGCCTTAGCAGTGCTTATTAAATCCACGGCATTCTTCTTGACTCTGTATGAAATTCGAACATAAAATGCTTAAACCGGACGCCCGCTACGCTAATAATAGGCGCTATATTACGCAGTTGGAGTAGGCGGCTCCCTTGTGCACACGCTGATGTTCGTCTGATGCACAGACTGTTTCTACGGCGTGTTACGCTTACGTCCCACGTATGTACAAGTGCGCGAAAGCAAACCTGCTTGTGAAATGTGACATACACTGAGCTGCCAAACACAAAATTAAATGCTTTCTAAGCCTTTCTTCCAGGTATCGCTTTGCGAACAGGATTTGTCTTTCTTTTGACTGAATTTTGTTTTATCTTTTGAATAAAGTTAATATTGCGCAGTATTGAATTAATTATTTATCGTCTTGAAGCATGAGTGGCAGTGATGCATTGAAGAGGTTTCTCTTGGATTATTCATCATCAGAAAGCAAGATTGGATGGATACGCGGACACTTTTAGCTGTTGGATTTATTTTACTTTTATCGGTTTCATGTTCTTGATGCAGTCTATGGTCCATAGACGATGTAAAGAGGTACCCCTGATTTGGCCGCTTTCTTGGTGCTCGCGAAAGCGCTTGGACTGCTACGAAAGCCCGGGAAAAGTTGGAATGAATGTTATGCATCAATCTTGAGGTGGCGACACGCTGCCGTTTACTGATGCACAGTATTTATGAGTGATAGTATTTATGTTATCGGATTAATTTTACAAGAATATCTATCTTGTGGTGGAGCTAGCGATTCGTCTCTGACATCGGTGAGAAGATAAGATGTCCACTAGATCGGCGCAGAAGTACAGGCAGTCCTCCTGGATATCTTCGCAGTCCCCCTCCAGTAAAAGCCAGAAAGGCCCCCACTGGACGCAGAGTTTATCGGAGGCTGTTATTATTGCACATCCTGAGGGCAGCCTGGGATTGACCATTAAAGGTAGCAGCGAGATTGCCAGGAAATTTGTAAAAATATGAGGAATATCGCGGAGGTGGACAGTAATTTAGTTCTTGTCACTTTTGTATATTTTAGGTGGTGCCGATTATGGCGAATTTCCTTACCTTGGAGAATTGAAACAGGAGAATATTCTTTACGGCCAAGGCTTCTTACAGCAAGACGATCTAATTTTAGACGTTCAAGGCCAGAAAGTGGCTGGTTTCACCCAGCGCGATGTGGTATTGTGGCTCAAACACTGCAGTCGCAATCGGACACCTGTTTCGCTGAAATGTGTCAAAGCGGGGCATTTAACGAAGGATCTGAAGGAATTCCTGGCCGGGGGCTTCCCGAAAGGGAGTCTAGACCATGAGCTGCAGAATACGATTCGGGATAATTTATATATGCGGACGGTACCTTGTACAACGCGGACTCCCAGGGAGGGAGAAATCAACGGACAGGATTATTGGTTTATGACGCAGGATGAGTTTATGGAGCTGGAGAAACAGGGACACCTGTTGGAGAGTGGTTTATACACAGGTTAGTCACCGCTAATGACTCGGGTATCAGGTATCCGCATCCATCCTCGATTATCTGCAGCGCACGATTAGTCATAGGGAAGTGGTTTTATCAAAATATGAAAAGATAACAACATGCTGATAAAATCAACAGCTGCGTTGAAAACGTTTTAATTGGTTAGATACTTTATCAGGTTTTAAAAAGTTAGGAAAAGTTGTGTGCAGTTTTGTTTTAGTCGGTTTAGCCTGTGTCACACTCTGTTAGGTTTTTATTATTGGCGAAAACCAACGCATTGTTAGCTGTCATAAGAACTGATAAAATTTTCAATAATGGATTCATTACTAATAATTAAATGTTTACCGGCATGGTGTTTCTCCTCATTGGGTTAATCTTTTTTCAGCGGTTGCTGTTTGCGGTGCGCTTAAAGATCGTAAACGAACGATAATGTATTCCTTTTTGCTGTGCTGTTTATTAGCGTTGCCGCATACGAACTGTTGACCTACTTGGTATGGACTAAAATTCATTTAATAGCTGTTCAACTGCATCACAGATGTACTGCGTTTGACATTCGACTGTTTGGACGTAGAAAATATGGATCAATTTGAAACGACCTCGCTGCGCATGTAATAATTTTCACTGCTACAAAAACTTTTGCTTCTGACACAGGAATGAGGTTGTTGATATTGCGAAATGTTATCACTAAGTTGGCTCAACTTGGCAGTCCTGCCTGTTTTATTTTGCAGATAAGAAATCATAGCACGCCTGTTGCCAATACAAACACAATGCGTTAACACACATAAGATTAAAAATGCTTCCCTCAAAAACAGGAGTATGCAAATGTGTAAGATATTTTTCCTGACTTAAATATGTATGCAGATCGATATCGATATTTTTATGTTGAATCTTGTCAGTGTTTAGGGTCCAGTTCAGTCCTGGAAACAAAAACTTTTTGCTGATAATTAATTACGAGTTTGAGAAGATGATTGTTGAATCGAAGCGATAATACCTAATCGCTGCATTGAAAGCTGATGAAAGCTTTTACAAATCTGCAATAAACAGCATTTCCGGTTTCATTTATACAGTAATATTTGTTGGCGAGCATAAGAATTGAAAGGATTCAGACGTTGTTCGTTTGGCGTTTGTGAGGAAACGTTGCGTACACATGCGTTTCGGTTTATGGCATAATTAGCAAGCTGATGCATGTACCGTATCCTATACAATAGCCATGCGTAACTCCTGTGCAAATATTTATTCATTGTGAATCAAAGTGGATTATGCTAATTTTCTGGGTCTTTGACTGGTTTTCCTTTGCAGGAAATTATTACGGCACTCCCAAACCACCACACGAACCCCTGGATAAAAAGGCCCAATCAATAGCCGACATCGTTCAGCCCGGAGCCCATCCGTCATCCGAAGGGAAGCGGAAACGGAACCGCAGCAATGTCGAAGCCTTATCACCAGGGGCTTCTACGGAATCGACAGAAGACTTGCTGTCTGTGTTAGCACAGAAACGGGCCATTCAAAACGGTGCCCCCGAAATGCGTAATGAGATGGCAGACAGTAATGGCACGGGAGATGGTACTATGATGGCGCGTGACGCACACCGTTTCGTGGCCCCCCAAATGAAGCAGGATGGTGGATTGTGGGGTAATATTGCATCGCAGGCTGTTAACAAGATTCGGCATCATGATTCCGGTCATCATTCGGAAGACGAACATGCCCTGCGACACGAAGAGGAGCTGCCATATGGATGGGAGAAGGTCGATGATCCCATTTACGGGACCTACTATATCGATCACAATAACAAGCGCACGCAGTACGATCATCCGCAAACCCCAAGGGTGGAAGTCTCTAGTGGCTCAAGTGGCTACACTTCGTCGACATTTCCACGTGTCAAGAAACGTCCGCCTGGCAGTCCAGAGAGTCGTGTTCCCAAGTCGGCATCAACGCATGTGGCGTTAAATGGCCAACGAGGAGGCGGACGACAGATACTGCGCCCCGAGGATCTTCGGGGAGATCTGATGGATGTGGCGTTAAATAAGAGTAATCGCGGATTGGGCTTCACGATTATCGGTGGAGAAGCGAATCAGAAGTTTCCGGATGCGGATTTTGACGAGGACGATGTTACCGGAATGGGCACTTTGTTGCAGTTGAAAAGCATCGCGCCGGGTGGTCCTGCCGACCTGGATGGGAGATTACGGTCGGGTGACGCGCTGGTCAACATTAATGACCGCTGTGTTTTGGGATTCACACACGACCAGGTTATTGAGCTGTTCCAAAAAATTCAGCCGGGCGAACTGGTCAGATTGCGAGTGTGTCGGGGCTACCCTCTGCCGGCCGATGCAACTGATCCCCGGGCACAAATTATAACAACGGACGCGGTTTCCAGTGCGGGAAATGGGGTTACGAGTGTGGGAAGTTCACGGCCGCGCATGGTGGAAACGCAGCGGCAGTCGACCACCGACACGCGGACTTCTATCGATACTAATGATCAGGAAGTGGCGGCTGCTTTCTTCGACCAGCAGCCGGTGGCCAGTGGACCGTTGTATAAATTGCAAATCACCAAGGGATCGTCGGGATTCGGGTTTACCATTGCGGAAAGTCCGGATGGTCAGACGATCAAGAAGATCGTTGACAAGAAACGTTGCCAAGGTATGTCTTATTCTGTTCCATAAATAGTTATGTAATGCACGACGTGGTGTGGTGGTATTGACCTTGGGCGTTTTCCGAATGGTTAGTGGACAGACAGCGAACGGCAGTGCACTTGCAACGTAATATTAGCCATCTTGTCGGCTGATTGTCAAAATCAGGTTACGAGAGTATGCATGATTTACGCACAGTAGTAGCCGACCGCTTTAGTGCTGCAGATGTAGCAATGGATTTATCTGACTTGTCCGATTTAGACTGAATATATTCTCTTTCGGCATCAGCGGGTGGTGATGAAATGTTTGATCAGTTCAAAAGTAATTCGGTGATTATGGAGAGATGAAGCGTGCAATGATCGAATTGAAAATGATTTCTTTTCAACCATTTCGCTGTACTCCGGGATGTTCTCTTAGCAGGGCCTGCTGCAGTTGGTGATAATTTGTTGAACGAAAACCAGTCATGGCCTAGTTATTTGTGCTTAAAGTATGAAAGTTAATTTTATTAGGTTGCCTGTCAGTAACTTATAAAAGCACTTTATTATTTATTGGTCTGATTTGACAGCTTCACATGTAAAATGCAGTTTTGCCGGTAATGTGAAAGCTAATACGAAGTCACATAACCACATTAACATTTTTATTAATTTTTTCGGATTTCGAGCATTAGCGGGCCAAGTTTACGAGTTCACGACATTAATTTTATGATATTGTTGTCTCAGCAGGTAGTTTGTGCGGGACTAAATCATTTCGTTCTCAAAACAAATTGATGATAAATAGAAGTTTTCAGTCTCTGTGGTAAATCGATCACCATTTGCTTCTTGAATTTTTTATCGCATTTTTGTCGTATTAAAGTACAACACTCGTAATGTATGAATAGAAGTATCTTTAATTAAGCACATATATATAAATACTACGCATTGTGATACTATTTTGATTCGCCGCAATTTTTTGTGTTTCCTGGTTCTAGTGTTTTTGAAAAACAGCGATGAACAATAATTTGCCCGCCCTCTTCACGAAACGTTACTGACTTTAAATAAACCCGTGGTCTCAGAATCAAAAGTCGTCTTCGAACATACTCACCTTACATATACACTTACGATAAAATTGATTTGAAAATAATTTACACGAAGTACAGAGTACGTGACATTGGATGACCACTTTTGATATTATAGCGATCATGAAAAATTTGTGCCCGTCTTGTTTTTACCGGCCAATATTTAAATTACTCGTACAGTCATATTTATGTGAACTGTGTGCGTAAATTTGTTGCATTATGTGTTGTACCTCGACAGTGAGAACTGTGAGACATGTTGTATGCTATCCCCGTAATATTTATTGCCTGTTTTAGGTCTGCTCGAAGGCGATTTGCTAGTGGAAATAAATAACCGAGTTGTACGAGGATTGGATCATACCAGTGTGGTGGAAGTGTTCAAAGAAGCACCTATCGACGAGCCATCCGTCTTTGTTGTCCAGCGGGCGCAACGGATAGAAGGACGTAAAGAACAGCGTGCCAGCCGAGTTTTGGGACGATCCAAAACTCCCACGGCTGATATGTACAAAAGCCATACTAATACCAGCAGCACTGAGATTTCTCATCCGAAAAAACAGCGTTCGAAAACTCCTACACCTCGCCCGTCATCCTCATCGTTTTTTGGTTTCTTCCGCTCTAAAACGCCCAAGCCGGTTAAAGAAAACGTTCAAGAAGCGGTCACAAGTACGTCCACCAGTAACACTGTGGTCTACGAGAAACCTACAAAAACAACCGAGACTGTGGTCAAAACGGACACACGCAGCCCGGATAAGGCTGTGTCGCCGGCGCCGCAGTCGCAAGACGCCGATTTTAAAAGAAATCAGTTCGCCTACTCTTCCATGACACGAATGGTTACCCCGAGTTACATACCTGCCAGTCAGTATACGAAAAAGAACGAAGAAAAAATGCAGAACCAAGCGTTTGTATCTAATGCCGTGCCAGAGTGGAATCGAGCCGATTCGACCTCCACCATGTATGCGCGCGTACAGAAACCCGTGGAACCACCGACTGCCGTAGCGCATCCAGTACGGATTAACGGAATGGATAACCGACCGTCTAAGCTGCGGCTGAATGGGCCATCTTTTGAGAATTCTTCCCTGGCATCGATTCCGTCGTCGACAGCTATTGATGGCGACAACGAGTCGCAGCTGCATTCGCCTCCCGGCTCCATAGACCTGATTGTTACATTGCGGCGCGAAGATGCTGGATTTGGATTCCGCATTGTTGGCGGCACCGAGGAAGGCTCTCAAGTAAGGAGCAGTAAAAAACCTTTTGTTACGGTGATCTAACAGCAAATTCATGTACATTGTTTTGTGTTTGTCTAGAAATGCTCTCTTAGAATCATTTCGAATATTAATAAGTTTCGTTTGGTTTGATTAGGTTGCCGTTGGGTATGTTGTACCCGGAGGTGCCGCGGAAAAGGATGGACGATTGGAAGTTGGTGATGAAATTGTGAATATCGACGGGGTATCGGTGATGAATGCTTCTCACAGTCAGGTCATCCAGATGATGCAAAAATCATCGCTAAATGGCTTCGTGGTGTTGGGAGTACGGCGCCGCATCAATTATGCTCCAGCCAATGTGGCTCGCGAGATCACCATCCACCGTCAGCCCAACGAGGGTTTTGGTTTCGTTATTATCAGCAGTATTGCACGAAACCAGCAGCTGGGCAATGGGACAGCCGTCAACGGCGGCAGTGCGCCGATTATTAACTATCCCATTCTGGGACGTATTCTGGACAATAGTCCAGCTGAGCGTTGTGGCGAGCTGCATGTCGGTGATAAAATTCTAGCGGTTAACGGGATTGATGTGCTGCATCTGCACCACTCGGAAATTGTACAGATGATCAAGGAATCAGGAACAAGTGTTATGCTGACGATTATGTCACAAGCCAGCGGACTGCCTGGTATGGAAAGCTCGCCGATTCGTTGAGTATTTTCGTGTTGAATGTTTTGGTTGTGTTTGCTCAAAATAGCGCACGGGATGTCGTTGCTGTTAGTATGTTACTATGTTATCTAATTCCAAATTTTGAATGTAGATGATGCCAGCACTGTTTCGGCCAACTCCCAGCAGCGCTTCGACGAATTTTACCGGCAAGAAGCGGAGGGCGCCTTTGTTCCGTACAGTCCGCAGCCAACCGGGGCCAACAGTAAAGTGGAATATATATTAATCGAACTGGAGCGTGCTACCCGTGGCTTTGGGTTTAGTATTCGGGGTGGGAAGGAATTTCACATGCCGTTATTTGTTCTGCGTATAGCGGAAAATGGACCGGCAGCCGATGATGGGCGTCTGCGAGTGGGTGACGAAATCATCGAAATTAACGGGATCAGCACGAAGGACTTCACTCACGGTGAAGCAATAGAACTGATTCAGCGTGGTGGCACGCTGGTGCGTCTGCTAATCAGACGGAATTCCGCGACAGGAATGGTCTCACCGACACATGGGCAGCAACAGCTGGGGATGTCCGTTCCTCAGTCCGGCAGCAATCATTCGATGAGCGGTGTGGTATCACGGCAATATATTGATGCAGGATCCTACGGCAACTACTCGTCTTCCAGTAATCTTCCTTATAATACAAGTGCGACTTATCGGGCTTCCCCTTCAACGCAGACATACCCTACGCAAGGAGCGTATCAGACGCATTTGCAGAGCACCAATGTGGCGTTTCAGGCGCGGCCTTATTACTTCGGTTCTTCGGGAAAATAACTGATTTCTTGCATCGAGCAGCTGACCTTGCTTGCGTTGTTTTTGTTGATTTATAATTTCTAGAGCTTCCTATTTGCTTGGTTATCCGATTTTGGACGCCAACTGTATCCGTTGTGACATTCGCAGTTTTATGGACCAGGTCATTTCAGTACTGTCATTTTTCTTGCACATGTAGTTTTAATTTTCAGGCATCTATAGAGTTGCAATAATGCATGCTCGCGTTCTGTAATGTTCTTGTCTTTGTTGGTGAAGTCCATGGATTGCGTATTCTGCGTTTTGTTTTGATGTTTCTGAATTTTTAAGTTTTATGCTTGTTCTACGACATTTGTTAAAAAATTCTCAAACTCAAAGGCGGAGGACGTGATAATGGTGTAATACAAGCTTTCTTTACTGATTTCTGCAGTCCATGGAAAGGAAAAACGTTCACTTATGGATTTTAGTTATGGTTAGAAACTTAGAATGATGTTAAGACCGGGGAATGTGAATCGCGAATCTTGGATACGAGTCATACGAGTTTTTTCGATTGAACTGATGGAGCTAAATTACAATATTTTAATTTTTACACTTCGCTCACATAACTGTAGTCTGTAGACTATAGTCACCCTAAATCGTGGGTTTCTATGATTTACGAATTGCTGTTTTACGCATTTTGAGCCAAACTTTTATTTTTCCAGATTCGTCATTCAGTTGAGAATTATCGTATACGCATACCGGAAACCTATTTCCGATGATATGGATTTTGTAACAAACTCAGCTTGCAAAACATGAGAACCAATGCAACAAATAATCAAGGGGTAAATCGAAAAGACTGCACATGCATAATATGGACTTTGTCCAAGTGAGGCTTAGGGACTGTCTGTTACAGTAGTTTCTGGCGTTGGCAGCCCATGAAACGCTTGAAGACGATTCCCCCGACGCTATATCCGACCACTAGTCCGGCAACAGTCCCCATATTGAAAGCACCAATAAGCTCCCATTTCACGGCTCCAGAGCTTAACTTACGGGAGCGAAGCTTTCCAACAATCAAACCACCCAAGCCACCAGAAACTGCTCCACCTAGCAGGCCGAAGTCCCGAGCTTCACAGTCTCCCTTACCAGTGAAAAAACTAACGCATCCAGAACCAAGACCTGCCAAAGCTCCGAGCGAGCCACCGACAACTATTCCAATGCTCTCCATTAGGCTAAATCTGCGAATTACGCTCATTGTAACAAGTCACAACTGAGAAACTCCACGAATTCAAAACACTAGCGTGGCGACCCTCGTAAACGTCGGGACACTTCCGGAGGCGTGAGTGTTTTTTGCAAATTTTTAACTCTTTTTACAAATCTTAACTCTTTTTTTGCCAGTTTCAGCAAGGCAGCTATGTCCAATTGCCCATTGCCCTGCCTTCTTCCACATAACATGCATCTCCCTTGCATTAGCGTTTCTGTCTCCTCAGTCACAGAACTCAGAATTTCATTGCTGTCTGTCCAGTGTTAACATTAACAGAGCTACGTTTTTGTCTGTCTTGTGTTACAGAATTACAAGTTTACACTTTCTTAGGGCTACTCTCAAAGTCCAGCTAGATCTGGTTACGGTGCAGCAGCTCCACCTCATGAGGTGGTTTTGCGAACCGTATTTGTCGGCGTGGACACTTCATGTAGCTATCTCGTGCGGTGGAGCAGCTGCATCATACTTAGCTACGTTCAGAACTTGAGCCGGCCTTAACAGTTCCCAAGATAGGAAACGACCTGAATCCATGCCTAAAGGCAATATATATGTTAAGACTAGTCTTACATATATATATACGTACGTACGTAAACGTACGTATCTTGCCTTTAGACGTACGCACTATACAGCGCTACGCCTCCGGAAAATGTGACAAATAAAAGTCAAGCCAAAAGACTGTTACTAGAGAAATATCACAACGGATACGTACTGGCACTTGGCAGGTCCTGCTGGTGTATTGAGATCTGCTCTGCTACTGGTTACTGCACCAAATGGGTGGGCACTGGGCAGAGCGCCAACAAGTGCTTTAATACTGCAGGTGCTTAGTTACCTTGTATTTCAGTAACCAGTTTACGGTATACAAAGCTTTGGTTTATACTGCCAGCTTATTCAGTGACGAAACCCTAAAATACTGCTTTGAATACAAAATGCAAAGGACAATTCCAAAACTAACTTTACCTAGTTGAATGGAAAATAGCTGAAAAGAAGAAAAAAAGCCTACAACACCCGGTGTTCGCAAGCGGTTACCCATCCAAGCATTAACCGGCACAGTTTATTTTCCGAAACCGGGAGTTTCGTGTTACGTGGCATGGTCGTCGACCTTTAAGTCGAAATTTTTTATTGCCAGAAAATACTCAATACATTGTGTGACAGAAAAAGTATAACAAAATAAAACATTCTACAAGATGTTTATTAAAGACATCGAAAAATGCTTGCGACGCAATACGCTGAAGATAAGAACATACGTAGTTTACAAAAATCCCAAGTTGCAATAACTTAATTAATCTCAATCTAAATCACAAAAAAATCAAATTTACAGTAGCATGCAAAAAGCGCTTGATAAACTTTAATATAAAAATTTTAAACCATAAAACAAACGAGCCCAAAACGTCCAGTTCAGCAAACGGAAAAATCGCCTAAAAGGCTGCCCTAATGCGATCGTTCTAAACCGGTCAGATGTCGTATTAACAAATCATCCTAAGTGTGCCGAAAATGTCCAAATACTTAAAATTAATACGGGGATCAATGATCTCTGTCCACGGGTTCCAGAAATGTCATTCCGAGATGTTCGAAGATTGACAATTCAGTCGGTGTGTGCAACACTTCTCCATCACACATTTTCTCCCGCTTCTACAATTTGTACATGGTTTAAAGCGAAAACGGTCACAAAAGTAGTAACAGATTATACATAAAAGTTCAAATAACAGCTGTGAATACCTATAATCTTAGAACATATAATATTTCACCACTTACGACGCGAATCACATTCTTGTTTAAGGAGTGATGAGACAAGGCCATATTTAATCGGTGTGCATAAGATCGCATTGATCGGTTAAAATGTGCCGATCCCGTAAAGTACAACAGCGCACACGCCAATTCACTATACGGCACACATATAATATCCAAGCGTCGGTGCTACAAGAAATGCAGTGTGGAAAATGCTCGGGTTTATAAATGATAATGCAGAAAGTTATTCCAAACAACTAACGAAGGGAACGAATAAACACCTTGCGAAGTTCTCCTGGTAAGCGGCACACTCCCAAGTATTTTTTCTGTGTTCCGTCTTCACCGATCGATAAGTCATCGGTCAAAAAACCTAACGAAAGAAATTACGATTATGCATGTCGAAATGTACCGTTAGCTGCCTTCACAACAGAGGAGCAGCGGCAGTTTCAGACTACGAGTATTAAAAGATGCTGATATACGCTGCAGACTGAAAAAGGTACAGTATCACCTGTGCAAGAGAAAAAACCTACTGTAAAAAAAATATTTTTTAACTATGATTACCTGTAGCATGCAAATTTTCGAGCAGCGGCGCAAAAACACTTCGATGGGACTTGCCATCCGGATGCGATATCAAAATGTCCACGTCGCCACATGTCGGTTTACCTCGCCGGTAGGATCCACATGTTGTAATGGTTAGTCCCTCTTGAATATCCAGCGCTGCCTCTTTTACCGTATTCTCAATGAGAGCTACTTCATCGCGCGGAATTCTGTCAATAAAATCATGGTAGTGTTTCAAGCCGACTGACTGTTGTGCGTTGAGTTTAACGGTGTTCCTCACGTCGTCCAACGTTCGCAGATTCTGCAACAACAACAATAAGGTAAAACGATCGAATAAGTACTATGAGAATACTGCATCTATCACACCATACTGTTGACAAACCAAGGCAGCCCATTTGGTAGCGGTTTTCGAAGATACGCCATGGATGTTACAAAAAAGCTTCACTGCCTGATTGAATTCATTATCCTGGCACACTTCCTCCACTTTCTGACAAGCACCAGTTTCCAAAATTTCCACTATTTTGCTTCTGATGCTAGGTCCAATGTTGCGAAAGCCATTTAACTCCTGAATCACACTGTAAATGTGTCGCAAATCGTTTTCCAATGATTTCAAATTATAGTTATAAGAAACTTAAAGCAGCACCGTTCACAAAATTCGAGGGCAACTGGCAAATAACAAACTAATAATAAACGAGTGATCAAAAGGATTCACTTTAGGTGTAATAAAAAAATAAGAAAACTTACAAACGAAATTATATGTTTTTTGTGCAATTATTTCGCATACTGCAATGCCAAGGACAATAATGATGCTCGCGATAAATTAAGCAGAAGCGTCAAGACCTTTATGAAGCAATACCGAGTTTTCTATGCCACCGCCCCATTCAGCGTACCTCGACTTTCGTAATCTGTTTGGGATGATTTTTCAAAAACGAAATCACTTTCCCATATGCCATGCTCCGGAATTCTTCACCATTATTTTTATACACACTGGCTAATTCCTGCAAAGCACGGCTGTGTCAGAACCTGTAAAACTCTGGGGTCTAAGTATCACTGTAGCAGCAGATATTTATGGCAGAGGAAGTTCTGCTCCACTTGTACCTCAAGAGGCCCGGTGATGTGTCCGTTCAAACTCTTCGCTTTCGATGAGGACGCCTCCGAACAAACATATTTGCCCTAGTAAAAAAACACATCCGAAATTATAAAAACTTAAACATAAACCCATTAAACAACCGCGAAAAGTCAATTTTTTAACACCACCACACAGTAAAACTTAATACTCACCAAATGACGTGCAGCAATGGGCGACACATTATCCTCATCGCCATCTGCCGAATCGCTTGCTTCTTCCGCGCTCGACTCATATGAACTCGAGCCAGCTTCAGCACGACATTTTTTCTTCCCGGAACCAACAGAAACCGGTGTGACATTAACCGTCCCAGCAGGTTTTTCCGAAGACCGTTCTGGAGAATGATTTCGCTTTACACCTTTCGTCTTTTCAAGTTTCACCTCGATCAAAACCTGGAGAACAGCACTGTACAGATACACAGCTCATTGTAATGTAAGGAAAAATGTTCTGCTTTACTGATAAAAAATTTTTAAATATATAGCAAATTTACTTTATCGTTAATAATAAGCAGGCGACGGAAAAAAACGCACAAATCATAAGAATTACGAGAATAATAAGTAAAAAAAAGAATAATATGTAAAAATACTATAATAATAAATACTGTAAGTGAGAATAATGGTAATACGTAAAAATAAGTTTCCGACTTCTTAGTTCTCACCGTAAACTGCGCGTTCAAGCTGAATTCTGCTTCCGGACATTTACTTTTCCCACTCAGACACTTGGACGCCCATGGTATACGGACAAACTCAGCTTTCCCAACAATGTCCTTCAGGTTCAATAAAGATAAAACAGCAAAAAGTTCAAACAGCTCGTCAAAGACAACCCTCTCTTCCACAAGAACATGCGTGCAATCCGGGAAGTTTTTCGATTTTGTATCAAAAGATACAATAGCAGCTCCAGATTCGCCCAAACGCTTATGAAGAATTTTCAGTCTTGCGTTCTGTAATTTCAAAGGCAAGATGCAAATCACTGTCCCATGAAGAAATGGCTTCGGGGTTGGAACACGCGATCGGTCGCCATCCGCAACAGAGGAATTAGCGGAAGATGAGGCTCGGGCTTTGCTGGTGCGGTGCATTGCTGATAGTCCGCCAAAAACAGTCCACTGATCCTGAAGGGAAGTTACGGTTTAAACTTTAAAGACACCTGCGGCTTTTTTTAAACGGTAAAAAAATGAAATCGAAAGTGTACCACAGAACACTCAACCATCCGTATTTCGTAACGAGTCCAGTGTGTTTAGACTGCAGCGAGTTTCCTGCAGGCTCGAGCGTGAAAGCAAACGGAATCTTGCTAAAACTTGTCGCCCCCACCCGCATGCGCTCGAGCGCGGGCGAATGTCCAGTTATATGACAAATCCTCCAGACAAGATACGAGTATTTATACCGCGAGTACAAATGGATGGTAACACATCTAACATCTGCTCTCTCCGGAGTCCAGACACATTTTCGGGTGCACCGAACTCCGAAGCTTCAACTGTTGTACTTTATAACTTCACCTCAATTATGTTAAAATTTTGAATGGCATAATTTTATTCTTGTGAATCTGTTCTTGTTGAATTGGAAAACTCTCTGACTGGCGATGCTATAATATATCCATGCGCAGGTGCAACTGGATTTTATCTCTAACACGTATTGCAACTGCCGCAAATTACTTACTCGTAAACGGGAAAACTATGACATAAATCCCTTATGGCTTGAGGAATCTACAGCTGACAACGGTGCATTTTGTTGGAGTCTTGGAGATGAGTCAACCACTCCGCTTTATATACGGAACCTGGCTCTCAACCAGCGCGCTACTTTTGCTAGTTTTATCGGTGACTTCGCCTTGACCTTTCGTAAATAAAGGAGAAATCTACCAACGCTGCATAAAATACTAAAATAAGCGGCAGCTGAATTTACTTGTAGCAGTGTTTTCGTAGGCAAGTTTGGTGCTACGTAGGTAGGTACGCGATATTTATAAAGTACGCATGCGGCAAAGACTGACGATTGTGCCGGCAAAGAATGAGAATAATCAGATGTACATGTATCTGCAGCATATTTAGGGCAATTTCAGATGTATATGTGTATATCATTAGTTCGTAACTTCGTACGCGGCGTTCGTGATTTCATAACGAATTTCTCAGACTTATATTAACGCACTTGATCAGTCTCGTAAAAGTCCTGGTAAAAGTAAAAACGAGGCGCTGTCACAGATGTTATTATGTAGCTTACAATACTCATTTCTAGTCCGTGAAAAATTGTGTCTTACCTTGTTGTAAGGCGCTTTCAGCGCACAATAGTAGCAGACGTTGTATAGGTGCTTACATCTCGGAAAATTCTCATCGAACGCAAATAATCACCAGAGCGACAAACCATGCGATTGCAATAAAACAATCGATTGCTCTATGTGTTCTCTCACTGTCAATTTTGGGAAAACACTCCTGTTTTTGCTCATTATGGATTTTTTATTTAGTTTTTTTGTATTGTCAGCCTCTTGGATCTCACATGTCTACGCCCTTCCGGCGCATCCATCCGGCCGTGCTTTTCCTAGTCGTGATAAGCCTGTCATAAGTAAGTACAGCTGTGGGTCGCTCACAGTAATTTGTCGGTGCGGCATATACGGGTGGTTATTTTGATTTACAATTTTGCATCTTGTAATGGCATCATTGGCGAATCCATTACTAGCGCCGTCAGATCAATAAAAATTTTTGGCTAACATGTACATGTGAGTACTTCTTGAAACTGTTATCAAATTTTATAAGCAGTGTAGTATACGTAATATATATGGAATTGGAATTACCGGTGATTTGGTGTTTTGGATGTTCTGCGTTATTATACTCAAAAACATTTTTCTTATCGTATGATTAATACTCTACATGCACGATAGCAGTTCAGTCAATAATTTTGTCGCAAGGCACGTAATTCAACTAATTTAATTTATCACAACAGATAAACAAGTGTTTATTGCCCATGTAACCCTCCCTGTATATGTTCTCGTACGATGTATATCGTTGTTGTATTCTTATTATTTCGCAGATTCACGCCAGTTTGGGGGAAACTTAAATCGGCCACCATCACCCGGTGCCAATAAAGATGATGTTCTGTTAACCGCTGCCGGTATTCATGGATTATTAGGTGATAAATTTCCGGTCCAAGATGATCCCGATATGAGCGGGAAATTTCCCGGCATTAATTCTGCACCTCTAACAGTTGGCGATATGGTTAATAACAAAGTGCAATTCAATCAGAATGTGCAATCCCTGCCCCTGACCGGTGGGATCTGTATTCCGGTTAACCATACCGAAATCAACGGAAAATGTGCCAATGTTTTTGATGTGGTCATCAATCGGAAATGTGCAGATGCACGGACAGAAAGGTCAAATAATTGTCAGAATAATGAAGTGTGTTGCTTCAAATTGTCGACCAAAGATGTTGTCGAGTCGTCCTTTGATCAAATACCATGCGGTCTAAGAAGAACGCCCGAATTAGCACAACGAGAACTGCAGCGTATCGCTGATGAAGAAAACTTCGACCAAGTACCGATGCGCATACTGGGTGGATTAGAAGCGTTCCAGAATGAAATCTGTTGGCAGGTAAAAATAAATAAGCAAAAAATAAACACTTAAAATTAGGGTGAATCGTGTTGAATTAGAAAGCCCATTTGTATGTAATATACATGCGTTTCTTTTCCTTAAAATTATTTCGGTAGTAAATTAATCTGAAGAAAGTTTTATCTATTAGTTGCAGAAAATGTGAAGCCACTTTAAAAAAAATGACTATTTTCCTACCCTGCCATTCGCACGTTTATAAATTGCTCAGTCATCAACTGCAATTGTAACTTTCACAAATGATTTGATTATAGCTGTTCTTCGTACTATCTGCAGTAGCAAAAACGACAGCATTTACAGTAAATACTCGTACAATATACGCAGTGCCGCTTGCCTATAAAATAAATTATAATGTATGGCGGATTTTTTACTCTAGCATAGACATGTCTATCAAATTTTTAATTTAGTACGCCAGTGGACACAGTGATTTTCGGTGGCAAACTTCAAGAATGGTTGAAAAAATAAGTACATCATTTTTAAAGAATACATTTACCGGTGTCAAACTGTAATTAGTTCGAACAGAGATAATCATAGGCTATTAAAGTATGTACAGATCCGTGCGTAAAATGTAAATTGCTAATATATCATCATAATTACCGTATCTGCGAGTGTACATCTAACTCTGATTACAAATTATAATTATTGTAAAGGTAGTGGATAATTAAAAATGCATCTGTTTTCATTTTTGACTTTGTCGTGCCAGACTGCCAGATAGCTGATTTGAGATTAATCTCTTCTCCAAGTTATAAATTGTCAATCGAGCTATCCACGGCTGGATTATTAATCTGTCTGTGTCAGACCCATACATATACTGCTCGATGACCCGGTTGCAGAATTATGAAATGTTTTGCTGGTTATAAGTTTTTTTTTGCGAACCACAGACCTATTCTAATTCGTCTTCTGATTAGGCAGCCATTCTAGTCGATGGAAAATATGTCTGTGGTGGAGTGGTGATCAATTCCCGAAATGTCATGACGGCTGGACATTGGTGCGTAACCGTGCGTTAAGTGCACGGTTAATTAATCTTTCGCTGTTCTTAATGGCAAATTTCCATATTATTTGGTATCATGGTAAATTTCATAATAAGTACCATTACATAATAAATTTCCTGTACCAATTCAAGAACTGTAACCCGATTAAAACGCTTTCATTCGGCAGTCTATATTACACTAGTAACAGTTTCGAACCATGATAATGTTACTTTATTTGGGGTCATTTTCGTTTTGCCAGCTTGAATGACGTGGAGGAAATGAAACAAATCTCAGTCGTAACGGGCTCGAAAAACATTCACGCTCAAGGCAAATGCGCAGAAACCTTTGCGGCTGCGGATGTGAATTTCCATGACAGCTATGATCCCAGGAGTTTAGTCAACGATATGGCCGTGATAAAACTGGACAGACCCATTACTAACACCAACTGTACTTGCCGAATTTGCATGCCGGAAGGTAGCTTAGATACGGAAGCGTCCGGCAAATTATCCTGCTTGGTCAGCGGCTATGGAACAACAGAACGTAAGGAATCATAATTAATAATTATTAAAATATTTATGAAAAATGATCGTTTCTGAAAACTAGAGCACAGACGTTGCGTCAGTTTAACTTCCGAATCCATGTGAAGCAAACGCGGAATACACTGCTTCCAACATTTTATCATAATTTTTACAACTTAGGTATTATTTACTAGTTCTGTAGAACAGAATATAAAAATACGAAGGTTAGCACTGTAAAAATCTCTGACGATATTGGTCTCTGACGATATTGGTCAGCAGATCCAAGAAAACCTTGAATTAAGAAAGTAAGCAGTTCTTTTTCGGATAACATTCCACAACCATCCTGTAGCTGAAAAAGTGGAGTATCATAGTAGCAGCACCATTATGCCGGCGTAACACCAATTACACCACGCGTACTGTATTGTGCAGTTTGTAGATTACGCAAGAAACAAACCGGATCATGCATTCATAAGTCAGAACGGACAAACGCTGTTCGTAACAGTTTCAGTATCCAGCTGTTCTGTTGACAGATGTCAAAATTAAATGTTCACTTTAAAGTAAAACAGTATGATAGGCATCTTGCCACCCGAAGATTAACTGCTGTCATTTTGTTTCAAATTATGTATTTTCACTGTGAAATATAGATGTCATAGACAATGGCCATGGAGATGTAATTACGTCGACTTTATGGTTCTCACAATTCTTTCCTCTCTTTTGATTAGTTTCTGCAAAACAATGTGTACCGTGTTATTTAATCAGAATATTAATCAGCATTTTTTCGTAACTCAGTGCTGCAGTACATAATTTATGCTAATGGCATTAGCGGAAAATTACGGTCTCAACATTACTTTGAATGGCCTTGACTGTGGCATGCCGACTGAATAATACTCCTAATACTTTGTACTTTATGTTTATGTAATGCCAATTTACTCTGTCACCGAAATCAAAACGTTACTTTAATTTTTACAGCTGGAAAAACACCGGCAGACATTGGTCCTCTCAACATCGCGAATGTCAATGTCATCGTTGAGTTGCCGGATAATCGCCAGTGTACCGACAGACTCCATCTCTCTTCCGCTATTCCCAAAAACTTTCTCCTGGATCAGTCAATGATCTGCGCCATTGGCGACAATCCAGCCAAACCTTCCGATACCTGTGATCTGGACGGCGGCTCGCCCTTGGTCTGCCGGATGAATCCCGATGTGCCAGACGTCTACACGCTCGTTGGCCTATCATCCTGGGGGTACGTAATAATTGTTTAATTACAATGTCGTGTTATGTATATACAGCGTAATTTATGTTTCCCATTAAGCAAGCCTATTGAGACAGTTTAGTAACATTTCGCACGCGCCGCTAATGAGTATTGTTTCCATTTCTAGGTTGCCCTGCGGCCGGAATATTGTCAAAGATGCAACCAACCGTGATGTCCTAGTGCCGACGGTATACTCCCACGTGAGACCGGCTATCAACTGGATTAATTCCATATCGAAAGTCTGATGCGTCAACAACCTGCGCATGTTTTTACGGGATTTATTTGTTTTTCTATTTTTTTAACTGGTGAGAATTTTCTAATAATATGCTGTAAAAAAATAAAAAAACATTCGACATGGGAAACTTGTCAACAAAAACGCTAATCGAAGCTTCGGAGATTCGTCAAGTAGTCATAAACCCATAATACGAAAAAGATTATTGCAGACGAGAAAAAGGCGGGAATGCAGTGCAGAAGTGGTTCGTTAAAAGGGAACCTTATCGAAGCAAATACTGCGTCACCATCATAAACAAAGCAATGTAGTGTCCAGAAAAACCCATTGCAGACCATTTTGATAGCGTGTGCTCGTACCCATAGCCCTAAAAAGAAAACAGAAATTTTTTGTTTCAGTACCAGTAGAGTCGATCACCTAAAACTTAAATTTAAATACTCGTGCATTCTGTGCAACATCTCCAACTGGCAACTACAGTACATAACAGTATGCAACATGTGTAAAACCGCGTACGTCGCGCGTAAATCTGAATAATTCTTCATCCATAATAAAAGCTTGCGGTGAATATTTATGAAAACAAAAAATTTGATAATTCTATAAATAAATTACAACGAATGAATAACCAGTGAAGTTCCGGAATTTCGTAAAACTGCTCCAGAAAATCATGCTTGAAAAAACTCGTGAGGGAATCAGCCGTAAAATCAAAGCCACCATCACGCTCCAAACTCGTATTGACCAGTGGTTGCCGTCGCGCCCGTGGCCACTACGAGAGTGTGAGCGGTGAGTCGGTGTTTGCAACCTGTTGATTTGTTCGTGTGTTGTTTATTTTGATGTTTATATTTATGGGAAGTGTCCTCGGTTGGACGGTAATAATTCGTCTCATAAATGTAAGAATGTAAATGCAAAAAACTTCGCGACGCCAAAGCCGCTCAAACAGGTTCTAATCGAACCATAATAAATAAAAGAAAGGGGCTAACAGAGGGAAGGGCAAGCAAAAATGTACTAGTAAGTAGTAATAACTGGAAAATTTCGCGGCATTTTTATTATTAATTAATTACACACAATCACATCGGCTTCAACAAAAACTGTGTTATAAAAAATCTGCAAGAGTCAGCAAGACTTCCAGTACGAGTAATTTCCTCACCTGTTCTTGGGTTGGACTGGCATCGAACATCATACCCAAATATGCTAACTGGAATATCGCAAGAACACCGAAAGCCAAGTTTGTCGCAATGACAAACGGATTTTTAGTGGTATTCTTATGCTGACATTCTCTGCACGATCGCGCTTGGATACAGGCACTGTATATCTCTGAGAGTTCTCTGCGCAACCGGTGTTCCCCATAAGTAAAAACTGCCAAAGATAGCAGAACGGCTGATAACTGAAAATTTAGACCCTAAAAACAAAACATTCATGTACAGCTGAATTCAAACAAAACAATATGCTGGAAAATAATAATTTTAGAATTAAAACTGACAATGAAGGATAAACTCACGTGAAGAAGAGAACTCGCGGCATAAGTGATTGCCAAGGCGGCTGGTACACCCAATCGTTTGCGGACATTCCAGAACACATGCCGTTTCAACCAGTTCCGCATGGGAATATTCCAGAATTCTACAACTTCCACTAGCGATCGCGGCAATTCTATTTTGAGCATTTTAACGACAGGCACTCCCGTAATTCCCATTCCAATAAGCGTACATTCCGATAAATAAGAAATGAAATAATGTGAATATCGAAACATTGCCGCTGTTCGATAGGCTTCTGCCCATTTATTAATTACAAAGGGAAATATCCATGTCATCAAGCACGTCGAACATGAAAGGCAGAAAAATGAAAGACAAAACGATTGCATAAAATTCCACAGCGATCGTATGAGATTTCTGACTGTCAGGAGATGCGATTTGGCTGACCACAGACGGTATTGATCTAAAGATATCCAAGGCCCAAAAACGACGGTACCGGGACAGAAAATATATCCACAGTATTCAAGCAAGCTGGGCAGCAAGGGTTTGTCCAGGTGGGCAAGGGAGAGGATTTTCATAAAGATTATCATCTGAGCGCCACGGATTTTGTGAACGACAGTCGCTTTGCCAAACTTGAATTCGAACAGCACGACGTAAGTTACAGCAACGACGACTACAACAAAACCCTGAAAAAATAACAAAATAATTTATTTTTCAAGTTCTGGTCCCGCAAATAAAATATTTTTATTTGACTACAGTTGTTCATATTTTGTTTTCAGACCACATTTTTAGGCGTTGCTGTAAGCCCGTAAATGCTAATCATGTACGGGCTTGATTATTTAAAAATAATCAATCAATATTCAATCAATATAAGCCGATGATAAGCTTTATGCCGTTATCGATTACATAATCCGAACCCGACTAACAGTTCGAATTTAAAACAATAAATAATTTAAACAGAATTACTGATTGCTATCATATTAAAAAATACGCATACAGAAAAATGAAACAGCAGTAAATACTAAAGTTTGCAAAAATTATTTTCCAATTTCACCTGTAGCTGTAAAAACTGTAAAACACTCATCGCAGTCCCAAGCCAGAGAAGAACATAGCCCGACGCTCCAACCAGCGCCAGCAGATAGCAGTCTTCTCCAAACACGGAAAATAAAGCGCACAATCCACATAGTGCAGCAAAGGCGTTTATGGCACGTTGTCTCCAGAATGCAGATTCTAAAAAACATGAAGCAAAAATTATAGAGCGCACAGTGAGGGCAATGCACTTATAATTCTTGATTTTTTACCGAAAACACAAAATGATTATAAAACAATTTAGGAAGTCCACCAGCACGGACTCACGTTGTTGAGAAGAGGATCACTAACCAGGAATAATACAGCTCACGGTGAAGCTAGCGAAACAGCAAAACAAAACAACCGCGGCGTCATTGAGTCCCTGCGTAAGCACGGGCATGATGCAGGTGCGCACAAGTTCCATGAACGGAATATTATACGCAGAATGATCGCTGACATCCACATACTCGTACTGCTCATTGGAGAATTCATACTCTCCGTCATCATAGTCGCCATATACGGGAAAATCCAGCACGTCCATTGTGAACACAACAGGTTCTTCACAGGTTCCCGGTGACAAAGAATGAATTCCTTAATACGCGAACGAAATGAGTCCAAACTGGCAAAATGTCTTGATCTTGGCTTAACAGCAACTTGCAACGACTCAACTGCTAATTTTACAAGTCCAATGTCATTGGCATAATTGTAGGCTGATACTGCATTTCGAAGGCCGAAACAATGAAGCGCGATCCTTTACGTTGTCATCTACATTTATAATTAAAAATAACTGAAAAAGAAACAAAGATTTACAAGCATTCGGTTGATAATTACGTACGCAGTATTGTACATGAGTACAGAACTTACAGTTAAAGTAAAGACGAAACACGAAAAATAAACCAAAACAAATGAGTACAAATAAGGACAGTGGACACTCTCAAGCATTTACTGTACAGTACTCACTGCCACGAAGGCGGACGCCACCGGAAGTACGTATTTACACAACATTGCTCCCAAGTCTCAGTCAGTCTCAGCGTATTTTCGAAACAAAGATTCAGAAAAACTTTTCGTTTTGTAACAATAAAAAAACACAAAACATAATGCAAAAACAAAACATCGTTGGCTTATTATCACAAGAAACATTAAAGAACAGAGAAAAGCCAGCCGGCTTTAGTCAGACTGTGCGCTGTGGTTTTTTTAAAACACTGCACCGATTCAATAAGATTATTAAGGTAATATGCATATGTACAAATTCACAAGTATGGTGTTTCCTCATTTCCCATCCTACCATCTGCAAAAAGCCCTCTATGCTCTCAAAACTTAGCAGCAAATACCAAATTCAATACCAAATACCAAATTTAAATGCAGTCAAATAAAAATATATAGCAAGTTTTAAGTATATATATTACAGACGGTGGATCTGTTGTTGAGTTTTAAACTTTTAATACAGTAGTCATGCTTACAATTAATTAAACGGCCAAAACAGTACATTCATGTAGCGTAATGGCGATCAAATTCTGAAATGCCAGCGTGCTGTTTGTTGTTATTCATTCCTTTAACTACAACCCAATGAAAAACACGGCTTTTTCTACAGTTACAAGATAAGAGCACTTCAACCAGTTATCTGTACTTCTTCTTTGGTCTCTTTCTGATTTTCTTCGGTCGGAATCTTCGAGTCTTCTGGTACTGCAACTGATTTCAAAAGGCATCGAATATTCCGCTCAGTTTTGGATAAATCCGCAACCACGGGATGGTAAAGTGTTTTCAACTGCTTTAACACAAGTTCATAAATCTGACCCTGAAAAAAATCAAAATAAGGCGTACAAAACAAGAGCAAGGCATATGATCTTATTAGCAGAACCATCTGTATTACCTACAGCATAATAAGCACGATAATGTAACGATAACTATTTGTAACAAACTAACAGTTAAAAAACGTCTGCAGCTGACAGAATCAGCTTATACCACGCTCACAAATTACTTTTGCTTTAACTTTTATGATTTTAAATGAATGTCCTTTTTTTCTTTTTATCGTCGTATCGGCAGAACTGAACGGTCTAAGCTAAACTTGAAAATTAGCTGCTAACAACCCGACGAGTACGGTAAACAGCAATTATAAAAGGTTAACAAAATAACGATGCGAGAAACAAATAAACTGGAACAGTAAAATATCAAAACCGGTTGCTTCCAGATATTAGTTTCCCTTACCATGCGTGCTTTGACGTCGGGTTTACCCAGAATCACCACCCTAACATTATCGCCCTTGGTCAGCCATTCTTCAGCCTGCTTGATTTTGGTCAAAATATCATGGTCCGTCGCGGTGCTGGTTAACTGTAATATTTTCTCACGAACTATCTTCTCAGCTTTCCTCCTGTCACGATCCGCTAATTGTATCTTGTGCAAGTCATCACCGGAAATCAGTTTGTAAACAGGATAAATCGCCGGTCTGTCCAACGCGGCCTGTAGTGCCGGATACTCTTTGATATTTACTCTAAAAAATACCCAAATCAGCGAAAATGGCAACATGTAACATCCCATGAATGCAACAAGTTACAAAGGAAATACCGTACGCTTTCAAGTCTTCCTTTTTGGCACGTGCCTGTGCGTCGGATTTCTTCATCACGCCAATCGTACTATCGTCCACACCGAGTAATAATACTTTCACATCAGCGTCTTTAACGCGTATGGGAGGCAAGGGATCCGACAGGATGTTTTTCTTTTTCATGACTATACTGCTCGATTGCAATCCGCGAGTCAGTAACAACGCTGTACCTGGCGCTAATAAGGGATCAACGAGCATCAAATTTGGTCGAAAAAAATTCCAGCATGGCGGATATACTATCCTACAAAAATTTCGGAGCTGCATCCTCAGCAAACGCTGGAAATCAGGCGAAGCAGGGATTCGTAGGTTCCACGTATCGATGCGCTACCAGAATTCTTTGCAAAATCTGATTCCTGCAGGCTCCAGGCAAAACGTATTCCCACGTCCCTCCGAACGAAAGTGCGCAAAAGCACTGGATTCTGATAAGAACTAACGATACCTGACAGACTATAGCGCAATCCATAAAAAATTTACCCACGGCAAGCGTACCACGCCAAAATTTATCGTAAAATTTTTAAGAACAAGAAGAAACCATACTAGTACATTTCGCAACAATCAACATTCAACAACATCAGCAATCAAACGCCGCATGCTCTGGGACCAGTCTGGGTTATATCAACTTATATGACTTGTGGCGTCACGAAGTCTACGGCAGAGTAGTGCCCCCAGAAAAAGCAGTCATTTATCTCGACGATACCACCCCAAAAATAAGTCTGCGCTTGCTACGGAATGACTTGATACTCCGTTTTTATGCGAACAATTTCTAATGATGAGAACTAATAACTGCAAAGTGCAAATGAGCAAATGCACAATTATCCGCCAGGTTTTTCGAAACGAAAAGTGAAGCTACGATTATTGAGAATATTTATTTGTGGTGCAGTTTTGTGTCTTATAATTGTTACCTTTTAATTCTTTGAAGATTGTTCAGACTGGTTTAATACTGCCTGTTCCAACACTATGGCTACCAGCAACGTGGACGATGTAAAATCTCAAGAGCCTGCGAGAACCTTCACTCTTGAAGAGTTACAGGCGGCCTACAGTCACTGGTCTGAGGGGAAGAAAGGTCCGTCTCCGTTACGACCACGGGACCATCCCTTGCTTCCCGTGGCTGGTGGCCGCAATGTCCTGATCTCGTCGGCACTGCCGTATGTCAACAATGTTCCGCACTTAGGAAACATCATCGGGTGTGTCCTGTCGGCGGATGCCTTCTCGCGTTTTTGCCGTTTACGGGGCTACAATTCTCTGTTTCTCTGTGGTACGGATGAATATGGAACGGCGACGGAGACGAAAGCTATCGAAGAAGGACTGACACCGCGACAGATCTGTGACAAATACAATGCCATCCATAAGCAGGTTTACGACTGGTTCAACATTGATTTTGACACGTTTGGACGCACTAGTACGGACGAGCAGACTAAGATTGCGCAAGATATATTTTGGAAACTGCACAAGAATGGACTATTATTGGCGGAAAGCATGGAACAGTTGCACTGCGGTACGAGCTGGAGTATTTTTTCGCTTGATAGTAATTCCGGAATTCCGAAGTACAGTCTGTACAATGCTGATGTAACGTGATATTGCATCAGCTTGGTTGTCTTCGCGGGTCTCTGAATATTACATTTTGGCAGGGATGAATTTTGTATTTGCAGGTAGATAGTGTTAACATTTACACATCAGGTAAAAAATACGAATAGTTTGCGGTCATTGGAACTTTAACAAAAATGTTTAACGAAGCAAAATTCGATTTCGACATTTTCATTTTTTTGTCCATTTAGGAAATTGTAATCGATTCCTGGCTGATCGATACGTGGAGGGTACGTGTCCCTTGTGCGCGTATCCGGATTGTCGCGGAGACCAGTGTGATAAATGTGGAAAATTGGTTAACGCTACGGAATTACTTAATCCGAAGTGTAAACAATGCGGTGCGACCCCCGTTGTCAAATCTTCGGATCATTTGTTCCTGGATCTGCCGAAAATTCAACCGGAGTTGGAAAAATATCTTGAAAAGGAAGCGTTTGGTAAGGGAATGTGGACGCACAATGCGAAATTGATTACGCAGTCATGGCTGCGGGATGGTTTGAAGCCGCGATGCATTACGCGGGATTTGACTTGGGGGACACCGGTGCCTCTGGAAGGTTACACATCGAAAGTGTTTTACGTGTGGTTTGATGCACCAATTGGTTACATCTCGATCACGGCGAATTACACGAAGGATTGGGAAAAATGGTGGAAAAATCCGACTCAGGTATGCAAACTGAAGTTCTTTGCTTTTTTACGCCCTTGTTTGATGAAGGAATATTTTACGGGGTTGTGTGTTATGCCCACTGCATGCTTTGGATAGATTCAATTCTGTGTGATTTATTCGCCTGTTAAAACGGTTTTATGGGATTAGAGCGCTTTTAATTTTTGTTTATGATATTCTGTCGCTCCCTGTGTTGCAGTTTTTCCGCTGTGTATTTACATGCCATTTAAATGGTAATCTAACGAACCCGTTGTAATTGATATACAGTATATGTCTATAAATATTTGTGGTACTTCTTCTGTTGACTGTTTAGTCAGCGGCAATAATTCTGCATGGTTGTTGCAGGTTGAATACTACAATTTTCTGGGAAAGGATAACGTCCCATTCCATAGCGTGATTTTTCCGTGCTCCTTACTTGGAGCTAAGGATAATTACACCCTAGTCACTCACATGAGCGCTACAGAGTATTTGAATTACGAAAGCGACAAATTTTCGAAAAGTCGTGGAGTGGGTGTGTTCGGAACGGACGCTATATCCACAGGCATCGATGCGGATATTTATCGTTTTTATCTTCTTTTCGTGCGTCCAGAAAACCAAGATACGTCATTCTCGTGGGCCGATCTCGTGCTGAAGAACAACACTGAACTGCTAAACAACATTGGCAACTTTATTAATCGCGGACTGAGCTTTTTAGATAAGAATTTCGGTGGTGTCATCCCGGAAATGAAGTTAATTGACGAAGATTTTCAACTGCTGGCCAGCATTAATTGTGAAATTGCCGCATATGTGAGCAACATGGAGCAGGTCTGTCTGAAGGAAGCATTGCGGGATATTTTGGCCGTATCGCGTTTGGGTAATCAGATGATGCAAGCAGCACAACCGTGGGCTCTCGTTAAGGGCACGGACGAGCAGAAAATTCGTGGCGGCACTGTGATCGGTTTAGCGGCAAATATCAGTCTGCAGTTGTCGATTATGCTGTTGCCGTTTATGCCGCATTATAGTAAGGTCATCCAACAGCAGCTAAACGCCCCGGATAGCTGTTACTATTTGGTGGAATACTTGATTTGCCATCTCGAAGCTGGACATAAGATTGGCACACCGGGACCGTTATTCCGCAGAATTGAGAGCGCGGAAGTGGAAGATTTGAAGAAACGTTTCGCCGGGAAGCCAGCGCCTAAACCAGATATTCCAGCTGCGGCACTAAGTCCGGAGGAGCTTGAGGCGCTGAACAAGGAAATAACATCGCAGGTACGGTATTAATATCACAGATTGCGTTTGACTTACTTTAGCGTTAAATTTTGCCAGGATGAAAAAAGAGTCTTACAGTTAGATCAGATGTTTCTGTAATTTATGCATTTCGCTTAATGTTTTTTGGTTATCGCTCATTTGATAATTAAAGAGAGGACACAAAAAACTTCACATTATTGTTTTGTTGGTGCCCAAGAGCAACAGCCGGTGTTTTATCGTGTTGAAAGGATCGAGAGAGTTAATTAAATTACGTGAACTGTCGTTTTTGACATCTTACATGGTAGATTTGGTATGGCCACAACCCACAAGCAGAATATTTATGCGCTTTTAGCGTTTGCATGGCTTCTTCTTTACTTGTAAGAGTGCATACTGCTTACATTATTGTTAATGAAATTGTAGATGTGCGTAAATGGTTCATACTTTATTTATACTTCAGTGGTTGATATTGGTTGTTCTTTAGGGAGAAGTGGTGAGGTCATTGAAAACTCAGAATGCAGCAAAAGAAGAAATCGACAAGGCGGTTGCGGTGTTGTTGGGTTTGAAGAACAAACTGAAACTGCATGGCGGTGCTGGTGATTCGACGAAAGCAGAATCTAACAAAAAAGGAGCAGCTAAGGCGAAAGGTGGACAAAAAACTCCTGTTACATCCGGTTGATACTTTTGTTTTATAGTTTTATATTGATCCATTGATTATTCGTGAAAGTCTTCGGTGCATTCGTAAAAAAAAGCGATCTTAAAAATGTGGCTTTGTTGTTTTGGCTTCGGTGCGTCAAGGAAAGTTAACCGGAGACAGAGAAATGCAACAGCATTTGTTACTTACTTGTTATCTCGCATTGTTATCGCATTTTTCTAATGTCACTCAGTTCCAGTACTAGTTGTCCACTAATGCTGAAATTCATTGAAATGTTTGAATACAGTCATAGTTAGGTATACTACACCGTAGTACAGTACTTACGTTAATTATTGTGGAACGAAAACTATTAGGACAAAGCGCTCGTATTTGTAGAACTGCTAAATACTAACTACATAGTACGGCTGCAAGTACTGTTACTTCAATAACAATGATATATTTGGACGCTTTCACAGGTTTCCAAATTCTGTTATGGAAATATTTATTAACATTTCTATTGCTGAGAATTTACTAACGATAAGGTCAGGGTTGCCGCCTACGAGTATGCATGTTTACAATTTTCTACCGTATTGTTCCATTTCCGGTTTGTGATTTGTTTTCCGCTTCGAAATCAGCGATCATGGACAGGGTGGGTGAAACATCCGTGATAACTGCGTGAGTTGTGGATACCATTTCCCGTAATTTGGAATGGATACGGAATCACATTATCACAGATCCGTAGTCTAGTCACAATGGAGTTGAAATGTGGAGTTGAAATTTTTAGTTTTTAACTGGATTTTTCCGCCAAGCATTTCATTTTCTGATTTAACCCGTCAAATTAATATTCTGTTTCTGGTGTTTGCAGTCCTTTCAACTTTTCCGTGTGGCTGTGTGTGATTACGTAGTTGCTTGTATTTACTGTAGATTTTGTATTTGTGACTGCAGTGCTGTAAATTTTTTAGTACGTACTGTACTGAAAAGGTGAATTTCTCATACGGTGGTGTTTTATTCGGTTGAAGAAAGATTTATCCATACGATGTGGCGGCACAAGTTTACTGGATTGATCGGCACAGCTTTCACGGGCTCAGCGTTTTCATTGTTCGGTTTCCAAAGCCAGAGTGCGCCCCCGTTGGACGATCTCAAGTTGCAGAGTATTCAAGTGTTTTTCCGCCATGGCGCCCGTACCCCTCTGCGCCCTATCCCCTTCCTCCCCGGAGTGCAGTGGCCGAAGGAGCTCATGGCGAACCCGCCGGCCTCTCCCGTGCAGTACGTCCTCACGGGGATGGACGGCAAAGTCATGACTCGCAGTCCCCACGATGACAAACTGCAGAAGATTGTTTTTCCAGGCGGTGCCAAAGCAGGTCATCTGACCACGGTGGGGAAGCAGCAGATGTTTGATCTCGGCCGACGACTACGTATGGAATATATTGAAAAGCGCCGTTTATTGAATCCGGCCTACAGTGAATCTCAGGTGTACGTGCGTTCGACTAATATCCTGCGCACCGTGGAATCCGCGCAGTGGATGGTTAGTGGGATGTTTGATGCAGCTGCAAAAGGCGCCAAGCCTGTGGTTATTCATACGGATCTGGATGAGGAGGAAATTCTGTATCCAAATGTAAATTTCTGCATTGCTCTCAAGAATGTCAATAAGAGTTTCTACAAGTGGGTCGACGATATGCCCGGGTTGGAGAAGAGTCGTTTAGCACACACAAAGATTTTAAATTACACTCCGGAGAAGTATGATGGGAAAAAGCTGGATTACCAGGAACTGCGCGATGAATTGAGTGCGAGAGAAGCTAATGGTATGCTTTTTCGTTTCCAAAGTTTTGCTTTCATTGAGTTGTGCTGCATTTTCGAAATTGTTTCGCAACATTCCGCCGTAATAAGTAAATATGTTCAGTAAACCGTATACGTAAACCAAATAATTCACAGCAAATGTTTTCAGTGCTTATTACTAGTATGTTTTCACAATGTTAAAAAGTTGTTTATTAAATTTAATACGCCTTAAATCTGTGACTAGTTCTCAAATTTCAGTACTTGAAATTTGGATATTTAACACTGTATGAATATCAGATTACGAATGTCAAATTGCAGCTTGCATCCTTTTCGATCTAATGTTGTATTTTAAAGGTTTGTTTAATTTACTTTGGTTTCGAAAAAAACGTTATTTGAGTGAATGGATTATCTGACTGCTTCGTAACCAATAAATCTCCTTAGGCATCTCGTATTTCATAAATTATATTGTCATCATTTCGCGGTATTGCATTGTGTACTCGAGTTGTCAAAGTGGTACCGTTCTTCAATGCTAAACTGCATTATTGCAGTAAGTACTACTTGAAATGCTCAGTTCAGTTTTTGATTTCTTTGACATGCGTGGGCCAGCGTGGCTGGCCTAAAGGCTTATTAAGGACCAATTACTTTCAGTTTATTGTTAAGAGTGATTGTACTTACCGTATACTGGACTTTTAGCTGTACGAAGGCTAATGGCATTCTGTCAATAGGGCTGTATATTCCCCCGGAAGCCAAGGAAATGTGGAATCAGATCGACAGTCATGCCATCGAGATGTTAAAACTGATGGTGTCCGGTCCGGACGAAAAGAAGCGCAGTACTGTGCTGTCCTTATCGTGCGGTGCTGTTCTGCACATGGTGGCCGCCAACATGGATACGGCCGGCCAGGTTACTGATTCGAAAAAGATGTTTGTCTACTCCGCCCATGATTCTTTGATGATGGCGCTATTGCTGACGCTGGGTTTCTTTGACGGACACTGGCCTCCGTTTGCCGCGGATATTGTCTTCGAATTGTATACGGACAAACAGGACAAGAAATGGGTACGCATACTGTTTATGGGGCGGCCACAGAAGTTGGGGAAAGAGCAGGGGGAAATTATCTCATATGACAAGTTTAAGAAATTGATTGCACCGTTTTCATTGTCCTACAAGAAATATCGCCGGGTGTGTGATGTGCAGGAGGTGGAAGGAGGGGAAGTGATGGATGTGATAGGGGGCAGGAAGAAGTGATATTATGGTTGTGGTGGTACGATTTACGACGGTGTTGGCCAGCCGGTTGCTGTTGAACTTATGACGACTGACGATAGAGTTTTATCATTGCCATAATTATTGACTGAGAGCTGATATCGGTGATATGCACTCATGTATTGTTTTCGGTTATACTAATCTGTTTTTTTAGTGCGCTCGTGTTGCTAATGCTTTTCTTCGATTTATGTCCTTGCAGTTAGCGACCGTTTTTCCTGTATGTTTTGAAGGCTATGCTGAGAATTATTAGACTACTATTCCGATTCCAGTGCGTAGATTATCAATTACCTGTAACTGAGAAGCGAAGTTTACTTTTTCGCTGTTTAGTACTTCATATGGAACATTTGTACCGTCTGGTTCGTAACGTATGTGGTGTTTGAAAGTTGGAGCGTCCAGCAATAAAATTAGTTGGTGAACGTTTTGCCGTAATTTGGTCTAGTCCAGGCCACATACATGATATCTACGTCATGGATCTATCTTGTACTAAAGCCTGATTTAGTATGGAGAATCTTCTACTGTTTGTTTATTACCACTTGTAGACTGACGACTAACCGTCAGAAACAAAGTTTTGATAGCCATTTATTGACTATCGACTCATACCTTCGGTAAATTATGACGTCAAAAAGAACCGGTACATTTCTGTATACGTGCTGCTGATGCACCAGTACAGTACACTGCTACACATCAGATTAATCATTAATGGGATTGAAGATAAATAATAAGTACGTATAATACGCAGAATATGCAGAACGGCGGATTTACATACTTACTAAATTTCGTAAGTTGTCCCGGTTTCCAGTTGATGGACCGCGTTGGGCCATATGAGTAGCGGTTTCGCAGTGCGCGTCCAGTCCGTAACCGCTATCAGCGGATAATTATTATCGCCATCCCGATGACCCAGTGTGCCAGTAGCGATAAAACCCTGTATAGCCAAATTTAGTCCCACAATTCCACAGGGAACAATCAGTAAGGCCTGCATGGCTGCAATGACCAGAACAGTTCGCCAGTTGGCGTCACTGATGGCAGATCCTGATAGCAAAAAATTCGCTGATTCTAATAAACCAACAATCGAACAAAAAAGTGCACCAATAACCAGCGCAATGCAGGTTATAGCCTGGGAGTAATATTGTAATTTGGTCAGTTCAGTATTGCTCCATAACATGTGCCCGCCGTCCACGCGGGTGATATCCATCGTTACTTTCTGAGCTTGATTTTCTGCTAGTGTTATAAATCTCCTAAAGGATCTTATACACAACATCAGCGCTATGCCAGCGAAAACACCGGGATAGCCTTTGTCCATTGTGTATCCAGCGGTAATAAAATCTCCACCAAACCATATCAAGCTGGAGGCTGCACTTCACAAAGGGCACAGATTAGGAATAGATATGTAAGTACTGTGTTTACGTACTGTACGTAGCACACATGATTGCGGCACTTACATACTGTAGAACTTTGTGCTTCTTGCGCACCAGAAAAACTGTATTCTACATATGCTTCCATGTAAAGAAATCCGTAACAAATAACAAAAAATTAAAATTAATGTTATTATAGTTAGTGTTTGAAAACTCTTGAGTATTTTCGAAACCACAAAGTCATACCAGCAACGGTTTGTGTTGTCACAATTGCCTAAATAAACCTACTCGTAGTGGTTTATTAGGTAACAAAATATTAATACGTAACAGTTACTAGTTAGTCAGTTACTAATTAATGCGAGTAAGGTTTTTTGCACAAGCTACGTTTTAGTGACTTTGTATTGTCGCGCAAAAAAACTTCAACTTTCCTTACCGTAGTTGATGACGGTACTTTAACTAACCGATGGTTTGAGCGCCAATCATCAAGCAACTTATGATAATTTCAAATGTAAACATTGCTTGAACACATGGAATCATCATCGGTTTTCGTTCAACTTCCGTATTACGAATTTTTTCTTGCAGCGGTAGATTTTCTACTATCGAGGCACGGTGTTGCCTTTCGTGGGCTCCCTCATCATAATGATGCCCAGTATGCCAAGTCATAACCTATGAAAAATTAGTCGGACAATTTAAAAACCAATGCAGTATTATGTAAGTGTGCATAAAGTCAATCTCTTCAACACTAAAATACAAGCGCATTCTTGTTAATTCTACAAGTACTGTACTGTGAGCGCGGAAAAAACTGAAAGTTTTGTTAAAATCCAATAGGTTGCCAAGAAACAAGTCCTGCAGGTCATCAAAACTGTTCAACGATTTTTAAGGTTCCAAGAAGTGAGAAAATGCACGATAATGCAGCAGGAGTGTACAAATCTTCAATTTCAAGTAGAAAATCAGATATTTTAACATTATGCCGACTTATTTGAAAATCGCAGTTTCAACCATAGCTCCCAAACACTGAATAGTATTTTGCACCAACAAATGGTCGACTTTTTCTTCGAGATGCCTCTTTGGATCAATCTTGCCCACATTCTTTATAGCAAGTTGCTCCGGGGTCATTTTCTCCTCGTCGTCCAGAGCCTAATCGAAAACAAAATTACAAACAGCCACCGCCAGCGCAAAACAATAATCCTACTTTAATGTAGTCCTTCGCCAGCTTAACCATGGCTTCAGCAGTCTTTTCGTTATTAGCACAATGTTCCTCATATTTTTGCAACGATAAGCCTTCCACCCATGACTTCTTGTGGAGGTTCAGCAACATCTAAAAAGCAGTCACTCATCAGGCACGGTAATACAACTTGATAAGTGCTTACTTTGAATAATTAGTTAAGTACTTACTAACCAGAAACATATTTGTTAAATTAATCGTATCTGTTAAAGAAAATTAAAACAATTATACAAAACAAATAAAATTAAAAAAACTACGCTCAAGAGTGTGACAAGCAGTAGTCCACAACAAAATAAGTAGGTATCTAACTCATTCTACAAAAGTTTTCTTTTCCCAAGGAAAGCCAAACGTGGGAAAACTTAACGGGCTGTACTGTTCAACAAAGACCCAAAAATCCGATATCAAAAACAAATTAACGGAACTTTACAAAAATAAAAATTACGAAGTAAAGTAAATCAATTAACGCGACAACTGAATTGAAATAAATTTCGCACAAACAGATTTCAAATAGTAGTTATCATGCATTCCAACTCACCTTTTGTTCAAGTTCATTTTTTCGATAATTGATGGCGATGCTGTAATAATGCCTATTGAGACCATGAATAAGTGCCTGTAATCGAAGTCAAGTCATAATAAGTATTATAGATGTTTATAAGAAAACAATATAATTAGTTAATTTATTACCTGAATGGAAGGTTTCTGGAGATGTCCAATATTAGACGTCGTCTGACGAGGCTCTTGTCCCAAAACGACAGTGTTAGGATTAATCAGACGGAAAGCATCAATGACCACCTTTCCCTTTACACTCTGAATGGGATCGACCACGACAGCAACTGCTCGATCGGATAAAGCTTCAAAGCTCTGTTGCGTATTGATATCCACTCCTAAATTATTAAGATTACTCAATTTACAAGACGGCGATTAGTTGAAAGTTCGGCGGAAATAATTTAACTTTTGAGACCTATGCCGGACAGTGCAGAGTGCAGACACAAAAATCCAGCAACACAAACAATGCTAGATCACATGAAAAAGCATGCTTAAGCTTAAAGATCTACGAACCTGACAACCAGCAGCCGAAACCAGGATGAGAGTGGTACCACCCGACTACCATTTCCGGCCTAAAAAAGTGAAATCATCCATGACAACATTTCCAGCGCTTCAATAGTACCTAACAAACCTGCGACGTGCACCACTACAACGACAACAACCACATCAACTCACCTTCCCGTCTGCTTCAACATTTCCAACATTTTAGCCTGAAAGACAGGATCCACGGCTTCCACGCTAACGCCCTACAATACAAGATAGTAACCAAATTAGGGAATCATCTGGAACACGAAAACCATACACTATGTTGCAAGGCATACGTACTCGCAAATGCAGAATCATAACGTCTAAGGTAAATTAATCTTGTAGCAAAGAGATACCCATAAGGTGCCGCAAGTGAGAAATAACAAACTTACAAAAAAAACCTGCATATTATGGTACGACAAACACCGAAAACAAACTCGCACCGCTTACCGTTCCGGACTGAGGCATGGCAAAAACGTCGATAACGCGCACTGTATAATCGTCCACGAATTCGCCCAGCATCAGACCCATGACTTCCATAGGAACACCAGCCCGGCCGTGTTTCAACATCTGCAATCATAAACACACCGCTATAAGATCAGCGTAAATCGTAAAGTACACGCTATATACAGTAAGAAATTTCCGGACGTTCTATGGAAAAAAGGACCACCACACTATTTTGCCAGACTTTCAAATCCTTTACAGTCTGCACTAAGCACCATACATTTAACAACAATGCGAACGAGACAGTATACACGCCGAAGTGTAAGTCTTCTTTAATCTACTTACTTACGCTGACTTCACGGAGAAGAAAAGCGGCTATAATAACAGAAAGGTAAATACCTTTAAAAGGGCCAGAGAAGAGATGTAAACTTGTTCCGCAGTGTCCACGCTCGGTGTATCGCCTTGAGGTCCTGCATTCTACATTGCATAAAGCATCGTTGCGGCAGATGGAGGCGAATCATAAGACGAACAAAACGGAATCTGGTTACCTGAAGTCCAGGCAGACCTCCGGCTCCCAGACGGAACAATCTCTCCATTCTGACGGAAATTGAGAAAATGGCTCAGCAGTTTAAATTCGATGAGAAACAGGAAATCTGTATATGGACGGGTAAAGAAGCAGGGCTTTAATTACTGCAAGTACTAGTTTGTTCCGCACTTCGATAACTCAATCGAATCTCACAAAATTAGCAGAGCAGTTATTCGCCAGTGGGACTAGGAATTCCAGTGATCCAGAAATATTAGTTTCTAACGAATCGAGATGACTGCTCGTAAAAGAAAAAAGAATTACACATACACAAACGAAGGAAGCGGAGCGAAACTCCAGTTTCTCGTCAATAATATTCCACCAGAAAATAAAAATAATTTCAGAGTGACTGTGCGGTTTGGCCCATACAATAATGTCAACCCCGGGGATTAAGTTCGTGCACTGCAGAAGTGCGGCTTGGGTACTTTGATTTATACCCCGGTTATCACTTCCCTGTTAGCAGGGTCCAACATAGGCCAATACTTGCTTTTAAACCAGTTGAGTTTTCGTTAACAATTCGAATAATTATCTATAATGTTAAATTTAATTAGAATGTTATTTTTGAATTTTTAATGCGATTTTTCATTTTCTAGTACAGTACTAATCTTATTTTTCGAATGTGCCGACAACGTCGTAGTTTGAAAGTGGCCATATTGATTTCTCAGTCCTGTACTGTAACTCTTGCTGCGCATGCAATCGTCCGGGTTGTAAAAAATTTTGCAAGCAGTAATAACTATTAAGTATTCAATTTTTCATGTTATGATCTAATCTCAGCTTTGAGCATAGAACTGTTTGAGTTCCTTCTCGAAATGCCTAGGAAGTCTGAAGAGTTTGCTTCGGAATTTGAACAAGAGTTCGACAGGCATCGACATGTCCTGCAAAAAGGAGCTGGAGGTCCCATGGGATACGGTGAGCAGCTTGAAATAATTGACTTGTCACTAGTTATCAGCAGTAGTGATTTATAATCTGTATTGCATCGCAATAGTGCTGCATCTTAAGAGTACTTGTGAAAACAGTAAAAAGCGGGCAATGTTTTCAAGCTACTAAGAAGCCATTTCATGATTTTCATCAAGAGTCATTTCGCTGTTGGGATGTGGCAGATTGACATGCTTAATTTTCCACGGGAAGCTTTAATTTACTGACGTTTTTCACTGGTGCAGGTGATCCGGACGACAAAACTTTAAGAAAAGTGGAGAAAGATGTTATGGTTCCTATGATCATCCGCGATCGCACTAGGCTCGAGAAATGTCGGGAATATTATGATGGTAAAACAGCCTGCAAACACGCAGCAGATTAGATACAGTAATTGAATGGTGTTTACCGTATGTGCGTGCGATTTGAGTAGCTGTAAAACTTACGAATTAATAATGGTGTCTTTATTTGGCACTGGATACTTTTTGTAATTGTTGTTCGCTATTCTCAGAGAAACCCTAGGTTAGCTTATAAATTATGTATTCGAAATGCCGGTTTCGGGTTTATAGTTGATATGTTTCTGGGTTGTTCTTACGACAAAAGGGCATCATCACATCATACAGTACCTGTCGAACTTTTAGTTAATTCGGATGTTTTAAAGCTTTCAGGGCATGCGGTAAAGCAGCCGGTCTGGGGATCGTTTTCCGATGCAGAAACGAAAATAAGGATATGGTGCGCTGTTTTAATAAATGGTGCGTTTAGATATAAAGGCAAAATCGGAATCGGTTTTTGCCTTTTTACTTTTTTAAGTGCAGTTTGCGTTCTTTAAATGCTTTCGTTTGAGCAAATTTTCAAACTGTCAAAAATATACTGGAAAATAATTTCTTTTAGTGTGGCCTTCTTTAGTATACAGATCTGTAGTATTTTTAGTGTGGCCTTCTTTAGTATACAGATCTGTAGTATTTTTAGTGGGGCCTTCTTTATTATACAGATCTGTAGTATCTGTAGTATTAGGCCTCGTCCCGAATTCAAAGCGAATCTCGTTGCGATACAGCAACTCCACCTCGCGAGGTGGCTTCGCGTACCGTATCTATAGGCGTGGCCACTGCATACCACCACCTGGTGCGGTTGAGCAACCGTACCATAGCGAGATTCGCTTTGAATTCGGGACAAGGCCTTAGTATACAGTATCTGTAGTATTTCTTTAGTATAGTACTTCTTCCCTAAAAACATAACACAATGTCATAATATTAGTTTTGATTGTTCCACAGTGCGATTGCTTGTACCACATTTGTTTTGCAGGTATCATGATCCTGAATTCGTAGAAGAATGCACACAGGAATATTTGGAAAAACGAGCAGAGTTTCGTAAAACCGGTCAAATGAAAAAGCGGAGGAAATTTACGGAACCGGCAGGAGAGTACGTACCGTATGGTACTTTACCCTTTCAGAAAAAGGACGGAGATGAAAAGACTTGATTGGTGTAGGCCATTTCGAACTGTGCAAAGTCGCGTGTTGAATAATTTTCATGTTTTTAACAGTCATAAGATACAGTTTGTTGTTTTTGACCAAAGAAGTTTCGACAGTTGTGCCGGTGTGGGTTTTCTGGATGATAGTTGGGGCTGGCATGCCAGAAGCTCCTCTCTACATGTAGTTCAAATGCGCTCCGTGTTGTATGGAGAAGATTGAATAAATAAAGTTTTGGAAGAAAGAAATGTGTTCTGGCTTATTGGATTATAGCTGCTCCAGCCTCCAAATGTATTTTGCAAGCGTTTGTGAGTTCCCCATGCTACTTAGTACGCATGTAATCGCCATGTCGTATCTCAGCACTTGAGCTTATGTCTGTATAAGACTAGGACGTTTTCCGGTGCGGAGATTGCGAATTATTATATTGTGTGAAGGCGATCATTTCTGTGACATAACATCATACAATGAATATTTTCGGACGACAAAATTTTAAGTGACCAGATTCGCAAATCGCAGTCTTTCACTATCTTTTAAATTTTAATCTTCGGTGCGTGCACTACTAGGGCGAAACGCTGTAAATCTCCAATTCCGAGTGAAAGTTGGGAATGAAGTGGTCACCTTAATTGCATTTACATAGGTAACTTAACCGTATCGTTTCCGGGTGTCTCCATCTGATCAAAAGGGCACGATTCAGTTACATTCCCGATTCCATGGAACACCGAAAAGCACCAAAAATGAGGTCTCCCAACGCCAAAAATCTTTAATAAGGCTTAATAATATTTAATTATGTCAGTACTTGATTATGGTATTTCCTCTTGTCTGTGCACCAGTATTTTTAATTCTTGCTATGCAGCAACTTCTGCTATCGAAATTTTAAAACTGCTTAGGTTTGCACATTGTTTATGCATTAACAAGCTTATTAGCTATGCTGTTTGCTTAGGTTTGATTTTTCAGAAGTGTCTCTAAGCATTTTAACGGCTGACCTTGACACTGCATGCTTCCTGTTGAATGTCTGTTCATTCACCAGCTGCCAGCTAGCCGGCATTTGCTTGATTAAAGTACAGTGTCATTGCGCAATGTCAAAGTTGTCACTTGTCACACGATAGAGTAAAAATTTTAACGCATCTCTTACTGTAAATCGAACAACAAAGCAATTTTGCTACTTTTTTATCTCTGCGCTTGCTGCATCGTATCGCGCAATAGACTTCGTGTGCCAGGTACCGAGCCCTGTGGCATTCTTACAGTCGATTACGAATTGTTTTTCTATATCTACTTATTACAATTAAACATAATTTTATGCAGTGTAGTTGTACAAAGCAGTTGCGAATCGCGGCCTGTGCCTCTCAGAGTCGGTTACCTGTCGCCGAGACGGTAGATCAAGACCAGTTTCACTAACTTTCAGTTCTTGAATCTTGGTGCATTTTTCGGTGTTCGTCATCCTTCGTCGATAAAGCAAGCTATCTCGTTTGGTTCCAATTGCCGACATCATACCCCGTGCCAGACATTGTGGTTTTCGTTGGTGGATTGTTGCATGATCGTGGTGCGCGCGGCAAATTCGCGATAACTGCATAATTCCAAATTTTTTAAATCATGGAAAGCGGCGATAGTTCCTTTCCTTGTAAGACGGGAGTTGATATTTACAACTGGTCCAAGACGTTCTCCTGCACACCGGAGATGTTCTGTGAACCAACCAATGTGGATGAGTTAAAGCAGGTAAGAAAAATCAAATAAACCATAAGTGTGAGAATTATAAAATTATAATGTGGCGCAAACGCACTTGTTGTCATATCATCAGCCTGCATTGGTCAGGATCTGTTTGATTTTTATTTTTTACGCTAGATTTTGCTTCATGCTCAATCCAAGAAGCGGACTGTTCGAGTAATGGGCGCTGGGCATTCGCCATCGGATATCGCATTTACTAATGACATTTTGGTATCCATGAGGAGAATGAACCATTTAATCAGCGTGAGTAGTTTTAAGAAAACATGGTTTCTTTCGGATTTGTAATTTTTTGGTGGTTGTTGCATACGAATCCTGTAATTTTAATCTTTATCATCTCATTTGAATTGCAACTTAACGGATTAATAAGTTTTGAATTAACATAATTATGTCTGTTGCACGATTGTATATTGTACAGTAAGTACAGTATTTAATATTTATTGTTTTTATGCTTGCAGTGTCAGTTGTTGTGTTTATTTTCATCTGTGCTCTACCAAGTAGTAGTCCACGGTCTTTGCGTAACAAATTTGACTCTTGAGTTTTGCAGGTTAACAAGGAGTTATGCCAGGTTACGGTGGAAAGTGGAATGTTGATTGACGAACTAAATCCTTTATTGACAGAAAATGGACTGGCTCTCAGCGTGTAAGCAACACATTGCTTTTATTAGGCTACTTTTTTTCGTCTATACTCGTATTTACAAGGGACCGAAATCACCACAAGGTGATTTCGGTCCCTGTGATTATTTCTCATGTCTGGTAACGTTCTGGCACTCGGCATATACAGTTTCCGGTTTCTGTCGACATATCGATACTGTTAACCCCAATTACGATCGTTGTTTTGCCGGGAAACCTGTTTGTTTGATGACTTCGAAATTACTAGTATCAGGCACGTGGTTTTTATTTGTCTTTCTCCATTACCTTGCATTATATTGTAGTTTGCCATCGGTTTCGGATATGTCCATCGGTGGAGCCGTCGGAACCGGAACGCACGGGAGTGGAATTAATTATGGCACATTATCTTCGTATGTAAGTTCGTGCAGCCTGTAATACTACATCGAAACTTCACGTTCAAGTTCAAGTTTCAAGTTCGAAAAAAAATTCAAGTTTCGTTTTCATATGTAGTTTATGAGGCAATGTGGGCTTTTTCAAAGGGAAGTTTTTCTAAACCTGGAAAATCTTTCAGAACGCACTTCCACTTATCTGTAGTTCCTTTTACTCTTTATATTATGATTGTTTTCGTATCCATCTCCGTCTTTGCACTCTAAACATGGCATACACTTTCGGGAAAAAATTTATTGTTTTACCAGGAGTAGGTAATAGACTAATAGAACCACTGCTTTTTAGGTCACCGCATTAGATCTGTTGATTGCGGATGGCACAGTTCTGCACTGTTCCCGAGAGGAAAACAGTGAGGTATTCCTGGCGGCGGCATGTGGATTGGGAGCAATGGGAATCGTTATTCAATTAACTCTACAATGTGAACCTCGATTCAATTTAACACAAAAACATTATGGCGAAAAAATGAGTACGGTTAGTCTTCCAGTTACCGTTTACTTTTTAAACGCCTTTCGCTTACATCGGCATCGGTAACAGGTTTTGGCAAATTTGGATCAGCACCTGAAAAATTCAGAACACTTCAAATTTATGTGGTATCCACATACGGATGATGTCATCGTGTGCGAAATAAATCGGACACCCTACAATAAGGTACGGCGTGTCCAGGTATATGTTTTCCATTGGGAATCCATAAAAATATATGCGGTTAAATTAATGCATTATTTGTTGTTGATTGCTTAGATTACCAAAGACAAACTGCTCTGGGAGAGGTTTTGGATGATCCTTCTGTTCTTAAGCACTTATCTGATTGAATTTCTGTATTGGGTTAGGTAAGTGCGATTAACTGTTTTTAAGTGTAAATATCTTTCTTTATCTTCGACCTGCTGTGCTTGTACCGTAAGTTTGATGTTACAAAATTATTTATATTTATCCTACTACAGTTTCACTTTCACGTTTCGGTTAATTACTTGCTTTTATCTGTTGTGTTCATTTCTTTCATGCAGCACGTTTATCCCAGGCATTACAGCGTATATTAATCGTTTGGCATTCCATCTTCATAAAGGTCCAACGGAGGTGGACGATGTCAGCTATCGTATTTTCAATTTCGATTGTCTGTTCCAGCAGTTTGTGACAGACTGGGCAATACCAATGTAATTACATAGAAACTGAACATTTTTGCTTTTCGTTCCTTCAGTTATAAATTATGTATTTATTGCGTTAATTTTATTAGAGAGAAGACTGGTGAAGCGGTTACGCATTTGAAAGAGTGGCTAGACACACAGGATGATACGGTAGTGGCGCATTTTCCGGTAGAAGTCAGATTTGTGAAGAAGGACGATATGTACATGAGCCCGGCATATGGACGGGATACAGCCTTCATCAATATCATTGTTTACCGGTACGTTTCTACCGAACCAAAACTAATTTCTAGCGAACCTGTTTTGCGAAAGTTTATACGTTTGATGGGTTATCTGCTACCGTGATGAAACTTTTAAATTATTGTTATTCGAGATTATGGTATTTCAAATCTGTTACTGTAAGCTTCTTGGACTTTACGTTTCGGTTTCTTAGAGTAATTAATTTGTTCGGTTAACGATTTTTTCTCGTTACAGACTTACAGTAAGATATTGTAAAGTTGATTCTGGATTATTGTGATTGATAAAGGATAAGAACTAACTTAATAACTGAAGTACTGTATGTAAAAAGCTCGCTTTCTCGTACGAAAATAGATTTGCTAGCGCTACATGCTCTGGTACAAAGTTGATTGCCTGCAAAAACTGTGTTATACGTACGCTGGTCAATAGAAAAGTATGGTAGTAGCTTGTTCTCAGCCCTCAGGTACTTAATTCTACCAAAAAAGCATGATTTGAATATTATTCTACAAATTATAGGCCGCTTTTCAAATGTCCAAAATTATTATTTAAGTTACCGTTGATCTAACATCCTGATCTGAAATTAGCTGTTGATAATCGTTTATGAAAATTTGCTCCAATACTAGACGTCAGGCCATGATTCGTGACATGTTGCGTGCCGCAATGGCGACGGCAGCCCGTGGACTACTACGATAGTGTAAACTGATGTTGAAATGAGTTGATGTTGAAACTGATGTGAAAAGTACATGATGTCTGACTCAGTACATGAAATGATAGAAAGTCTTTTGGAGCTCCGATTGTGGCTTTCGGTGAAAATAGTAAATTAGCCAGAAATGGCTTTGGTTTGCCTTTACGGCAGATGACAGTAAACTGTCGAAATTAACCATATTTTGGAAAAGTAAAATCCATAAATTGCTGTTTTACAGCACCCAGGTCCTTACCGGACTGCAAATAAAAAAAGAAAGGGGACATCAATGGGGAGAGAAGATTTCAGTTTTTGCTCTTCGTCAGAAGTGCGTGGTGTGATCTTTGCTAACCATAAGAGATACATTTTGGACGCATTAATTTGCTGGGCTTGCGCATTGTAAAATTTATACAGTTTTGTACGAGACTACGAATACGCCCAATTCAGAAATTTTCACATATAAAAGCTACTACTAGGGTAGACTTGGTACAATGACTACAATCGTACCCCTTGTCCAGTACCAATAACATTAGAGAAAGTACCAATACATAACATTAGAGAAAATTCGACTTATAGCAGATCTAATATTGGTGCGTTTTGTGTATGACTATGTACTTAACTAACTTACATGAACTTGTGTTCGTGCATCACTTTAGACCATACGGTAAGGAAATCATGAAGGATCAGCTATGGACGTACTACGAAAACCTTATGGAAAAGCATGACGGAAGACCGCATTGGGCTAAGGTAATACTGAAGTTATTATTGTGCCGATACCTGCCGTACGATATCATACCGCTAATTACATAACTTTCTAGTTTAGACATTCAGGTTTAGTAAGTACTGTACACGAATGCCACTACTACAGAGTAGCTTATGAAAATGGGAATAATTATAATTAGCTATAATTATATTGTTGGTAATCGTATGTCTTATTTTTATTTCAGGAGCATAAAGTAGATGGTTCCAAATTGGTCAGAATGTATCCTCATTTCAAGGACTGGTGTCGGATACGGGAAAACCTGGATCCCAACCGAATTTTTGTCAATCGCTATATCTCGCAGTTGCTTGGCTCTGATGCATCACAATCCATGTTGTGAAACACATTTGTTTAACTTTGCGTAAAATATTGTATCTTGGTAATCACTTGTTTTGTGGTCATACCGAAAACTTTTTACCGGTGGATAAATTATTGCCTAACTGACGGCTGCTTTTAAATTTTGATCTTTTATCGTTGGAGTTTAAAAACGGATGTTGGACTTTTATTACTGCGTTGATGCGTGCATTATGAACAGTGTTGTTGAAGCACGGAACCATTGAGTTACTCATGGTAATGTTTCATAATTCCGGTGATTTTGAGACTGGCTAGGTAAATTTGCCAGAAGGTTTGTTCTTAACAAAGTGATATGGTTACTGAAATTATTTGTGCATACATACTCGCAGTCAGTTTTGTTTGGTGTCCTTTTTGTCTGTTAGTGTTTGTGTGAGCTGTTTGATTAATAAAATCCCCCGCTAAGTACGTACTGCTCGTACCCCAAGGAGTAAGGTCAGACTTATCGTGAGAATTTTGAAAAAAGCTGTGTTGCATCAATTGTAGCTCATCCAACAGTGCTTACAAAAGCAAGCAGAACTTGAAAATTATATCTTAAAGTTAAACGTGAAGCAAGCGATTACGGGGTGAGACTTACGACTTACTTATCGACTTACTTACTTTTGTGATTTATGGTTAGACTTACTTATCGTTAATTACAGTACTAATACTTGCAATCAGTATGACTGATTACTGTATATCTCTCAAATCTTTTTCCTCTCGGTAATACATGATCATATCTGTACAAGATGATATTATAATATTCTACTTGTAAACTGTAATTTATTTACTCTTACGGTTTATTTAGTTAGTCTTACCAGTTAGTTAGTCTTACTTAATTTAGTTGGTCTTACTTTGTTTAGTCTTACCAGCAAAAATCTCACGTATCTTTCTACTTCTTGCTAGCTGCTTGCATGCTTGACTAATTAATTCTGGACAGTGGCCAGTGGGCAGTAGTACTTTTTCGAAAAAACCGAGCCGAATACAACAATCACAAATTCCCGCTGTTTTTTTACACAAACTTTCGCAATATCAAAGTGACGGTTTATGAATGCATTATGCAAAACAGTTTCAATAATAATGATTGGCAATTACTGCTTTGCCGTATTGACTGTATACCCGATTACCTTTTTATACATACCGGAATCCTGCGTTCCTGCGCACTCCATACAGCTACTTATACGATCTCTGCGAGTTAAAAAATCTACAAATATTTCGACAAAATTTTTAGACTATGCAAGTAGAAGGAGCGCTGGCGCAACGGTAGCGCGTTCGACTCCAGATCGAAAGGTTAAGGGTTCAAATCCCTTGCGTTCCCCTTTTTGGCTCTGCATATATTTTTTTAGCACTTTAATACAGTTGAGCAGATTTATACACGGCTACAGTAGGTAATGGTATGTACGATCTGAATGTAAAAGTAAAACTAAAAACTTCAACAAAAGTAAGTAAGTACTGTAATTTTGTGAATGGGAATGTTGGAAAAGTACCGGGACTACGGCTGAATTTTTATCTGCGGCCTAAGCCTTGCTAGACTACCAGTACTGAGTACTGTACGCTGCTAGCACGATTGTCGTATCTATACTCGTATTTTTATTTAATCTATTTACGTTAGCAAGATAGCAACCTAACCGTTCCTGACGTTTTTCATTTTGCTAGTACGTCATCATAAATTATAATGTTTGTGGTTTACTGATTATGAGTCAATGGTCATTTGGTTAACGAAGATGAAGAACGGGCTGCTTTATATTGGGGAATCATTTTTACACAATCCAAGATCTTTCCTTGGTGTGCTGCAGTCCTGCGCTCAGCATGTGTCTGACGTCCTTTACGTATTCCTCCATCCTGATGCTGGACACCAGCAGTCCTCAAAGCTCACCAGCACGTTATTCGACAATATTTCGCGTTTGTACATTCAGTCGTTTGTCGCCAAACCCGACTGGGATGTGCGCATTCTTCTCCTGCATTTGAAGAGATCCGGCACACTGGAAACACTGTATCCCAATCTGTCGCACACGCTACAAGTGGATACGGTACTGACAGACGGCACAGCTCCTCTTCCTCGCATTTTGCATGGTCTAGGTTCCGTTTCCCTGTCAAATAATATTCATTATTTATCTAGTCCCCGTGATGAGGAGTCAGTTGGTAGGAGTGAGAGCGGTTCGGAGGCCTGGCAGACGTATGATGAAGTAGTGATCGGAGGCACTTTCGATCACATTCACGCTGGCCACAAGGTTCTTCTGACTAATGCCATTTTGCGATGTCAGAAGAGGCTGACGATTGGATTGACGGTACAGGAGATGCTGCAGAAGAAACGATTAGCGGATCTCATCCAACCGATCGAACAGCGGAAGGAGATCTTGCACAAGTTCTGCTCGGATATTGATCCGAGTTTGGAGTACAATATTCAGCCTATCCATGATCCGTTCGGGCCGTCCACGGTGGATCCTACATTGCAAGCCGTTGTGGCCAGCGAGGAAACCAAGGATGGAGCTTTGGCTATAAATGTGGAACGTGCGAAGAAGGTAGCATGTACTGCAGATTGCAGTGGTTTTGGTGTTGCGTCTGTGATGTGCCAGTGATGGTACAGTATGGCTGTGTTAACATTATGAGCCGAAAGCATGAAATTAAAAAACTGGCATACACTATTGTTTTCCGAAGCTCTTTAAATTAATTTCATCTCAATTATCTGAAAAAACCACTACGTACCACAGTTTGATTTAAGTTGGCTCTTATCGTTTTTTTAATTTTCTTTTGCAAAGGTAAATCATCTCAGATACTTCTACAGTTAAAAGTTCGGTACTGTATACTGTAGCCGTACAAATGAGATCTGTAGTGAAGATGTACATCTCATTGGTGCTAGTTCAACCGGAAACATCTGAATGTGTACTTGTACGAAATGACCAGTTCTAACGTGGATTTTCTAGACTTCTGAGATTGTCTGAATGTTCTGAAATCATTCTTGCTCTTGCCCTTGCCCTTGCTCTTCCCCGATGACTTTTCAGCTGATTAAAAAATGTTTGTGCACTTTGACAATCGCGCCGGTATCGGTTAACATGTTCGCAATTGCATAACTGACTTTTGGGTAATTCGCTAACTCGGAACATCACCGACGGTCACCGACGAACCATCAAACCTCGTTTTATCGTGGTACGGGTGGATTAACCCACTCCACTAGTGGCAGCTTAGAAGTTGCCGTTGCAATACTCTCAAAATTCTCCTTCTTGTAGCTGGATGTACCCAGCTGTCGAAAATGAGATCGAACTTTATTTAACCATAAGTTTACATCCATGTACCGGTCTCGTAATCACCTGTTGCATAATAATAATGATGGTGACGTTTTCTTTGATTTTAAAATTTGACATTACTGTTTAGAATTATATACTCACTAAATGCAGAGATTACTATGGAAATGTGTACAGTTTTACTTACTTCCTTCATAAACTGATAAGTTTTATGATCAGAGTCATGCGATGTCAGTGTGCACAAATTACAGTACTAATGAGGTACTTGTTGTTCTTCAGGGTCTTAGTCAGTTGGCCGTGCACATATTTCCCCTTCACGACGTGGCTGTGACCGGTAAACAAGAGGGTGTGCGTTCTATGAGCTCCAGTTGGTCTCGTCAGCAGATGCTGGGGAAGGTTTTGAAACCTCCTTCGCCACATCCGGAATTACCGCGGCGTCCCTATTTGATCGGGTTAACGGGTGGTAGTGGCAGCGGTAAATCTAGTATCGGCAAATACCTGGCTCAGAAACCCGGCGTTCTGTATGTGGACTGCGACAAATTGGCACACGAGGCGTACAAGAAGGGAAGGCCGCTACACGCGCGCCTAGTAGCGGAATACGGCACAGATATTGTTGATCCGACCAGTGGGGAAATTGTCCGCCGTAAACTGGGCAGTATTGTCTTCAGCGACGAGGTGCGTGATGATGCATCGGGGCTCCCCTGCTGAGTGATTGGTAGTTGATCATGATCGGTTAAGGGTAATCAGTTGTTTGTGTACGCAGGCCGCCCGACATAAATTGAACAGTCTAGTGTGGCCAGCGGTGATGGATTACTGTGTGGAAACCGTCCGTCGAGCCAGTCCGGATGTCGCGGTGTTTGATGCAGCATTGTTGATTGAAGCTGGTTGGGGAAAGAGTCTACACGAGATTTGGGTCACTTTCGTACCTGAAGAAGAGGTAAACATGTTTTGAAGAGATAAACATGTAAACATGTTTTGAAGAGATAAACATGTTCTCCGACACTCGTATTACGATTTGGCGTTTTGGAAATTTTTTGTTTTTCCTTTTTGGTTTTCGTAAAATATTATTTCTTCCGTTATCCGTTATTCAAGCTTTAAACCGCGATTGAGGCGTAACGCATTGTAATGATGCACATTGGTTGTGTATTCGGCTTGAGAAATGCATAAATTAAGAGGTGTTACGAGTAAGCAGTAAAATATGCGAGCGCCTTTGTATGAATGAGCGCAAGAATTAGGTATAACCGTTGTATTGTGCCATGTGCGAAAAGGGCCGCAAGTTTTTATGGTTGATATGGTATCTGGAACATTTGCGTGGTTGTTGTATTGCAGAGTTATTGTTAGTCAGCTGTATTTTGGCTGCTATTATTTTCTGATTGTGTTATGCGTCCTCGTGCAATTACAATGTTTTTAATAATCTGAGTAGATTGATTTCGCTGCTTTAGCCTGTATATCTGGAGTAAAATTTGAATTAAGGAGCAACTCCACTGCGTATAGCTGTAAATTATATTTATGTGTCTACTGTCTACACCGTCCCACGACAGTCAGAATTACTTGCGCCAATAGCGAAGAATTTCAAGATAGTGCGAAACCATAACTCTAGCTCGTTATGGTAATGGAAAACTGGTTTATTTACTCTTTTGACTTTTCTGTTCAAAAAATAGTCGAAGCGAACAATTTTACGCACTTAAGTGCGATTTAGCCATCGGATCTCAGAATATTTATGAGTCAAAAATACTGCTATTGCATACTTCCGTGGCACTGTTTTGCATGAGGACCGTTCATCATAACAATTATTGTGATCTTAGATCTAGTGCTTTCCGCGCGCTGGTTGCGCAATAACTACCGAATTTTTGTATGCACATACCAGTATGTGCGCATGTAGTATGATACTACAAACGTAGTGCTGTTTGTTTTTAACAGCCTGAATTTTGATTTCGTTTCAGGCTATGCGGCGAATAATGGAGCGCGATGGCATTGACGAAACTGCAGCGAAAAACCGCCTGAAAACCCAGATGTCAAACCGGGACCGAATAGAGCAAGCCAACGTAGTGTTTTGCTCACTGTGGGAGTATTCTGTGACGCGACAGCAGGTTGATGATGCATGGAATGGTTTACTGAAAAGGATTTAAATATGCAGAGTACTTCGATAAAGGAGGAAACCTGTGGTGTGCGTTACGTTAGCGCTTGACTCTTGGTGACCGTAATTTGATCATTGCATTTTTCTTTGCCATACTGCCGCAATATGCCTTTTCGGAGGGATTATACAGTGCTTTAAATATGTTTGAATGGCGATAAAAACGATCAGCTCGAGCGTATCACGGTAGTTAAACGCTGTGCGCTGCACTTTTTCTATGGGTGGGAAATAATACGGTGGAGAAAGCGGCAGCTATCCGGTGTCTCTAATGTTGTACAATATCACTTGACAAAAAGCCATAATGATAAAGTAAACGTTATGATTATGGGTGCTTATGGAGTGCGGTTATTTTTACAATAAAATGAACTCGCGTACTGTTTAACAATGGACGTGTTTGACTTTCTTGTCGCTTGTGCGATTCGGGTGGCATTGAAGGCTGCGAGTACGCGGTTAGTGACTGACGGAAAGGTCTGGTGAATATGATCGATTATTAGCGTATTTAAATTACAGAATCGAGAAGTGCTATTGTCAATACAAAAACGCATGTAAAAGTTCAGTCGCGTAATATCTATTAAGTATATCTATTATCTATACTACTGCAGACTGCTGTTTGGTGTTTGCTACCGCTGTTTTAAGAATAGTTATTGAATATTATGTATTTTCAGTGTGAAACAAAAAGGTTTATGTTGGTAGCTGAGATTGTCATATTTATAGTACGAAACTATGTACTACAAGTACGTATTTTTATATTAATTTGTACGCTTATGAAAAAATGCGAACACAGTCGACAAGTTTGTGACTTTGTGCAATTCCCTAGAGTAGACAAAATGAATGTCCAATGGACAATGTCCTGAATTGTGCTCTACCTTAAGATAAGATTATCAAGTATTGACAAATCGTATATAATAATTGTATTTGTCGGTTCCATGGCAGAAAATTATCGTCATTCGTCAGCTATAACATGGAAAAGAATAATTTTTCCCATCAATAAAGTACATACTGGTAAAGGTTGGCCCATTGGCTGGCGTAACCCCACCTACCGGACTATGCTGCCGGTATACAACACAGAAAGCGGTTATGTTTCATTCAATGAGCGCGTTTCCATTCCTTTTGTACGTTTGTAGGCAGGTGAAGCCGTAAGACCGGCCAGACATGCTCCATGCTTCATGATCACATATTGTACACGACGGTGTGTGTAGCGATTTCGCTCTTGCCTGTGCAGTTTTATCTGTAGGTTACTGACTACCTTTGCGCACCTTGCACGTTTCATACGATTTGGATGGTGCGGTGCCTGATGGAATAATCGTTATTAAATATTTCCACAGGATTGTCATTTTTGGCTAGAACTCATATAATATTATCATGATGTTCAGGTGGGATTAGCGGATTTATCCGCCGTCTGACCATGAGGATCGGCGTTAAATAGCGACTACCATCGTCTCCAGCATCTTAACCATCATCACGCCAAGGCCAACAACGGCTTGACTCGAGAGATTTTTCGTGAGGTTGTTGTAGGAAAAATGAAGGTGATTGTGCGCTTTGAAGATACGAGGATTACGGTGCCTTGTGGAAATGGGGACATGTTGGTCAAAGATCTTGTCCATGAAGCGGTCTCACGCTACAAAAGAGCTACGGGAAAGGTGGGCTGAATTTAAATATATATATATATATATAAATATATAATATACGACTTAATACGAGTATACTTTAAAGACAGGAGCTATCACCGTTTATGTATTCCCTATTCAATAATTGTAACTTTAACGGAAAAGTAAGGGACCCTTCTGATTTGGGTTTTACTGTTAATTTTTGTTGATGATAAATAATATATAGCAGTTGGATTTTAATAATTTTGTTGGGTAAAGGGTACTTAGGGTAGTGTCCGGTTGCGAGTGGCCTTTGCCTTCTGTTTACAAATAAAGCTTATTTATTAAAACAAGCGTCCGCCTCTTTTTCCTGTCAGTAGTTTTTTCCGTAAAATTCTTTCCCATTTAACGGATCTTTTTCACATATTTTATTAACCTCTTGTTTTTGGCGGATTCGACGAGAAGTGTAGATTACATAATGTTCGTACTAGTATTCGACCATCGACATTGAAACCGTTTGGGCGGATTACATAAATCGATGTGAAATATTGTTAGAATTATTCGTTTACATCAAATCGTGCATGGGATTGTTAGCTCGATCGTGAGAGGAGTGAACAGAAAATGCATCTGTTCGAACTTACAGCCCATGGTGAAATTTAAAGTATTCGTTAAAGTATTCAAGCATCTTGCCGCCGTGCCTTACCGTTTCATATTCTTGGCGAAAAAATGTAATGTATATTTAACTACTTTCGTCGATCCAGTTGGTTTATTGATTGTTCTTCTGCCAGATCATTGTCGATTCAGAGTAGACGTTAAAAGTGATCTTCAAATATAATGCGTTTTATTGAACCTTTGTAGATTATTGATATTTTGTTCACCCAGATTTTTAATCAACAGTTTGCATTTTGCAGTACCACTATTACCACAGTTAAATCGTTTCAGTAATATGTGATTTTGCAGAAACATGATAGCACGAATTACGAAACTCCGGCACAATCTTCACCGGTTTGCCGCATTTCGAAAGTTTCTGCAACTTGAAAAATTTTCATTTTCGTTTCTTGAAAGTTGATCTGCGAAGTGCGAACGTTGTCATCTAACGTTTTTGGGCATTTTTTTCATAAAGGCTTTGCAGATTTCCAGTGCTGTGTTGTAAAAGCAGCCCGTTTTACGCTATGCTCATACTTTTAAAATTTGCATGGATAAAGTTGCTGGTTTAACTTGCTTCCGTACATTTTCAGCTGTATTTTTGCTGGTTTAAGCGGTAAATTTTTATCTCCACTTGTATTCCCCAAGTGTATGGCACTTGAACCCATTATTGCAGTATTTTGTGGAAGGGATTTGTGTACAGAGAAAGCGTTAATATTGCAGAATTTGTTCGCTGATTTATCATTCTATCTCATTCACCTGCGTATATCGGGTTAAAGCTACTCGAAGAATTTTGTACCTGACCATTGCGAACAGCACTCCACATCCGCGCGTGTACAAACTCACCTGCAGCTCACACAGAACAGAGAATAATAGAAAAATGTTCATAATTTATGTATGTATGGTGTGTAGTCTTTCTCGCATTCTGCAGCGCAGCTCCGCATATTTCTCGCTCTGTTGAACAGTGACTACCTGTCGGTCATAATTTTCGACTCTTTATCTGTTACACCCGGCTGAAATTATCTTTCCGTTAGCGTGTGTATTTATGTTGCAGACACTTTTGCGCAAAATATCTATTAGTAAACTAGGTCGTCTACCGCATATCCACACACCACAATTACAAATGAAAATCACAGAATTCTGTCAACTAACGGTATAATATATTAAAGAAAGAAAATATTTGCCTGATTGGGTTTTGTTTAACTAACTGATGTTATACATGAATATACGATTTGCTGCTTGTTCCCATCCTGTGCCCCAATCGTAATGCTCATTAAGAATCGAAGAGCAGTTCAAGTTTTTTTTTCGAAAGCATGGATTTTTATTGCTACAAGCGAAATAGATACTTGATTCCTGCTGAATAACAAAGCAGCGGCTTGCTGCGTAAATAACATGCTTGAACCCTACACTAATACATAATTGTACTTCCAATAGGATGTATAATGGTACTGCAAACTGTGTTGTACAGTACCAGTTCTGTATTACCTTGCTTTAGATAGAAACAATTTTGACGATTTATAGCTCGTAAATAATTTTTGATTTGCGCATTTATATTAGTATTTCCGAGGTCTTTCACATCGATGTTTGAGCTCATTATGAGTGGATAGCAGTCCCTTAGGATAATTTTTATCATGTATGAAATAATAGTACGAGACTTTAAAACAATATAGTAATTTTGTGATAATTATGCAAGTAGTGTCGATTCCGAATTCACTGAGGAATCGCGCTAAGCGGCACAACACCGTGAATTGTGATACGTAAATAGCGAATCCAGATCATGCATTTTTTGCATCTCGTGGGGATGCAGAATTACTTGGAATTTGGAAAGCTATGCTTATTTTTTAATTCAGACTTGAAATGCTGAAAAGGGTTTTCAATTTGTTCTGGTGGTAGGATTATGGAAGCTTAGCGCTAAGGGCATGTGGACAATGGGCAGTTTTGACCTATATTCTTTAACGTTATTGCAGTGTCATTCCTCTCCCGATCATATTTCGCAATATAGCCTCTTGTTGTGACTAAGGGCTTCATAATTTCCTACATGGGGGAGTATTGAGACGTTAAAAAGCCTTCCATTAGGCATCTGATGGTGTTAAAGAAAATGCTTAAATACCATTAATCAATCACCGCAATCATGTTGCGTATTATTAATGGAAATGTACGCGTATGGATGGTTCCATATTAGAAACATTCAAACACAATATAATAACTAGCATACCGAATAGCTGCTGTTGCTGTTAAATCACCAAATGCGCACTATACGTGTTCAAAGAAGGTCACAAAAGTACGACGTCTTTTCGTCGATTACATACACAGCAGCAGCGTAGCGTCGAAAATTACGCTGCCTGAGGATTCCCACGCTTTCGTGATAATGCTAATACTAATTGCTTGATTGGAGTTTGTGGCTGGCGGACATTTCTGTATGTTGTAGCGGAGTTACGGCAGAAATGGAGGGTTCTTTTTGGTCGGTTTGACGGGGTGTTTGATTTTTGGTTATCTGATCATATTGTCCGTGAATTGACGTTGGACAGCTTAGATTTTCTGCCATTTTTGTTCGGCACTTAATTGAAACATGTTTACCGACATGTTGCTGCCTTTTGTTTATCCGGTCTTTTTTCTGCACTGACTTGTGAGGGGTTCGACAATGTCGAAGGCGAACTTGACTTGTCAAAAAGTTGTATATTCGAGCGGCTGCATAAGAAGCCTTTATTGTTTCTTCTGGAACTGGCTGAAACCATGAAATACGGTTATAAGAAACTAGTATTATTTTGGCCTCTTTTCATGAGCATTGATAATGACTATTACAGCAGTCCTCAGCGTTGTTGATTCAAAGCTGTCAACTGATTTTAAAACAACGTTGAACTGGGTGCCGATATCAGTGATAGTATGCATATGGTGTTAGTAGTAGTACGGTCACTAGTACCTTACTATCTAATAACGATTGGCGGTATTTAAAAAAGCTAATATTTGTTCTGCCCCAGATTTTGATGAATTATGAATATGCATTAATTTATTTTATTGCGTGTGTTACATATTGACTTCTGGCTTACATGCTGCTAGCCATAATTTAGGCGATTTAGGAACTTGGTTTCGTATGTGTGAGTCGTATAGGTCAGATTTAAGGACAAGGTGAAATGGAATAGATTTGTTTAATAAAATTCAGTCAAGGCAAATTTATTTTGTGCCTTACGCGTTTCGGTACGTGCATTCTTCTCAGTATCGTTCAGTTGTTTTCATTTTTGATGAAGAGTTTTTGTTAAATGTTACACCGCTCTTACAAATTAACTACAGTAGTAAGACTCCAGTAGGCAACGATGTGAATTGGGAATGACATATAAATATTGTAGTATATCTATATATAGCGTAGGTACTGATTATTTTTTCTGCAAATTTTTATTGTAATCACTTCCGTTTTCGCAAAATTAATTTGAAGATGTTTTCGTTTACCAGAGGAATAGGGTAGAACGATGTGAAGTATTGGCAGTATATAATAGAATCCATACTATGTGTTATTTACTGCTTTTATGATTTTTCTTTATAATTATTTGAAATAAAACTAACGCCGAACCGGAAGCGGTAGCCCTTCACCTCCTTGCCGTTCGAAATTTCATCCAGATTACAGTATTGTAACCTTTATCACTTATGTCGTGTGGGAACTGATCGGAACAAAAGAAAACTGCATTTGCCGCAGTGCCCCAGTTCTCGCAGCGAACTACAGGCGGGCTAAAAAGATGCCGATGTTGAAAGTTCGGTATTTGATTAGTACAGAGTACTGTGTAATAATTTCACTACGTACATATGCGAGTTCGGCCTTTGTGTAAAGAATAAATCAGATGTGTTACATGTAGTTTTAATCTTATCACCAGAATTCCAGTGGCATATGGGCAGGCTCGCCAGAGTCGAGTCATGCGGAAAGTAATCAAAAGAAAATTTGGTGTGGTAGTATTTTACCCTAACCTAGAGTAACGAAAAGCTTGAATCTGGTAGGGTACTAGGGAGCATGCGTATTCAGTTTAGTTCAAGGGAATTTTTATCAGGGTGTCAGAACGAATATGCTTGGTTCGCCGTACAACAATCTTTTTGCGGCTTCTTACTTACTATTGTCATTATATCACCGGAACTTGACGGCGGCCAACGACGGCGGGCCGGCGCTGCAGGGTTATCAAGCGAACTGTATCACGTTGGATTGTATTTTTATGTTTGTGTTGACAACACCTGGTCAGTAGTGTAGTTACAATACTGTATGTGTCAATATTGGAATAAGAGTGAGATGATTGAGATTTTATGACTTCCTTCGGACGGAAATATGGGATTTTTGTTTCCAGGGTTCAAAGGTCAAGATACGCATACACACCGTTAAGACAGCCAGCGACGAGTCTATACTGGATTTTAGTGACCAGATTGGAGCTGTGGTGGACGACCGCGAACAGGTATGGAACGGGGAATATATATGAACATATTGCTAATTTTTGTTCTTATGTTAATGCAAAGCTTTGTAAGCCAAAACTACATTTGTTTGTACAGTTGGTGTTTTTCAGGGTATCGTAACCGTATTGTTAACTCCCTGAAGCTCGTTTGTTTACTTTTGATGATTTGAATAATTTTAAATAACTCTGGCATCTTTTCGTGCAGCGAGAAGGAGTGATGTGTTGGTTCGATATTTTTATGGTTTTAATAGTTTTTTGGTGTTTTAATGTCCTTGGTGCAGGGGTGCAACGAATTGATGCTTAACGATAAGATCAATCGCCAGTTCTAAAATTACACATATTAATTTATCATGTTTATTCACGCACTGTCTTTATACGTGTTGATTTGTTAGCGAAGGTTTTATCAGTGTCAAAAGCATGCATCATACAAGAAATTATTCCATAGCAGAGTGCGGATAGAATAGGACGGAATGTTTAGTTCCCAGAACTTACGATGTAATGATATGAAAAGCTAATAAATAATTACTGATACCAGATGTGTCATATATGCATAGGCTGACCTGCTAGTGAGGTGTACGACTGCTCAGTAATTGAGTAAGTAGTCTACGAACAAGTGAACCGAGTGGTTATTTCAAAATTCAAAATCAGTTCCTGCTAAATTCCCCGTATTAGTAACTATTTGTACATGGAACGGTAAACAAAAACAGGCCCCATTTGACTGGTATGAGTATAGCTTCAGCGATTGGTCAAGACTCAGCACACAGCAAGTATCGATGCGGTCGAATGTAAGAAACTACCAGCCGGAGGTACCAGTTCTTTGGAAGAAGTCCGCACTGACTTTTTCCGAATTCTCCCGTTTTATCTTTTTCTTCCTTAAATTCTTATCTGGATTAAAGTGGATTTATTGTGTATTTGTAAACTGAATCGGAAACAGATGGGTTTACATTGTCATGTTCTTGCATTTCATTCCTAAAGTGTGTAATTAGGTAGAGTGGATGCATCCACTATGCCTGTACACGAGTATGTAATTACGAGTACTGTATGTATGTTTCGTGTTTGCAGATTATTGCCGTGTTCGACGAGGAATCGGATGAATTGGATATGCATTTAGCCAGCGACGGAATGAGTGCTGGATCCAGTTCTACCGATACGTGGCGTCCCGACAGTGAAAACAGTGAGAAGATCGGCCATCCCAGTGATCTGGCTGCAGTTAGTAAACTGACCCCCACCGAGCGCTGGCTTCTCGATCGTCCAGTGCATCTGACCGATGATCAAAATGGAATTGAAATCAAAGATGATGATGAAGTCACTGTCAAACCTGGTAACACCATCAGAACATTTTCTCGACAAATTTGCTAATAACGCCAGCTTGTTCTTTTCCTTACGTTAGGCCTGACATTGTCGGTTCGGCGAGGGAGTGATTCTAATCTTGACAACGTGAAAGATCTCGATGAAGACATCCTGATTCCTCAGTCTCAGCTTAAACGCTGGTCAACAGCGGCGGCCGTGTACGGACAGGAGTCGCGGACCAAGAGCACTCTTCCACTTATGTCTCAGACTTCTCGAGGGGTGAGCGAAGCACTTCCGCAATTTAGTAGCTAATCAAAAACCGAAATTAGCAAAGCTGATGATGATTTCGGGTTTTGCTGTTTGGTAGCTGAATTCGATTTCTGCCTGTTAGGTTTTTTTTGTTTAAATTGCTTCTGTTGATTTTATCATTCTATCTGCAGATTTCGGCTTTACAACAGTATTATCGGAATAATGAAACGGCACGGTATTTTTGGTTTTTGCACGATTAATTTCTTTGGTCACAGTACTGTTGTAAAGCTGTAGAATTAGGTATTTAGAGTTCAGGCAGTTCAGATATTGTTCGTTCCTTGCAGGTTTTTATCGTGTAGTTTGCACTGCAGCATTTGTTAAAATTTTGAACCATTAGTGTCAGAATGCAGTTGGAATCGTGTATAAATTTATATGAGTGTGTATTTTGGCTTTATTTTGGGGTCAACCTTGCTTCAGCATGTTTTATTTTTGTATTATTTCTGCTTTACCATAAAGCGTCATGATCAGCGGATTTGCCGCTACTTGAACTGTTAATACTAAATACAGAGTGTCAAATGTATTTATTTAAATTGCCCGCTCCCTGCTAGCATTGACAGTGATAATAAGCACAGCTGGTTTTCCGGTACTGAACTGTCTGTGTATTACAGCATAACCTGCTCGTGCGGCCTGAAGACAGCGGTGGTGGAAAGAGTGATTTCTCAGCAGGCAACAAGGACCATCTGCCAGTGCATTTCAGTCAGAAATGCTCATCGTCAGGTGTAAAATTGCCCGTACAGCACGAAATCAATGAAGCAGAGGATAGCGGTGTAGTTGGCGCTGCTCCGACTGTAACGACTACCACGGTAGCCGTCACGCTTGTTCCCCGGCCTAACGAACCGGTTGGGCTGCATCTGGTTCCGGAGCACGATATAAAGGGACTGAAAATACAGGCCATTGATAGGAATTCCGTGGCCGAAGCGACACACTTGCTACACTTGGGCGATTACATACTGGATGTTAATGGACAGCGCGTGGACGATCTGGATTTTGGGAGGTGAGCTTTAATAGATTTTTGTCAGCGTATGGATTATGGGGCATGCCATACTATAGCCATATTCCTTCGGATTTCACAGTTGGATTTCAATTTTGTATGCCTTCAAAACGTTCGTTATACTGCCGCCCTTTACTACCACGCCTTTTCAGAACTCTCTTTGGTTTATTTTTTTATTGTGCCGTTACTTACATTTACACTGGCATTCTCGCATGGATAACCTTTGCCAAACCTAGTAACTCAGATTTTCGTACTCGCCGGGGCGCCCATGTTTAAATCTACTTGATCGGCAGTATTAGTCTGAAATATTGTGGTATGAAAGGTTCAGTGTCCGATTTGTGGAGGTCGAAAAAAATTTATACGGCCATATTTTAAAATTAAGGGATTTCTGCCTTGCATTTTTTTTCTGAAGCAGACTTTTTTGTTGCTGTGCGTACACGTAGTCGAAAAGGTCTCTGTTAACTACACAATTTATTAAACGTTTCAACATTTGGTGGTAATACTTTGCAGTATCTGGTGTTTTATGGATATTAGAAGTTTAGAGTAAAACCGGAAAACTGGAAACGGCAAAACGGTAAAACCGGAAAATTGTCTTATGCTAAACCCCACTGCGCAAGATATGATATAATGCCAGATTTTCTTATACAGTTTCTTTACTTGAAATACGGTCACGCGCTGATATCTTGAGGTTACAAATTAGTGCATATTTAATGAGCCCAATTACAGTTCGTTACTTTGGCTGCATGCAGTTTTTCGACTTGTTCGTACGTTGTGGTTTTTTATAAGTTATTTCTGATCACCTTCAGTTCTTATAAGTAATTCTTATTTACGGTCATAGGCTCATGCCATTAATTACTTCAGATTTCAGGTAAAGGTGTATGCATACAAGACTCGTTTAACTGTTTAATAATGCAATAATCTTTGCACTTATTTTAAAACCATATTATGATGTCGCGCTATTTGTTATATGTGTAAATTTTTTATACATGTCTATTTTATACACATTATATCTATATGTGTTTATAACTTGCATGACAGAAGAGTCAGGACCGAATATTTTGATTTCTGACAAAATGACAGTAAAGCCGACAAATCCGCTTAGATGTGCAGTAAATAGTCAACACATACAAACAGCATTATTGTATTATTGTCTTGATTTAAGAGAGCTAAATGGCCAACATGCGCTCTTACGTGCTTGTCATAATGGACTACTAATCTGGGAGAACCGGTCAACTGCATTAGCACGGCTGGAAAATTGTCCACCAACCGGTTTCCCTGATGTTTACAGTGGTGACGCACAAATGTCAGCAAACATGGAAGAGAAAACGTAAACTGCATCGTTTCTCTAATGGTCACATCACGCAGCGAGAGAAACGAGCAGTTCGCACCCAGCCCCTTGTTGAAAAGCGTTGATAGCCAGGAACTATGTCGCTAGATTAAGCGCTTAGTTTGGTCACAACTCAGCAGTGTATAATGCTTTAATAATAATGTTGTAGAGCGCAAGAAATCTTACGTACAGCGGTGGCTCAAGGCGGTGCTGTGAAAATTCGTGTCTGCTCAACTGCAACAACAGCACGCGCTATTTCACCATCATCTTACGACGCGGTAGTCGAGAAAACAACTCTCGAGACAGTTGTGCTGCAGCAACGCAAACGAACACCGCCGCCATTACCACCCAAACCCAAATTACCATATGACATTGAGACCATGCTGCAACGGGCCAACGGCGACGGGGGAATGCTGGATTATACACCGGATGTGGTCAATAATGATTATCACACAGCAGAAGGACTGTATTCTTATGGATCGCTGCGACGGCCAGGCAGGAAGCTGACCATTGATTTGCTGAAAGGTGAGTTTGGAACACTAGTAGAAGTGTGGCGGTTTATGATTAGTTATTATTTAAATTAGTAAATAGCGGAAGCGGATATCTTGAACATAAGTACTATTAAATGTTATGCAATTTTTTGGATTACCAATGTTGACAACCACTTGTTGCTTGTGTTTGTAATATTGCATATGGAGAGGGCCTGCAATGTGTTCGCAATTCTCTATGATTTACGAAATGAATAATTATTCTTACTAATCTTTGAAGTATCGTTTATTGTGATAAGATGTTCATTTGCAGTAGGTTGTCCTGAAAGTTTTGCTAATTGTATTTTAAAGACTGCTAGCATATTTTCGATCGCATGCGCTGATAACGTGCCACTATTTTGTCTGTATGTCGTTTCTCTGTGCTGCACTCTTTCGCTGCAATTTTCGCGAATATTTACACTTTTTCGACAAATTTCCACGTGCTGCTTCGCGTAATTATGTGAGCGGTATAAGCAGATTTCGTTGGGGTGCGATAAACTGACTTAAGATGTTTGGTAAACAAATGTATTCAATATCGATTGTGTAAAAATCTTTAATCGGTGTTTAGAAGCTGTGTCTAAAAAAGATGTACAAAGAAATAATTTTCTAATTGAGCCGTAATTGCTTGCGCAGTTATTCTTCTATCACAATGAGAAAGTACTTGTTAATGATAGATTGCGGAAGTAGCGCAGTTAGATGTCCGAATTAGGTCCATAAACGGAAACAGCAGATGCATAAAAAATCAGCAACAGCAATAAATTGATTAGTGGTTGTGCACATCTGACGTCTGGGGTGCCGAATGGAACGATGGATCCAAATAATATATATTGCACATTTTGATGAATCGTAATTTGATGACCTGCTGACTATGTTTTTGTCCGAAGAGCTCATTTGGCGTGAAAGCCATTCTTTCCTAATGATAGAGCACAGCAGACCGTCTAGCACTTGCTTCACACTTGGTCCACTACCAAAAAATACAGCGATTTTGGAGCACACTTGAAGGCGCCAACTAAGTTTCATTAAAAAATTATTGAGCGTTGCTTTATAAAAAAAACACTGTTTCTCTGTACCTAGGTACGGCTTGGCTTGGTTGTGGTTACTACAAACTTGCGGTTAGGTTGAGCTGTTTTTTTTCCGAATTTTGTTTCCAAAACAATGGTTGCAGTGGTGAACAATACGATACTGAAATGTATCTTTGTTGCTTATTAACTTTCTAACAATTGTGCTGTCGATTTAGGCCCCGAAGGATTAGGGTTCACTGTGACGACCCGTGATAATCCGGCCGGTAGTGTATGTCCGATTTATGTCAAGAGCATCTTACCGAAAGGTGCGGCGTTCAAAGATGGTCGTCTGAAGAGTGGCGACCGTCTGCTGGAAGTCAATGGGCAGGACTTGACCGGCAAATCACAAGATGATGTCGTCGGGTTGCTGCGCGGGATTCCCTACAATGCCGAAGTGGTGTTGGTGGTGGGACGTCCCGAAGCGACGCCCATCAGTCCCGTCTTGCCTCGCATATGGGAGGGCCCTACGGAAATGCTCACGTCGGAAAATAAGGAAGAATTAGCGCGGAAAAATATGGAGATTTTGACACTGGATGTGCCGCTGCAGGACTCGGGGTCGGCGGGTTTGGGCATTCGGGTCAAGGGGAAAGCGACAGTGGTGGACGGTGAAAATCGGGACGAAGGGATTTTTGTCATGAATGTTATCACCGGTGGTGCCGCATCGAAGGTGAGAATTAACTGCTCATTAATTTGTTTTGTGATTATTTTATTTGAAAAATTATGCTAATACGTGTTGTATGTGTGAGTATTACTGTAGTGGCTCGCACATCTTGAACCACAGAGTTCGTGTACGGGAAAAAAGTGCATCCAATATACACACTCTAACATGGCCAAACGCACGATTGCCAGTTGGTGTGCACTGATAAATTTCTGATGTCTCACAACATGTGGTCTCCGTCTGGAGAACCTTCTTGAATATTTAGAAAAATTAGAGCTCTAACAATTATTAATTATATTTATGCTCGAAAGCAGCCATTAACTTAGAGCTTTGCTGTCAGCTCGAATTCAGAAGCTGATTTGTTGTGGTTTTTGGGGTACCCCTGGAGGGGGGACGGGTACGTTCAGCGACAACATTCTACAGCTACAGAATAATTCCAGCTCTCAGAATCTCAGATACAGATTTTTTTTCTAGACTGAACTGCAATTTTGATGAAACAGTTTGATTTATTGGACAGATTCAGAAGAGTGCTCATCTTAAAATCAAATGAAGCATTATGTCGTAGCCGTGCATTTTGCCCGGTTAGAGTGTGTATATTGGATGCACTATTTTCCCGTACACCAACTCTGTGGTTCAAGATGTGCGAGCCACTACAGTATATCTATAATAATGCAGCCAGTAGGCATAGAGTCGAGTTGATATTTTCAAGCTGCAGATAAGTGTCGAACTTAAAGCTTTGAAAACTGTTTCTGGTAATTAGTTTTGCTGCACGTAAAGAACATTTTATTGCTTGTTCGTGTTTTTTTCTTGATTGATTTTGTGAAAAAAAAAGTGCTGCCACAGATGTAACCCAACTTGACTTGCACTACCTGGACGAGTTAAACTTCGCGTGATGCTCGCTTGAGCACTGACGTTATCTGTTGAAGAAAAAGTGCAATGTGAGCTGTTTCATGACTAATCAGATGATGTTGTGGCTGCGTTGTTATTACATTATCAGGCGTAATTTTTGTCGTGTGTAATAGTTTTTGTTTGTCCTGTAAAGAAAATGAGTGGGCTGGTTATCGCATAGAAGAAATGTGAGAACATGCAAACACGTTATGCGCGGGTCACTCAAATTAAACAAGGATTACGTCAATTAGCTGCGACTCGGTGAACGAAGCTTTGATATATACCACGATTTCTCCGCTTAGCTCATTTACAGACAGTAACTACAAGTGACCATAAACAAAATTACAGTTTAATTAATCGTAGAAAAACTTCTATACGAATACTTTTTTACTTCTTAACAAATCTTCACAGTTAGCGATGTGGAAAATGTGTTTGTACATTGTTATGTTGAACGTATAGGATGGCAGAATTCAGCCTATGGACCAGCTAATCCGGATAAACGGCATTTCTCTGCTGCATCAGTCAAATCAGGACGCAATGGAAACGCTGCGAAAAGCTATGCAGGAACATGGCTCTTCCTCTCCCGTAATGAGCATCACTGTGGCCCGGGAGGTGCGGCCGGATGGGTCTGCTGGTCAAGAAGAAGCTCAGCGCTTCCCGGTCACTGGCGGAATGGCGGACCCAGCGGCATTAAGCCATGTTATTCATGTGCCAAATTCTCAGGATACTGCTACCGTCTCCTCGCCGCACTCCGATATTAGTCCGCCGAAACCACCGAGATTGTACCAGAACCTGACTTCGGTTACCATTAACGGGCGAAAAGATGATCTGATTTTGATTGAGGGCGATGATAGTTTTTCCGAGGTGAATTTTTATGTTAAGCTTAGTATTGCTTACTTTGTGTGATTTGGTCTTTTTAAAGTAACATGTGACGATTTACGTGGCATTTATGGTATCGTACTTGGAATTATCTAAATTAGGTTACTGGGGATTTATTTGTATATGTTTAAACAGAGCGTTCCGAATTCGGCGGCTTCCACGGCATTCCACCACAACCGGCTCGATGAACTGAAGGATCCTTACGATGCCGATGTATCTATGTGAGTTAAAAGTTAAATTCAATTTATTCATTAGACTGCTACTATAGTTGTCAGTAATGGAGATTGACAGAAGGAAAACTATGCTCAGAAACGGTCTGCTCTTTCTTGCTTTCATAACGTGACACCTGACGCTAATTGACCCAGTTTATGACGGCCGCGTAATTAGCTGCAATTTATTGCTTGATAAATTTTGACGCTGTTTCGGAAATTAGGACAGCGGGTGGAAGGAGTAATGAACTCTGTGACTAACAATGTTTTCTTTGCTCTTTTTATACAAATACATGTTGTTGGGGAAAAAGTAATTTAATTGTTTTGATCGCTAAAATTAAAGTGGTAGTGATTCTCACTGGAAAAAATTATGTCCGGTATTTTAGCTAATTTGCTAGCTTAATGGCGAAAACATTACATTCGTGGTATGATTTCCGAATGTTGCAGCTTGTTTCATAATATAGAAATTATTTCAGGGATTATGATCCATTTAATCGTGAAAGTTTCGCTCGTCAGAGCATGTCGGAGAAGCGCCATGCTCACCTGGATCCGCGTCACTTGGAGACGTACCGGAAGTCCAAAGCCGCCTTAGCCCACTTCCATTCAGCCGCCAAATCTCACACCCCCTCCCCCAGTAATCCCGCCGAGATGGAACAGAAACTACGGCGCGCCAATTCCCTGGAAAGTGTGATTAAAGGACCGACAGCCGCGGGTGGTCCCGCTCCAACCGCCGCCACACCGCCTTCGCATAATGGCCGGCGCTCCAAGAGCAGTGCCAATCGGAATCGGGGCTGTAATGAGAGCTTCCGCGTGGCCGTCGATCGGTCGTATGACGCGGAGAAGGATGAGGAGAACATTCGGCCCAGTGATAGTACACCGTCGGTGACGTTTAAGGAGGAGAATATCGAGGTGATGGACAGTAGTCCCAGTGCTGATGGGAAGAAGCAGAAGAAGCCGGGCTTGCTGCGAGGATGGTTACGGCGCAGTGGGAATCGCAAGGGCGACGGATCGCCGGTGTCGGAAAGTGTCGTGACGACGACGCAGACATTGTCCAGCAGTATTCCCGTATCCCGATCGGCGCCCAGTGTGCATGATGAACAAGCGGCCAAAGCTCGACAAGCGGCGCTTGAAGAGCAACAGAGGTAAGGAATTTTTTTCAGTACACTATGTCAGTTTTAATTGAATTTAGTATGCACTGCAAGATTTTCCACTTAAGTGTTAGTGAAAAAATCATCCGACTCGTTCGCTGCACACGCGATGCAACAGAAATTGGCACTTCTGTAGAAGAAAATATTCTACAAACAGTTTTTGGTATCTTAAGTTCGGGTTGGTTCCATCTTGTCGCTTTGCTTGTAGAAGTTTCATAGTTTAACGCCATTCAGTACGTGTTTGTCGATTTCGACTTTTCATCGATTAATGCTGCGCTATATTTACGCAACAACTGAAGAAATCTGCAGTCGATTAGTTTAGCTTGAATTTGATGAATCGGTGACTGGTCCGTCACCGATTAAAAGGCCTAAAAATATATTTCACGCTCCTTTTAAGTTGTTTTTTATTGAGCCGCGCAGCCACCGGCGGCGTATGCACAGCCATATTTGTAAATCTGATTGACCTTGTCATAATGGCAGTTCTGACAAGAAAAACGGCTTGTTCCGATCGCCGTATCGTTTTAATGACCGCGAAACAAGATGAAAAACTGACGCGTACGCGTTTCCGTCTTTTGCCTTATGTTGTGATGTGATGTGCGTTTGCAAAAGTGACGATCTATGTTGAGGAATGTGTAATCAGTACAGTTCTAAATTCGCGATGATGTCAATCATTTTCCTTGATGCGTTTGTTATGCATTCTTTTGAAACTGCCCGCTGCTGTGCACAATAAAAATTCCGGAATGTTCATATTTAATCTAAGGGCATCTTTAATCTGGTTATTCTTTATTCATATATGGGTTATAAATTATTAGAGACCGTCAGAAATAATCAAGCTTGATTTCACGCAATTTTTCTCACTGGTTTTATATAATATTTTTTTATGGTCGCCTTTAATTTTCAAATTTCATGGCTTGCACGTGAAGTTCCCAACTTTGATTTGTTTTTGCAGGATTAATGTTCACTACCAGCGATTCAAATCGCAACAGCTCCAACAACAGCAGAAATCTTACCAACAGTTACCCTCTGTTGCCGTCAAGCCAACCACGAAGAAGCCTACGATGCCTCCGGCTGCTGAACAGAAACCAGTAGTCGTTCACATTCCAACTAGCGGTCATCCACCACCAAGAAATTCGTATGTTTAACAATAAGAGGACCGCTGGTTTAAAATTGTTGACGCCATTACTTTTTTGTAACCGGTGACTGTTTTACAGGAAGTCAGAGAATATGTATGGTGTCGTAACGAGTGATCCTTACGGGCATTACATGAACTATGATGAGATTCAAAAAGTTATAAAAAGGCGACCCAATACACACGCCCAGCCCGTAGCTCTCCAGCGTCAGCGGCCTGTGTCCAATTTTTTCGAGTATGGAGCGGTGCCCGGTAATGGGGTCTATGCTCATCCCCGAACTGAAATACCGAACCACTTGTTGCTGCCGAATGCAGCGTACAACGCCCCCGCTAGGTTGGTAATAATTTTATTGCTATTCCGCCTATTCGGCATATTATTTTGTGTTTTTCACGTATTTAAAACATAATTATTAATTGAGTTATGCGAGTATGATATATGAAGTATCTACAATCTACATCAGACTACATACCTGTGTCTCGCTCCATTTTTCATAGCAAATTTGTCGCGACTTGTTTGAATGCGGTTCTGTCTTCTGTGTTTTTTCGCTGCTAATGCAGAATTGATGTGAAATAGGGTGTTCTTGATTGAACGTTTATACATATGTACGCATTTTATAGGCCGCTGGGACAAATTCGAGAGAATTCCATGGAGAAATTAAGTGTTAATCGTGCTAATGATGGAGTGATTTACGCCGCTGCCAGTCGCCGTGGAATAGCAAAGCCGCTGGTGACCACCACCACAGCGGCTGCGCTCATGGGATCGCAGGTGTAAATGTCGCCAACCGATCCTGTGGAGTTTGTTTTTTGTTGTTTGAAATTTTAAGTTTTTTTCTCTTCAAAAGCATGCAATATTTTTTGAGAGTCGATTGTGTTCTTCGTGTTTGATTGGCCGCCAATTGCGAAATTTGCTCAGGTTTTAAGAATTAATGTGTACAAATATCTTCCGAACATGTTCTGACGGGATTTTGCTTTAGTCAGCGTACGCTGCTTTTTTCGTGTTTTAAAGTCTGAATACGTATTTCTGTTCGATGCAAATTGGAACAAATTGAATTTTTGATCTGTTTTCCGGGGCAGTTTGTGCATGGCATGGTATATTCTGTTTTAGAATTTCAAAATTTATATGTGTCATTTGATATTTTTTAGAAAATAAAGCTCATATTTTTATGGCGTTTTGTCTACCGATTGTCAAACCAAAGTCTTTTTTTCGGATAACGATGATAAAGCGTACGTCAGTTTCATGGCTGCAACACAATTAATATGTATTTTATTCGACACCAGTCAGCTCACAGATCAGATGGGATAGCACAGGTTTACACTACTTAAAATGATAAAAATTTAAACATTGAAAAAACATCCAAAATCGTTAGAATTAATATACTTGACCTTTCAGTATTACTGCCACTTCCACCCAAAGAATTTGCAGGTCTTTTATTCATTCAGTCGATTTCTTGTAAGTATTTGTAAGTTCCTTCGGCGTTTATTTTAATTTCTTGTTGGCCGATAAGTGTTTACTGTAGTCCAAAGCTCCAAATAACAACTGTATAAGATTTACACCAGCAGCAGGATGTTCAGCAATTGCTGTAGAACAGTTACTTACAATAAATGCACTTTATTGGTCAAATAAATGCACTTGGGGGCAAAGCAAAGAAAGAAACATGCAAACTACAACAAGAAAATCTCATTTAATTTATCCAGCCCTTCCCTCGTGCCAAGCACTGACGCCGCGTTACCCCGCTGAATTTCTATATATCGACAAGCGCTGTCTTAAAAACTCATGCGAGCGTGCTTCGCCAGTTTGCTGCTGAAGTCTCTTCCCCAGTTCTTTGATAAATGCGATTGCTGACGGTCCCCATGGGCCCATGGTTTCAAAAGCAATTGGAACGAACAGGTAACGGCCAGCTAGGTAAATATAAAGTCTGGATTTCTTATCCTCAGCTTGCACGGCGGCCGCTCCCGCTGTAGTCGAAGTTGCTTTGACATGTGACGGCGCAACCGTGTCTACACATGTCACGTCCCATGCTAGACACTTACAATTAATTCCCTACTATTTCCTGTCCTATAAACTGTTTCCTAGAAGGCTTTTAATATTGTTTTTTAGGAAGATGAAAGCTCATCATACATACAATTAATTTCAGTAGTGAATATTGACAGTAAAATGTAGTGATCTCCTAAATTGTACTCGTAGCATAACTTGTTTTTTAAATTCGCCGTACAAAGTACTATGTTTTTCCCTGGTTTTGAGATTGATATGCTACGATTCACTTTACCTGCTTAACACATTTTGTATCGATTGGTCAGGCTGCAGTGCAGGCTTCCGGCGGTTTAACAGTTCCCAAACCTTGCGAGTATAGCCTCTGCTTCGACAGAATTTGTTCAACTAGTATGAAACCGACGATAGCTCAGTTGGCAGAGCGGACGGCTGTAGTGTTATCAGAGGTACCGTCAGGTCCTGAGTTCAATTCTCAGTCGTCGGAAAATTTTTGTTTTTTTCATTTTGTAAAAACATTCTGTATATATCTGTAGTCCCTCCTGTATCAAAATGAAAGATAAACAGTAATTAACTGACACTTTTATTTAGTAAGCTAACAGTATTTCCGAATTATGCAGTGACGTTTGTCGCAGTTGTTGTAATTCATAATGATCATGGACTTCAGACTGGCCCTGCCCTGTCTTTGTAATTTTAAAATGCACAGTATACGAAGAATGTTCAGCAATAAACGTTTGCCAAATTATGAAATCGATAAAAGCATATAAATTGGGTTAAATCTTTGATATTGCAAAATGTTTACTATAATTATTGCTAATTTTGTGTACGTTATGCCGTAACAAAATTTGTAACTTTAATACTTGGTTTTTTTTCAGTGTCTCCGAATGCGGAGCCAATATGGCAGCGATACAATATTTACACATTGAATGATCTTTGTAATGCGCATGGTAATACAGTGGAGTGCACAAGGGTTCACAACTTCACAGGATTTTATTTCAAACAATCACACCATGATGTAATAGAATTTTCCAATTTAAAATATATATGCGACTATACAAACTAGCGGGTGTTGTCTCCAGAAAAATATCACAGACAAAAAAGTCGGCATTAATAATTTTATACTTAATCAAAGCCACAAAAGATGGCAACTCTTGTATTATATGACAGCATTCAGCTCAGAAATATTTTGGTCATTTTCCTGACATATTTCATACAGACCGGGCACTTGCGCATAGAGTGACCGGTTATGGTTTCATAGAACGGCAGGGTATTGGCGCATTTGGAGCAGGTAATAACATGGTGGCATGGCGAGAACATAATGGCGCGGTCACCGGTAAAGCAGATAATACACTTATATTGATCCTGTGCCTTCCCGATGGCCTTCTCGCACTCCGCCTTGTAAAATTCCATATCCTGTACAGAGTACCGACGATGCTTATCCATTTCCAAAAATACTCCGGAATCGCTGGGCGACATGGCTGTCCCGTCGGTGAAGGACTGGGAAGCCGGGAACACTTCGTCGAAGGAAGCGGCGCGATCCTCGCAAATAGCGGAAACGGCGCGTTGCCGCACAGGAACCGCCATCGGATCGGAGACCATGTGAAGGTTAGCCGGGATGGAGCCGGCTAGCTGGGGGGACGGGAGACCGGCTAGCTGGGGGGACGGGAGCCTGGGAGCCGGGATAAGGGGAGCGGCGGCAGGTGCCGAGACTTCCGGTGACCTCGAGCGGCTTGGTCCGCTGGGACAGCGTCGCAGCCAATCCAGCAGGTGCACCATTTCGATTTAAATAACAAAATGCCAATAGAGATATATGAAGCGTTTCCACAAAAATGAAACTTCCGGTATGAGTATAGACGTTTCTTCGGAGAATTACTAAACCGTAGTGTAAGCAGACACGATCGTGATTACCACAAATGGAACGGCAGGCAATGCTAAAATCCAAAATTGACACCAATTGAAATCGGAATGTCCTAATTATCGGAGGAATTGGATCACCATGATAAGATTCTTATATGATCAGCCTGATTCAACCAGGTTAAACTGTATAACCTGCAGAAAATGTTGCTACTAGCCAAACTCATCGCTCGTGTCAGTGAACGTATGCCCTAGCATCGTAGGTACTTGAATACGTGATAATCATGTTCCTTTAATTAATATTACTAATAAGTAATCATGCACGTGAGTTGCTAAAAGTTGTAGATATCACATTAACAATAAAAGACGTGATGAACTACATGTAGTAAGCATTAATTTTCGCGCAGCGCATACAATATGCACAACTTCCTCCGCACAGCATTAATAATTAAGTATTTGTATTGGCATGCTCACTTGTGACAGGAAGTTAAGGAACTACCGATGCGTATGAACAAGGAAGGAACGGAACAACCGAACACACGACGTACTGTTTGCAAACTTATTGTAAAACATAATAATATTCAGTCGCCTGTATGTTTAGGTAACGATTAAAGCAAATTTTTGATAAGGTGCGAGTACAGAAGTGCGTAGTCAAGGCATTTTATGCCGGCATAAGCGATAGGACACAACACTGCAGGGGATTGCCCGGAAACGTTTATCGAGTTTGTTGTTACAACGGTTTTCTGATAAGAAGCTCGTTTGCAGCATGGCATAACTGCAGGTAAATTGGTTATTAATTAATAAAGAAAGTTTGAACCGGAAATAGCAGCGCTATCTGTGATTATTTGTAGCAGGTCACGCAAGTGGAGTTTAATGGTCCATTTTTAGACTGAATTTCGACAGTGCATACGTAAAAGAAAAACTGTACCAAATATCTGTATTTTCCAAATGCATGGTCATGATGTTCTTGCTACGTATTTGTAATTTTTAGGTTTTTGTAATGCAAGTGCATCTATAAATATTGTAATAATGATGGCACCGCTTAAATAGCTTTTCAATGCAGCTTCCACAAAATTTTATTGCACAGAATTTTGTGTCGATACTATTCAGCATTACTTCTACTGGCGGAGTTCTACAATAAGAATAAGAAAAACGTATCGCACCTTTTTAACTCCACGAATGGTTAACCATCGGCGCTGAAGGGATGACTAAAAGAGGAGCGATGCCGAAAGCAAAGTAAAAGATGCGCTGCGAAATTAATGTTCATTCGCTGACGTGTACAGCTGGTAAACCCTAAACAGGTTAGGTCACATTAATTAAATGCAAAAGAATAACAAAATTAGGAAAAATATTGCGAACAGGACTTCCGGTTACAATCTGTAAGCACTTTATAAATGACAAACGCGGGATGGAGTTCAATGAACAGAGTGGCTTCGATGTACCAACTCTGTCCACCGCTGAGTAATAACAAACAGCGTGATGAGCAACCGCCTGTACGCTCGCTCGCTTGGCTGCTGTTCCAGATGTTCGTGGAGATATGGACTCCAGTACAGTAAGCGTGCCAGCACTTCGTAACACATTTTCCATGGTTCGTGCTTCCTTTACAAATGGTCCTTCCTCTTGGCCATGCCTCTTGTGCTATTCTAGACCTAGTGGTTCGTTGATAAAACATTTCTCCGGTGCAATTATTTTGATGCAGTAGGCAGCACCAGGCTTCCCGGTAAATGACCGTAAAATCACATGGTTGCATGAGAATGATGACGCCATATTTCGCGTAGAAAGCGTGTTGTGCTTTCCTGCGTTTGCATACATGCTTGACGATTCAAAGCCCACGATCAGCTTACTGCTATCGTGATCTCACGGTTTTATCGGGTTTGTTTGTATGTGATACAGTTTTGCTTTAGCTGAAAGCTGTGATCTTTGTTGTCTATTAAATGGATTTGGACGCAGAAGCAGAACGATTTAGCATTGGCGTCTCGGCAGTTCTTTGTGGAGTAAGCACCATTATTTATCTGTAAGTTTATCATCGGCCTGGTAGCTATCACAGGGTTAGCTAATGATTTAAGAGCCCTAAGCCCTAATTAATTGACTGCTTATTTTGTAAACGACCCAGAACTGGAGAGAAGCGCAGCGAATTTTTCGAGCTTTTTTGTGCATTTAGTTTTTAAATAGTTCTGTAGTTTGCAGCGCTTGAATTATTCGAAATTGGTTTAGAGTTGTAGTTTAGAATTGGTTTACACCTTAGAGGTTTTGACTTGACTTGGGAACCGGAATTTTCTACGTCATCGTTTTTCGTGTCCCGTTTTAGCTGGGGGAGAAAACCAAAATAATGGGGTTCCGTTTCTCTTTCTATGTATGTCATCAGCGTCATCGCGCTTAATGTGTGCTATGAGAAATGCAAAATACAATCGATCAGAACACGCGATTTTCTCGGTAGGCGCTCTTCCGCTCGACACTCGGTATAGCTGCTCTGACAGAGTCACAGTCAGCTGACTGCTTTTCATGAGAACGGAGAAATGCCTTGAGGTTCTCTATTTTGTTGTAAAGCGCTGCGCTAGGTAAACATAGGTGTAGAAGCGGAGATCATGCACGCGTGACTTTACATGGAGTCGGATTAATAACAGAAATTTGATTTGAGTGCTCTTGCGTTGGGTGTTGGGCATATTTGCATTTGTGGTTCAGTGTGCGAGTGCGAAGTATTGAATCATAATTTATCACTTGTGAAGAAATACGCCGGAAAGCTGTTCATACGCTTTACGTTTTTCATGGTGCACCGTAAGTGTGGTTCTTTTTTAAAGTTTTAAAAATAGTGGTAGTGAAAATGTGAATTTTTACACAAGTTGTACGTTCTTGAATCTTTTGTGTGGAAACAACTAAAAATTTCCATTTTTATATCAGAAAGTGAAATTAAAGCGTTCGATACTGCAGGCAAGACAGTATAATAATTTTGTGTGGTTGTGCTTGTGTATACGTATGTTTGTTTATCTAATTGTTAATTGAGCCAGTGATTGAGTGATTTGTATTGTATTGGACATATATTTGTAAACGTAACAGATCGATTTCCGCTTAAACTTTTACATCGGTCATTGTTTTAATTAATTCTTATTGTAGCGTTTAGAAATCTATTTTTGCTTAACATACTGTAAACAGTTACAAAGGGGATTCTGTTTTGTGTCACCGAAAAGGTCGGTGTCCTCATTTTAAACTCTGGTGCAGCGTTATTGATGTGCACTTGTTGGCAGGGTGCTTACATACAGTATTTTGCTATCGATCGATGCGGCCTCATTTAACGACCGCGCTGTGATGTTGTGGTTTTTTGTGCCAATTCCAGATTCTGTGATTTTGAGGAGCATCAGCCGCTATTCTATATTTTCCTTTGGTTATCTTTCTCGGTTTTGGCCCTGGAGTACGGTGAACGATTCCTGATTCGAGGTAACGTTTTATGGTACATTAACTTAATACACAGCCAAAATTTGACTTCTTAAAATGTACAGTTTTCGGGTATCAGTTAATCAGTACGGTAGACATCACGACGTTTTCCGAACTGTTTTTGATTTGAATCTTAATTCATAACAAAACTTTTAGTGAGAGTTGTTTGCCAGCGTACGCTTGTCGTATGCTTCTGTCATTTTAATGAAAGTTATTCAAAACTGTTCTCCAGTGACGACAACGGATGATTAGTGTAGTGTGTCATGTGGATTTGTTATGACATTCTATTTTTGACATTTCTTTGCGCACTGGTTACACACTGGTGTTTTTCCTTGTAGTAGTGGGAGAAAGTGCACTGTTGAAGGTTAAAAACATTGCCCAATCGCCGCTCTTTATCGTTGGTCAGGGCCTGGGTTTCTTGTCGCGTTTACGTCGGGATCAAAGAACTACGGTATGGGTGTTATTTGATCAGTGAATTTTTTTAGATTTGGTAATCGTGGATCATTACGAAGCAAAATGCTGTTTGTATTTTAGTTCTTCTGGACATTGAACTGTTTCTTCGTGGCACTGTACTGTGTCAGCCGACAAATGGATGATGCATCGGTGGTTTATGCAGCCTGTAAGTGGTATTACCGGGGAAATTTTTGATGATTGTAGAGAAATTTCCAGGGCTTCTGGATTTCTAAGAAGATTTATATGGCCTTGGTATTAAATTTTGAATCAGATTATAAAATGTAATCGCTTCTTGGAAGAGTTTTTTGTTTGCGATCTTTTTTGTCGAGGTGAGAATAATTTCTGCTACGGTGCAGATATGCTGAAAAAATTGAAGAGATAAGCAATTAAAAACGATTAGAATCTGAAACACCGTAGTAAGCTAAAATGATTCGCCGATAATTTTGTTAGTGCTGAGTTACGCTTTACTGATTTCGTACTCGTATATGTTTTGCAGGTGTGCTGCTTGGTTCGTCTCCCATAATTCGAAAATTATTAGGCCATGGCACCCAGCAGTTAGCGTCGCGTTTATTTCACCCTCCAGCTTCGGAACCAACCGAACTGGCTGAATATATGCCGCATATAAACGAGGTGTCCCGTGATTTCAGCATACGAATGCGAAGGAGCAGCTACGAAAAAAGCGGTAATGCCATTCGGAGATTCTCATTGCATTACGTAATAGTGCATAACCAAATATATGCATTTGTCTTATGCGTATCAATAAGATAACGTCTTCTTTTGTAAAAATATTGTAAACACATCCACGTCTTGCAACTCGAGCAGAGTCAGATGATAGTAAAATGAACATTTAATTAACATTTAATTGCCGATACGGTACCGCTTGCCGCTTGGTAGTAATTGATACTTGATTAGTAACTTACTATAATATGTTAAATCATAACATTCTGTTTTGTATTTTACGTGCGATGAGCAGATATTTGTGAGATCAGTGATTAGTTTGTTCTATAATTTAGTTTATGTTTAAAATGCAGACCCTTGTTTCGAAACCTCGAAACGCCGCTCGATGTATCTATTTCGAAACTTTTGTAGTGGATCAGAATTGCCAAAGCAATAAATGCCCTAATCTTAGCTGACTTTGCAGAAGCTGACATGGATATATCGGTATTTGACGTTTCTGCATTAAATAATCTGGATGGCTCTTGTTCAGTATCGCTAATGCGGGAATCCCAGTTTCTTCCTGTGATGGCAGAGAGTATGAGCAGTTCCAAGGCCACGGACGATGATACTTCGCCCATTCCCTCGGACGTGGAGGTGGTGGATGCCGATGATATACCGGAAGATTTCCCGGCCAGTATTGCCAGTGGCCGTCTCGTGGGTGACTTTACGTCAGGCGGAACACTGCGTCGCCACCGTCAGGAAAACAACCGTAAAGACTGAGAATATAATGGGTTTGTCGCAACGTGGAACTGATTGGATTGTTAGAAGCGTACTATAAGCCCTGCTTTGTTGATTCGGGAGTGGTTTGCCATGGGATTTTACCTAATTTTATCTTTGATCAGGTCATGTTCCTCTTTCTCAGCTGACGTTTTGTACATAGTGGCTTGTGTCCTGGGATCTTGATTTATTTTCTTTTATTTTATTCCTTTGACATTGAAAAACGACATGCGGTTTTTGTTACTTCGTTAAATCTCGCTTATTGTGATAATTAAAAGTGTCGAAGGCAGCAGTCTGGTTCGGTTGAGATCGATGGAATCTTTTGTAGTAAAGTGCAGATTGCAGCTGCATATATTCGCAGTTCTGCGGAAGTAATTGAAGTGGTTTAATTCCTAAATTAAAAGTGCAGGTTGTGAAAAACCACAAGACCGGCAGCGCAAATATGTCCCGAGACAAGGCTTTAAATCGAAAGTGACGTCGATCGGGCATGTTATAATCAGAACTTGATCAGTGCAGAGCCTGGAAGCAGTGCTGCGATCGATGTTAACCACAAGTAAAAACGCTACTCCTGTGCACAATGATGCATTAATTGATACAATGGTTTTGAGAAATGTACAGAGTCGGATCGCATCGGTCGACTATGCAACCTCTCCCGGCACTGGACTATTGTACTCTGTACTTCAAATTTGTACTCGTACCATTCATTATATTATTCAAATTCATAATTATCATTTACATCGAAACTAACACAATTCACGAGCATTTTTTGTTACTATAATTATATAAAACAACTTATTTCGCACCGGAAATCACGAAACGAAATTGTCTGGCCTCTGCACCGGTAAATTTTGTTAAAACAAAACACAAATCGTGCTAGCCAACTGGAATTGCAGCCTACCGGCGACACCTTGGATATCAATGGGTGATCCGAGATCCTGCGCAGGCAGAAAATATTTTTCAGGCTTCAGCTTTTATTTCCATTGGCTTGTACTTTGACATTTCCATCATGCACCGTTACTCCAGTATAGTGGTGCTTGCGCATCCGGCGTCTCATCACAAACCACATCGTGGGAACCAGCAGCATCATAGCTCCAAACACCCCGCCAACAATATAAAGAAAATTGTCGGAAGCGTACGAAATATAACTGCTCGGCAACGGTTCACTAGTTACGTTCTTCGGGAAAGTGGTCTCGCCAAGAGCGTCCGTGAATCCCACCCCCATGTTGGAATTCGTTACGGACGTTGCGCTTCCTAATAGAATCACAAAAAGTCTGCTGTTGCATGTTCAACATGTGTTTGTACAGCGGATATGTCCACAACTGCACGTAATAATTGTACCGTATTAAAACCGATTACCAATTATTTGTAATATTGCATTTTACAATGATGCGTTGCTGTCTCTTAACTATATTTTGTTATAACAGGAGTATAACTTTTAGTGAGTAAAAAAGAAAGCAGCATAGAGCTTGACTTGGTACGCTAATATATACTCCAAAGGGACGTTGATAATATTATATGATAGCAGTGGTTTCGCTTGCGAAGAGATCATATATTATACGGTGTACATGAATTAAAATTTTACTGCTCAAGCTTTTAACATACCTGTTGGCCCCAACACATACGCCTTATTGATGGTGTTAGATGTATCTCGTCCACATTTGCATGCATACTGGCCCGGATAATATGTTGCACATTCGTAGATTTTTTCATGCAAATCCCAGTAACCTCGTAATACTGACTCTCTTATAACGCACAACGAATCATTAAATTTTGCTTCATTAGCAAAGAGCTGTAGATCACGAGTAGGACCACGGCAAACGAGAATTATTTTAGCAATGTTGGCATCGGTTTGGTCAACGAGAACGCAGTTCGCTGGTTCACCTGACAGAAGTTGTATCGCACACAGATGAAGAACGAGTACTATACACAAAACGGATTTTTCAGAATACATTGTTAGGAAATGCCAAATACGAACGTCCAGCATTTTACGCTTCGTTTCCGCGAATGTTGCAACAAAATTTTGGAGGATGCATGTCAAGCTGCAAATATGTTGTCTTTTTCAAGTGCTTTACGGAGAAGCGCTTGCCACAAGTTCATTAAACGATACGGCATGTGCCGACGATACTGTAATTGTGTTAATCGAAATTTGCAGTATGCACTACACGATAACAGTAAATTTGAGCAGATAGCGCCGGCATATTTTCACATTTACTCACAGCTACAGTAATATATGTAGAATAAACCTCCGATACTTTAACCTCCGGCGGTCAAGCTGATGATCGCTATCAGATTCTACAGACTGTACATGTTAACATTCTATTGCGAACAGTATATGAACCGCAAAGTAATAATTATATTTGCATCCGTTTTTTTTGTCTACAGTTGTACGCGCGCTGTTATCTAACGACATTTATATAAGCAGGTAACAACTACTCAATCCATCGCATGAAAAAAAATTGTTTAATGTAATAAGCTACATATTTCATCTGGTCTATCTGTATGTTGTCGCAGAATTATACTTAAACCGGACAGTTACTGCATCATCGGCTCCTTGAATACTCAATATTTCGTTCAAGCGTTACAAAATCAAAAAATAATTTAAAGTTTTTGATAACCATGCTGTGCAGAATCTTATCTTCAGGAGCACTCAGGGGGAGTTTCAGGAGCTTCAGGAACAATTTGATGTACGTTGCAGTTCTCGATCAAGTGTATGCATGTGTAATGCGATCGATAGTCTAAAAGCAGTTTCAAATTCGAATACGGAGCTCTTTTGATCTTTTTAGAATAACCCTCTACTAATGTTTTTAAAATTCTGAGAACGCTTATCTATAGCCCTTAAAAATATTGAACATTCAAAGGGAGAAAACACGAAAATACTTCGATCGTGCCGGCTTGCAGTGCACTGCAAAAACTACTACGATACTACGAGAATCAGATTCCCAACCGGTTCTGACCTTCTGACTGTGAACAGAATGCGCCCACGTGCTCTGGCTCATCCATGAACGATTCCGGAATGCTTCAAAATTCTGCAGTCATCTGGTACGATATAATATTAATATTTTAGTAGTTCCGAATTTTGTTATAGAGATGTGGCGTGCATGCTTGTTGACATACAATGCATGACTATGATTCAATGCATCGTTACTCATACTTGTTAGTGAATGCTTTGTCCTACGCATGACTAACCCGGTCAAACCAATAATAAACAATCTACACATAAACAACACCTGTGCATCATAGCAGTGCTGCATCAAAATATCGCCGTGTGCTGTCGTCTCCACTGTAATAGGTGCAAAAAAATCACGTACGGGAATGTTTTGTCGGCAGCTGTACGAACGGTAGGCGCCGCTTATTCATCGTCCATATATGATCATATCATTCGTGCATGTTTATGCTTGTTCGGAGTTATTCCTCTTGTTCGGGAAATAACTAATGCGGTAATTATATGGGAATCACATTTTGATTTGTGCACGTAAACTTATTCGAAGCTGTTATAAAATTATTCTTTTTCCATCCAAGAATACGATATTTTCCAATATAATGGCGATGATTTGGTACAAAATGGTGATTGCCAGCACTATTCTCACCATCTTCCTGCAAGCGGGTAAGAAAATTATCGAATCATTTTAAAAACTCTTTAGAGAGCTGATTAGCTTAAAAAATATTTAGATTGCTAATCAATAATTCATTTCTAGTAAATCATTTTAAAAATTTTATTTTTGATCCAGAATGGTCATGAACAATTTGGAGTTGTCCATTTCTAGCGAACAATTTATCATAACATTTTTGAATATTCTGGACACTGCCAGATATATAATCCTCATTGTCTCTTTAGTAGCAGTATATGCTCTGGATTGCTACGTGTGTCAGGTAGTCCTCCAAAGCGGGGAGGATTGTAGCGTTGTCAGAAACACAATGCTGCGGAAATGCCAACTGAACGAGGATATCTGTACAACGACTTCCGTAACCTTACCTGGAGAGCGAAGTAAATATTGCAGTACCCCCAAATCAAGAAAATTATTTTACTAGCTTGCCAAAATTGATACAGATCGAAGTGGACATAATTAAACATGTACTTTGAAATACAGTTCCAACCATTAGTCGTCAGTGCGGAAAGAGTGTAGAGATGCCGACCACTCAAAACGGCCAGCCGCTGATTAACACCTTCAACACCGGTCATCAGGAGAGCTGCACAGCGTATAACGAGGGAGCCCGCATGTCCAGACTGTGCCAGTGCAACTGGAATGGTTGCAATGGTAAAAGCATGCAGGAGCTGGGTTACGGATCAGGTGCCGGAAGTGTGCAGCCGTACCTTGGGTGTATTCTTGTTGCTCTGGCTTTGTTTTTTTCCAGGCTCATGTAATTAATATATGAAAGGTGTGATTTTTTCAAGTGCTTTTATTGCCAGAAGTGTTTATGTGTACCGGGCATGCTGAATATGCATTATTCGTGTTACTAGCGTTGTGAATTTGTGAAACTTGTTGAACTTGTTACCGGCTGTCATTATTCGGTATTTAACCGTGTTATTACTAACTGCGCATAATGCATTTTAAATTATATTCCAAAAATTATGTTAATTGTAGTAGCGCTATTCGTAAACCATTCTTATAGTATAGTCTTCTGGCTTTGCGCTTAGCACCCGAAAATACGCTGACAATTGTAAACAGGACACATTACTCGACAAACTTTCGCAGTAAGTTCCAAAATAAGCAGTTGCTAATTTACAATATTATTTTGTACTCGAATAACTATCATATCCCTGTGACAACTACAAAAAAGCTAACTTTTCTAAACAATTCTTCGCGGAGAACGTTATATCTGTATGCTGCTTCCGGATGAACTGATTGTGAATATTATAACAGTCTACAGCCTTAATGCAGTACGGTAACAATGATTTCGCATAATATAAGTATTCTGTATGTACGAGTACTCGTAATAATAATAATGGTTCCAACTTCCAATTAAGACAACAGGTCAAGCCGAAAGTTTTGTAATACGGCAATGCATCTCAGTGTTCGGTTATTATGCCCAGTTGAGCAAACGAACACTATTCCATAATACATCTTCACGATCAGTTTTTCGTCTTATTATTCGGTAATAATTGGACATTATTGACGTCGAACTGTTCTGATTATGACCGTTTTTGACCTCCCTTCCGTTACGTACACAACACTACTGTAGCTCGGTGTCAACTGCTGCAGTCGAATCCATTTTCACGCAAAATAAATTAAATAAAGGTACATTATACTAGAACACTCAACAGTACAAAATGAGCAATGAGGTACAAATAGATAAATAATTTCCGGTAATTAAACTGCCGTTCCCAGCGCCCACATAGTTTGCGGATTGCGGGTGTCCATCGGATTGTAATACGCCCGACTGAACGGGTACTGATACGCAAACCACATTCCACTATTCCCGCTGCTGGTACTGGAACCGGAACCACTACTGGAGCCGCTACTTCCGCCGTAAGAGCTCCCACCATACGACGAGCTACCGCCGTAGGACGATGAACCGTATGAGCTACCATACGCCATCGTGGTCATCATCATAGGCGTGGTGGTGGGGGGAGGCGGCGGCGGCGGGGTGGTAGTGGGAGGAGGTGGTGGGGGGCCAGCCGTGGTAGTCGGTGGTGGAGGCGGCGGTGGGGTAGTGGTGGTTGGAGGGGGTGGCGGCATCGTGGTGGTCGGAGGCGGTGGTGGCACTGTCGTGGTAGGAGGCATGGTCATGGGGGGAGCCATAGTCATGGGCGGGGCCATTGTGGGTCCGCTCGGATAGGAGCCGTAGGAAGAGGACGGTGATGCCACATAGCCACTTCCGCTGCCGTAAGAAGCCGGCGAGCTGCCGTAAGCGCTCTGCATAGGAGCGGTAGCCACTGGAGACGGCGCTGAGGGGCTGCCGTACGAGCTAGGGGAAGGGGAGGGCGATGACCCGTAGGAACTCGGTGGTGACGGTGATGGAGTCGGTGAGGAATAGCTTGCCGGTGGAGACGAGCCATACGAGGTGGACGGCGGGGAGGGAGCCGGCGGTGTCGGCGACGAATAGCTTGCGGGCGGCGATGATCCGTACGAAGCTGGAGGTGATGGTGCTGGTGGGGTTGGAGACGAATAGCTGGCCGGCGGGGATGACCCATAGGAAGTTGATGGTGGCGACGGAGCGGGAGGGGTCGGGGAAGAGTAACTGGCCGGTGGAGAGGATCCATAAGAGCTGGTCGGCGGTGACGGCGCCGGGGGTGTGGGCGACCCATAAGACGTCGACGGGGGAGCCGGCGCAGGAGGCGAGGGAGACGGAGACGAGTAACTAGCCGGTGGCGATGAACCATAAGAAGTCGACGGAGGAGATGGCGCCGGCGGCGTTGGGGAGGAGTAACTAGCAGGTGGGGATGACCCGTAAGAAGAGGAAGGCGGAGAGGGCGCCGGGGGTGTCGGTGATGAATAGCTCGCCGGTGGGGAGGATCCGTAGGATGTTGACGGGGGAGAAGGTGCTGGTGGTGTTGGAGCCGGTGGCGAGGATCCATACGAACTAGGAGGGGACGGGGATGGGGGAGTGGGAGAAGATCCGTACGAGCTAGGTGGTGATGGCATGGGTGCCGGAGGTGTCGGAGAAGAATAACTGGCCGGTGGTGACGAGCCGTACGATGTGCTAGGTGGAGATGGCATTGGAGCCGGAGGTGTCGGGGAAGAATAGGTGGCCGGAGGTGACGAGCCGTACGATGTCGAAGGTGGAGATGGCATTGGTGCCGGAGGTGTCGGGGAAGAATAGGTGGCCGGTGGCGATGGTGAAGGAGGTGTCGGGGACGAATAGCTAGCCGGCGGTGAGGATCCATACGATGTCGAAGGTGGAGATGGCATTGGAGCCGGAGGTGTCGGGGACGAATAGCTAGCCGGCGGTGAGGATCCATACGATGTCGAAGGTGGAGATGGCATTGGAGCCGGAGGTGTCGGGGAAGAATAACTGGCTGGAGGTGACGAGCCGTACGGTGTGCTAGGTGGTGATGGCATTGGTGCCGGAGGTGTCGGGGAAGAATAACTGGCTGGTGGCGATGAGCCATAGGACGTCGAAGGTGGGGACGGCGCCGGTGGTGTCGGTGACGAATAGCTGGCAGGGGGTGACGATCCGTACGAGCTGGATGGCGGTGATGGTGAAGGTGGAACTGGGGTCGGTGATGAATACGAAGCCGGGGGCGATGAGCCGTAGGAAGATGGTTGAGAGGTTATAGGAGCCGGTGGAGACGGCGCCGAATAACTCGAGGGAGTTGGTGTTGGGGACGGTGAGCCATACGAACTCTGCATTGGTGCGGACGGTACCGGGCCTAGTTCGAGATATATTCATATTAATGGAAATCTGATTTAGCAGATTAAACGAATTTAATTTGCACTGGCTATACTGTTCCAATTTTCGGTCCTAACTACTTCCGCTAAACCCGCCATTGATATACATAATTTATTTGCATGTGCAGCGTCCTTTCTTTCTAGTTCATTGTATGGTTTTATCTTTTATGCACTTTCACATGAGAATGGCGCTGATAACGTTCGTATAGACGCTATACGATTTGCACTAGTTAATTTTAATGAACAAATTGCAATTTTGCCGTACTTGACGGTGAACTTCCGTACGAAGCCGGTGGCGTTGGTGATGATCCATACGAACTGGGAACTGGACTGGGAGAAGGCGGCGAGGAGTAGCCTATTATTCGTGAATGCTTCTTACATAGTGCAGCAATAGACACTACTACTTTTAAGTCGAAACTGCTTGAAGGTCATTAATATTTGGTAGCACATTTTGCAACTATCAACAAGTAGATCTACTTACTGGGATCTTCTAAATAAAGCTAATCAGTTCAAACGGTGAAGCGAGAAGTGGATTTGCCTTATGACCTTATGTAATACAGAGAAGTATTTGGTGACCTTTCAAGTATATAGGAAAATAGGTGATGCGTATGCAAATAATTACAGCAAACGATAATATTAATACGATAAGAGCAGCAGCAGTTCGGTATTATAATGTACGGTTGTAGTTCGTTTCGGTATTATATATTATATGGACGTATACGATTATCTATACATATATACAACATATTTATGTAGCAATGAAGCGTATAATATGTTTAGCCCCTTTCAGTTTCAACAAGCGTTGTTGTGGGATACTTAAAACTTACTCGTCGGTGAGCTTCCGTATGACGATGGCGGAGATGGTGCTGGTGGAGAGGGTGCTGGTGGTGTCGGACTGGATCCGTATGAAGACGGCGATGACCCGTAGGAACTCTGCATGGGTGCCGGGGACATCGGCGACGGTGCCGAATACGAGCTGGAGGGTGGCGAACTGCCATATGCCTGTCGTACCCGACGAATAATAGCACTGTCACTAAAAGGGCATAACAGCAGGGCCAGCCCTATCACGTAGAAATTCCGCGCTTTCGCCATAGTATTGACAATTATGCCAGCATGCGGTGTCGTCGTGTACTCAGATAGTGTGGACAGTGGAATGCACGACCTGAAATGTGCTTTTTAATCAAATCAATGGGCTTTTACCTTGGTTCGTTTTAACAACTTAAAGCAGCCCCGTATTAGCTCAAGGGTTTTGAAGTAATTAGCGGAAGTTCGGATATTAAAATGTTATTAAATGTGCCGCCGTACCATTGCTTAACATGTAGACGTCAGCTCAAGTCCAACGGACGTTCTGCTGTTGTTTTGTTACGCACCATTCGGTGTTACGGTGTCTTATCGCACCAAAATGTCAGTGGTAAATAATATGACTTTTTCCACCTTTTTCTGCCATGTTTTATGACAATATAATTTAATTAGGCCTCTGTTTCGCACTTCCATGCGCCGCATGTGGTGTGCAGCTCGCACTGAATTACCCACTTCGGCTTAACTGGGATCAACACATATGCATGCCGCGCCAGTGATAATAAGCTTTTAATACTTACATAAATATGAAATCACTCAGAAAAACATTCTTTCTTCGTCAACCACAACAAAAGAGCGATCGTTCGGCGGCTGTTCTGGCCAAATGCAGGTAAAACGGCAATGAACACGATGACAGAAGCTTTTCGATAACTTTCCAATGTATCATATTCATACGGTATTACAGCATTCTTCATTCTACTTGGAACCAACCCTGAACTGGCAGATCTTCTACTTCAGTACTCTAGCTAACCATAAGGAAAACTGAAGGTACATCATCAATTAAAAGAATTCAACAATATAGATAAGTATATCAAACATGGGTACACGGGTACAAGTACAACACTTAAGAAGTCCATGTGCCTCTTGGGATCCTCTCGTATTCTGCTTTATATAGTACGAAGCAAACAAACAAATTGTGGGAAACCGGAAGGACGTTCTTGCCGACTCCGCGGACAGCAGCATTTACTACGAAACCATCGCAGGATGTTCTTACGGCCTGCATCGAAACACACGAGTATGCATCGTCAACGTGGCTATGCATCGTTTCAGACACAGCATCATTAATTGCTCGAAAATTGGTTTGATTTGAAAGATTTTAACTTGAATAATATAATATTACAGTACTCCGTACAATAGTCCGCACATATGATAGCAAAGTACGGCCAGCAAGGCAAAAATTGATCTTTACATGTCAATAACAAACGTTGAAGAGTTTGTACCCGAATGCGATTTCTAGTTAAAATGCATAAATTCCGGTACTTGTACAGTCGATCGATCGACATTCGACACATAACTCTTCCTCAATACACTGCTCGGTTTTATAGCTCATACATAGTTCATTGTAAACTGACTTGTTATGCTCATGTATACCGGATATATGAATTTCAAATTATTGTTAACTGTAAGTGTCGCAAAATGTTTCGGCAATACTTAAAAATCAGAAGTTCACTTTAGTATTACCGAACATAATAATCGCATGTAAACGTTCTAAACCCTTTTTATCGTTATCAGTATTCAGTACAGACATATTCACAGGATGACGCACAATTTTTGACTGACAAAGATTGCTAGAACACAAAGCTAGATTGCTAGAAAGATGTTAACTACAGCGTAACATCAACCGATTACCGAACAACACAAGTACAAAACATTTGGCATTAATTTCCGTTATGGAGCACTGTGCAGCAGACTCCACCGCGGTGACAGGCGGGAAGCACGGGATGAGATTTACCGAGCGTGGAATGGATCCGACATCGCTGCAGAATCCGGCTAATTGCCCTTAAGGGTGTTGACGATCTTATCGGTGGTGGATTCTGCACCCGTGGCATGCTTTAACTGCAACAAAATAATACAACTGTAAAGTTGTGCTTATAGCATGCGAAAGCCTGCCATAAACATAATAAACAACCTAATTTACTGACGCAACCTAATAAACATTAAACAATCGCAATATTTACAAATAATCTATAAGGAAAGTCAAATAATCTTATAATCTTATTCATATGGTTGTAAAACTTACAGGAAAGCAATTAACGAATATAATACGTGCGTTGCAATTGCATACAAACGACTGACTAACAAATGAATTATTAGTTAATTAGTGAAGCCTAAACGAAAGCCACCTGTTTGCACGGACAATACCATACCAAAAAGCGAAAAAACTATCCTCGAACGTCAAAAAATATTCGCTTCGTCCATTTGTTAAATCAACTTATCAACATACAAAATCGCGACAACACAGGATAACTTCAAGGTAAAACACAAAAACATGACTATCAGTCTACCAGCCACCTTTCCTATATCGTGATGAAAATGCACTTACTTTATCGATGCCCTCTTTAGCTTTATCGCCTGCTGCTGCTCCAGCATTCTGCAGATCTTTCTTGGCGGATTCCGCGACATCCTTCACTTTATCCTGGGTTCGGTCAGACATGGTTGCGGCTTACGTTAGGAACGAAAAAACTGCGAGAAGACTTAGAGGAAATGCAAACAGTTGAATGTTCACAATCTGGAAAAAGAGATCAAAATTGCTTTGGCCAGAAATGGAGCTAAAGTCAGGATGCTGCGCAGTTAAAAGCACCACGCTGCCGTTTCGGAAATTTCCGCTCCATCCAAATGCTGCTGTTATGGGGCGGAGCCTGCTCATCGGTTACTTTATCATTCTGTACGAGCAACCAGTTTATCGCGCCGGTTTGCGCATAAAATCATGGAATCGTCCGCGGCTGCATAGATCAGATTTGAATTTCCAACATTCGCGGAACATCATTTCAGGTTGTCCATCCTCCGACAATTGTAACTTTCCAGGAAGCTGCAAAAACGTTTCACAAATGTGAACAACCGAAAAGCTACCGGAAGTGGGCCAGGACAAAAACTTCGCAGTTCGCACCATAAATTCCTTAATAACTCTTACGTCTTTATCCACGGAAGGCAGAGCAATAGTTTAGCCGTTACTGTTAGCATACTAGCGTAACTAGCTTTACTTTAATTTACAGTTTAACGAAATTTAGAGCAACAAAATATTTAATTTGCATCCTGCATTTAATTTTCATTACAGTAACTATACGATCTCTCTATCTTTGACACGAGGATTCAAGTTCATCGTCGCTTTTTTTACGTGAAACGCGGTGAGACGCGAGCGTTAGTGCTCGCTATAAAACTAATTAATGTCTGAGGTACTATACAATCATAGAATATAGATATAACGATAAATAAGTGTATACATAATCCTACAGTACAGAGTCTATAGATGAAACAAAAAATAGTTTCTATATATTTTAATTCTAAAAAGTAAATTTGCAGCTACGGTAGTGCCGTACTTTATTCTACTAGAGTACTTCTTTTATTATTACCGTAATTTCGACATGAATGTCGCGCGTGACTGTCAGTGCATCGCATGCAGCTTCTTGCAATTGAAATTTAAACATTACCATTTCCCACTAGTATGTGGAAACGTCCGCCACTATTTAAATACTCTGTGGATCGATAAGTACCATGGCATTTCCGGTGGAACCCAGTTCAACCCACTAACCGTTGATGATGCCGCTTGGAAGTTTGAATGCCGACTGTGCGTCCACATTACGTCTCGATCTGTCCTATGTATCCAGGATTTACTACAGTATAACGAGACTTCGTGCTTACAAATGCGAGCGCAGATTTGAACGTCTACAGTACTTACGCAAACAAAACAAAGCAATAATTAATACTGTACGTTATGGTTTCGAAGTCCAAACTCCAAAGTTTAAAATAGCTGCGGTATATCACTTGTACTACGCTGAAGTAAATAAAGATTGGGAAATGTGCTGTAGTTGCGGTATAAAAGCATGTGCAGTGCAGCCGGTTTGAAATGAACTTCAATCCTTCACTTCAGACTCCTTTGAGTGTCCAAACGCATCTTATATTCGCGCAAACGCCATCTTGTTTTGATTTATCGTTGCTTAAGAAGTAAGACAGTGTTTTTAATAATGTCTGACCGAACCCAGGACAAAGTGAAAAATGCCGCCGAATCCGCAAAAAAGGATGTGCAAAATGCAGGTGCTGCTGTTGCCGGTCGACAAGTGCAAGGAAGGAATAGACAAGGTACAGTATAAATATCTATAGATATACGAGTATAGTTATACAGTACGTATACCGCGCACTTACGTCCTAACCAGTGCCAGTGATATGCAGTTGTACATATCGTATATAATTACATACTATATTAAATTCATTTGTTTTCTAAACTTCAGCTAAAACATGCGACGGGATGTGAATCTACGACAGACAAGATCGTTAATACCTTAAAGGGCAATTAGCTGACCGGAAATGATGCGGAGGACCGGTGTGACATAGCGAAAGGAAGGACGCATCTCTCAAAACTTCCTTATATAATTACTCCTCAAGCCTTACATTAAATTGCACAGTATTCCAGTTTTCACGGAATTGACGGTCATGATTGTTTTGTTTTACTTTTGATGCGGACTCGTACAACCAGATCAGATTTTGATTGGTTGTCATCTTTCTGAATATGTATGTATTTTATGTATGCATTGTATTTTATTTGTACAACAATGCTTAGGATACTTACTTTGTGCAGCCATTGTGGAAAACTAGAAATCCAGCTTGGAATTATGACCACTGATTAAAAGTTCTGTATCAAGCACGAGCTCGTACTTCGTAGTAAAATGCTGATCTAGACGAATGTACCGTACAAATTACACTCATACGGTTGTACCTTTAAAGGTCACACTCTGAACATGATGTTAACCAGCCAGCGCCCAGCGGTGAGCCGCAAATGCATCAGCATAACAGAAATGCATCAGCATAATTATTACGTAAGCCACTGAAACATGTACACCAACTGCAATGATTTTCTCAAGGTTTTAACACTCATTATTAACTTTATAATTCATACTGATCTTCTTTGGTAGACCTGTTCATCGACATCGTACAGTACTCGTACAGTCGTACTCAGCAGTTCTGGAATCCATACGATTGACGAGCACTACTCTAGTGATATTCTCAACATTTTACTCATTTTACAGAAAATACACGCAAATAAAGTCGCAAAGTTAACAGAACAGAATTTTACCTAGATATGCGTGCAACATCGACACAAATGCAGTAGTTTATCCTTGAAATAAATCATGAACAAAATAAAACCATCTAAAACCTATCATGAACACTTGTAACTAACACGGCTGCCCATAGCCATCTGCTTATTACTTGAACACAGAGACGCCCATCGCTTTGATGCAAGAAATTAAATAGTGATAGCAAAATCACCCAGTTCTTCATCAGACGGTAGAATTATGTTCTCTCGGGGTACAAGGTCGGGATCCACTAAAGGCAGGCCGAATTTCTCACGACGATGTAACTCCAGGAAAGCTTCGCGGCAAACCCAGTCCGTATCAGGAAACCTACAAACACGCAAAACGGTATGATTAAATCCTTCCCTCGTTAATATAGCTCCGTCAAAAATCGCAAGTTAGAAGCTGCATTACCTCACTGGGGCGTACATCATAAACCAAGTGGTTCCTATGGTGAAACAGGTAACCACCACAAACATTATAATATTCCACTGCCATCTATCGATGTCCTCGTCGTCATAATCCATTCCACGAGTATACCAATCCTGTGAAGCAGTAACAAAAATAGTTGAAAGATAGGTACTTATTAAACCCAGTAACTCGTTGCGCACCCTACCTAGTTGCATGCGTTTGATCTACCAAACAACGATATGAAAAGAATGTGTTTAATCTTCCAAACAACCATATGAAAAGCAAGCGTTTAATCTTCCAAACAATCATATGAAAAGCATGCGTTTAACCTTCTAAAGAACCATATGAAAAAATAAACAATACTGAATCAGTAATCCAGCAACATTACGAAAGCAACCGCCTGTTGGCATAAAAGGCTAAAAAACGCGATGCGCTCTAAAAAATGAAAAAGCTGCAACCACTATGTACGTTGCAATGGCAATGCAGTAGCCAAAATTCAAATGGCACGAAAATATGCATCGAAAAATTCAAAAATAACACCGATTCTCCACTGCAAAAATTAAAAATCGTTGAGGGGACGGGACCATCGATGTGTGCATGTTTAGACATTCTAACAATTTTTGGCGAATTATTTGTTACAAGAGAAGTCATCAAAACAACATGCAAAAAGCAAACCCCTGATTGATAGCAAAGCGTCATACATTTCGTGAGTTTCTAAACTTAATTCCAGCCAAAATCCCCATTTGCTGGGCACATCAGACATACCTTTCGCTGCTCATAATTTGTATCCACACCACCTCCTGGTTTAGTAACTGAGCAATCATCGGGCAAAGCCAGTCCTCCAACCGCGGCATCCTTTTTCTTTTCCGTAGTAGCAATGAACCTGATGCATGGAGTAATAGTCGCTCGGAGCGGTCTACGGAGATGTACCCGCTGCTGCAAACATTGTGCGAGAACCCGTCTGCAGAGAAATGATGCCATTCTTGTCCGACGTCACCGGGCACGGACCACGTTGCAATCAACCTACGGTAAGCCAGCTTATCAATTCACATACTCTCCTGCTCAGACCCTAAACGCGTTATTAATCGAAAGATCTGAAAATGGAAACTCACGAGGGACACTTCAGTTTTTGCTCAACCCACGCAGCACGAATCGGAATGGCAGGGAATGCCAAGTAACTTGGCCCAAGTTAATCCGAAATCATAGCAGTCTCCAATCACCGTAAAACACTGGAAAACATTCAGAAGACCAGCAGACCAACGAATCTTGCGAGCACCATACTAATAGCTCCCAAAAGAAAGGACTTTAACAAGAAATTAGAAATAGTAATTTAACTAATTTTTATGACTTTGGTTATCTTCTCAATTTTTTTCGCCAAAATGATTATGTTCAGGATTGCGATGGCTTGCTGCTTGCATGGCCAATGCATGCGCCTGGATTTCAACTAAATTTGTTAACGGGGTCTAGAGCGCTTTGCGCCACAATTCGGCTTAGCGTACGGGCACACTCCAACTAAAATTTGCGGTGGATTTAAATCTCCTGTAATTCGCCCTTCTTACTCGTATACAGTATTTTATTTTATTACGAATCCAGCTCGCACCTCCAAATCACAGGAAATTTCGCTTCAGACTCTGAAGTGAAAGGGAGAAAGGCGAGATTGTGTTGTTGCTTTCGCAAAAATGGGAAAAAAGAAGATAGGCTGTTTTTATTCTTAAGCTTAAAACGTGAACCCAAAAAAATAAAAAGTCTCCCAGTCGGGGAATCGAACCCCGGTCTTCCACGTGACAGGCGGAGATACTCACCACTATACTAACTGGGATTGTTCACAAACTGTACGCATTTAATATCCGTTGAACTTGCATTTATAGAAGGTACTTACAATTAGCTGCTCTAGTAGCTAGCAACGAAGAACTTATGTTAAGAACTCCGTACGCAGCAACATCCGTGCGAGCTGGACCAGCGGCGGCAAAGGCCGAACAGGATAAGGCAACTTAGGTAAGTACCAGAAGTTCAGAACATCACCCAGGACTACCTTTTCAGTGCTTTTTGCTTCGAAACGCTAGGACCAAATGGACCGAAAGCTGCCCGCCTGCTTACGGAAGTGGGGCAAGAAACCGGAAAGGCACGAGCACTGGAATATTTGCGCCAGCGCATCAGCATAGAAATCCAGCGCGGGAACGCGGCCTTGGTTCAGAAAACAGCTCCACCGGGAGCAAATTTAGATAAGTTTTTCATTGTTCTTAGGCCTCCCGAGCCTGTTTTCTGCCGGCTAGCTGCGTTGTTTGGCCATCGGCCGTTCTGACTGACTGCATGGCAGGAAGTCTACTTACCGCCTCAGGATGCCGTATCCGTGAATAAAAATTACAGTAAGTATTGTAAGGTACTACATGCACAACAAAAACAACAACACTTGTGATATTTGTGACATTTTGCTCCCAAAAATCTTTCAAAAATCAGACCTTGCTTATTGATTTTTAAAGCAAGCTGCTTTTCGGGCAGGTTTCGAGCCCACTCACCCTTGCAGTGTTCTGAGATGTTCTGACTATTATGTTCTGACATGAGCTAAAACTTGTAGGTGACGTTTTGTTACGAATAATTTGTTACTTCCATAGGCTGTTTCTGTGGAAGCCGATGGGGGAACGGAAAAGATCGAGGTACCCTTCCTTTCCCGATGAGTATCTCACAGGATTAGAACAACGTTTACAGCTGCTCTTGGAAGAAGTAAGGACAGTGTTGTAAAACCCGTTAGTTAGCATGTAGGTTTTGCCAATTTGACAGATGGTACGCACTGGTGTTTTCAGACTTCAGAGTCTGCAGACTGTGTTTTAAAACATTTTTGGAATTTGAGTCTTGAGAGACTAATTAATACTGGAACTATGTATGACCGCTGGTCGCTGAAATAGTTCATTAGCTGAATAAGAGTTATTACGGTCTTAATAGGAGGATTTTCTTGCTGTACTTGTATGCAAAACAGTAGAAGCGCTGCTGCCAACTTGACAAGTGGCAACGATTAGATTATGAAAACTGCGAAAACTTCCTTTTTTCTGCAGACTCCGGTCTTAGCAGATGTTGCAAAATTTGATACGGAAGAGCTTAAAGATATCGTGTTGCGGGAATCTGGGAAGGGAATTCTGATTATATTGCATCGAGAATCGGAGGGTTCTGTCGGTACGAGATGTTCTAACAACAAGTTTTGTGTAAGCTTATAAGCAGCAAGTACTTGCAGTAAGATATAGAAATGAGCACAACTTGCATGTTTGTCGAAGTAATTACAGATGTGACATGTCTACTTGTTGGCGTTAATAAGTTTTCGAGACATGCATATTTGATATTACAACATGGTACAGTGCCAGTTGGCAGAGGATTGACTTGTTCTCCAGGAACAGCAATTGTGGAGCGCTGGACTTTTGATCCTTTATTAAGTGGGGTTTATGTTACTTTTTTCAGAAATTGTAATCCCAAGGAATTCATCAGTGAATGAATTAAAAAAGGCAGTCGGACGGAAGCTAAATCTTCTCAATGCAAAGCAGCGACGCATAAACTGGTAAAATGAGGTTTTTTCATTATGCGGGCTTTGTTTTTACTTCGCAGGGTCACTACGGTAGAAGTATAGCTAGCTGTAAGTCGTGCAAGTTTTTGACGCTTTGTTTTTGCAGGAAATACATCTGGCAAAAGCACAATTTGGCGTTTGGTAATCAACAGCTTACCAACGATTTGACCACCTTAGAAGAGTGAGCTTGTAGAGCGATAAATACTTTACAGACAGTTCTCATTGTGCACCATTTACTTAACTTTGGTTTATTTACTTATCCCAGCTTATTTTGATAAAGAAACATTATAAGGCATGGTTTTTGGTTGACTTTTTGTTATTTTGTATGGGTATGGTACCGTATGTAAATTTTTCGCAATGTGTTTCTTGCTGTTGTTCTTATTCTTTGTAACGTATTATTTAGGTACGACTTGGAAAACAGTTCGGTGGTGACCTTTGTTAGAAAACCAAGAAAAAGAAAGCCGAAAAAGGCGGGAAAGCGAAAAAATGAGGAAAATGTGAGATCAGATTTCCAATAACGCCTGAGTTATTGCAGTGTTCGATATGCATACGGCATAGTCGTGATTTGGGACGGAATGATCTTTTTAAAAATTTTTTTAATGTATCGAATCTGCTACCCTAGCTAGAGCTATATATGCAATGCATTTGCGAGCTGGAAGAACCTTTTGCTTAAAGTTATACGTGTACTCAAAGCTGGATTTGAATTCACGGCTTGACTGAGAGTTGAGTTGAATTAAAAAGTAAATGTTACTAAAAATTTGAGTAATTGGTGCTTACCGTTTGCAGATATTAGGCGATTAATGATTGAGATGATTGCGGTAATTATTTATAGCGAAACATTCGAGGATGTCCAGAATTTCTGATAATTATAGCTGAATTTGAATCATATTCGTTTTTAAATTGAAATGCTGGTGCAGGGGAATATTGACAGAATTAGAATGTCAGGAAATATATGTAGGACTGTACGCATTGCAAATATTTCTTGCAGTGGCAGTTAAGCTAGCGCTACATAGCGCTAGCTTAACTATACACTAATAATGTACCAGCGCCTGGGAAGATTGACAGGAGCAAGGGCAAGATGCCCGCGCTGTCCATCGACCTTATATCGTGATGGCTATCCCATAATAACGACTGATGTAATGTTTGCGTACAATCATCCGCAGCTGGTTTGTTGAATAGGCCTGATTAATTATGAACCAGCATTTTATTTATCTTTACACGCATCGGTCAAAATGGAATGCCTTCTCCGGAAACAATTACGATGCCGCCGCAACCACGGTGCTGTGCGGTCAACAGCTGTACAATCTGCCGTCGTTCCTATGGCGCAGCGTCTGACTGCGTAAATACCTCATATTAATCTACGATATTCCGAACTATAGTGTAACATTCATGTCAGGGACAGATTGTGCAAAGGATCTATTCAGCTGGACACAGCGGGAACCGGGAGTGTGATGCAATAGATATATCAGCCGCTGCGGTCGTGAGTTCGAGCAAATGACCATTGACATGCCGGCCAACAATGGCTGAACCACTTGGACGCGAACAGGGAATTCATCGGTCAATAGCGGAGTCAGAAAAGCATACGTATTTTGCTGCGGTGCAATTATGGCCAATGTGTCATCGAGTGGCAGATGATTCAGATGGACGTAATAAACGAAGAAAAGGCTTTGACTGGTTAATTTATTAAAATAGCGTCAGTTTTCTTTACCAAGTGGCACTTGAGCCTCGAGAGGAGAACGGCCATGGCACTTTCATACGCGGGAGCAGTTTGTGGCTCGAGTAAGCAGAGCTGTCCTGTTTTTTTACTCGATTATTTCCGGTGTTGTGTTTATGGTGCGTTCTTGAACGGACTAGTAGCAATGCGCTAATTGAGTTTGACCGTTCCACTGGGGCGACCAGCGTAAAGAAACTAATAAGACGACGTAACTGTTATGTTCTCAAGAACAGCAACATTTTACTGGGTTATTTAACACTGTGTCAATATACGCCATCAAAAGACATATTCATTTGTAACTCTGTCTCTTTTCCCACAAGTTGTCGCAGCTGAAGAATACGACGAACGTAATCAAATCGTTCCCTTATTATGTAACAGTCTGAATAACGCTTCCGGACTAAGTTGAGGACAAAGCCTAATTGCGGTTAAAATACGTAGACGCTGCACTTGAAATCTACTTCGTGTGAAAGTTTTGGGATTCCATTATTTTCGTGACTGGAATATGTGGGACGTCGAGTTGGGACACTTACGAGTTTATATGTACGATGCAACATGGATTACTGTACTTACATGATTACGATGATTAGAATAGTCAAACCATTAATTCTGCAATTAGAAATTTTGATCTCCTTTCATGGCGTAGAAATTTTGACATACAGTACAGTACTTGCACTTCTGTTGTACGATCGAGGCGCACCTTGACAAAAGAATTTTTAATAATATTGAATTAATGATATTATTATGACAATTAAAACTACTTACCTACTTCTACCGTACGAGTATGGCTGTTTTGGGAAAATGCTGTGACGTACGATCGGTCAGGGTCAGGGAGCTCTGGATTTTCGTCTGTTACTAACGCGTGTACGTACGGAGCTAGCGTCAGAAGGGCAGTAGATACCGCGTAGTACCGGAATTGCCGTAAAAACTCTTTAAATGCACATTGCACAGGTTGTACTGTGTTTTCACTGTATTGCCAAGCTAAAGTGCTAAACCAATGTCTTCGCCTCCCGTGGAAAAATCCCATAATGTACCGCGGATCCACTGACCAGCATCTTTACCCTAATTTAAATTTTAGGGCTAGTGCCACTGTGTCACTTTTGTATTTAAACGCCCTGCAAACATCACGAATTTTTAGATTTAGTGACTTACCATACTGCGCCTTCATCATCGACCTTAAAGATTTTCCGACTTAAACAATTTTAATCGTAAGTTTCTCCGATCCAAAGAGCACGTTTTACTCGTTGATAGCGTATTGATATAAATCTCAGCAGAATGGAATCCCGTGTGTTGTTCATTTTCTTCCTGATGGCGTTGCTCATTTCGACAACTGGTAAGTGTACGCAGTACAACTTTTGTAAACAAAAGCGAAAAGTGTAAAAAATTGTAGTCTGACCTTCTGTATCAGAACATCTAAGTACAATCCTAAACAATTTGCAAGTATGCGACGGTAAGCTTTGTAGTGATATTTTCGGCGGTTCTGTTCAACTGGTAAGCTAACAATAAGTTAGTCTGTGCCCGTTACTAATTCTATGCTGAATGCAAGATCATGCGTTTCTTACAATTAGCACTGCTGCAGTGTAGTGCATGCAGAATTTTTTGGAATCGCAAGTGTCTGTACATTGGTTACCAGATTTCGGATTTAAAACATCTAATTTTAGAATTTTTTAGATTTAGAACATCTAATTTTTTCTTCGATCCCATAGACTTCGCCGATGGAGCCGGATCAGTTATGAGTTACCGTGTCAAGCGTGGCGCGGTGTCCAAGACAGCGAAGGGTGCTGCAGCTGGTGCCGTGATTGGAGCAGTCGTTCCGGGTGTCAGCGCCAAAGAGGGGGCTGCAGCGGGAGCAGCAGTCGGAGCCGGATCGGCACTGGCCAAGGGCGTGAAGAACCATGCTGCTGCTGGCTCCACTTCCACTTGATGATCGCATTGATATGTGCTGGTAATTCGTTGGGTTTTGACCCTGGCACTTGTTGTTGTTGTCGCGAACTGTGGTGTTGCATGCTCAAACGCTCCCAGTTGATGCTGGTGGATCTGACGCATTTTCTATATTCCAGGTTTAAAATTTTTAGAATATTTGTTTTCGGACAGTTTTTACTGATTTGTACTACCTGAGTTTCACCTTTCTTAATTGCGATTGTGCACTACGTACTGTATAAATGCCAATGTTTGTACATTGAAAGGTGCTTGATAAGTAAATTTTATACGAGGACGGAGAAAGACTGTGGTTTGTACGGTGGCTTCACCGATTCGCACCAGCCATAAACAGTAGTAAATTGTAAATACTCGTAGTATAGTATGTACAGTAAATCATCTGTAACTGCATTCCGCAATTATTTGTCGGGTAATTCTTGCTTTAATTAATTTGAACATATGGATAACGACTTAAAATTGGCAAAGCCCTACAAGGAAGAAACTGAAAGGGGAAAAAAAATAAGAGTTACAATTTTATTGTTGACATTGATGTATTATTTCCGTAATTGTTGTACTGTGAAACAACACAGTCGAGGATGCCAAACGTTTGACTTTGTCAGAAAACGTCGCCGCATTATTTTCTGGTGCAGTAATATTTGCGTAGTATGCCCATATTGTATTTGTAATTAAAGACGCACATCCTGATGAGCCAACAAAAACACAAACACAGTGAAACACCTAATCCCATTTCTTATTGTCAGTCGCCTGAATGCAAACGGGACATCTGTCGGATATGCAAACCATCCTAACACCCGACACACGCGAGACGAATGATCAGGGACAATACTGCTGTTGGTGTTAATCGCGGTAATTTCTTGGTCATTGCAGTAGCATCCCATTCAATCAGAAGTTAGGCAGGACAATTGCTGGCCATAAAACCAGTGTTTGCTTATCCAGGTTAAGACTCATAAAGCTCCTTATTTGTATCAAAGTCTGGGTCATAAAAGGGCGTTGTCGGAGCGACGTCTATAAGGGGATTAACGTTGTGCGTCTGGGCAAGTAGAGCAGGTGGAGGAAGGCCAGCGGCTACTGTATCAGCTGGACGCTGTCCACACTGCTCGCTGCACGGTATCCTCACGCAAACGTTTAATTAGTCTTATTATTAACTTTGGCACCCTTCTGTTCAGGTCACGCTACCCAATAGCCCGGCTACCAAATTAAAAATTCTTACCGTATATCCGCTGTTCGCTACAATATAATACCAATATTTAATAGCAAAATTATGTTCACAACTTTAACATTATCATGCACAATATATATACTAGCTACAATATACGAGTATTATGTTGACTTTAAATTAATCTGACCGAGTGACTGCAATACGATGTGACTGCAATACGATGTGACTGCAATACGATGACTGCAATAGCGAAGGGGGTATAATTTATTTTGTGCTCTTACATTTATATACTAATGGTTTTCTCTTATTAACAATTATGGTTTGGCCTTCGATTAACAATTTGGTTTAGTAATAGAAATATCGTATACAAATTGTAGCCACATTCCCAAAAATTCGCCTTCAGTAATTATTGTTTTTACAAAGTGCAGGTTTTGAAACTACATTCAAAATCTAGAACTGTTAAACAGTGGTTATTATTATTCGTGTTATGTGGCAAGGTTGTTGATGCTCACCATGAACACTTTGGTTACGAGAAATTAGCCGGAAATCAATTTCATAATCTTCAGCACTAAAAAGAAAATAATTTCAATATCCCAGAATAGTAGAAAAATTTGTAAGAATTAATCTGATGCTGCAGTTTATAAATACACGTCGAACGCATCATTTGCGCAAAATCGCGTGCATTAGTTAATTAAATAATCTATGCATGAATAAATAATGTATATGCAACCTTATCAAAACTCGAGAAGTGTTCTCATTATATGCGCGATGCATAGCGCACGTGATGTTTACAGGCGGGACACGGATACAATAATGCACCTTGACAAACGGGAAATTTCTAAAGTGGACATCACACAACGGTGTCCAGCGGGTTCGCACCGCCTCTCCATATTCCCTGAGTGGGATTTTACTCCACAGTAGGTGCTATTGTTTGCTAAACGACCGGTGTCCATCCATTTTACTTGAGCCTTAAGTAAGATGGCGATGTGTATTCTCAATTGCTTTCGCTATGGCTTTGCAAAGTGTCGCGGTCCACGTACACGGTCATGGAACATTTACATATGCGTGCATCATTCGATCATTTAAATGAATCCCCAGGAGGCCAAGTAAATTTGATCGCGTGGATCCATTTGGCCACTGCAGTAATGCAGCGGCGGACAGCGTCCATTGCCACCACGCAGGAGCAGTGCCGTTAGGATTCGGACGTAAATGAACGGAAAATTGGGCCCCAAAAGGGACCACTGCACTAATTAAGGCGGGATGCAGTGCGGACGGGCATGTCCCAGGCATATCCCATATCGGCTCATTTTGTTTACGGCATACAGACTAATTTCGTGAAATGCTCGGTCCGAAATGCACAGCCAAGCCGGCAGTGAATATACACAATTTATAGCAATTATGGTGTGTGCTTCTCTAGAGTTGATGAAAAATATTTTGTATAATTTTGATTGGAGAGGAATGTGATCGCAATTAACTCTCGAAAATAAACTAAGCCTGCGCATGTTCTCGTGCAAATTCTGAAGACTTCCTATCTCCTGTCGAATAAAAATTTTGTTATTTTATCACGGTACAAAACCCTACTGCTAACCAAAACTAAAGTATACGTAATTATCAAATTTTTGCATCGTTATATTTGAATGGAGCTGAAAGTGAGCAGAAACCGCACAGACCTCACTTTGAAGATGGTTACGATTTAAATAAAGATATGAACTACATGGATAACGCGAAAATTAAAAATCCATAAATCACTTCCGACGATGAGGAGGATGACCACAACAGACTGTTATCAGTTGGCGCTGAAATATTATTGCGGGTAGTCTGTTGGATTGGTTTGGCCCGCCTAAGAAACATAATCTTCACTGCTGACTCTTAATTACGTCCCACGACACGTCGTCAACTGGTCTTCCGTTTCCTTTAATAAACCGGCACTCTAGATGCATTATCATACATTCACTGGGTATGTTGTACGAATTCCATAAATCTTCGCAAAAATCTATCGACAACATCAGGATTGAGCAAGCAGTTCAACCTGACAGTAAGGGTGAACAACTGCAAATTTAACATAACTCCAGTCAAGTATTTCGCGCGTTTGCTGTAAAGTATAACATATGCTAAAGGCAGAAAAATGTATGTTTTAAAAGTAGACAGTTGCGAATACAGCAACCGTAAAAATATTACCCTTCAGTGTTATTCGCTGATGGAATTTCTTACATTTTACGGGCACTTAGTGCCAATTAGCGGCTCAAAAACACCCGAGCCATCATTTATCTTTTTCTTAACTGTTCGAAATGGTTAGAGATGTGTACTGCAAAAAAGCGAAGTATTATTAATAATCCTATTTATACAAACAAATATTTTTATGACTGTTTAAGCTTCTATAATAATACTTCTCTACAAGGAAACAATTTAGTTTTTCATCGGAGATGAGATTCGCTTCGAGCCCATAACATACTTGGGTGGCTATAATTTTATAACAGCCTGCATTTTTAGGGAAATACTAAATATCTATCGTATTTTTATACAATTAGGAAATTATTAACGGTCATCAATCTCATATAAAAACCTGCTTTTTAAGTGATTCCCATGCAGCGGCGCATGTGTGGTCGCTCGCATAGTTGGATTTCATCGCGTAAGCCAATAATAATGATCGGCTGAGGCGGAATATGATTATTACTCGCTGTACGCATTTTCTGTCACAGGAGATAAATTTGGTGATAAGCAGATCTGGGTATGGTGCTTATGCAGCATGCAGATCACTTTTAAACATCTGACAATAAATTGCGAGGTTTCTATTTTCATTCACGGATGCCACCGTTCTAAAGCCGGATCATGTAAATTAAATTAAAATTGTTGTGAAAGATTAGTGTTATCCTGGCGTGCGCTCAGCAGTGTTCGTGCCAAAACATGATTTCTAATTTGAGATATAACTGTCAATATATATATGAAATATTTTATCTACGTGAAGACTGGAAAGAACGCAATGCGTCTGAATTCAGAAGCAAAGTTTCCGAATCCGATAGTGAGTTTTAAAGATTAACGAACTGCTAAAAAATCTTTTGACCAGTGGTCAGACAGATCGTGTATTCGCTTTTGTCCTACTAGCTAATTGTGAACTACGAAATAATGTTCATAGTTCTATTTGTATAATGGAACAAAGAGCGGCATCCGTTATTTCAATATGCTGAAAACCGGAAATACGTGGACAAGTGCTTGATCCGATAAAGGGAAAAAATTTCCCCAAATCCACCCGGCGAGTTGATCCTTGAAACGGCAGCCTTTTACATTAAGCAGGTCAAGCGATCATGTTTTGCATGCGAAAACCGATTTACTTTGGGGACAAACTTAATCCTTTTTCGACAGTGTCACACATATGAATCTGCGGAGAAAACATATTTACAATTGAGTCTTAAACACTAGTGATTCATTATAATCCGATCCTGTCACTGTGTGGCAAGCATCATTGGGTGCGCAGAGATGCGAGTTTTGCGTATAAAATTTAATTTTCGATCGCCTATATACCGTAGTGTAGAGCACAGCTTGGCATCTGAAATAATAATGATGCCGATATATGGTGCACAATTTTAACCTGAGCAGATGGTCAGGCGACGGTAGTCCTTTCATGAACTATTGGCAAAAAGAAAAAGCCAATGGCTAACGTTATGTACACTTTTATCTGTCCTCTATACAGTCTCGATTACGGCCAGCAATAATGCCGGACAAGTGCTGTTTAGCGTAAATGAGAGGCGCACTGGTGCAGGTAGAAAAGCCAAGCGCGAACAATTTTCGGAGAGAGCGAATATAATAATGGTAGCCGGCACATGTTCCATAAAGCGGCATAAAAGAAAACTGTACGCATACATTATGATTATCGATGGCAATGTATTTTCCGTTCGAATATCGACCATCTGTTGATTAGGATCTTATTTCCCGGCGTTTGGTTTGTCTGACTGTTTTGTCATATTATGGCATAAAATGCATATATGCATTTTGAGTCGGCGAACACGTATATATTCCGCATCCGGTCAGTTATGGGCTTAAGCCATAATACTGCAAACCGATAAGGAAAAGTGTTCCTTCGCACAACGGGAGGTCGGTCGGATTGTCGGCATAAAGATGACGGCTTATGTAGCGAGGAAATTTGTAGTGGCGATAAAAATATGGCAGTACATGATCTAGATGATCATTTCGTCCCGGAGAGTCGCGGCCGGAAAATGTGTATAGTATGTGATTAATCGATCCAGTTGCAGCTGGACATCATATCGCACAAATCTGGTTATGCATGGGTGTGAATGCTGCGCCACAGTGCAGCTCCAGACCACAATGTTACGGTTCTTAACCTTGAAATCGTAACGCGTAAATGTAACTGCGCAATGAGTATGCACGAAATTTCCCCATAGTTCCGGTTTTTGGGAGCGTGCAAAACATTTTCAGTTTATCAAAGTCGACCTGTGCGAAACCGCTAATATACGATACAAATATATAGCGTAGCAGTTCAGTAAATATGCTTCTGGTTTAAGAGGCATTTCCCAAAACATACCCTAATTTCCATCACTAGCATTCAATCAATTTTGTTAATTGTTCTAGATACTGATGTTTTATCATGGTAATGAAACATAATAGTATAGTGGACATAAAACCATTGGCATTTCGTCCGAAACATGCATACTTTGCACAGTACGTTTGCACAGGAATTAATTAGGGTAAATGTAATGAAGTGTCGGTTGTATCTCTCGCTAATCGCATAATGTGCTGATGAAAACCGGCTGACCATTAACTCTCATTATTTTTGTTAGTGATTCTTGTTTTGATAGGAATCAGAAGCTGTAAGCTGCCTACTCAGCCGGGCTTTGTTCCCAGCGTGCCGGCTGGATAATGCTGTTAGATCCATACGGTCGATCTCGAGGTAACTGCTAATCGAACTCTACTGATATGCTGAACACCATTAGGCGGCTATGTCTGGCCGCGGTCCGGCACGCGCTCCTGCTCCGCCGTATAAGGCAACTCAGCACAGGAAAATACAAAACGGATGACAGGTGTGCGCCATCTCATTTTACCTACCCTTCAACTAACTTTTCAGCATCCACAAGCTGTTATTATCTTTACACTCATTATTCACGTTAACGTTATTACTTTATTAGATCGTATTCCGCGCTTTCCCGAATGGAATAATGACCAGAAAGTGCCTATCTGTCTGCACCTTCTGTACTTCCATTTTAAGAGCATTCAGTAGTGCATGCCTGTGTTTGAATGATATCATATTTACATTAACACATGCCAGTGCTGTACATAAGCACTCAGTTTTTTTATATGAAAATTATGCTGCAATTATATACACATGTTACACAACAACATTAATCCTTTCCACTTTTTTCCACAAAGCAGAAAGGGTTTTCAGAATAAAATACAAATACTGCAGTTCATAGAATTAATGGATTCGCTTCGTATGAGCGAAATATGCAATGCAAATAGCTCTGAAATAATTAACTCAACATCTTCCGAATTTTAAAAATACTTGCTCGACAGCTGTAGCGGCTTGTCAGCACTACGCCAGTACCATACACCCGATCGAAACAAAGCGCTTCTGTAAGAATGAATTATGAGTTATCATTGAACAGGGATTACTTTGTCGGAAATGCGTATGCGCCCTCACTTGAAGATCTCAACGCGCATTTACCGAAAATATTTTTCATTAAAATACCAAACTTATTCCACATTGTCAAATTGGCTGTGCATTGTCCCCAGCGCCAATCGGTCAATGATGAGGGCAATTGAGTGGCGTTGTATGGATGTTATTATAAGGTCGTCTAACTTTTTATTTTCCACCTGTGGATAATTGTTCTAAAGACATACGGTGCTCACAGGAAGAAAACGCCAACAATATTCAACTGGAGCGAATACGAACACCCCATCGATGTGCCCTTTTCTCTTTGTTCTAACAAGTAAAACCGGCAATGCGTTCGGCTTGGCATGCAAATCCGCAGTCTACTCTCTTCGCTGTTTCCCTCTCCAAAGGGGTCTATTGTTTGCAAGGAAATGAATTCAAATACACACATTCTGCTTATACATATATGGTCGTCTAAAAGGTATGAAAGACTATTTCAACAACCCACTTATTTGCCAGGTGAGGTGAGGCCGACTACAATCAGAACGCCTTTGGTCACTCATGCGAATCCGCGCGCTGGACACGCCATATACCGGTGTACATACTCAGGTATAACTACGATAGCGTGTCCAGTGTATAAAAGTATCATTATTCTCTTAGCACCGCTAGACTGACAGTCTACCTTACATCAGGCTGGAAAATAACGGCTTCCGGCGATCACACTAATTACCATTGCACTGAACCGCTATGCCGGTGTAAATCACTATAATTTTTCTTTGAAAAGTATATCTTGAGTACAATTTATGGTCGTTTATCTATATATGCATCAGACAGATATAGGTGCATACATAACACACGGATTACGCGCGCGGATCAATTTTATTCTGAAAAACGCTCAATATCCGAAGCAAATGCTCGGCAATTACCGGCTACAAGAAAAAACCGGAAAACAGTCATATTGAGATGCTTTTCATGACGCGGTGTATTGCATTTGCAGTGAGGCTCGTTGATGCAAGTTGGTGTTGATGGCTGTTATCTGGTGTTGAAATGGATACATCTCACGGTTACGCTTGTACGGAGAATAGCAGTGGGAATGTTGTTCTCCCATTGTGATGCGATCACGATGGCGTGATCTTCTCCATATATTGTAGAGTTCTGTCCAAATGTTATGCAATAATACTCTCCAATGTATTGGCCCCATTGACAGGCAGAAAAATCCCTAATGTATACAAAGAACGTGCTTAGTAAATTTAATTGCTCAAGGGTCGCTTACGAAACCCTACGATAGACAAATAAACTCAGCCCGAATGACAAGGAAAAAAACTGGTATGCAATTACAACTAATTTGAGAGGGAGACACAGCCACTTTAAAAGTATCGAAGAAAACACTCTTTGTGGTTGTTTTTCTTTAATTGCCCCAACGCAGGGAGTCGGAGAGAGAACAAATTCTTTTTGATATTAATTTGACCTATTGCGCAAGGCACTTAACAGGGCCCAACTTGATTACTATAGTATGGCCACCCATCAGCAGCGGTTCGGCATTTTTTCCCAGACCAGTTTGGTGGGCCTTCCGGTTGGGTGTAACCGGGGTGGAAACTGTGCTATTCGTAAAATACACAATACCCGTTAAATATTCTGGGCAGCCACCGATCCTCCCATATTGTATCCAAGGAGGGTGGTTCTTGTGGTTAGTAGCCGGCCAATCGGCGCCGAGCATTTCTACCATATATGGAATCAATGGCTATTCACGCCAGCTGTTCAGCGGCGAGTGTACGAAACTTGTGCAGATGCAGAGAGAGAAGCGAGAGTGGTGTATGTCTGTGTGAGATGGAGCATTTTGATTCTGCGCATATTTCGGTGTGTGAATGGCAGACCAGTTTCGAATGTCCAGTCAGCTTGTATACGCGCCGCTTGTTTTCCCGCTCACTGAATGTGCCTCTTTTACTTTGGACTTTTTCAGACTACGCGCTTCACTCTGATGTGCACTGTTGATCAGTTGGCAATGAAAGAATATCCGCTGGTCAGTTGCGGTTGTTTGATTTTGGACAGGCATTGATTTCCCGTGGAATCGGATGTTATTACATATGTATCATAATATCTCCATCCGTACCGAATCACATTAATGCATTATCCATGGGAAAACGCGCGCGCTATCCTTCATTTTCACCGGCATTAATTTTGTGACATTTTTGTGGAGAAACAGCGATCTCGTTAGTATATACTGCGCGTCGCCAGGAGCGACTTCAGTGGTGTGAAAATTTCTCTCATTTACGCTAATAGAAAATGAGGCCCCTGGTGCTATGCGGCTTATATGTTCTCAGTTATATAAATGCATTATTCAGTTGGACGGCAGCCGGGGAAAAAATCTATCCCGTTATTGAGGAGTTGCCGGTGGGAACGTTTGTGGCTGACGTCCGTGAACAGCTACCGCGGAATCTCAGCAGTAAACCGGACTTGAAATTCGGTTTCCTACGGGGCTATGACAAAAAAGGCTTCTTTCAAATTAACGATACTTCAGGCCATATCAGTACGGCGATGAAACTGGACCGCGAGACGTTGTGCGCTGATCAGCATGAGCCGGCTAATTGTTATTTTGACATTCCGGTCATAACGCTGCCGTTGCACCAATTTCAAATTATCCCCATTAAAGTGGAACTGCTGGACATTAACGACAATGCGCCGGTCTTCCCACAACGGGAGATTGTCCTGGAGATCAGTGAAAATCAGCCGGTCGGGGCGAAATTCCAGATCCCACCGGCTACCGATGCCGATGGGGGTAAAGCGGCGCAGATTGAGTACTCGCTGAAAAGCCCATCGGCCGACATTCCATTCGTGATAATTAACAGTGTTAATACAGAAACACAAGACGTGTATCTGCAATTAAGCGCTCCACTGGATAGGGAAGTTAAGGATTTCTATGCGTTCTCCGTACTGGCCAAAGATCAAGGTGTACCCGCCCTTGTCGGCTCTATGGATGTGGTCATTCAAGGTAAGACACATATGCTGTATGTACAGTGACGATGTCACATGTAATTACGGAAAAGTATGAATATTTGTCGGCATAGCATACTTTCCTTATCTTTTCATTGACTTGTCAAACATCAAACATAGATATGTATCCATAGTGGCCACTTAAGGATGGGGTATGAGTGTCTATGAAAAAAACTTGTCCATCCGTGTTTACCGATGATTATGCTCAAGAACAGCATCGCTGCTGTGTCAGACAATTGTTGCGGTTTGAACTTGTTTCACCGAAGGTCAGACAGTTAAACATTATCAAAATAATAAGTGGGTTATAAGTGTAAACAAGCGGCACTTTGCAATATGTCTTGATTGTTATATGCGTTGCACTTTTGAGTGCTACCAGTTTGTTTTCATTTACACAACTGGTTGTTTATTCATTAGCACTATACAATTAGCAGAGCACAATAATTACTAAACAAAGAAAAGGTAAATAAGTATATGTATTACGAATCAGAATTAGCAGAGTTACCTTTCTAGAGACTTTTGCTTAAATTAGAAAGCAGCTTAACTGCCTATTTTTATAAATTTTAATTCATATCAGTTAAAGCACATTATTCCTTCTTTTGGTATTACTGCATAATTTTGTCTAGATAATTTTGTATAGTGGTGGACTGAGTGCACGAGCGTGATATGCAAAGCGTGATACTGGTTGCATCTCCAAAGAGTTTTTTGCTGCTGTACTTACATAATGCAAAAGGCGCTTTAATTGACCGGAAGTATAACAGACTGATCTAATATTTAGGTGAAAACGTCACCCTGTCGATCTAACGATCCATAACCAGTTTGTACATAAAATGCAAATTAAAATTTGATCGCATATCGTGCAACCGTTAATTGAGCAACCCAGTGTATGTATAAAGCATTTGCACGTTTTTTCTCTCCCAGTATTGTGCGACAGCAATCGAATCTCCCCTGTGGCTGGTTCTACACACCTTTTGTTAAAACGACCACATCCAGGCGAATACACTAATAACAACTTGATTGCTCCGCACAATTTGATAATGAAGCCGTGCACAAAATTGAGTGTGTGTTGGGTCGGCGATGGTTGGTGGCGGGTTGCGCAATATATCACATTCCTGGATACGCCTCATATATAATACATCCGAGGGTAACGGATCGAGCCGGGTCATGTTTAAACTACTGGCCGGCATTGATTTTACTTACATACCGTAAAGAGATGGGTTCCTTACCGCACCACCAACGATATGTGGACATTTTTTCCAACCACGTTACACTCTCATATATCATGATTAAACTACAAAGATTCACTTGATAGGTTCTGCGGTAACTCAAGCTGTTTTCTAAACGATTTGCTGTCGACAGTCGTTAAAAAAACCATACATTTAGCGCTTCTTGTGAAGAGAGAAAAGCCGGCTTTTTAAGTTTGACTTATGACAGCCGAGTGTTGACATGCTGGTATATAAGACAATTGATTTTTGGGGCTGGGAATAATAATTGACATGGTTTTTTCGATCGTTGGTTCTTAACGACGGAACCACTTGGAAGCCGTGCCATATCAAATGAATCACACATTTAGGAAAAGGAAAGAGAAAACCGGGAAAAAACACCCGAAACCCACTTCCGCCCTGTTGGGAGAGAAAGTAGGCCAGGCTCGTTTGTAGTCCGCTAAACTGGACGATGTGGTATTATGACAGCTGATCGTAATACCAGAAAATTAAGTGTTGTGCTTAAAGGGCAACTCCCCGCTTTTTAATCTATCACTGTGGAATAGCAGTGTACTGGGCGCATTGTACTGTTTAAAAATTCAATGCCCTTTAAATTGGAATAGGAAAAGTCTAAAATTGACAATTATCAGCCCGAATTTCCATCGGGAGTAGTTGATCGATTTCGTGTAATCCGGCGGTGTGTCCGGCAAACTAGCCGCTATTCACCATTTTCTGTGTGTGTGCAAAGTATCACAAAAATCAGGCGTCGGGTGTTGTTCTGTGGGAAGATATAATACAAGGCCTGCACGTAACGGAAGTAAGTTTATTTAGGTCGGGATAGTCCATCCGAATGGAAAATTTTGAATTTGGGTTGATGTGTCCGTCACTGGTCAGTGTGTGAGATGTGTGACTTGTACACGTGTATCCGTAGCGCGAAAATACGTTGCCATATGTGAAATCTAATATGAATGCAGATTCGCATATGTGACTGTGTGTTTACACTGATATGTCATAATTAGTTAGAAAGGATACTCTTCAATAAATGTTCAATAATCAGATTTGATGGTAAGCATACTTTTAAGTGGGTCTAATGTCAATTATTGAACAACTTAATATAAATGTTTTATAGCTATCTCTAGCAAAATACTTTTAAGTGCTCATAATTTTTTCGGTACAAGCTTGTATTCAAAATACGTTTCCGTTTACAATAATTATTTTACATACACTATCATTTGGGCCAGAATTATATTATGAAATATGTCGCATTCAGTGAACATTTCACGCCTTTCTTGGCGTAATTCCAGCGAAGACAGATAGAAAAACGTCACAGCGAGCGCAATATACACTGTAGCTGCAAAAATTCTGTGCCGGGTGATTAGAAAACATTTGCCGATTAGAGAGTTGTTTACGGCCGTAATGGGCGCTAATCAAGTCGACTTGATGAGTTAGAAGAGACTGACGGGGTTGAATTTTCTCATCCCATGTTTGTATGCTGCAGTTACGGATGCCAATGATCATGCCCCAGTTTTCGATGACCCCAGCTACGAGAAGCGCGTCCCCGAGAATGTCCCCCGTGGGACGCGCATCCTGAAAGTGCACGCCTCGGATGCCGATCTGGGCCGGAACGGGGAAATCACCTACAGTATCGCCCCCATCACCAGCAAATTAGTCCGTGACATTTTCGACATTGACGGCGAAACCGGCGAAGTCCGGCTGAAAGCCGAACTGGACCGGGAGGTCAAGGATGTCCACAAGATCTGGATCAGTGCCCGCGATCGGGCCGACAGCAACCCGCTGGACGCCAGCGTCCTGGCCACGGTCATCGTGGATGATTTGAACGATAATCCGCCGCTGATCGATGTGTCGTACTTCCCCCCGGAAGCCAGTGCCGCCTTCATCTCGGAGGACGCCCCCATCGGGACATTCGTGGCGTTGGTGCGGGTGAAGGATGCCGATGCCGGCGTCAACGGTCGCGCGGTGTGCTCCCTGCAAAGCGACACTTTCGTCCTCCAACAACAGTCCGACGACACCTACGCCATCATCACCAGTAAGATGCTGGACCGGGAGAAACGCGAGGATTACCTCTTGGAGTTGACTGCCCGCGACCAGGGCAAACCCTCCCTCGAGTCCCGCACCACTCTACAGATCCTGGTGGGCGATGTCAATGACTCGCCGCCCGTGTTTGACCGCTCTACATACTTGATTAAAGTGCGGGAGAGCGCCAAAATCGGAACGGAAATAGTTTCACTACGCGTGCAGGATCGCGATTCCAGTCCGGACAACCAACAAGTCCGCTACCGGCTACTGGAGCCGTCGAGTTTATTCAGTATTGATGATAAACGCGGCGTCATTTCCCTGCAAAGTACCTTAGATCGGGAGACCCTCGGGGACATGATCCAGTTGGCGGTGGAGGCCTTTGACCCCGAGAAGCCGGCCTTCCGCTCGCAGGCGGCGGTTGTGGTAGAAGTCCTGGATGAGAATGACAACGCACCGGAATGGTCCACCGCAGTGTATGAATTCGACATCCACAATGACCTCCGCCGGGGCACGGTGCTGGGCAGTGTCCACGCCAGTGACAGCGACTTCGGAAACAACGCCATTATCACGTACTATATCAATAGCTCGGAAATCACCATTAATCAGACATCGGGTGAGCTGGTAGCCGCCCGGGATATATTCGTCACTGAGCCACGACAGATTCAATTAACACTGCTGGCGGCCGATGGCGGTGAGCCGCGCCGTACCGCCACCGCCCAGGTCTTTATCACCATTGCCAATGTCAGCGCCAATCAGCTGGCCACGTCGCAGAATATCTTGACCACGTTTTTCGCCTCGGATGTGGGACTTCCGGTCATCGTGGCGCTGATCGTCATGGGGCTGGCGCTGTTCGGTAAGCTTAAGTCAATGTGCCGCCGTGCGCAGTAATCTGTTGACAAATCATGATTAATGGAGTGTCGAAAGACGGTCAATTTCTCAACAGTATACGCATCGGTTTTTCTTAAATGACAAAGTTGTTGATGTGTAATGAACGAGCTTTTTCGCTTGCGGTTGCGTAAAAAGACGTTTAACTATGCCTGTATAAAATTTTTACGCCCAAATAAGCGCGCAACAAATAATTTTCATTATCATAGAATTTATGGAAGTTGTTTTGTAAAATTTGTAATAACTATAACTGATGCAGAATGAGTTTTTCGCAAGAAAGCTTATTGGCAAATACTGCCGGATGTAGAAAAAAGAACCACAAACATGTGTTTTCGTTTATACTGCACATGGCTATGTAAATGAAAAAATATTCAATACAGTTTTGTACATTGCTATAAAGGATAAGTGGCTCTCATATGTTTGAAATGCACTAGCAGCAAAACGAGCAAGTGGCCCAGTTTTTTCCTTCTCCCAGTGCGACCTGCCGGCATTCTTATATGTATACATCTATACTGTGTAATGATTGTTTGTCTGGTGATGTGTTTGCAGTGGGAGCCATCTGCTTTGTGGTATTATATCGTAACAAATCCAAAGAGAACCACAGCTACAACGTCCGCATGGAGACGGCGCGTGTTTTTCAACGGGGCTCCAAAAGTCAATTAGCCCTGGGCGAGGGTAGCGGCCTGCAGAGCGACACGGACTCCTGTCATCGGCGGAGCGTGGAGAGTAGCAGTTGCAGTGCCGGTGGTACTGGCGGGGTTGATGACAAAGCCGGGTATGACTGGGTATTCCCCAATAGCCAAACGCCACCCGTCAGCTCCAGCACCAAATCATCGCGATGCTCCTCAGCCAGCACTAATCGCAATTCCCTGTTGAATGTAAGTAGATACTACTGTCGTCGCAAATCGGCGGCAGCATAATATTTCGCCGGGCTCTGTAGTAGGAAACCAGGCCAATTTTGCAATTTACTCACAAGAAGCTACTTGATGAAAATTCAAATTCGGCCTGGATGTCGATCTGGGTTGGGATACATTATATGCACATATATGCCGTATCGTCTATATATACGTGTGTGGTGTGGATTTCTCCTTGACCAAACACCATAAGAAAACGACAAGTTGTGTCATGAGAAGGGCATCCTTATGTGCTACTTGTGAATGGGGGGAAGAAGAGTAGCCTTTTCACACTGGCTGAGACGTAGAGCGTGTCAAAACCGGTGTGACACTTTTTTTCCAGCGCCCCTTTTATCTCCCTACGCCTTGCCATCCATTGAAGAGGTTATGCTTTCGGTGTCAGTGGTATATATTGACATTTTTCCCCGCCGGAACATATGCACCCAAAAACCGGCATATTTTATTATATTACCCCCGATGTGTGCACTGTGTACTGTATATAAGCAAAAACGCGAATTTTTGTACATTATATTTATGTCGGCATACCATGCGGAAAGCAAATAATCCAGTCTATGATACGTTACGTGAGGCAATATTTATCTTGCGATACCGATAATTTTCCAGCCCAGGTTTTTGAGTCAAAGAGAGAGAGCAGAACTACTCTCTTATCATAACCGCTATCCGCGCTGACGGAGCATGGTCAGCCGCGGTAAATACACGTCGGAGTTGTTTAATGCGGCATATGGAGCGAAATTGTAGAATCAACGTCACCTTAAACAGCGGTTGAGGCGTTGATATGACCCAAATATTGACCACACGTGCCGGCGCTGGTACAAAGTGGTTTTTCATCAAAATTCACTCATTTTCGCTCAGGTTGAAAATTAGCACTTTTCTCTCCGCACGGTGTGATGCGGCGCTGCGCCTGTAATAATAACTGGGCAATGTGGCGCTCGACCGACTGTCGCCGGTGAAGTGTATACGTAATAAAAATGAAAAATTGCAGACTACTGTCTTTTTAATCTTTGAGCGAAGTTCCATAAAAACGTGGTAAACATATGACATGGTATATTTTTATCAATGCCGAATGTGTAATTCCAAATAGCGAAACGTCTGTAACTTTCATAACTAGGACACACCCATTAATTTTTAAAACTTAAATATTATTATATAAGCCAAATTTTTCTTCTTGTCGCTTATTAAGAACAAGAACTGAATATTTATTAATAGTTACAAATTTATTTATTTAACGTTTTTGATTTTTGCGTACGACTGAACTGCTTTTTCATCTTGTTAGCAGGAATTCCAAACAAATACGTTTTGTATCCGTTATTCAAATTATTGAGGTAGAAACTTTAAAGGGGCGTCTGCTTGTGTGAATTATGATGTCTGTATTACAAAGAAATGAGATATCTTCATAATCTACCTTTTCAAAAAGAGCGCCAACCGCACGTATAACAGCTTTTCCATACATAAGAATAATGTTTCACGCTGTGCGTGAATACAGTCATTAGAAAGGAATATTTAAAAGGCCATCGTCTAAGAATGCTTGTGTATAATTTATGGTTCGACGTTGATCGTTGCCTGATGAATAATCGCTCGAGTATTGACCATATGGTGGACATTAGCATGGCCTAGCGCAGCTTCAAACTAAAGATGCCCATAGGGAGCCCTTTTTCCAGCGGAAGTGCACGTACAGCCTGGGTCTGTATAGAAAAGCGCAGTCTCAAGTACACTTGACTGTTTGATGTATCTTTTCGTATAGCATCACAATTCACAAGGAATATCAGCATAGAGATATTCGCTGGAAGACATAATGCGTAATGTCCATATATACTGCCAGCATGTAGCCGAACAGCATTCATTGCCGATCAGCTTAACTAACTTTATTTCTCTCCTCGATAGAATATCCATACATACCGTAGGGTTGTATCTGTTTAATGAAATTGATGAATAATTAAATATTGACACAGAATGACCAACTGCAAATGGAGAATGAATTTACGCAGCGGTCTATATATATTATGGCTGTAGCGCGTATATTTACTGCAGGGACGCTTTTTGATCGATACTGACAGCTTTATCGGTCAGGGCATTTTATGCAGATACGCGTACACGCAGACAGGGAAGAAGCAGCAGTCGGGGAATGGTTTTTAAAATTTAAAAAGCAATTCACTCCAATGGCACTGGACAATTGCCGGGGCCAGACAAAGTATGCCAAAAGAGGGAAAAGTGTAAGAGGCAGAAAATAGGAAATATGAGGACGGAACCGGCAGAATGCTGCTCTGTCTCTCTCTTTCTCTTTTTCTGCAGCCTGATGAAAATCAACACGAAGACAATACTAATGCAGCCGGCCATCGATCAGAGCAGGTGAAATGAAAGAATTTTTGAGGTTTAGAATATAGTACAATATAAACACACATATCTAATATGCTGCATAAGTGAAGTGTTTCGTGCTTTCTGTTTGTTTAATCTCAAGTTTGCCTATCCGGTACGCATATATCGGCAAAATGGCCAACCGTTTGCTCCATATATTATTCCTGTTGTCCGTATATATAAGAGGTATGCGAAGCCGGAAGAGATCCAACTGATGGAATATATACAGAGATCTTATCACAATGTTGCTGTAGTAGCCAAAAGCCATCCAAAGTGTTTGGTGATTGACCATCAATATCCAATAAAAGCAACCTGATCTGCCGTTTGGTCAAAACAGGAGAATTTTCATATTATCCCAAGTGTGTGTGTGTGAAACTGACATACAGTACACACGCAGAGAAAGTAGCATAGTAAGGAACATCATGGGAATGGTGCATGCCTGTCAGCTAGCAATTGAACCGAAGGGAAGTTCGCCGGGGTCATGGCGCACAGTCCAGTAATATCCACAGAAAATTGCAACTGAATCCGACTTCTTCCATCTCGGCAGAAATTTTAGCGTAAATGAACTTTGACTTCGCACATTCTTCCGCACTTGAGGACCTTCGAATTCATTTGAATTTCATTCTAAAGCATTGCAACTTATAAATAGATTTAGACACTTTCTAAGGCGTGGCATGTCTTATTATCTGGAATTTTTTTACTAGTATGCGGTGTATACAGATTTGCAATTCCGGATTTTTATTGTTACAAATCGCAGTTGTTTCTGTAACTAAGCAAAAATTTAGCGCTTATGAATCGTCTGATGTGTAATATAAATCATTAAAAATTTAAATCTACTCATTCGGTCCCAACTTTTTAAAATGTTGATAAATCGCAAAAGAATAAAAAGTTTTCATTAACAAGGTACAGGTGTTTAATTTTGGATAAAAAGCCGCATTCTTACTGAGATATTGAATTGCTGAACAAGTTGGTAATTGTAATCTTGAGTAAATCTGCTTTCGCTGTTCATATCGCAATTATCGGTTACTATCTACGTCATCCGTTGATACAGTAAAAATAATAGTAATATCGTTGACCAGTGGTAGCGCCGCCAAAAATTGTTTGACTGCCTGTCTAAACATATATTTTGATTCGATCAAGCCGGGAATCCCATGATCATCATTGTGTGTAATCGGCACTGGGACTGCCCAACCGGCAACATAATATCTGGCTTTTAATCGATAAAAACCGGGGGGAAATTGTTGTTTTCGATATCCTGTGGTCAGTGGAATGGAATGCGTGACCAGTGAAAGGGCTCGCTGTAATTCGCCCGATACATAATATTATACGCGAAAGTATCTGTATTCTGTGTGCAGAGTAGCCATCCTAAGCCCCTCTTTTCTTCCCCGCAAATTGCGACCTTTTCGGTCAGTAGATCCATGTTTAAATCGATCCGATTATCCGCTATGTGCGCGTTGTTTACCCCCGCTCGCGCTGCGTCATGCGCAGAATGGAATTTTGAACAGGCTGAAGTTCAGGCTATACTTCTGCATGCAACCTTTTGGAAGTTTTAATGCCCGCCAGCTAGTCAGTCGGCGCTGTACTGTTTCAACCGATTCTAATGCTAATCTACAAATCAAAACAGGACAATTTCGTGTCAGGCTCTTGAAATAATATTTGAATGACAAATTTTGTTACTTACATGTTGTACCAGAGTAACCAACATGACGTATACGTAACCTAAAAGCTGCACCGCCGCGGTGTCGGTAATGCACTTAGAGAAATTAAAACTTTTGATAGCGAAGATATGCCGTTTATGCATTTTTAAATCAAGTTCCGTATAGACTATGGCCGCATTTTTAACGTTTCAATTAAGTGTGCACATATACGTATTAGCTTATATTTTTTGTGGAAATTATTGCTTGTTTAAGAATTCATATTCCAAAAGAGAACAATTTTAATGTACTTATTTTTACTAAAGTAAAAGGTATAATGGCGGTATATGTGCCAATACATGCTGTTATATGGCCATGCCTAGCACATAAATCGGTTCATTATACGGCTGTTTTAATGGGCCTAAACTAGCGATTAATTGTGATTGATGACGATTAGGCAAAGTGCAAATGAAAGCCTCTCATTTTGTCACATGCTACTGACGTGTGTGAGAAGGGGGGATTATCAAACCGCCCGTGTCATAGTGCAGTGCAGCAGAGCCCTGTTTTCTCACCAAAATCCCTTCCCCGTGGCATGTCTGTGTACCCGGTCCCGGCGACACAACACCCTACTTGTGTGTTAGGACAGCCAGTATAAGACCGCCGTTTTGAGAACCGGCAATCAGGGCCAGGGATGCTTCACCCGCAACAACAGAACCGGATTATTAAATAGCCATTAGGATGCTACGCATCATGAATAAAAACTTGTTCCGATTGCGGTTTTAATACTTAACACTTCACTGGTTAGCTACATTAAACTTTAATTTCCATAAAAATATATACGTGTACCAGTTCGGCTGCCCGGTCGGGCAATGGGCCGGGAAATTTTGACATGTTAAATCCCTTTGACAATAGATCAAATGTGTGTCAAACACATAAATTTTTTCCACTTACACCCAACTACAAATTACAGCTGACCATCACACAAGGACATTCTCAGACATACAATGGAAGGAAAAAATCACAGGATTATCTGTCCATTTTCCGAATAAGTTTCTTTCTGGGTTTATATAAGGAAACAAATAAAATTGATGAGTGTATTTATCGTTGCAGGATTATGGAAAAGTCGTTAATGGCCCTATAATTTATGATGTTGTCAATGAAGAAACCACTAGTCCACCGGGAAAAACCATCCAGACATTTCAAGTAAGCCGCTTAATGATGCAGTGAAGAAGAAGAGCGCAACGCCGGTCATCTGGCCTAATGAGTTTTCGTCCGCGCGCGCGTCTGTCCATGTTATGATAGGCGCATCTGTGCCGCAACGCATATCTGTATATCGAGAGAGAAATTTTCATCTTCTTTATTAAGCCAATTAGTTGACACCTTCCAGACCATTAATTCTGATTTATTTCCTGTCCCTAACCAGTACGCTAGTCGGGTATGCCGGTCAGTGAAAATCAATTATTATCCCCGGCGTTCACCGCGGGCTGTTGTGGTCATTCTGGGCCACATCGTTTGCTTAGTGTATTTCCGGTGTTATCCCATTTAAATGCCAATGATCAGCATTATGCTTCCCTCTTTGCGCGCTCACTGACTTTTGTGCCTAATTATTCCACATTTGATTATATATATGTGGCTGTTTGCAGTTGGCTAATCAATTACAAAAGACGCTAGATCAGGATGTGGATAACAGCGGTGAGGAGGACGATGATGGGGGCTTCAAGCGGCCATCGGTGATACGAGGTAAATACTCCATTGTCTGAGATGGGGATGCGAGCGCGCGATGCCGGTTCAGTGTGTGTTTCCTCGGGTGACGGCCTATATTATCTCTTCTTCTGTGTATCCCCCCTAATCTTCTATCTTTATCTCACACTACCTATTCAAAATGCATTCTTCTCACTCCACATGGCCCTCTCTCTCTGACCACTCCACCAGGTATGGGGTCGCCGTTTTAAAACCGGCACAAATTCATTTCCGGTGTAATTGGCTATTTTTCCCCGGTTTCTCCGCTTCTCTATACATGCCGGCGCCACGAGCGTATTGTCTGACACGCATATCTGGCTTTTCCGCAGCTTCCTCATTCTACCAAGCGGCACGACATCCGCTGACCCTGTCGACAGCCCGTTGTGCCAGCAGTATCAATGGGACCTGCAGTACACCAGCCAATTTCCAGCGGGTCAACAGTCTGCCGCGGCGTGTCTCGCTGAATAAACGCGGCTCACTGCCACCGCCGCCCGCGGAGAGCGGCTACAGTTCCAACTCTTCTTTTATCATTCGCGCCAACCCTATCGCCTACCCCACCTCCCCCCACCGGGAGCCGGTCACCTCTCTGAGTCCCATGACCCGCAATTACATCGATGCCCTGCAAGTGGGACGGATTTATGCCCTGACACCGGTTCCCGGTGGCGGCGCGGGTGCGCAGCCAGTGTATGCGGCTAGTCAGTCGCAACCCAGTAGTCAGGATCAGGACCAAATCTCCAGTCCGTTTTCCAGTTCGCTCAACATGTCCGCCACGAGCGGCAAATCCACCTTATCCTCATCCATCGGTGCCGGTTTGGAGTTTGATGATTTTCTCCCATCGCCACCGATCGGATTGCTTCCCATCCCACCGACACCGCCGCAGTTTGGCGTGTCTCAAGTCGTAGAATACCAATCGCTTTGTTGAAACGGAAGTGCACAATTGTGTCAATAATGTTACAAGAATTTGTGTTTTTTGTTAAAATTTTTTAACGGGCATTTATCGTTTGGACCATTTTCGTACGCAATTGCTTCCTGAAGGGTTTCATGGTCAGTCGGTTGTCACTGTATTCTGGATCTGGTCGGAGAGGAAAATGTTTCTAGTGCACATTTTTTAAAATGTTGATCTGTCTATTTATTATTGGTCACATGTGGCCAGTTCAGTGCAACATAGCGTGTACAGCGCGAAATGCAGTAAAATTCCCCGTTTTACGATTAATGCGCGTTTTCCGCATGAAATGCTACAAAACCCACAAAGTTGACAAAATATCTGATCGTACAGTAAAGAGTTACGACAAGCCCAGCACAGCGAAAGAGACCGAATCCAATTTAAAGTGAAAAGGCTGTCCAGAGTAATCCTTAGCAGTGCAGTGCGCCCGAATCATTACTGATATCGGTTGTTTCCGTATCCTGCGTTTATAGGTCGCTGATTGCCACCTGAAACACAGAGAGAGCCGAGAATAAGTGCGCGCGTTATATGAGGAACAACACTGATCCCATACGAAAGTGATGCGGTCAGAATGCGAACGCGTGCATTTTGGCTTCTTCTATTCTGCACGATTTCTCAATCTAACGAATTTTTAAAAATCTCTGCTATTATTTTTTTCTACTTCAGTTAAAAGCCCTGCTGGTCAGAAATCCAGTGGTTGATGTCGATCGGATTTCGTGCTAGCTCAATCGAAAAAGTAGTCGTTCTGCAAAGTGGTACTAAAATGTGCGCAAGCGTCTAAATTTCCGTAAGATAGCGCATACCTGGCATACGATTTAGAGACAACCAACTAACTACATAATTTCAACAGTCGGATTTGCGCGAAGTTAATTGGAAATATACAGAAAGATGACCAAATCAGCATAGTTTTTCCGCATCACTTTCGTACGGGGATCTCACTACGGACTGTGCACTCTCTGGAAATGGTGCAAAAAATTGGGCTTGTTTAGCCAATTTAGCCGGTAATGGAGCTTCCAATTTGCACTTTAATGGGCACGGAAGCGAGTAATATCAAGCAGCACTGCCTGCCGCTCAGCGGCGTTTAACGAAGTTTGTTAACAGGTAAATTCGATTACTTGCACGCCAGGGAAAAATACATTTCACCACCAATGCAGTGCATGTGTCAATCCATAAAACTGTTCTAAATATTTTGTATGCACCGCTATTCACGTTTGAAAAGTGGCAATTCATTCGAAAAAAATTCAGCACAACAGAACTTTGGATAACTTTGCCGCAACTTACCGCACGGCGCATAAGTACAGTAATAGCCATCATATGCAAAAATAATGTATTCACGTATTCTTACGGTTAGCATTTGTGACCGAAATGCAATTAGCGTAGGTACTGTAACTGATTTATACAAAACAATATTTACAACTGTAGGTGTATGTAAACTGTAGCGTCAGAAATTGTCTCAGCAATGCTAAGCATAAATTTTCACGCGAAACAAATTACTACTGTATTTGTGAAGGCAAATGTTCTAGGAAAGAAAACATAAAGAAAGAAAAAAGGAACTGTAAAGAAAAAACCGCGCATTCCATTCGCATACTCACTCGCCTTGAATAATGTACATCAGATTTAGCGTCACTTATAAACTAACCATTTGCGAATTACACGGAGGGAACCCTATAAAAAATACTACTTATGACCTTAACCAAGTGATATGAATTACAAGGTCGAGCTTTGTCATTTGTCAAAAAGCTGTTAGATTCAACGTGGTTTTTGTTAGAACAGAGGAAGCGGCACCTAGAAATGTCCCATCGGTAAAACACACAATAATATGATCAAAGCATCGCGTTTCTTTTCTGACAGGAAAAAACCATGATAATTAATTACAATCTAACCTAAAGCTGTACCACTGTGGACTTAAATATGTAACAAATCGTGATTAATTACCGGCATTGACGGCTGACATGAACTGGTGCTGACTGTACTGGACACTGCTGCTGTATTGACGCTGCTGTTGTTGTTGCGAGCTGTGGTGATGAATCGTCGTCGTCTGCTGTTGCTGCTGGTGGTTTTGCTGTTGATTAAATTGCTGCTGATCATATTGATAGTTTTTGTTGTAAAACTGCTGGTTTATCTTGTTGGTATCACCGAAACGGCCATCCTGGTCAGCGAAATTCTTTTTGGTTTCCTCCGCGATTTTTGGTCCATATGGTGGAAGATCCGGCCGAATTTTCTGCACCTATACATGCACGTATAAATATTAACTGGTTCTTCGAAGATTAATATCACTAACAAAACAAACAATAATCAACACTCGTTATCACAGTAACATATCAGAACAGCTACAATAAGCACATAATAATGTGCAGAATCATGAAGAAAGTCATCGTACATATAAGGGCTGTAGAAGGAACGAAACTCCTGTTAAACGAAACCGCAGCACTCAGTGTGTATTAATTTAAGCAAGTATTCAGTGTGTATTAATTTAACCAGCACAGCTCACAGGCTGCCACCAAACGTGTTAGTACATATAATTATTCGTTTACCAAGTTACTGAGAAATAATATTTGTGCCCCAATACGCTCGCGGTATGCTTACGATTTTGCCAAGCTGGCTCAAGCAGTTGTACACAGCTCCTTAAAACGGAAGACGTTGTCATTAATGATGTGCTGAGTACATTAATTAAATCATGGAGCATAACAAACCGATATCCTGTTTATCCCACAAGTCAGTGGTCAGGAACAGATCCACATGGTTAACGCCTAAACGCCGGCAGGCTGCGTTGAACATGCCAAGATTCTCCATCAGCTTGATAGGTCCACCGGATGTGTTAATTTTTCGTATCAGCTGAGGGTCGATTCGTTGCATAAACCTGCGTGGATACAGTTTCGTGATCAGACTACCAAAGTGAGTTCAACGAATTTCACCAGGGATTTACTCCAACTGCACTTTTTTATGTAAAACGCGATTCGTGATACATCGGCTGTCAGAATAAAAGAAGTACCATCTAACCGGCATCGTATTGATTAATTAACAATATTCACAGATTTAAGATCAAGAAACCACAAAAACTCTAGGAATGGCTTTACTAATTTAATTCACAATACTTAACAGTTAATGACCACGTAATACAATAAACACATAGTGCGGACTCACTACTTGTAAGTTGTAAGCACCAGAATTACATACTATTTGAAACTGAAGTCAAAAGTTTTAATGATATGCAATATTTCTATCATTTTATTTAACGTACATGGAAAACAATTAATTCTATCATTTAGACACTAACGTATTCTGCAAACGCAGCTGTAGAAAACGATTTATGTCATTACTTTTTAACATATACGTGATCTCACGATCATTCTGTACCTACCGGCACAGCACTTGACCATCTTTCAATAATTCGTCAAATGGAACATTTGCCGGCACCGGCTCCCGTAGTACGCCGAATATCCACTGCAGCGCAGCTTGTTCTTCCGCTAAATCACGGCCACCTCGGAACTGAAACCCAAAGACTTTGTAAATTCGGTCATGGAAAATTTAATAATTTTCACTGTACGGGTTCTGACCTTTCTTCCACCAAAAACCGTGGACGACTGTGCCATTTTTTTCAAAATGTAACGCACCGAGTAAAAAGAACGAAACACAGAAATTTCTTAGCGATGTGTCTGACTATAACCAGATGTGGAATCTCAAAGCAGACAGAAAATACTGAATCGATTAAGCAGACAGAACAAGAAAAACGTACACTTGTTTACCTAGGCGCCAGCCAAAAATAATCCCATGAACTTAACTCAGCCTAGTCACCAACTAATATCAAACAAATTGCCATCCAAAAAAACCAATACCATCACAAGAAATTATAGCGATTCTTATTTCTCATTCACGACAGATTAAAGATTTTGAGTTTACACGACACGAGCTGCCGAAAAACATTGTGGAAGATACAAAGAATATAAACAAACGAGATTATCAAGGTTTATAGAATAATAATCTTCCAATGAAAGAAGATATCTCTATATTTGGCCGCGATTGGATGCAAAAAAATACTGACGAATCAATTTTAAAGCTACTGAAATCCAACCACATCGACTAAATGCCAATTAAGCAAAACGCGAACCGCAAAACTGCTGATACAGATGTTTTCAGTTTTCATTTCAATATGCGGCTGAAAACCACATACCCATAAACTGTTCTCAAGTCAGTCAAACTAACCTAACAACATAATGAGAACAACATTATGCTACAGTAATAACAACACTGAGCTAACTAAGAAAAACTAGCCAAAAAGAAATATTATCGTCGGCAGAGTACTATGACATTAGGTATTCTTGTTCCAGCTCCAACATGTTTTTGTGAGTCTCATCCATCTGACGTTTCGTATCAGCAATTTCACGTCTCAATGAAATCATGCTAGCCAGGAGATCGCGAGCAGCGTCATCCAATTTCTTGCAGTTGGAACAACCACGTGGCTTCATGGTCGTCCGCTGCTTCCGCGAGGCACCTTTGGTCACTTCTGTAGTAAACCGTTCAATGCTATCACAGAATTCGCAATAAGGGCAACACACTCATTGTTAATCAATTCCAAAAGGCTACGAATTCAGTACCATCACCCTGCTCCATAACACCACAACTAACTGGCCTGTCGGGGCCAAACACCCTCGTCAACTATAATTAACGCTTGCGCTAACATCACTGTTGTCTGCTTCTATCTGTACGTTCGAATGGTTCAATTAATGGATACCGGGATAGTTTTCGTTTCCACTTTCCACTGTTGTGGATCAAACGGCTAAAACACTTTAAATATTTCCTGTATTTAATCGTTACCTTTTTAAATATAAGTCTCGCAAAGCCCTTCACTGCACAATAAAAAAGGACTCATTAGTTATAAAAACTCATCATGCAAAAGACTGAGCTCAGTAACAGCCTCCATAAACTAAATTGCAAAACTAGACTTAAATTATAAATTATTCCGTATGTCTAAATACGAATTCCAAACACACATGCACATACGCACTCCAAACACGCTTGTAAAGAGCAATACACAACCGAAATAAAACTTCAAAAACTCGTAAACATACACATTGCAAAGTATGAGCCGTACCTTTCTTTTTCAGTTTTTCACGAACGACGCGCTGAGCAGCACCCTTCTCCTTGGACACGTTAGTCCGCTTTTTATTGCGGGCAGCCTGTTTGGATGGCAGAGGGTTGCATGGAACTGTCGTGTCAGTGATTCCTAGAAAATCGCCGTCACCTGTAATTAAAAATCAATTTATCCTCTAATGTGATAAGGATAAAAAATATTAACGAACATTAAATTAATCGAAAATTTTTATAATGCCAGTACCTTTCTTGACTATGACCAGACTCATAACATTAAGACTTCCGTTAGCAGTGCAGCCCTGGGCACCTTTGCACTTGCGTTCAAGAGTGAGTCGTTGGCGCTCTCGGACAGGCTGCTGGACTGGAGAACTATCTTCGGCATCACCCCGAACGATTCGGCAGACATAACCCTAAAAAAGCAAATAACGGAATGCAGTTACAGTACCATGGCAAGACGGGCGTAAAAAACAGTCTGTTGCGGCGCTGTTTAGTGAAAGCTTGTACTCAATTAACCATGTCGAAACTGCCACTTAACAGACGGTGAATACTGACGTTGAAATCTTAAAACAAAGCAAATTCAAAAGTAAGTTTTAGGCCAATTTTGATTGTTTCTTACTTTCCATTCATCACCGAGACGGTCCATGGCGATTTCCTGTCCTACGCGCTGTGCATGCAGAAAGCGAATGCAAAACTCATCTTCTATGTCAAGGAGCATCTGAGCCCCAGTGGCCGGATACGTGACGTTCAGCTGCAAAACCACGACAAAGATGCTGTAATTTTAATTATGCACAATTCACCGTACCTAGCCTCAATATGACCGTACACTCGTACGACGCTCTTCAGTCAGTTTAGAGGAAACAATTAAAGATAATGAAAGTTCACCTTCATAATGGCATAAAGGGAATGAAATCGGGTTCTCGTGGGATTCTACTCTTGGTTCACAGGTGTCCGAAACTCCTGCTACCAGAACTATTACAAAATTAACGAGCGAGGATCGTTTTAAAGTTGTGATTTAAAGTCTAGACTCCCGAATAATAATAATGATAATAATTATGATAATATTATACGAGTAAGTACTCTGTTGTAAGTACGCTGTGCTACTGCTTACATAATAAATTATTTTACCAAATTGACCTTATGCGACAGGGCAGCCGCGTACGGACGGCAGTTCGTGAAAACTTACGAGTTTCCGGAAGTCGCTGTTTCTGTCGCTAAGCACATGTTCGAAACAGCGACTTTAAATACTGCTCATGCAGCTAATGATCTGTTAGCAAAACCAAGACCATAACCAAAATGTACAGAAAAATGTGCTCTACAAGGAAATGTTAACTGTCACGTGGAAATCTGTTACTGCAGTGACTTATTGCCGCCAGCGCTTTGCACCATAAAATTCGGTACTACAGATTCTGTTATAACTGCGCACCTGTAGTTTGCCCTGTTAGCGCTATGCTTAATTCTCTGTTGTTTGGCCACTCACATAGCCAATGAGCGTGTTTGCACCGGCACCGCCCCTCTACCGCATACCAGGAATTACCATAGAACTCTCTACAACTACTTACCGCTACAGAGATGCGGTTTCGTCGTAGAATACGGTAACGCTTAACAGTTAGTTAACACTAAACAGCAGTCGGGCCGCGTTTGGGATTCCATTACCCCGAGCGCGACAGCGGAGTGACCGGACAGGGATAGGCGACAACCACATCTGTCGTATTTGGAATTGGTGGAATCAAAAGTATACCTTGGTGGAATACACATTTCTTCACTTGGGTGACCCGCCAGGACTCACATCGCGATTCGCGACATGCAGCGGATGTCGTCAGACGCGATTTTTGTGAATCGCTTTTTCATTTTTTAGAATTGTTAATCGGGCAATTTTGGGAAAGGCAATTTTTTATTAAGTATCTTTCCTTGTATCAGTATCCTTCCTTGTACCGCGCGCTTAATTTTATGCTAGGGCGTTCTAGTATGGAGCCCAACCTGCAGGACCATGGTGAGCCCGTCAGTGTGCTGAACTTTTGGGAACCAGGTGGTTATCAACGAACGACGAAGCGCGTCTTCGACGGTTACGAACTCTGCAATGATTTAGCGGAGATGATTGAAGAGCGCGCCGAAATTGAAACAAAACATGCCAATGAGATAAATAGTTGGTCAACAAAGTGGAATGGAAAGATCGTCGATAAAGGTTAGTCGGCCTGGATTGCCCCGGGCGGTGTTTAGTACAGACAAATTTCTTATGGAGACCTAATGGAAATTTGCGCTGCAAAAATTACGTAGAGCAGAAATTACACAGTTTCTGTTTTGTTTCCTGTAGCTGCAAATAATTTTCGTTTTCATTTGTTAAACCATGTGCAACGGTCGTTTGGTCGTTATTTCAATTCGTTACAGGATAGCGCCAACGGTATACGTAAAGTGCAGAAGTTGATTCCTTTGTTAACGTGCATTGATGGTTTTAGACAGAGTGTATGGATCGTTGGTTGGCGCATGGAAAGCTGTTTTCGTTGCAGCGGACCGGGAAGCGGAAGTTCGTTTGCGTGTTAAAAAAGATCTTATCAATATTGTCCAGGAGATTGGACGCTGGCAGCAGGATCATTTCCATCAAATTAGGATGTTAAACTCAGTGCATTTCAAGGAAAAGAAAGATACGGACGTCGCATTTGAGAACGTATGACTGAACTAAGTGAATTTACCTAAACGTTTATTTATAGTTTGTAAATAATAGTACTTGCCGATTTCTAAATCATGCAGAATTATATTGCAGGCTCAAAAACAGTGGGCAAACCTCCGAAAACTCGTAGAAAAATCTAAAATTGAATACCATATCAGTTCCCAAACAGAACAGTCGGCAGCTGCAAGATATCAGATGTTCAACGGCGACACGACTATTTCCGCAGATCAGGTACAAATACTGGAAATGTTGAATTTCGGGTCTGTCTATTGCAGTGTTGATTGTGAGTTAATTCCATGCAGCATAAGGACATTGCTGATGAAGTGGCGAAATCTGCACATTTAAAAATGGAAGCAAAAGCAGTTTACGAGGGTGCTCTTCGGGATTTGACTCGCTATAATCCGCGATATGTAGAGGATATGAAGAAGGTGAACACTGAATACTGGTAAGGTCAGGCTTAAGAGTAATCAAGTTACACATGTTTTTCAGGTCTACGGCAAATGTCAAGATATGGAGAAAAAGCGACTTGAGTTCTTCCACGAAAGACTGATGTCCATACATCAAATACTAGACTTACCCAATGACATACAGTATGCTAATAACCGTCTTACGCGCTTTAATAAATCTGCACACATAACGACATAAACTGTTTACGTATTCGCTTATCGTTAAGTATGTAATTATCGTTAGTTTCGTTGTGTGTTACGTTTTGAAGGATAGACTCAAGATCAAAATACCGGTAAATCCCCGCATGTTCTTTTTTTTGTTTTACGTTAGGTGTATTAATGGTTTGTTACGATAATTTTGTCGAAAGTTTGAAAATGTTGTCACGCTATATATCTATATAAGGCATCAGCACGCTCCACGAAACTTTGCTTCGTTGTGTTTTTCCGTACAGGTTCAAGCAGATTTTTGAGGATTTCTTCAAGGAAGTTGAAGCAGCAAGTTCTGAAAACGATTTAATATGGTGGAATATACACAGAGGAATCGATATGCCTATGAGCTGGCCCAAATTTGAAGTGCGTTTAGCCGTGTACCATCTGTACGCGTACTTAAGTCTGCACCTTATATAGATACTTCTATAGTCTATACTTCTACTCTATACGTATAACGGACTGCTATTGATGCAGCACTTACATACTTCTGGCATATGTAAAGCTGACAGTTTGCTGGTTTTTTAGGAACGTTGCACCGGTTTGCCGGATGCGCTTCCTGAGGTGCACAACGTGCAGGACGGGCCGGACGCGGTGCTGGAGGTGTCAGCCGTGGTGCAGGACGTGTCGGCCGTGGTGCAGGACGTGCCGACGGCGGCGATGGGCGTGCCGGTCGTGGTGCAGGGCGGGCCGACCGCAGTGCTGGATACGTCAGCCGTGGACGAGGATGTGCCGGCCGTGGCACAGGACGTGTCGGCGGCGGTGCTGGGCGTGCCGGTTGCGGTGCAGGACGTGCAGGAAGCGTCGTCACGGAGCAGGACGCGTCATCGCGGAACACCGCATGCCCGGCGCGGTGTTGGACGTGTAGCCACGGTGGAAACCTCGTCCGTCGCATTGAATAACCAAGTTGTAGGGATGGATGACCCTCCCATCGGGATGGTTAACCAGCCGAACGGGATGGTTAACCAGCCGAACGGGATGGAGAACCAGACCGTAGCAGACGCGCCTGCCGCCGTTTCTCTCCGAAGATCCCAAAGGCCACGGACCACTGTTGGTAGGTTATTCAAATAAACTGACTGTTTTCAGATAATATGGTACTTATTATAGTTAAAATACAGCGTAATATGAAATACATGACAACTGACAGCCTTTGTAATACGGCAATCGGCTGTCAGACAGGTGAACACATCTGCTTTTTTCAGTTTCGGTTGTCGACCCTACTTCGCTACCCACAGTCGCTCCGCGTTCTACTAGTCGTCGAGGTTCCAAGCGCCCGCGTAAATGCGATCAGTGCCAACTCAAAGACGATCAGATTAGCAGAATGACCGCAGAACATACTATAATGAGCAATGAGCTGGCAATCGTGAAGCAACAGAATGCAGACATGGAAAAAGTGCAGCAACGCCTTAGGACCCTGCGACGCCGAAATCCCTCACAGTAGTTGATGTCATTCGAATTTGTGAACTATAACATCCAGGTATGTACTGTAAAATCAGGTTGTATCACATGGAAACTGAGGTCCGTTTTCTGCCAGTATCCATTTAGTTCTTGTTTTTGTTACAACGTTTATAAGAGAATGATTCTGTACATGGTACCGATTGGCAGTAATCCTTTGCGTATCCCCCCGAGGAGTGTTGTGTATTTTTTTACGTGACTACAGAGCCAAATAAGGATGCATTCATTCGCATGCATTATCAAAAATTGATTTTCCCAACAAGCATCTGCAACTTTTCCAACGATTCCCATCAGTGACAGTTCAGTGTCATCAGTAATAATACACTATACTCGTAAATATGGAAAGTTGGTGAAATACGTAATTTTTATACAAAAGGAAACACAGCAGCAGTTATAATTACAATTGCACAGCAGTTACAATTACTGCTGTATAATCTGTAACTGTAAAATATGCAACTTACAAGTGCCACAATTTTGTGAATAGGCCCGGAAGTTAGGTACTCAAATAAGTACCGTAAGTATACCTAAACAGTACTGTATAAATATCACATAAACCAGGATTCTTTGTACGAGAGGTGTCATTGCAGGGTTGTGGATCGGCCTCCGGTGGCTTTTAGTCTGAACTCGCTTGATTTTCGTGTTCTTTTTCTCCGCTGACCGGCACTTCGCCATTCGGCAATGACAGAAAATTACGATGTTGCATCTGTGCTCTGCACGTTTTCGAATTTTTACTCTTGATTGGTGCCGGCACTTCCTGAATTGATTTGGTTGTTTCCTGGGAGGTTGAGCTGTTTCCTCGCTGTTGGTGAATGGAGAGTTTGTGTTCGTAGTTGACAACATTTCTTTATTTTGGTCAATAAATCTGTCTCCCTCCCACCCAATCCTAATGAATTGCCGGTTGCTTTTTACTGTTTTGTTGCATTTGCTTTTCGACATTGCTCATGTTGTTAGTGTTTATTAAAGATAGCCTGACGGCGCCCCAAAGTCTTCCAGTGAGTTCCGGTGACATTATGCTCAAGTTTCTTATGGCAGATATACATAAACATATAAAAATAAAAAATGTATGCGAATATATATTAAAATATAAATTTATACAAACGAGCTAAACCAGACAAAAAGAATTCAAATAGGAATGACACTATTTTAGGACACAGAACGGCAAAAGTAACATCAAACCGCCAATACAATAGGTAAACGTTGGTCCCAAGATCCAGTAAAGAACAGACGCTGGAAGCACACCAGTCGCTCGGGCAAAAGCGCCCAAAGAGCGGAAGATCCCTTGAAATTTTAAATGATGGAATCAGAAAACCATGACACGAAATGTGGAAACCGTCACTTATTCCATAAACTGCGACCGTACTAGCGACGTACTACCGTACCAATTGTAAGGTAAAACACATAAGACATGCCATGTATTTACGCAAATAAAAATTTCGAAAGAACGCAAGGGCCATAGAAAAAAAACAGCTCGTTTTTGTCTTCCATGCTAAAAATTAATAATGCTTTAGTATATGCTGTATTTTACCACCAAACCTTAGTTTAAATTAAACATTTTATTTAAATTGTTTGTATCTTATTTCATTACTTAATCACATTACCATAATCATGCCCAATAAATATCCCAACAACAAATTAGTAAAATTTATAGTACTCCAAAGCATACCCATAATGGTGCCCTTTTGATCATCTCGCCCATATTTAGAAATCATGGTCATCAGGCAAGGCACAACAGTGGAGGAACCAAATGAATACAAACATAATCCAAAATACATCACACCCTGACTGTTAGCGATTCCGATAATGACAAATGCAGGTACAACTAGAGCCAATCCCTGTAAAGATGCACATACATCATTACATAGCGCAGAAACTCAATCAGATTTTTGTGCAGGTGCAGTACATAAGTGTTCGTTCAAACTTCCCTTGTACAATATGCTAGCAAAATAACAACAGACAAGCATTTTTTTATTTGACAGCTACCAAAATGCAAATTCACAAATGTAATGCAGAATATACACAGAACAAAAGCTGCTAGTAAATACCATCAATGCCGTTCTCTTCTCGCTTCCTGGTTTTAAGCGCCGGACGAATCCGCCTTGCACCAGAATCATGATGATTCCCACAAATAAGAATAAACGGCCCTGTTGCATGCTGCAAAACACTCTCATCAGCATTATGCCCGTAATACGTCAGCCTCACTAAGCTGGATTAAAAATCCATTAAGAACGTGTTAAGCAAAAAATACGTCATTTTATGTTAAATTTTACTAGAAGTGCAAAACACAAATATTTTCCACAAATATTTTCCGTTCAGATTTTTTTCTGTTGACTTGCTATGGCCATGGACAATACCTTTATGTGCGTCGCAGTTGCATGTGCCTTAGAAATAAATTACAAGGTACTTGTACCAAAACTAATATGGCACAAGGTGGAGGAACGATATATCTAACAATGCTCACCTGGTATAGTTAAATCTGGTGTGGGTAAGAAATGTCAAAGTAAACTCCAACCCAGAGAAAAAGAAGAGAAACAGGAAATTTGTCAGTCCAATCTTCCGTATCCACACTCGATCAGCGTTGCTGAGATCTTTTACAGCGGTAAAGTTGAACAAATGTCGGGGATCGATAAGATACACAGCTTCCTTAAGATTGTGTATTAACGATTTCGCCTAAAAAAGCAAGAATCACAGCAACGGTGGTCTACAAAGCGTTATGTAACTGATGTAACTGAAAGTTATCATATACACGAAAGTGTACGACATATAATACTGAATTATTAAATAGATTTTCTACATCTGAATGGATATATGCTAATTCTCTAAAGCTGTATTTCAAATTAATACTCGTATGAGTACGGAAGCCCACCCAACCACATAGACCAATTCACAAAACATACCGATAAAAATTAAGGTAAAAAAACTTACTCGTTTATGTTTCGGCAGCGTCTCGGGCAATGCGAACCACACAACCAATAAATCGGCAACTTCCAGCACCAACGCAAAAAGGGCTGCGTAGATGTAAAAAAGGGACAAATTGTTTCGTTGTGCGTAGGATGAAAACAGTGCTCCAATCATCGGACCGACTATAAATCCAACTGAGAAAGCCACTCCAACCAGCGCCTACAAGGCATTCCGCTGTGAAAATCGTACATGGTGAAATTTTTTCATGAGCTTCTTAATACCATGCCTTTGCCCCGGGTTTGCACGGTGGACACATCCGTCACAACTGCGGTTCCGAGCCCGATATTGCCTTTACTCAAACCCATCACTATTCTGGCCACAATGAACATGGTGAAACTCGAAGACAATGCCCAGATCAAGTACGAAACAGCAATTCCACTCTGTAAATAATATTTGGAAACATTTTCACCCGTATACCCAAAAAGCAAAATAATGGTGTTGGTCAGTATTTACAATCTGACCTCTGCTGGCATAGGAAAAACATGCAAATAGAGATATGTAACAAAACTGCATCTAATTAATTTCAGTTTTACAGGTTATCTTGCACTAATACAAAAAGCTTCAGCGTTTCAACATTCACAATAACAGACTGACTGCATTTGGAGAGATTCGATAATTTTAGAACTTGTGCAACACATGCAACTTACTGTTGTTAGTAACAGCAAGGGCTTCCGGCCGTACACGTCCGACAGCGCTCCCACTAAAGGAGAAGCCAGAAACTGCAGGAGGGAAAACAGTGATCCCAAAATTCCTCCATACAACACCGAGCTGAATTTTTGCAAATCAGCAATTCCCAAAAATGTTTGGAGTTTTGCGATACACTGCTGGATCACATTATATGTAACATCCTATAAGTATAATTTACAACATTCAATTTAATTGTTTCAGTAATCATGTAATGATATTACGGTGGTTGTTGCAATATAATTTTAATCATTTAATACAAACAAAAACTACGTTATGATGGTGAACTCGGCGTAAGTAACTGTGAATGATCTTGCCGCTTGCGGAAAAAATTACGTGTTTAAAAATATTACTATCGTCTGAATATTCGTTTATTGACCGAGACGATACCTGGCCATCTTTCCCATAAAAATCCAGTAACGCTGGCATAAGCGGTAAAATGGAAGTAAATGCCAAGAGATCAATCAGTAATATAACGAAAATTATTCCGTAAATTTTTCGACAGTGCCCGTCCGCTGCATCACCATCCTTGATGTCTTTGGCTTCAGCGCGGGGGTTTGAATGATCATCCGATTTCGACGATCCATCGCGGCGTCCTCGCTCCCGCTGTTGAAAGCAACAAGATTACAAGAATCAATAAAAATTCACAAACGGCACTGCACGGTTGTCATTGTACAGTTTCTCAGTTTCTGACTCACCAAGCTGCCACCAGCGTCCATATTTAAATCAGTTTTCCGAATCTCGTGATGGGCCGATGGCTTCACTCACATCCCTTGCGAAGATCCGATATCGAAGAACTTGGTTGTCTTTACAGAGCTTTCATTTAGTTGTGCGCTGGATTTACAGTCGTTTCAACGAAGTGTCCTTGGATCGGGTGAATCCATAAAAGCACTCGCATCGTCTTACCGTGCCACCATTTGTCGTGCGCACCTGAGCGGCAATCTGCACTGTCTGCTAAAAAAGCTAACCAGTACAAGAACCGGTTTGCAATACTTGACCGGAATGTATTCATAAATAACTGCAACATGTGGCACGCACTTTGATCGGTATGACCATAAACCAAAACAAAACAATGGTATCGGTGCATCAGATAAAACATAATCGTATCCTGCGCTCATTATTTTCTATCAAGAACGTATAGTCTGTATTCTGTGCAACTTATAAGCAACTTATTTTTAATAAAACCAATGGAAAACTAAAATCCCGAAAACTATACCCTGCTTACAAAACAAAAAAACTGAGTTTACGTTTTAACTTTTACGGTCGCAGAAGCAAGATTCGCAGCCACCTGTTCCAGCACTGTTATCACATTGCTGAAAATCGGGCAGATTGTACATAGGTCTGTACGATTGTGTTCAGTTGTTGTGACTCTGTGGTGTTCCTCCCCCCTCCGGTTGGCCGCTTTGCAAGGAAGGAAACACAAAAAGCATGCCCAAACAGATGCAGGTAAGGACATGCGACTGCACTGCCAATGCGTTGAGCGCGCTGGTGTTCGTTGCGACGTCGGCCAAGTGCAATGCGGGTGACGTCGACAAGGCATACTACCTCCGGATGTCGCAACACCGGCAATAGCTTTAATGTGTTTAACTACAAAGTACAGTACTTCTGCATTTTGCAGTCTCATAACTTATTTCTAATTTTTTAATCGAAAATAATCAATTGTTAATATCTTTGTCATTTGATCTAACAATAAGTCGATAATTCCAACTAGTGCTAAATTCAATAAATTGCTAATGCTGTTCACTACGTATCGTCAAAGTTTAATTTATAATTCCACAAAATTTCAGTTCACGATTTTAAGGAATAAGCTCTTATATTTTGGCTGATAGTGCGTTTAAGTAATTTCGCGACGCCTTTGGATTTTTGCGGAATGTACCGGTGAATTATAAAATTTTGTGGCGAATTTTGTGGAACACACCGGTGATTTACTTATAAAATTTTAGTGATGCACCAGCATAAAAATGCACCTTCTGACTCCCCATTTTTTTAAAAAAGTCCGTCGAGAAAATTTAAAATATTCGTTTTCTTGCATTCATCGGGTGAAATTTTCGCTACGCTAAAGATTTTGCCGCATTTTTGTTATCATTCTTTTGCAATAACTTTGCATTGAATGTAATTTGTAGGTCGAAAAAAAGCACTTCGAAGTAGGCAGATGCCGGCTTCCAGAGTACTGTAGCTAAAATTTTTTTAAATAGCAGTAATAAAATCGCACAGTCTTACATTTTCCAGTAATGTCAATAGTACCAAAAAATAATACTTCGTAAGTTATACGTACATACTTACCAGGAATATAATTTTTAAAGAAATAGGCTCGCGACATCAGGTACGTGGCTAAACGTAATTTAGGATATTTTTTATTTGCCAGTTTTCATTGATCAGGTGCTGGCCGAAAGCCGACACCAGATGTGGTATTACTATATCTGCGTAATATAACGCAAGTGAGATGAAAATTAACATTGCAACAACACCTTTAATTTTGAATAAAAAAAGTTATAAACAGCCCGCAGGATAAAATTATGATGCCGGTCAATAGGAGTCACAAGCGCACCAGCACTATGCGCTAAATGATTATTTTCAGAAAAGTTATGAATCGTTTTGTGGTGCACAGTAATCGGCATTTGTAGACACCGTGGTGCACAACAATGCTGGACAACTAAGACTAAATACGAACTAATGACTCCGTTGCCGTCGTGTAATTTTTACACGTGTATTTTTCATTTCACATTTTACGTTGGTCTGCCATAAATTCGTGCCGGAAATGGACGGTCTGTCTGCCGTCCCTCCAAATGTTTTGGTGTATATACGCGATAAAGAAAGGTTATCGTAGCGCACAAGTGCTTATACAGTAATATTTATTTATCATTATTGTATAATCTGTAAGCGTCTAATTACAGTGCAATCAGCTGCAGTACCTGTAAAATGCAATTTTTTTAATTCTCAAAATCTGTAACGTAATTATTAAATCACTATTAACTTAACTGCATGCGTGAGTATTATTCTTAGAGCTTAGAGCTGAGAGGGTCTTTTGCCGCATAACAGCATACGGAACTCAATAAAGGTTGGTTGTTCATAAGCACTCAAAACAACAGCAAAAATTTTGTTCAAATAATTTAGCATAGTATGATCGAAAGTACAGTACCGGTTCTGAATGTGCACTAATTACTGTACTATTTTTGAGATTTTATAAAATTTGTGAATACAAAATTTAATCGACAAATTTTCAAAGTGAACTATTGAAACCGACAACAGCGTAGAATTATAACATTAAACTTTGACGTACAAGTGCGTAGTGAACACTGAACAGCATTAGCAATTTACTGAACAGCATTACAGTAATTTACTGAATTTAGCACTAGTTGGAATTATCGACTTATGGTTAGATCAAATGACTATGGTATTAAAATTAACTATTTTCGATTAAAAAATCAGAAATAATTTATGAGACTGCAAACTCCATAGTTAAACACAATAAAGCTATTGCCGGTGTTGCGACATCCGGAGGTAGTATGCCTTGTCGACGTCACCCGCATTGCACTTGGCCGACGTCGCAACGAACACCAGCGCGCTCAACGCATTGGCAGTGCAGTCGCATGTCCTTACCCGCATCTCCCAAACGTATGCTTCCCGAAAACTCTTCCGAGTCTTCTCTATGCTTCTGTTAATTTTTGACTTTTGCCTTCTTTTTTAGACCGCGAAGTCGAAAGCACGAAAGTTTTCAGTTGTTTAATTTTTCACTTCAAAGTTTTTTTTTACAAACGAGAAGTTATTGCTTTTGAATTATGAATGCTGAATCAGTTAAGGGGCAACCGAAACAACGTCGTGAATATGCGTTTATGAAATTGTCATTCGAGAATAAGACTTATAAGAGTGGCGAAACTGCGGAATCGCCGGATCCACGACTTTCTGTTTCTGACGCAGAATTATTTCGATCCCCACAAGCCAGTTCCCGGATATCTGCTGGCGAAGAAAGAGTCGGAGTAAGCGAGGATGCTCCGGAAGAAGGTGCAGATGAACCTGAGGCAGAGACTGGAGCTCCAGAACACGCGAAAACGAAGAAGACAGCCAAAAACAAGCGACGGCATTCTGATGACCACGACGCAGCTGTGCAAGATTCTGTGGATACTGTTGCCGTGAAAGTTTCGGATGCGGCCATTTCCAAGAAGCCCCACAAGAGCGCTGCGAGGGCAGGCCTCGCCAAGAAGCAGAAAGAAGCAGTCAAAGAAGAGGTAAGTCCGAAAACTAGTGACAAAGAAGTACACATAATGCATGTGCTGCTGCACTGGCCTGCACATACATAAACGTGAAAGTTTCCTGCTCGCTGTGCTTACCGTAGGAAAATTCTGAGTACCAGTTGGCGTACATGCTTTCCCTTTTTTTCACGGCAAAATGTAACAATAATAAATGTGTTTTCGTTGGTGCTCGTGAATTTCATGGATTGTGCAAAATGGTTTCAATACTTAATACTTTCTCATATTAAGCAGTTAATTGTTAATTTTACATAAAATTCGTTTAGATGCTATGTGTATTCTGTACGTTTGACCATGATTATAATTGCACATTTTAGGCGCCTGTGGAAGTTAAAGAATTTCGAACTGCTGCCCGATTATTACAGCTTCTTCGAAACGAAGTTGAGCCTGAGCCGTGTGGTAGTACTAAGTGTGCCCACTGTAATTTCCAGGAAACAAGGAACCTGACCAGTGTTCGTCAGTCGCATTACTTTCCGAATGCACCTGCGATTAACCAGGAGGAAGACTACTCAAAAGATCGCCCTCCCCTGTCGTTTGTGCCACCGGCTAGTGGTGGCGATACTCCCGTGTATCCGAATCCGAGAACAAACCCAGTTCCGTATCGCCCAATCTCATCGCCGTCTGCCAAGTACGGCGGTATGCTCGGAGCTTCTCGCCGCATGTTTTCCGCCGTTCCCATTGCTCCTAAACAGAAACAGCGTTTCAAATACTGGCGCGTAAATTATGCCAATCCCAGCAGTCGCAAACATAAAATATGGGAAGACGATGGAGTGCTGGTTGTGGAAGGGAATGTGATGACGCTGCTCAAATCGGACCATGAGACGTACATCACGAAAAAGGCCGGGTGCTCGCAAAAAGAAATCGATCAGCTGGACGATGACTGGTTGTTAATAGTTGGGTGTAAAGAAGTGAAGATCTTAGACGGGATGACCGAGGAAGAGTTTCGAAATAATTCATGATGTACAGCTGTTGCTGAAGTTAGTCGGACGATGGCTTTTCTATGATGTTCCCTGATTAAGTCGTTCGTAATTTTGTTTTATCTTTTTAGTTAGATAATTGTATGGAGTCTTGTAGATATTTATGTATTCAGCTATGTCTCTCATATATCTGTACTAGTTTTCTTCTTCCATTTTTTTTCGAAAATTTCGTATAATTTTCCAAACTTTCAGTTTATTTGCCGATAAGTGTATTCTTGTTGCGGCTGCATCGTAAGTACATGAAGGAACAATAAAACAAAAAAGAGTCAGAAATAATTCGCTAGTTGAGAGCGCGAACTGTCCACAGTACCAAGCCATGTCAGCGAATCATATCGGTTCGGTCTCGTTTAAAAAAATATATTCTCTGCGTCACGATCGAAGCGTTTTTCTGTCCCATCGTCACCCGCGTCAACGATCAGCACAACTTCTTGAACTTTACGGCGATTCGCGCGGATGCGCTTGGGTCTCGACTCTTTGATCAAGATGAACTTCGAAGACTGTGGTTTTGCAGGTTTTCGAGGCACGGCTTCTGTCTCGGTACTCGCAGTGTTGACGCCCAAAGTTGCATTCCACGATGGTTGCGAAGCGGTCACGTTATCCCAACCGGAAGCTTCTGAAAGTGAAATCGCTTAAATTTTTTGATTAATGGGTGGTATGGTGCGCAACGGTAATCTGGTGATTTTTATTTGTAATCGAAAATCAGTTCAACCATTATAAATACGTAAATTGTAATAATCTATGTACTTTTTGTTAATTTTGTGTACGAAATTATTGGTGCTTTAATGGAACGGTGGGCAAAAGTCTGTCTTTTGCACAAAATCAAACATATCGCTTAGCTTTACCTGCAGTGGTTTCCGTGGCATTACTCGTTTCATTATCTTCATCGGCCACAATGCAGCGATTGTGACAGATATTCCGACAGGTGGTAATTCCCTGAGAGAAACACCGGCGCTGGCAGACTTGACGGCATTGTCCAATGCGGGCCGCTAATTTATCCATTTCGTCTTCTAGCTGCAGTTCCTTCAGAACTTCCTGATCAATATCCTCCAACTGCATTTCATCAGCTTCAGTAGTGGAAGTAGCATTTATACCCGGCGAAGAAGTAGAGGTGACGCTAGTAGAGATGCTGGAAGACTGTTTCGATTTGTTGGCACTGACGATACCAAAAAATGCCACGAAGGCAGCGGCACATAAACGCCAAAGGTCACGCTGCATTTTTACAAGTATCGAGGAAGATAGTACGACACAGAACCGAAGCGACGTTGAAACGTTCTGATCAACTTCGCAAATGATTATAAGTTGTCACCGAATCTACCCAGACTGAAATAGTACTAGGCAGCTTCTGGGGATCTTCCTTCTCGCAGTATAGTTGCACCGAGCACTTGGAGTCCTTCTTGGTATTAAGGGTAGTAACTTATCTGCATATCCTGAAACCAATCCTGTTTTCGCTAAAGCTGACAACGATAGATCCTGGACAAACAGTATGCTCATTGTCAGCTGACTGCGTGACGCAGCTTACAAAGTTATTTTTGCATTGAGTTTTCAGAACAAATTTTCTGCTGTCATTTCAGTCGTTACTGGAATTGTGGGCAAGTCTGTGTGATCATGTAGCGATATCGCTTTCGATTTTCCTGCTATTCATGCCGCATATGTATATGGTGAATGCCGATTTCGGCATCGGCTGTGTGGCAATCATTTATTGCGCTCAAACTCCATGCGCGCTGCAGTATTGAAAAATGACGTATTTGTATTATATGCATTGTACTCTGCATATCTTACCGTAAATATTGCAAAATTAATAACTGTCCGCAATGGAAATCAAGACCGCAGTTGCTCCAATTTAAAATCTCACGAGTTTGTCGGCTGTAGCTAATTCATCACAACGAAAAATCTGAGCGCGTTGTCCGCAAATACGATAGATAAACATATGTATCTCGCCCAGGCTGCGAATGCAGAAACTAATACGAGCCACCTGTCATCAGGTTAATTTTGAAAAATCCTCTGTTTCGAGGAGAGTGGGCATGACTGTTTAGTTCGCCTTTTCGGTAGAACGTTTTGCTGTCGGCTTCTTTGTACATGTCGGCATCGCTTGTTGTCGGGGAATATGGCACTTCTCCTATTGCCCAAATCACATGCATAACGCCATTGACAATAGACTGGTCGGTGGGATGAGATGCTAGAAACAGAAGTGAAGTAGAGTATTTGCAAGCACACAAGTCAAGAATGCATATGCATAAATTATATACGTTCTCATGCAAAAATTACCTTATAGATTTGAATTACAATCATTATACTCGGACAATCGACAATTTAGCAAAATAATACGGATAACACAAAAAAATATAAAAACTTGAAATAACAGTTATTAAACAAATTACTGCACAAAGTAACCGGAAGTCACGAACTTTCGAATCGTATTAATTACGAGTACATATTCATTTTTCAGCAACGCAGATCACACTGCCTTCATACTTCATAGTTATTACGTCATTTGTACCGGTACAGCTATGTTCGCGTCGTACACTATACAGATAGCGCTCGCTATGCATAACAACCTACCTTGCAATTTTTTGCGAAATAAAACATGCAAGATTCCTGTATCTGGATCTTCATAACAGTTTCCAGCTGTAAGACTTTGCTCCCCACCAAATACTTCATCTGGTAGCGGTGTGGAGTGATCACGAGTATAAAGGTCACGAATGCGACACAGTTGTCCTTGAGCAGCTGCGTATGTAATATCGTTGCAACCCATGGGATGGAGCGGCACTGTAAGTGTGTTAAACGTAAAGGAGTGTTAATGTTGTGGACCTAGGGTCACTATAGAGTGATCACTCATTTTGCAAAATAACATTCGAAATACATGGATGCTTTAAAACATTATGACTTCAAGACATGCCCATTATAAGGTAGTTTAGAAAAGCATTTCCTTCACGAACAGTGGTGGGTGGTTTATGTAAAGTTTGCATACCAGCGAAAAATGCCTGATCTTGGAAATCCACAACCGTCTGAATGACTTCTCCATCTAAAAGAAATTAACAACACACCCACAGTTGTAGCAGAAATAAAGCTCACGATAAGTTCTAGAATTTCGTACTTTTTGAAACAGATGAAACTGTTTCTTTTGGAATGATGGGAAATGTTTTGCAAGTGGTGTTGATCCCTGTAATTGAGCGACAATTGATTATCTCTGCTTATTACTTTAGTGAATATGGGTGCCGTACAATCCTGGCAAAAAGTTATAAAATATGAATATAATTAAAAACAGTGGGGCTACTGAAGAATTTTACCTTCCGGGCGCCAACCGAAACCGACCCAGTTGGTTGTGCCGGCTTCCAGAATCACCTCTATTTCTCCGATATCTGGCAGGATTCTCCAGTAAAACGTAAAATTACCGGGCGACGAGCGTTTTCTGTATAGATCCGGTTGGAAGTTGAAGTCCTTGACCGATGACTCGCTCGCGCATTTCGGACCAAACCAACCGGTGGGACAATAGCACTGATGCTTAGGATAGAACTGGGCGTGGGTGTTGATGCATTTTCCACCGTTGTCGCAGTCAGTGTCGTCCAAGCACTCCTCTGTGTTCAGCGAAACCGAGCAAGTCAATATTTATGAATTCTGTTGCCAAATGACGTAAAATGTTTAATAAAGCTGCATCAATCAGTCTACCTTCAAACTCGCAGAAGGTGCCGACAAATGGTTTTTCACACTTGCAGAAACCATCATTCCATGTTCCGTGATCAGAACACGACGATTTTTCAGCTGGAAAAGAAATCGACAGGGCATTTCATATTTGGATTTTCATCTTGTTCAGCCAAATATCTGTGTATTTCTTATACAGGAACACGAACATTAACAAAGTAGTTGTTTTTGTTTCTGTAATAACCTAAATATAATCATTGGCCGCTAGCGTTACCATCATTCCATAAAAAAAATTTAGTGTTTATGTTGGCTACTGCTTATGTAAACTTTTCTTACATGCATGGCTCCTGGCTGCATAGCTTTTCCTTAATAAAATTTCACTGCTTGCACAAAAAGATTTATTGTTCGCGCGGTACACCACAAATCAAAATACTTGTGTATTCTATCAGTCGTATTATTAAATTTTACTTGTCGGCTTTTCCACTATGCTGACATCCGCACAGGTCCTGAACCCAGGCGGAACTGCCGAGGCGGGAGTGTTCGTCCACGCTGGACCCAAGCCTTGCTTGATAACACGAATTATGCAGCGACCGCAAGTCACTTCCGCCGGCAGGGTGACGTATCCAATATTTCCAGCCGAGTTATTTCCAGAGAATTCATAGGCCTTTCCATTCGGAGGAGCCAATGTTGCTATTGCATTATATTCTTTATCTAGTAACTCAATTCTGTATCCACCCTATAAATAGTGTCCACTAGTGTTTAGTAAATTTGTTTTCAAGCTAACCAGTAAGAAGAAATTAAATAAATACTGTAGAAGTCTGATCGGTTCATTGCACAAAAGGAGCAAACGCACACTTATAATAATTATTAATACTTCATGAGGTACAAGTATAATATAAACACAATGCAGTCGTACATATGTACAGAGGTACGTACTTCATGCAGCTGGCCGACTGCCCAGGTCACATTAAAAGAGCTTCCCATTAGCAGCTCAGTAACGTCTAAAATCAGCAAGAACGAATTCAGATTATTTTCGGTTGCGGTGCTAAGCACTAATGACTACAAATAACAAGGAAATCTACAAAAGTCTACCATTTCCTTTGGGCATTCCACATGGTCCAACCGGAGCATTCCTGTTAGTCAGGGCGTTTATGGGATACTGTCTAGCCCGGGGATAAACTAAACTGGAAAGAGTAGTAAATGGCGTGATTAAACAAACGCACGTCGGTGTTAATGTCATGTTTGGCAGGATCCACTGAACTCCTGAGATAACAATTAATTACGAAGTATTAATTGTATATCCAACTTTGGACTGCGATATACTTCACAATTTTCCGAACGTAAACTTACCGCACGAAAACTAGTAAATTTTATGCACATAGCTAGTATTACATGTATATGCAAATATTGTACTTCTGTCTGTGTACTGCGCCGCACGGGGCCGTCAAATACCTGATGTGAGCTGCGACGTCCGAAAACGTTAACAGTATTCCGAGTAGCAGGCCAGTTATCAGTCTAACGGAAATGTTTTCAGCAGAGTATGTTTGCTCCATATTTATCAAAATCTTTGCAAACTGTTTCAAGCCAATCTGAAGTCTTTACCGCATACGATACGCAGGAAACCTGCAGTGAGTACAGCAGTAACAAAGCAAACGCAAATCTGAACATTAGCGCCAGTCCGACAGAAGCCGAGGATATCGGCATTGACTGTGCGAAAATGCGCGAACCATATCGACTTGGCACCTGTGCCGATATCGGTTTCTTACAAATAATTGCAAGCTAGTATGTTCAGCGCCTTATTTGCACGAGAGAAAAGGGTTTGTTTTCTGCAATGTGCCCTATGCGCTCCAGTGCTTCATTTAAGCAGTTCTTCATTCGAACGGAAACCGGTTGCTCTAACTATATAGAAAACGTTTTTCTCGACGACTAGGAAGGCGGAAACGCTTTTCCGGTACATATACTTGTATACCTGTCCAGCAACAAAACCGTAAATACATACTTAAAAGTCAAAACTGCACTTGCAATTACTGTACTGTTAAAATGGGAATACGAGCTCGACCTCCCTATTGTGGATTAGTGCGGCATATACGTAGCGTTGTTACCTGGGTGGATGCTCCTGCCGCAGCCTTGTTGTCACTTTACCTTTGAAAGAAACCAAATGAGTCTGCAATTTTTTAAGCAGTTCATTGAGTTTAAACTTTTGAAAAATTTAACTTTAACTTCAGTTTACTTTTTTCTAACTTGAGCTTTCGTATTAAATCAAACCTGCTTGGCTTTTGGAATAAGAACCGAAGGTTCGTAACTGATAATTCTTTAAAGTGTTGTTTGATCTCTTGCCTTGAAAGTTGTAGGAGATGTGGTATTAAGTAATTAAAAAATTCTTTTGTTTACCATTTGGCGAACGATATCGTGGCTGTGTGCAGTATGCAGGCTACAAACTTTGACGGTGATGGTGCAACCTGAATCGCGAACGGGTTCCGCTCCCTAAGTGGCGTTTGATTCGGTTGGTTGTCACTGGCTTTCTGGAGCATCCTACCATGATTGGCCCGAAGCCCGAAGTTTCCTCCATGGGAATACAAACCAGTCCCCTGGTATCATCGTCCAGTGAATCCGAATTCCCCACCGAGCCCCATTCGCTGGAGAACACTCGCAACAAACATCGACGACGCACTCTGCGATGTCCGCAGTGTGGCTTTGTCGGACGGGCCAATGCGTTCTACGATCGTCAACCTAACTTCAAACCCTGCAGCCCTGAATTGCAGGTGCAAGAGCTGGTTCGGAGTGCCAGTAAACTTCGAGCAGGTAAATCAAACATCCACTTCATACTGTTGCGTAGACAGACGTGCCGCTTGCGAATAGTTATTCTAGCTGTACATAAGAAATTTTTTTGCTTTATTTTATTGACATTTTTATTTACTTCTTGTATACATATATCTTCTGGGAATTTTATCTGTACAGGATTGTCGAATTTGTCGCTGCCATCGTCCGCGTTCACTGAGTTGCACTCTAAAGATGCGCTGTCCGATGCCGCATTTATTACGCGATTATCATGTGTTTTAAAATCTCCCATTGAAATCAAGAGCCCGTTAGCGTCCAGTGTTAATCAGAATCCGCTGGATCAAGTTTTGAATCGTGCGCCTTTACCTCCTGATCATCAATCGCCAAGTGACAGTGTTTTCTGTTTCGCGGAAAAGACAGTTAATGATCTGTTTGAAGTGGGTGTGGAGGATGTGGAGACTTCCGATGCAGCGGTACAAGCCATATCTTCCACACAGGACATCGCCACCGCCGTGTCGCAGACGGAGCTCGGTTCGGTTATCGATGTTGCACACGTGCCCAGCGTATTTTCCGCCGTATCAGGCTCGGATGTAGGGATTGTCTCTCCCGCTCACGAGAGCATTCGCGTGACGCTGTCGGATGTGGAGCGTTTCACAGCCGCTCTGGAACATGGAAAAGTACAACCTATTCCTTCTGCAGACGCAGCGCATGTTAAAAGTATAGCTTCGAGTCTCACGGATGCGGAATCTGGTTTGTTGCGACCCACATCACTGGATGGCCTGATATCGAAGGATTCGTTATCCGCTACAGTTTTACCGGAAACTCAGCATCCTTTCACTCGTTCAGTTCCCCGCCTCCGCCGCCACCACCACCAGTTTCTGCGTTGCTGCGGTCAGATAATGGAACACTCAGTCTTTCTCCTGGATCTCTTCTTGGATCTCAAGCGCAGATTCCTCTGCCGCCGCCTCCACCTCCCGTGTTTGGAATGGCTTCTTCCGTACCTCGTGTGCTGATATCTCCTTCGGTTTCCGGTGCACCTCCACCTCCTCCCCCACCTCCACCAGGAATTCAGGCCGGTCCCCCACCGCCTCCTCCGCCACCAGTCAGCGGACACGGATTTGCGCCAGCGCCTCCACCTGGAACCCGAGCAGGCCCACCCCCACCACCGCCCCCTCCGGGATTGCGTGGAATTCCCCCTCCACCCCCACCAGCTCCCATCAATGGCGTGCGACTACCACTGACTTCGCCCAATACTTCCAATCCACCGGCATGGCCTGCACCTCCTCCGGGTGGTTTCGGTGTTCTCAAAAAAGGTGAACGATAAAGTGACGATTGGGTTAAACGGTGTGTAGACTATCGTCACGGTGTGTGTGTGTGTTAAACGGTTTTTCTATTGCAGTTCCGCGTAAACCATGTATTAAGCCGAAAGCAGAAATGACACCGGTTTTCTGGACGAAAATCTCTCTTCCCAGCATTCTTCCTGATACTGTGGTCAGTGATTCCACTTCGGAAGCCGATTTCGTTATGGTTTCAAAGTAAGTACAATAACTATAAAAATTTGATTACTTTCACTGTGGAAATAGCGTCCGGTTATTGTATTAGAGCCAAATCATTGTGGGAAATTATACCGGAGGTTCCAGTTAACGAAGAGGAACTGGTCGACAAGTTCTCTAAAAAGAAGTCAGAGGGAATTAAACTGAAGACAAAGCAGTCGGCAGTCAACCAGAATTTAGCTTCTCAGAGCAAGGAAAAGGTGAGAATGTCGTAAGAAGAACGCGAACTTACTTTTGTTGTTTTGTCAGCTGTGATTACATAATTCATGATTTTTTATTGGTTAGCTTAGAATGGCACACATTTTCGATGCGAAGCGGAGTCAAGCTGTGGGAATTGTGATGAAAAATTTGAAGATAGAAGGAAAGAAATTAACAGCGGGCGATATTAAAACAGCGCTGTATGAAGGCCAGACGGAAAAATTAACTGCGGAGATTGTTAAACGTCTGGACGAAATGGTATTGCGAGGCTTGTTCATGTGCACTTGTGCAGCGCTATCAAATATTCCGAAAACGTGTGTTGCACGTTTTTAGAAAGCAACACCGGAAGAATTGAAGCTGATGCGGGATCAGCTAACTCGAGAACCGGATACCCCATTGGATGAACCCGAAAAGTACGATTCTTTTGTAGATTTTCTGTTATTTCCGTCTCGTGTTCATACCATTTCCGTATTTCCAGGTGGCTGCTGGATTTGTCGCAAATCTTGCATTTTGAAACTCGACTGTCGTGCCTGCAAACATTCTTTTCTTTCGAAGAGAAACTGAATACGATAACAAACCCGACTGCCGCTCTGCAGAGTATACTAACCACTCTTACCAGTTCGGATTCCGTTAAAAATATTCTGGCTATAATTCTGTCGTACGGGAATTACATGAACGGAGGTACAGTATTACTGTACCCTTATTGCCTTATGCCGTTAAGATGGCGATGCGAGAAGCGCTCGTTTGGGTTACAATTTGTACAGTAAAATTATTTGTTTAACATTGGTTTTGGTATTTTTACAGTACGTAATTTCATAGTAACGTATCTGTGACTAATAAGGATAGATCATAGATTCATATTTTTGTTCGCCTGGCGTAAAAAGTAATCACACCTTGCTGACCTCGATTTTGCATTGGTTTCGGGTTCTGTTCTGTTAATACTCGTGATTATGTACAGTATGATGTGTAATTAATGTGTGTTGAAATTTCGTTATTTTGATGGCATTAGAGTTTCAGTTTGAATATTACAGGACATGGGCAGCGTGGGCAGGCGGATGGCTTCCAGTTAGATTTATTAGGAAAGTTGAAAGATATTAAAGGCAAGGATCCGCAAGTGACCTTTCTCTCCTTTGTGATGGACATCTATATCGAAAGACATGAGAAGGTATCGCGTGCATGGTTGCTTCTTCGGTTATGAACGCAATGGGAGACGGAAAGTTTTATGTTTTTTATGCGGCTGTAGAAAACTTTTCCTGATTGCCCGTTTCCCTTACCCGAAAGCAGTATGATGCGTGAAGCGGAAACCGCTGAACCAGAAGTCGCTCTCGAAGAATTGAAACAGATCGAAGCTACTCTCACAAGTTAGTTACAACAGAAACTTGAGTTTGGAAATCTTTTATAGTTTCGTTTTTACTTAAATTATAGAAACTGAGAAACAAGTGGAAGTTGTGACATCTTCGCCCACAATTAGCGATACACCAGAAGAAGGACAGGGTTTTGTTGTGAAAATGTCGACTTTCCTCGATGCCGCCCGGATCCGATTGGATGATGCTCGTACTCTGGTCAAAACCTGCCAAGAAAAGTATGGTGTTGAGACTGTTCACAATTTAAAAATTGAAGAACAATGCATATTTGGCTCTAGATTTGAACAGGCTGTCCAGTTTTTCCAGTGGCAAGGAAAAGGTAAAAAGGAAAATGAACTGATCAAAGAGTTCGTGGGAATCTGGAGTGCTTTTGCCAACGACGTCAGCGTTATTTGGAAATCTTCGCAGCTGAAGGCTATAAAAGAAAGGCGAGTATTTAAAGAAAAATTGTTAGAGCGATATTGTTCAGTTTTATGTTTCAGGAGAAGATTATTCTCGGTTGCTCAGCCCTGGTTATTCGTTCAAAATGTACAGAAAATTTTTATAAAAGCAGGCTACTTGGTAATTATGAAGACGGACAATGCATATCGACTTTTGCCGTCTGTTTACTAAATCATAAGCTGTTGTGTAAATTATCTTGTTATTGAAATGGTCATGGCCAATTGGTCAGCATAGGTTGTGTCATTTCTCACCATTTTTTGTGCAAGATTATAGTGCCGACACTCTTTGATAAGTGGGGTGCACAACTCGCAGTCAGACACCTATTTCTGTGATTGCAGGCAAGCGGCAGACCGACGTAAACAACAGATTCAGCATGATCAGCAGAAGCGTGTATCGGTCAAGACTGTGGAAAAAGGCGGCTTTGTGAGTAGGCTACACTATTTTTTTTATTTAAGCTGTTGTTGCTGTTGCATGGACTGATAAGGCTGACATATGAGTGACAACTGACAAACGTTAAATTGCAGAAAGAGCGAATGTCTTCGCTGATAAGCAAGCGCAAATGTACCGTGGGAGAGTCCGGGACAACCACACCCAAATCAAGCATGTCCGTTTGAAATACAAGAAACCGAGGATTTAACGGGTTTCTTTCCACCCAGTCCTATTCTTGCTGGGATTGGATGCTTTGGTTTTAATGCATGCCGATCACAGCCGATGTTATTCCGGTGCTCGCTAGTCGTACCCATGAGGTGATTAATTACTGGACACGGACTTGCTGTTCAGCAGTAAATGTGTGGTTCATCCGTTACGGCGTTGAACCGTATTCCATACCATGCTGCGTTAAGCTGGAAACCGGGCACTGCACTTTGCAGATTGCAAGAAATTTCTGGTCAGCATTATGATCCCAGTGACATAAAAACTGAAATGAATTTCCGTAACGGTATAAGAGTGTTCAAAAATTATCCATAAGCTGTGGATTCTGACACATTTGGATTTCTTTCTGACATCCATTACGTTCGGTGATGGGATGATGGCTTTGCTATCGCTTTTTGATTTTTAAAACACTAGCACGGAAAGACTTGATAATATAATATAACGCGATAATGTGAACTGGTCATTTGCGAGCACGAGGTGAAAAAACCTCAAATAAAGTAAAGCGAAACCATAAACTTAACTCTGTTTGAAGTTTCGAAGGTCTGCAACATCATTTAATATTTTTAATTTTTCGATAACTGTTGCATGATAACGGCGCCCAAAAAAACTTGAAACAACCAACAAAATCTCCAACGACTAACAGTAAGATCAACAACAAAATTTCCCAAGTTAGCGACGCTGACGCATACTTTATAGTATTTGCTGTCAAGTTAAACTTTATCCTCTGTCAACAGCTGGTTTATCTCAATTCTCGCACAAGCAAATGTTCAAACCACTCTATTTTTTTAAAACAACAATTCATTGTTGTTTTCTTTTGACTGAAAGTAAAGTAATCATTTCTGATTTGACAAATGACGTACATTAATTTTAATTATGTAAAACCAGACGCTGCCGGCGCAACGGGAAAGTGGCAGTGCATCGTGCGGCTCGTTTTATTGTTTATTAATAATTTAATAATAAAATATTCAGCTTTGCAGTTCTTCGTTTTTCTCATGGTGTGGAATCTTGAATAAAAGCGCAAAGCTTGAATAAAAGTTACAGTTTAAATACAAGTACAAAACTGCAGAAAAGCGGTTGATTTTACTTTTAAGTTTTTACCAAATTTTCCACCAATCAGCAACAAGAATCGGGTTCAAATTAATATCGCGCATGAACATAGAAAACCCGAGAAGTGTTCGTACAGTACGTCTGATGGTGAGTACGGAACGTACGCAAGGGTCGTACAACTGGCAAACAAGCCGCCTTTCATGCGGCAGGACGGGTCAACTGAAGGAGCGCCGATTTTGCTCACCGCTACGCGCTGTGAGAAGAGTCTGGCTATCGTGATCGGTCTGGATGGGAAACATCATTTTGTTTTGTTTTCGTGTTGTTAACCTCGGCCATTTTGTGCATTCCATCCTTCCTGATTCTCGTTATTAATTTAAGTGGTGTTTCAATAATCTAACTAATTCTGACTCAGTGGTTTCGCGATAAGAAAATTTCAGTTTTCCTTCTTTCTGAAAGTTTAATTTGGAGGATTGAGTGTTACTAGCTGTATCAACTCCTTCCGTGATCATTCAAAATGGGGTCTCGTCCGGAATACGATGAAGCGAAAATCCCTGCTGACTTCGGGTGTTTGTTCATTACCAATCTTGTAGATGATGAAGTAAGCATCACTAAGGAAGACGCTAAGGAACTCAGTGGAAACAGTTTTTTAGAGCCGAATTACAATGACTTTTTGCAGGATCGCACAAGAGAAGTTTTCCGTGAGAAGGCCCAGGTGGAGATCGCTGAGATTCGACTACTGAAACAGAAAGAAGACCAAACAACACGGGCTGGGTAAGTTGACCTTCACACATTTATGAACTCTTTCAGTCTCTTCTTTGATGTTTCAAATATGCGTTCCAATAAGGACATTAAAAATCAGGCTGTAGAGATAAACTTCTTCATTGCCTGAATTTCCCTGTATGATTTATGCACCACACAAATCGTTGAACAGAAAAGCGGTTGCCTCCTAGCTAAAAAAAATTCGGAAATCACATTTACGATAAAACTTACAAGATCGGATTACTTAATTGTGTTTTTTCCATGCAGACTTTTATCGATGTTTTCTTTAAATGGTAATTATAATTTCTAGTATCATTGACGTGGGATCAAAAGAAAATGCCAAGAAAGTCATGCGAACAATGGCTGGCAGGGATCTTTTTGAGGAGGGAAAGAAAGTGCGCGTCAATTGGGATGGTCGCAGTATGGTAAGTGACCGTTGTTAGCGGTATCGAAATTAATATACTTTACATTTCTTAGTTAAACGTTAACAGTACTGTTGAACATGTTGAACATTTAATATATGCGGGAATAATTGTAGCAAAAACGCGGTTTCAATGCCGAGAAGGAATCCGGCGGTGACGGCGGTGGCGGTGGCTTCGGTTTCAGCTTCGGCGGCTTTGGCGGTTCGGCGGGAAACGGCGCCGGTAGCAGTTCATTCCAGAGCGGTGGCCCACGTAACTTCGATAACACGGGGTAAGTATTAATTTACTGGTTATACGGCTGCATGTGTAGTGTGAATACTTACTGTTAATTTCTGACTTCTTGTTGACAATACAAAATGATCAACAACGTGTCATTTTCAGATCATCGTTTGCTAACGGCGGCGCTAGTGATGGTGAGTTAAATTCTTCAGTATTAATATGCAAAGTTAAGTTATCCAATTTGATACCGGTTTTTTTTATGCCTGCTTCCTTTTTAACAATTAGTCAACGTTTCATTTTCCCACTGCGGACGTGTGCTTGTTCCGCTTCGAGACACAAAGAACACGGTTGTTGGATATATTTGGGAAGAAGCGACTGGGAATTCGACGCTTCCCAGGTCTTCAGCGGCTAATGAACAAAGCGCTGCCGGTAAGTTACTATTTTGTCTTATTTGATTTATGGTTTACGAAAGAAGTTTATAAATCATCCGGTGACTTTCGAAAAGAACTTTGTTTGGACAACTGCATCCATTTCAGCCCCTGCAGCCAGTAGCACTGGTTTTGGAAGAGGATTTGGTGCCAAACGTGACGAACCGGTCGCAGAGAAAGCTGCTCCTGTTGGCGGTGAAGAAGATGGGAAATCGCATGAGCCGGCTCGTGGTTTTGGTCGAGGTTTTGGTGCCAAGCGTGACGAACCGGCTACAGAGAAGCCGGCTCCTGCCAGTGAGGAAGAAGGAAAACCCTATTTCCGTCGCCGGGATGTCAACAAATCGAAGAGTTCCATCAACGTCATCGAAGACCAAGATAAAGATATTATGCCTGGTGAGAGTTAGTAGTAATTTCTTATGGACGTGACTTTCATTTCATTGTTCATTTGCTTATGTTAGAAATCCAAGATGTACCGCAGCGAACATCCCGGCGCAGAATTCTCGATGCGTCAGTGAGCGTGTCGGACGCACAGCGCGGAAAAGGTACAGGTTTGATATTCAAGTCAGGCTTTCTCATGGCAAACACCAATTATCTTTTACAGACGAGAAGGAAAGCGACGCTCCCCGTCGTCGACATGCACCAATTGAAGCGCCAAAGGAAGGTGAGGAGCCGGTCAAGCCAGTCATGGCAATGGGTCGTATGCGAGCACGCTCGGCGCGTATCGGCCAGGACAGCACGGATCTGGATGCTTTTCCAGGAACAAGGTTGGTTGTAGTCGATAATTCATTGATGATACGGTTTTGTCAGTTGACCGCTGGTTATCTTTTTCTTCAGCTTGACTGTGGGTGAAGAAGTTGTGTTGACGTTGGCATCTGTGCTCCCCGACTGCCGCGTGGGCTTCTTCCTGCCTCAAAAAGACAAAGCACTTACTGGGGACGATTCCGTCAACAAAATTGGCGGTCTTTTGAAGAATTTCTATGATGGAAAAGCGGAATCACGGTAAGTTATAAGAAGAAATTTTATTCGATGTGTTGTAGTTTCGTTTGAGGAGCTTACTTAATCTCTGATAATGAGGAACGTTAGCGAAGGCACACAGCAGTAAGCATTTTTCAGTGATTTCTTTCGTCTGTTTCAGTGGTTTCGAAGAGAACAAGCCGGTGGCGGTCAAGGATGATAAAAGTAACCAGTGGTATCGTGGGAAATGTTTAACTAAAGGGAGCCCCAACTCGTTAATTTTACTCGTGGATGTGGGCGAAGAACTTTCCTTGCCAAACACAACTATCCAGCCACTGGACAAGCAATTTGGGGATCCTTGCCTGGCTGTTGTCGCCACGTTGGAGGACGTGCCGAAGAACATGAAATCGACCGATCTGGAAAAAGCGCTCACCAATTACGAAGATTCTCATCAAAGTGGTTTCAAGGTCGTCGTGCGACAGACTGATCCGCTGGTGGTGGCGATGGCGGAAAAGAATGGCCTGTTCGGCGGCGAGGCCAGCGGGAAGAAGATTGCCGGCAACGTACAGACCGGTGCCTCTATCGGCAATGTTTTGTTTGTTGACTCTGGAACGGGGCAGTTCTTCCTGGTAGATGATTCCAATTTGGCGAAACTTGATGTAAGTCTTGTCTTCAAATATTTACTAATAGAAATCTTAATTGTCCAAGTTATTCCGATAACTTGACTTACCGCTTGCCTGCTCGGCCTGATACATTATGCTGACTCTTTGCCGTTTTTTTACAGGAAATCCAGAGCCTTGTGAAAGAAGATGCCGAGAAGAATCTGCGAGGTGCGCTGCAAGTTAACGAAATGAATGCAGTGCTGTTCGACGATGACAACGTGTTCTATCGCGGAATTTTGACGTCAAAGACTGCGAAAGGCTTCGAAGTGGATTTCTTCGATTATGGCAACATGGTGGAACAGTCTGCTGATAAGATACGCGGATTAAGCTCATCAGTGGCTAACATGGGCACGCCGACTTTGGGATGCTTTGTGGCTAATGTGCCAACGAAGGATCAAAAAAATCCGGCCCTGATTGCCCAGCTGAACGCCCTTCTCTCGAAGTCAGTTCCGTACGAAGTCAAGTATGAGAAGGACGGACTTGAATACGTCTTCTTGTGGGATGCTGAGGGCAAGTTGGTTGGTGAAGAATTCATGGACAAGACTGTGGTGCAGAATGGACTGCCGAGCTTCCTGGCCAAAGATATGACATACTATGTGGATTTAAAGAAAGGTGACAAAATTCCAGTCGCGGTCAGCCATGTTGCGGATCCGGAGTTCGTGTTCCTCAATACGACCCAATTCAACATTGGTAAGCAGTGCGTAATTGTTTTAATTAAAAGCTCGAATTACCGAAACGATTATTCGCTTTTAGATACAGTGTTAAGCAAACTGCAAGTCCGTCTTCAGGAAGAGGGTGACAAGCTGCCGAAGCTTGCAGAGATGCCACCGACGGGATCCGTTGTTGTTGCGAAATTTAGTCTAGGTACACGGGACTTACCTTGACTAAACTTGCCGATGCATTTCAACATTTGCCTGCTTTTTGATCTTTAGATAATCAGTGGTATCGCGCTGCCATTGAGAAAGAAGGAACGGCAAAGAAACGACTGGTTACTTATGTTGATTACGGCAACACCGAAGAAGTGGAGTTGGAAGATATGCGCGAGATCACCAAGGAGCTTTTCGAAGTGCCACGGGCCGCATTTCAAGTTGGCCTGAACGGTAAGAAACTTGGAACTGTATTTTGCCATTTTTATTTTGAATTCATCTATTTGAAACACTTTTGGTACAGATCTCGGCTTTTAAACGTTATTACAAATCATTTAATAAGACTGCTTCCTAATTTTCAGTTTTGAAGTTAAGTATACTTATATATCTGCGAAAAGAACGTGTGGGAAGAGGATCATAAACAAGGTTATTGTTGTATTTCAGGGATTGCACCCGTGGGAAAGGAGTACTCGCGCGCGGTTAACGATAAGGCGATGGAGCTGCTGGCGAGCAAACTTGGCCAGTTGACTGTTACCGGCGTGGACAAGAAATACGGTGTCTTTGAGGGCGACCTGGTGTTGGATGAAGGCAATCAGTCAGCGGTAGATTTGTTGGTTGCCAACAAATGCGGTGCCAAGAAATAAGTTGATGGTGCGCATTGTTAACGCGTTTCGCTTTATAACGGCATTGTACAGTTTTGTAATTCTGTTATGTTTTTGTGGATTTTCTTAATGACAATGGTTGAGTTATTGGTATACGCATTTTATTGTTTGTGTATTCATTGTTGACTTTGTTGGCGGAATGGGTAGCTGTTTTCTCCTGCAGCATTATTTGATTTTTGGAAATTTTGTACTTTGACGGAACTACTCGAGATTTTTTGTTAATACTGGTTGATACAGAAAGCGTAAATCACGAGTACATTTAGTGGCTATTCACCAGTCGAATTAAAGTTGCAGATTGAAATCGCAAGTTTCATGCAGCTGAATGAGATGGTACGGACGGAAAATTTCGTCGAAACACAATTAGAACGAAACTAGTTCATTCGGAAGGCAGCAAAGATTCTTCCGTTTCTGTCCATTTGGAAACAGTCACCCAGATTTCTTCCACCGGTCGGGTTACGAATCCAAAAAACGGCTCCACCGTTTGATCAGGAACCATTTCAAATCGGAATGTTCTAATCAGCATCGCCAGCGCCAAGGCCGTTTCTTCCAGAGCGAACCTAAGAACAATTTGGCAGATGACAGAAATTAATGCGAGACCAAATCAGGAGAACAGACAGTATGTATGAAAAAAAATGCAAAAATGTTCGATCGAAATAGATTTTAACGCAATGAGCTAGCTTAAATGTCGCAAAAACAAAAACCACCGTACTTGGTCTCTTACCGATTGCCTACGCATTGCCGACCTCCAGCAAAACCAAATGGCTTAAACGCAAATGGATGGCGCTTTTTCACGTTCTCCTTGGAGAAATTTTCCGGGTTGAAACTAAACACGGCAGTTCAGATGTCACGATTTTTTAAAACCAATAAACATAAATCAACACATACCAATCAGCATCAGGAAAATACTTCTCCGAATGCATGACATACACGACCGGATGAAAGACAGGGGTCTGCAGTGTAAAACAGCACAACAATCAAATAACTGACTCAGTTTGGAGCTGCCTGAACAATTTACCCCAGCAGGAATTGTATATCCACCGAGTAAAAGGGGTTCTTCCGAGTAACGAGCTGCAAATGTTCCAACTCCTCCCAGTCGCAGACTTTCGTTGACGACTTGATTCAGATACCTGCAAATGCGAGCGGGATGTACAAATAAGGACGTCAATGAAAGCCGATAACCTGACATTCATTGATAAATGTACTATCGTAAGATTTCCACGCAAAAACAACAATCTGCACAAGGTTAAGTTAGAAAATAGTGTACATTGTATTTATAAAATCAATTCAGTATTAAATCCACAACCGTTGTTTGTAAAAGTGCATAGAAAATTATAGTGAATGTATCCTTACGTGAGCGAATCAAGCTCGGATTTAGTGATATCCTTCGATTTCAATTTGGAGTCCAATTCTTCGTGCAAGCGCTCCTGTATTTCAGGATGATCAGCCAAAAAATACAACGCCCATGTCAGTACTACAAAAACACCAGTCAAAAGCTAAATATTGTAATCAGTACTGCAACAGTGCAACACTGAACTGTGTAGAGTGTATGTATTGTGCAACAAAGAATACGTAAAGCGAATCATACAAGCTTGAATTTCATACAGCATTATCGTGCAAGAAGAAAAACACCTCTTACGATTAGCGGTTGTATGCAGTCCTCCGATAAACATGGTTAGTGCATCTGCAAATTTGGCTTCCGAAGATAATTCGGGGTCACCAAGAAGTATGTCAATGAATCGCTTATCCTCGGCAATGTCACCGCTGCTTTGTCGCCGGCTTAATCCAGTTTTAACCAGTCCCTGAATTCTTTTTACCGCTGAAAACACATCAAAGTTTCGTGAACAGTTGTAATCGAGTCGATTCACCTGTTCAAAATACTCGAAAAAAACCCAGAATCATTACAACAATTTACAGGTAATATCATGATGGGTTGTAATTGTTCAAGTTGTAAAGCGGTCTTTCCTTGCTACACTACACAGTACACACTACAGCTCCTTACGATCAGTCTTCCCTCCTTTGATAACTTCCACACTTTCCCCGATTAACTCATTCTCTACACGAGCATCCCACTAAAACGACAACCAGGATAGAAATAAATCTGAAATCAAACGCACTTAAAATAAAAACAAAATCAACCCACAACAACTCTACTCGACCATAAATGTGTGCATCAGGGTGAAACATTTTATTAAGTACTAGCACGCAGCCGTATTGCTAATTAAATTTACGCACAAAGATTCTCTTTTGTATACACCAGAGTTCGCATCAGCAAAAAAAAGCTTAATTATGAATATCACTGACACAAAAGCAAAAATCGGACATTAATCAAGCGAGCGAGCGAAGCGAGCGAAGCGTTTTTAATTTAAAATGTGTGACGTGACGAACCGGAGGGCCGGGTTCCCGGAGTCCAGGGGCGGAAATTTTGACCAGGTGCGGATTTTTTAGCGACCCCCGGGTGGAGCGGTTTTGAGGAACCGTGGCGTAAATTATAACCCGGTCATTGTTGACGAACCCGCCGTAGCAATGTACGGGGAGTCCGGAAATTTGGACCGGGGCCGGATTTTTTAAACGACCCCCGGGTGGAGCTGTTTTGAGGAACCGTGACGTAAATTATAACCCGGTCATTATTGACGAACCCGCCGTAGTAATGTACGGGGGGTCCGGAAATTTGGACCCGGGCCGGATTTTTTTAACGACCCCCGGGTGGAGCGGTTTTGAGGAACCGTGACGTAAATTATAACCGGGTCATTTTTGACGAACCCGCCGTAGTAATGTACAGAGGGTCCAAAAATTTGGACCCGGTCCGGATTTTTTTAGCGACCCCCGGGTGGAGCGATTTTGAAGTACCGTGACGTAAATTATAACCGGGTCATTTTTGACGAACCCGCCGTAGTAATGTACGGGGGGTCCGGAAATTTGGACCCGGTCCGGATTTTTTTAGCGACCCCCGGGTGGAGCGATTTTGAAGAACCGTGACGTGAATAATAACCTGGTCATTTTCAACGAACCCACCGTAGTAATGTACGGTAAGTCCGGAAATTTGGACCAGGTCCGGATTTTTTTAGCGACCCCCGGGTGGAGCGATTTTGAAAAACCGTGACGTAAATTATAACCGGGTCATTTTTGACGAACCCGCCGTAGTAATATACGGGGTTCCGGAAATCTGGACCCAGTCCGGCTTTTTTTTTGAGCGTCTCAGTTGGGCCTGTTTGGAGGAACCGTAGCGTAAATTATAACTGGGTCATTGTTGACGAGCCCGCCGTAGTAATATACGAGGGTCCGGAAATTTGGACCCGGTTCGGATTATATTAGCGGCCCCGGGTGGTGCAGTTTTTTGGGAGCCGTAACGTAAATCATAACCCGGTCATTATTGACGAACCCGCCATAGTAATACACGGTGTGCCTGGAAATTTGGACCCTTTTTAAATTTTTTTAGGTTAGGAACAGTTTTAGGGAACCGCAACGTTAAATGTAACCGGGTCATTATTGACGAACCCAGTAATATACGGGTGGTCGTGAATTTTGTACCCGGGAATGATTTCTTTGCGGTCCCGGTTGGATTGCGTTTTGAGAATTGACGTTTTGGGAGATACTTATTCATTCTTCCGGAGTCCGCCGTGCATTTGTATAGGTGGCCCAATTTATGAGCCCTGTCCGATCATTTTGCCCGGTGTTGGTGGTAGGGTTTTTATGTTGCGGGTCCCTTAACAGGTTAGTTTTATCGTGGAAGTTCTTACAACCATTTCTAAATACTATCAATCAAATTACCGTATCCGCAATACATTACTTTAGCAGGGGGTTACTGTCACCACAACGGATTACTTTTTATCCAACGGGCGATCGTTACTGAATTTCTATAATAATTAATCCTTAGCGTAACTGGTTACCGTTACCGCAAACCGTTCTTTAACGGAATACTATGGCGGGATACTGTTACTGCTACCGTTATTGTAACAGATTACCGTGCATATTTTTGTCACCGTTTCGGGTCACCATAACCGTTACTGCTCACTTTTAGCATCGCCAGTTGTCCCAATCAGTTGCTCTTACTTTAATAATTGACCGTTTCGATAAAAAAGGCTGAGGGCAACGCCTAGCTGCACTGCGAACAACTATTTGATTATTGCTTCAAAAAGGGGTAGTAAAAATCCTTAAAAAAGCTAACCTGAATTGGATTTAGAATTACTAACACCAATGTTCATCAAAGATTAACTACGGAAATTCGCGCTCACGAGGGTTGTGAGTTAAACTTTATTTGAAGATGTACGCTTAGAAAGCGCATAGTCGAGAATTTGTAACTTTTTAAACAAAATCCAAAGGATTCTCAGGCTTTTGAGCAGTTGTTGGAAATATGTTTTAAAACGTTGCCATAGCGAAACATTCCCTTAATAACGTCAGCATTAAGCAAGCGCAACGCAGCATGCGGAGCAGCAAGTTAAACGAGGAGTTTCTGTTGATCTTTTATTCTGAAGCAATTCTTACAGTTCCGTTTGAACTTTTCGTTACCGTTTTAATACCGTAGCGGAAACTGAGGGCCAAGCCGAAGGCGACGCCGAGCTGCGACGCGAGCAAGCGCATCGCAGCAAGCGGAGCAGCAAGTAAAACGATAGGATTCTATTGAATTTAATCTGAAGAAGTTCTTACTGTTTCGTTGGAACTTTTCGCAACCGTGATGATACGGTAGCGGTAACCGAAGGCGGAGCCAAAGGCGACGCCGAGCTGCGGCGCGAGCAAGCGCAGCGCAGCAAGCGGAGCAGCAAGTAAAATGAGAGGATTTTATTGCTCTTTTATTCTAATAAAATTCTTACAGTTCCGCTTGAACTTTTCGTTACCGTGTTGATACGGTAGCAGAAACCGAAGGCGGATCCAAAGGCGACGCCGAGCTGCGGCGCGAGCAAGCGCAGCGCAGCGAGCGGAGCAGCAAGTAAAATGAGAGGACTTTATTGCCTTTTATTCTGAAGAAGTTCTTACTGTTTCGTTGGAACTTTTCGCTACTGTGATGGTACGGTAGCGTGCTATCATTTCTACGAAAACCGAGTACGAAGTCGAAGGCGACGCAAATTTGCGCCGAGAGCAAACGCTTCGAAGCGAGCGGAACAGCGAGTAAAACAAGAGCATTCCATTGTCTTTTTATTAAAAAGATAATTTTCATGGATGAACTTTCCGTTAACGTTATCATATTCCGTAGCGAAATATCGTTTCGAGGAAAACCGAAGGCAAAGCCAAGCGGTTGCGCAATTGAAGCATCAAGTAGAACGAAACATTTACTTTTTTTAATTCAAACCTTTTTCAATAAATATAACAAAATCTTAATAAAATCTTCATAAATTTTAGATAACAGTTTTGCAAATGAAAAACGAATTATTTGACTGCTAGATCAAAGTTTCTCGCCTTGGGCTGTAACTTTAAAACAGGGTCACTTCTGAAGGTTTATATAAATCTGAAAACAAAGAAACAAAAAAAATAAACCTCAGCGTTTAACGTTCATGTTTCTTTGCGGAGAAAAAGAAGGGTGATCTACCTCAAAGGCCTTTACTATTACATACACCACTGTTCACAGAAATTTAATCATGTGGCCTTGCCCCCACGAGCATTGCGTATATTGGGTAAGGTTCAACGTAGTAAGTAAAGTGGTGAAATTTCCTGATTTTCAAACGACTTTTAACGAAATTCTTAAATTTTTAAAGACTTTCGAGGAAATTATTGTAGACATTTTTTGAAGATAATGCGATCCATGAACTTTATTGTAAACCAAAGATTCTGATAAGCTTCGTCAAACTAATACCCAAACACTAAAACGCTGTCGCACCAGGTCGAGTTGAGTTAGTACCTTGAGACCAAAAACGACCGTAGATTACCTGCCATAGTCCTATGCGGGAAACGGGCACTTGGTGTTCAAAACCATGGCAAGTATGAGTTACTCGATCGATGTTTTGCTTCAAAATAAATTAACCGAATAAAACTAAAAACCATAGAAAAACATGGTACTCTTTACCCAAGAAAGTCATCCGTTTAGTACCCGCTACTGCGTTATTGTTACTTACGTCGCCGCTGCCAACAGACATCAAATAAGGTGTTGAACCGATAAATCGTTTGCGCAATAAATTAAGCCTAACCGGGGACACAGTCGTATCGCGTTGCGTCGCGTGCGAGAGTACGGAGAGATCTAGACAGACTGGTGGATAGCGGTAAACTCGTGCCAGTCAATCACGCCGACTGTCGACTCACAATCGGCTCTACAATGGCGAGCGTAACCGCAAAAAAATATTTTGGCCAACACACAAACCTGAAATGCCTTTGGCTTGGTTAGCTCAAGCGTCTCAACGGACTCAACCTCCCCGCCCCCCTCCCCCTCCTGCGTAGTACCAAAAAAATTTAAATTTTATAATTTTTAGAATTTAGTTTTACGTGAAAAGTTAATTAGAAGAAATTTACGCATTATAAAATACATCTTTTATCTTTTCACACGCAATTTTCAGCCAACCAGAAACCATTTCAGTTTACGAAATTCGGAATTTAGTTTCTTGGAACGGATGCACCAGTACGAAGCTCAAAGAATATTATACTTTTCCAGCGGAATCAAAAATAAAAAAAAAACATTCAAAGAACATATTGTAGCGGCATAATTCTGCAAGCGGCATAAAAATAATGATATTATATCGGCATCGTAGCAGTGACAAAACTGATATCTGAGCAGCTCTGGTGATAAGCCTTCCACAGCATATGCAACAGCTACAAAAAACGAGTAGACTCAACTACTTCTGTTCCAGTGGCGCAGTCTTACCCAACCGAGTCTTTTACAACAAGAAAAATTTACGCCCTCGCTCGCTTGCACTAAGGGCGGTTACGACCTTTATACTAGTTATTAATCTTGTAAAATTTTGTACTGTACCAGATCATAGCATTCCACTAGTTCGGCCAGTTCTGCTTTCGTAAAGACACTGGCGTACGCCGTTTTGGAAATGTTGGCTGATGATAAAATAAACATGCTTTTTCGTAGCGGAATGTATTCGTTTGCCGGAAGAGCGGATATGGAGTTGATCGTGTCCTGAACACCCTGTTAGAAAGCCTTTAAGTTAATAAATCAAGGCACAACAGGCAAAAATTGTTGAATACTTAGTATCTCGCATGCTAACAAATGGTGCGTGCAAAGAAATACAGTACTATCTATACTTCTATAATTAATTATTATTACTTCGGATAATTCCGAGACGAATTTTGCAGTGCCATTAAAATAGCGAGCATATAAAGCATGTCGTCGCCGGCCTTCCTCTCCATTTTGGAATTGAATTGTCGACGGTGTAGCTATTTCTTCAAATTTCTGGAACAGTGCCTCTGGAAAAAAATAGCCAGTTAATATCTTTAATTTTATAAATACGAAGATGCCACAACTGGAGGTACAAGAACAATGATTACATTATTTCCTTTTCACTTGCGAAAGATGTATATACAGATACGTACGTCATGTCCTTCGTGTTAATTAACGAAAAAAATTCGAAATTAAATGTTTTCGGGTTTTACCGTTCCAGCGAAATGTACAGAGTACTAAATAAAGACCTATCCTCAGCGGTTTCACACACACACGGATCATTGACAAAATCAATTTGTGATTTCTATTTGTATTTTTGGTTTCTATTTATATTGAACTTTTTACAAAAAAGCAGCACTAAAGCTTACTGGGCCGATCGAATAGCTGCGCGTGTTCTTCAAACAGTTCTGCGGATCCGATGCTGACTACGTACAAATCCCGCAAGTAAAATCCCACAATTGGTCCATATTCATCGTGCAGTTCGCTGAGATAATCATGGATGGTTCCGGCTTCACGCAATTCTGGCACATTTCCCTCCCTGCACAGCGAAAAGATTTTTTAGCGAAAATTGTGAAATAAATTAAATACCAAGATGGTAAGGAAAGCATGCACAGCGACAGGGAATTAAACATCAGTCTTCATCTTACGCCTTATCAGCAATTGGCGGACCAGGGATTTTCGATGCTCGCGGTGTCTTATTCTGAAAAATTCACACCAAGCTTAACTGCCGCAAACCGCGAACCGAGATAATGACGATATTATTCTTACGTTGAGGAAGACGTAGAATAAGAATCCCAGCAATCCAGAGATAATGGTCACAGCAAGGACGGCGAAGCTGATCATAATGGCAGTTTAAAGTTGGGAAAAAGTTGAAAAAAACTGGAGGACTGTCTGGTTTGGATCAAAGCTTTAGAAGAGCAAATCCTTCATGAGTATCAGTTAGTTATCTCAGCTAACAATATCAAAATTCCAGCTTATTTCCGACGGCTTCAGCGATTACGCGCAAGAAAGAATTAAGAAATCCGAACACTATCTGTACTCTACTCCGCAACTCCGAGTATACTGTACAGTAGTGTTTACAGTAGTCGCAGTTATTAGCAAATCGTAGCGACACGATACTAGAGAATCACAAAAATTCAAAAACAATAAAAGCGGACACCATAAGCAACAAGTGGTCGGAAACTACCAGGTCATTTGCTGTTTACTCCAGCGTTTACACACTTTACAGTTTATCGACATCACAAAAATCGCAAAAACGAACGATACTCCAGTTTCGAAACAGCTGTTACCGTTCAGTCAGTGACGTAAGCAAAACAGAGCACCGCCTGCGGGTTCGGCACTAACTGGTTAGTGGATTGCAGTAAATAAAGATCACAATATTTTTAATAATTATTACAGATATTTTTATTGCATCCTTCAGTTGAGTAAATAAGTATCGAAGTATGACACAATGTAATGCTTACAAAACAGTCAAAACTTCGAAGAATTCAAAATCGGTGCCCAGTCAATGAACAGCCCAGTGTCCCGGTGCAGGCTGTGGTTCGATAAGTATTTGAAGATTAATATATTATAGAATTATAAGTTTGTATAATTTATTCCTGCCAAGCTTCAAGGCAGCCCGAAGGCAACTGGATAACCAAACCAAAATTTATACTTTACTCTTAGTACGAAGCTTTCACATCAATGAATGCAAATTTATTGCAGTGCAGTAAACGTATGCATTTATTGCAGTGTATTGCGAATGCGAATGCAGTTTGTAGAAACGTCCACAAACTGCGTCACCTGATTCGGTTGAAATCAAGGACTTCATGCAATTCAACCTGGAATTGTGATATTACTCAAGTATCTGTAAGCGGATATATAGATTACGATTTTTAATCTTATTAACGTTTATGCATCCAAACTTCACTGGATAATAACATGAGATAAACACCAGAACTAATTAATAAACAAAAGTCAAACAAGCGTTGCTGTACAGCATACAAAATAATATGAACGGCGACGCATGATCGCATCCAATGCAACAGGTAACCGTCAAAATTCACACGTCTGCATTCCAGAACGCGACAACAAAAACATAAAGTACAAACAATCAATTATCAAAACTATCCGTCCACGAAGTAGTAATCAAACAAATGAAGAGTATCCTGGAAATGATCAAATAACAAAAGAAAACGAGAATGTGTCGTCCAACATATCACTTCTCACCCAGCCAGCGCGCAAGGAATGTGCTCAAATAAACTAGAAAACTACGGTAGAAAACTAAACTTCGGCCGTTTTAATGTCGACCACAACCGACTAGTCCGCAAAATTCCGCTTCATCCGGTGTTACTTCCGCGCCGACAAATCCAGAATGGACCCGTTCGGGCCGCGGAAACACCGCCGGAAATGATCGTTAACATCGGCCTCCTCCTCGTCATCCTCCCGCTCATCATCGGCATCCGATTCCCGACCGGAAATCGGCGACTGATCGCCGGTACTGTCACCACCCCGCAGACCAAGACCGCAGTTACGCAGCGGCTCCGTTAAACGCGATCGTTTGGCCGACAAATCTAGCGGCTGCTCCTGGAAATCCTGCATAGCCTCCGCCATACTGATACGGCGTTTCCGGTCAACGGGAGTCGCCGGTGCGACCTTTCGTTCCGGGAGCGGCGCGGGCTGTGGTTGCAGCAGGGGTAATCCGGCGTTGACGTTCATCAGCGGAAATGCGCCTGGCATGGACATTCCCTGTGTCTGGCAGGCCATGAATAGTTTGAAAAACTCCAGACGCATCTGCTCTTCGGTGAGACCAGTGGGGGAGAGCATTCCGGGACTAGTGGGCGGGAACAGACCGAATGGACTGCCGGGGAAGAACGGGCTGAAGAACGGTGAACGCGGGATATCCGGCTTCTCTTCCTTTTCAAAAGCCGGCGAAACAGAACTGGACGGGGAAACCGGTGGATTCCATAGTTTCGACGGGGCACGACGGCCGCCGCTCTTGACCGAGGATGGCGTGGACACGGTGCGGTCGGAGAAGCGTTCGTCAGCGTCGTGGTCCGCCTCGGAGCTGCCGTTCTGATCGTGCTGGCTCTGAATGAGGCAGTGGATTTTGAACCAATTCGAACGCCGGCCATAGCGAGATCCTGTAATAAAATCCGAAATTAAACAAAAACATATTCGCAAACTTTGCGATTCAGTATAATTATGGCGTACACCTGTGTACTGTACAATAGATCCACTCTTAGCGACATGCAGCCAAGGTGTGGGCTACCTAATTTACGAGCGGTCAATCCACATGAAATTAAAGATTTCAATACTGTACGTATACGGAATACCGGACACAATGTACACAGTACACACCAAAGTACAAAGCGTTCTTACGCAGATCTAGAGAATGTTGTTGTTGATTCTATCACAGTGAGATTTTGTTCCGCGGCTTCCGCCTTACTTCCGCCTTTTGAAAGGCATGTATATAGTACCGTGAATTTGTCCTAGAAAAGCGTCTTTCGAGTATACTGTTAAGTCGTAAGTGGATAAACACAAACAAAATTATTATACCAGAACACATGTATCGGATGTCGTAAAAGTTGACCACTGGAAATTACCGATAAATCGAACAGTGGAAAACCCTCAGGATAACATGTAAACGGAATTGTACAGTACCGTGTACTACAGTAAGTAGTAACTACAACACCTAGTCAAGTTACTAACTCTTGTCGTTGGCAAAAGGAATCAGAGCAGTCTGCCCCATCGCCATCGGTCGTTTTTTATCGTAAACAGCTGAATTTACAACTGGTTATCAATAAAGTGGAGAAGTCATACGGCAAAGGCGACGATAAAAAAAGCGTGTGATCGTTATCGTTAAGTTTGTGTTGCATATCGCAACACGGATATACACCGCATTTATTGGTACATAAAACTCAAAAATCCGAAACGTCGAAACTATAATTCTCACTTTTTTATAAAGCACTTAACGCAGACAGGCGCAAAAAAACCTATTCGATAATTTGAGCGTACAACAATAAAACATGATCCTAATATCCTAAATATGTTTAGCTAATAGTATTTAGTTTTTCCAAAATATAAGATTTAAATAAAATCAATAACGATATTATCACGCTCGGAAAGCTGGATGCCACAATAAGCAGGAACGGTAAAATCCCAAGATTCCCAACAGTCCAGTACATGTTTTTACAATTACTAACAATGTAAGACTAGACTATAGGTGACCTGACTGGGCCTAACCGAAATATCTGCACCAAACTGATAGTCCACCACATCTCGTGATCCAGAAAGAAAACAGAAGAATTCACTTCACTACTAATAAGTGATTGCAATTTGCAAACGCTTACCGTTCTTCGACATGCCCACAGCGAGGCATTTCTCCAGTCGGCAGGCTTTGCAGCACGTGCGGGTCTTGCGATTGATCGTGCAGTTCCCGCCGTTTTTGCATTCGGCCATAGCCTCCTTGTTCATGTGGGTGCGGCCGAAAAAACTCTGCAATGCCAGCAGGGAAACCCGGTTAGAACGTTGACAAATGCATCATCCAGCCAGGATCATGGAAAAATAATACAAGGCACAGCGCAGCGCAGCATTTTGAGCAAAAGGTCAGAGAAGGACACGCGACTGGTACCTACACTCTCTTCGGTGGCCAGTGTGCCAAAACAAACTTATAGCGAACGTTTCGACAAATGAAGTATAATAACTTAAAAAGGAGCATATGAATGTGAAAAATTAGTAGACAACCGTATCAGGAAAAACTCGTGCACCTTGAAAACTGCAGCGCATTGTATCAGTTCTTTGAAAACAAAATTTTCCAGCTTTCAACACGGGGCAAGGGCATGCACAGATAATAAAAATTCTAACGTGCAATGAATATTCAAAATCAAGCATTCGTTGAATACTACTGAGATTATTTTTTTTATTTACTTCGATTTCTCAACTTTGACACAATAAAAAGCAGTAGTTTGATCAATACAAGGTAGTAGGTACACGATTATTGCGTAATGCGATTTCGATCGTTATCAGTAGGAAAAGACGACACTCTGTCTGCCGACGCTGCGCTGGCCCTACATGCATTATCCGACTGTCAGAGTGTCTGGAGAAAATCCAGAAATCCTTACCTTGCAGCCTTCGCATGTAAAGGCCCCGAAATGGAATCCTGCGGCAGGCTCACCGCATACTTTGCAGAGCTGATTCATCTGTAGCAAAACGCGTGAAATCAGCGTCATTTAAATCCAAAGTCTCTTATTAGCACAACTGACGAAGAAGTTAAGATATTCTGAAAGTCGTCCGAAATTATTACTTTATGTTCTGACAATTGCGAGCCGGATCACTAAACCGGATCAAGAATCAGTCATGAATTGTCGATAATGATCAGACGAAATAATTCCACATCATGGATTCAAGATTCAAGGTTGCAAACTGAACCGAATTATCTTCTACAGTACTGGCACATTTAACGATCGCTAGTACAGTTCTGATACACTTTAGCTGGAGGTGGCGCTATCGCCGGTATGGTACACTCGCTGACCATCACTGCTCCGTTTTTCGAAATAGTCCAGAAACCCTCTGATTGGCGCGCACAGATAACAGGTAGGTTAAAGTCAGTAAACCGTCTGCGATCGATATGGAAAACTTTTAATGCGAAGTAGCACTACAAAACGATTAAGTAAATGTGATTAATAAAATATTAAGTAGTGCGGCATCCGCACAATGCGAAGATTTGTAACGACCGGCATTTGCTGCCCTTCGATGCAACAGGTGGAAAGAAAATCGCCCTGGTTTCCACCGAAAATACTGGCGATTAATATTGTACCTTATTAGGTAATGGTCAAGCAATGTACGTCAATATGTACCGATAATCCGCAAGCACATTCAGATGCAATGAATTGAATAAAGTTCTTCGAGCAACAGAACATTTTTAATGTCCGTAATTACTACCCGAAGCATCAACGATGCGTGTCGACAGATGCTAAAATTAGTATACGCCACAGTACTATTGCATACAACGGTTATACTTCAATAACTGCGGAAAATGATCCAAATTGCCATCGTAATTTTTGGTTCTTTTGCGGTAATAATCTGAGGTGGTGCAGATCAGAAGAAGTCTGACCGTGAAAGGCCATCGACACTGCAGACCGAAAAACACAGATTTGGTGAGAGCGGTTTTGGTGCTCGTGGTGTTAAAGATTTGTTGCTTCCTGGTCCGTTTTCTAATGTGTTGACACTTGACTAATTTAGCGCTCGAATTTGTCTTTTTATTGTTTTAACCTCTAATTACTTGTAAACGTTCACTACCTAAGCAGGCATAGGTAATGTGAATTATGAACCGCAGAGAAAATTAGTTCGTCAGTATGAATAACGTCGAATGCAAATGTTCGTTTTATTAAAAAAACTTAAACAATAATTAAAAACACAGTATAGCCGGAAAGAAGATATGAGCACTTCTATGTTAAATGTAAAGGCACTTGAAAATCTCGGTTATCAGTTTAACATTATTTACATTTACGGAAACTTTAAATTAAATCTACCTCTTTGTCATTACGTGCACAATAACAGATTATAGATCACCAATTGGAAAATCAGCAGAAAAACTTTGTATTATGTATTTTCATAATTTTTCAGTTGCTATTGCAAGTGTGTACATACTAACAAGAATTTTGTTCCAAATGCACTGTGGCCGGTGTAAATCACTTTCAGCATTGCACGGTAGCTCAAGCAGCCAATGATTTATGTATGTACAGATACGTATGAGTGTTTACGGATAATTAGAAATATTAATGTAATCCGCGTAATGATGATTAGCGGCAGTTCGGACAGGTTCTTCACCCCACTCAGCCATCTCATCTCTGGGAAAAATCAATTGTCCAGCGATATATCAGTGGAGCAACAAAAGTAGTGCACTGGACAGTGGACAATGGATGGACTAAACGCTTGACTGTCTGGCTGCGGCAAGAGATGCTTATATGTTCAATGCGTATATAACAACATGAAAATATCTTCCTCCCATCTATGCAGCCCATTTCTAAAGATTTATTGTAGAAAATATATTCTTCCCGGCTTTATAAGTAGACTATGTCGCGGTTCCGCCTGCATGCATATTATTGTATTCAACACAACACAGATAAGATATGTAGCGGCGATGATGACCATCAGCCGCAATGCACTCTATGTACAGTATGTGTACCGGCTATTCAGCCGATGCCGGTCATAAATTGGTGAATCCGTGAGCTGGATTTAATGGCATCAATACCCCATGAGCAAATTATCAATAATAATTCACAGGCCGTCTCTTCACTTAAAGAATCCTCCTTTTCAAAACTTTAACACTGGCCTGGGAATCTTTATGTTGTTCTAGCCGATCTATTCACCAATCTATTCGCGCCACAATTTATTGTCTCAATGATCTCGCATATTCTCTTTTCTTTTTAAAATAGCCGATTTGAATTCTAGTGCGGAATAAAACAGGGGAAAATCGAATGATCATGAAACCCACTCGACCGCATCCACGCACAAATCAGATGATGCAGTCAGGCATGCAGAACCAGTGCGCGCTACCGGTCGACACATAACGACACGATAGATACATATGCGGGCTGATGTTTCCTATATGTTGTAAGTATTTACATTTGAAATCCTATTGATTTACATTGGGGCTGCCATATTGTGAGCTGTTGACCGCATAGTTCAATTGGTCGAACAAATTGTCACCTTAAACAGCAAGATTTCTCATTGCAGGTATTAGTGCGTGGAAAGACTATTTCGTTATTTCGTTTCTCATGGCAGCGGAAGGGTGACTTAATTGATTCTGTCGCATATACCGGCAGCAGTTAAAATTGGCCTGCTTGTTAATGTGATAGTATCATCAACAATTAGCGCTGCTATATGGAAAGAATCAATGTGCGAACACAGTACGGAAAAACAAAGAGTATCGGGTGTTATAAACAGCGGTGCACTAATTGCGTGAAAAGTTACAAGAACGGAAATAGCATCGCCTATGTCGCTCCATTTTTTGGCAATGAGTTGTTGTTGAATGTTGATGGACAACAAAGGTCTGTTTTGTGCTTTTTCGCCAGCAGCAAAACTCACAGTTCATCGTCTCCGCCGATCTCACGGCGATATTATATTATCATCTTGACCATGAACCAAGACACGTATAATCAAAAATGCAGAAATTCACGTGCATCACCCATATACAATTGTACTGCGAGTGCGTACGCACACGCGGCACGGTTTTGACAGTGCATAGTAGCCGAAAAGGAAAAACCTGTTGCTGCATTACGTATGTAATTCTGAATAGGTATGAATCCATATTTAACTCGGCTTGTAATGTATTACTGTCGATTTGTGATTATTTGTGATTATGCATTGTAGTTTCTTGATACACAGAAGCAATACAAACCACCTGTATTACGTTCCAGTTACAATATTTCCAAATCAGACCAGCTTGTCTTTAGTTGCACATACAAATTGTTTAACTCACGGCTCCTTACTTTTTTAACTGACACCTCAAATAGATCTCGGATTTGAGCTTCGCTTATACAAATGTAAGCAGTAATAAGAATATCAATGGTTTCGCTCTGCTTTTTCACGTTTATGGTAACATACAACTCGTAAACACGATTACTGGTACTAAATATTAGTTTAAAAGTCTGTACGCAAGGCATCCTAGAAAATCTGTATACGTTGTTTTGTTTTATTCTTTCAGCGAATTACAAGTACATACGAGCTTTTATGATTGATATAATTTTTGTATTTCTTATTGCACTATCATTAATAAATTACCTAGAGTACTAGTAGCTGCACAGCAGTGCCGCTGACGTTGCGGGCAATAGTGACCCGCATCATTCCTAACCGGCAACGCTGCCGATTGGTGCGCATAATGCTAGTAAAAAGTTGTGACAGTTTGTGCCCGGAAGCTGATCGGCTTGGGTCGGCGCAATTTGATTGATCAAAGTTCAAATTTCTGTCTTGACCTTAGTTGAATTGGCGCAGTGCCCATCAGCCAAAATCCCCTCCTGTCATCTCTCGCTATGCAACAAATCGAAAGTGAAATCAATTGCTTACCAAGAATTTAAAAGTAAAATATATTGGACAATGTCTGCTGCAGGAAATCTGCACCGGTAGAGCACGATGGAAGTCACGTTATGTGGAATAATGTTATATGGTTATGGACTTGGAATGTTAATTTGTTTCGCAGATCACAAGAAAGATGCGCTCGCGCCGCAGGCAGCGGAATATAATGCTCTACTATGGTAAAAGAGAACCAGTTTTATAATACTGTATAATTCTCTGTAGGTCAGCACGTAAAGGGAAAGCATAAACATCACTGTGTTCTGTTTCCCTGCACACATATAACAGCCGTCTATTTTCGGTAATTATAGGTGCCATCTATTATCATAAATTTGCCTTGAATATCTCCCGGGAAATGAGGCATGGAGATTTATGTGGGTAAACCCGCGTCCCGGTGTCTTTAAACTATGCTACTCGTTTATATAGGTGTATGCAGTCGGTAGTAATTGCTCGTTGAAAATGTGTCTGACAGTGTTTTGACCTTTCTTAAGTGCTGCCACACCGCTTAATTACTGCATGCGATCCACTTGCTCTAGTTTTCCCGTGCAGCCCTACTCGGCTGGGGTCCAGATTGTCTAATGAGATTTGTCTATTAGAGCGTTAACGGTGTTGTCTAGGACAACTATAATTAAATTCCAGGAACAGGATATTGTAACGCACTTGTTTGTTACACATTCGCCAGCACCGGTACAATAGCCTATTCCGTTCCCTGCTTATAAGCTGGTCACAATGAATACAAGATAGGTGGTGGTCAAATGTGGCTATTACTGAAGTAGTTAAATATACCGTTACCGGGTTTTAGATAACTGATGCATTAAACTGCAAATTCGGTAACATTTTCCTATGCAAGCTTTGCAGAAAGACCACTTCTAAAATTAGCAATTACTAGCCGCTTTGCTCTTTGTTTGTCGCGAAGCAAACTGCTCGTAAAATGAACTTTTTTCGTACTGTATTGTACATCGGCTCGTTATTGTTACAGTCATGTTATTGATTGTATTCATTGGAATAAACTAACTTCCAAGACACCAGATATTTACTTAAGTAAAGTTATTGCTCCATTTCTTAATACGAATTACTGTAACAAGAATTTTATTAATGCTACCTATAAATGCCGTTCTTTGCATGGGCCTTAATTTTTTTAGTATTGTTTTTTATTTCTTTCTCTTACCTTAAAAGATGTATACTCGCTGTCCAAGGATATTTTCGTACCAAGAGTAGGGTAAAAGTCTTGCGCGGATGCAATCTAAAAATAATAATGAACCGTTTTAAGATCTGCGGAAATAGCATACGTAAAAAAACTGTAATAATGTCACATAGGGTCGTAGAAATATGTATAAATTGTGAACTTGTGCATATGCAATATAACCTCTTCGTCAATCATTGCGCACTGCATGCGCTAATAGATAGTAGTGGCGGTTTAGGCAAAGCTGTTCGAACTTGGAATAGTTCACTAGGAAAAAGCTTTATTCTTCGGCAAAACTGCGTAGCGACCTTGAAAAAAAACTAGCGGCTTCTTGGTTGCGACGTTTTAGAATGGCAACACGGATGCACCAGAAGCTGAATGCTACTGCTGTGCGATATACAGTATAAGTAGAATGAATGGTTAAGTGAGTTCGATGACAACAACAAATGCCAAACGCGCATCACAGCAGCGCATTTGCGAAAAATCGGAATAACAAAGTAAACTATCGCATAAGAATCAGATGACTCGCGCTTGCGGGCGCCAATGACATTTTTTTCTTTTTCGTTTTTCCACCACCAGCTAACCACTAACAAGTTTCCAAAAGGCCGTTAATAATCATTCTTTTCCCCCCTTGGTAACACGAGCGATTACTCTCTGCTGAAGATCATCGACCGGCCAATGGGTTAACTCTACATTATAAGACATATGTATTTACAAGTCTAAAGAAGAACATAATCATTAAAAACAAATCCAAGTACACAACACAAAGAATAACACCGCGCAATATCCACAATGTCACATATAGATGCTGTATAACCCGGTAGTGTTACCGGGCAAAAGTTACAAACAGTCAACACCCATTCGCTACGGCGCGGATGCGCTACGTTTATGCATTTTGCCATGAATAACGAAATGAGACCTTTTAACATATCTGACTAGCGTGATTAGGAGAATAGATCAGAATTTATTTGGACCAGGTCACGACGGCGTATACAGCAAAATAAATCCGGAATTTGCTTATTGTGATTCATCTTCGCTCTATTAATTTTCAAAGATGAGACATTCGCGTATGTCAAGCAAATTTTGCTTCTAAGTTTGTGCCGATAGTAAACTTTTATTGCGCTTTATTTATCAGCGTCACAAATTGTGGTGTTTTTTTTTTTGCATGCAAACGATTGTATTTCCATGCAATGCGCATTTCCGTGCAATGCGTTTAACAACCTTTCAGGTTGTACTCGCAATTGCAAAGTTATTTCTTTGCTCGTTTTCCGCGAAAAAGAGGGCAACCTTATATTCTAAATGTTAGAAACTGCCTGAGTGAAAAATTCATGTAAAATATCAGAGAAAACATGATGTGCGTACGGAATATTTTATTTGATAAAAAATATATAGGACAGCCGCAATAAGATGTCAATAAGTTTCTGCGTATTTATATAAATGTTCGGTTAATAAGATCAAATGCAATTATATCTATGTCTGAATATGTACGTGCAGTGTTATATCGCAACGCGCGTTAACATTTTCGCGTCAGCTGCTGCTTTTAGATACAAAGTGCAAATTTTAAAAAGACAGTTAATTTAGCCGATGAATGCAAACATGTTGAGATAATTTGAAATTTGCGCTTCATTAAACACCCTTGCCAATAGAAGCTGGGATTTAACGTACCAAAGGGGAGTGTGGAACGGGAACAATTAGGTCGGCTTTGGACGTTCACACAAAATCAGTCAGTTGCTCTAAATGACGATTACACAAATGTATCTGCCCGCATTTAAATTCAATGCTAATACTGCACGGAAGAATAAATGCCCGAGCAGGAGATGATATGGACGATGAATTGAGCGTGAAACCGCTAAATTGTCATAATTTAGAAGTCCAGCTTGTGGCATTGGTTTGCTTGGCCAAGCAGTAAAAAGAATAAAAAGTTCTACATTCTCCAGTAATATTAGCACGTCAACTCAATGTGAATTTAAGATAGAAACCGAAATAGTAAGTAGTTAAATTGTTTGTAGTAGTAAGTTGGCGGAATTATAATTTTACACTTGTATAAAAGACTTGTACATGTAAGAGAATATTATGAGTGTAACAAAATCTGCGCCACGGAAAAATTTTTTTGTAGTATGGATCGCATCAAAAGTTGTTAATCGACCGCTTAATGACACTTCTGATGACTTCACTTACCAGGAAAGCAGAATTTGACTTCGGGACTAGACGGGAGCGGAACCAAAAAAGCACTGTTCTAATTAGTTAACTCACTGTTTAAGCAGCAAGCTGAGCAGTGGTCAGACAATACGTACCTTCCAAATTAAACTGCAGAACGTACGGAATCAACTCTCATAGAATCAACCGAAACACCACCCGAATTTTTAACACATTCTTGTTACAATATCATACTGCTAGTGCTTAGCATACATACTATAATATATAAGGACAACTAGAGCAAGCGCTGGTTTTAAAATCAGATTGGACAAAATCGGATACAAAAGGCGGAACTTGAAATTCTCTGTCACATATGCACTGATCATCAACCTGTTGATTCCCAAGCAATAGTCTATGGTGTGAACGCGCTGTATAACAGAATACCGGTTGTCACACCGTCCTCTAAACTGACGCTTTACGATTGCTCTACTGCTTCGATATTCTGTTTATTTGTTCTGGTTCAGGTTCACCCTCTGTTTTTCGGTATGGTAGACTTGAAAGTAATATATGTCGCCAGATCTGATTTGACGATACAGCTACCGCTGCAATTATTACAGTAAAAATTTCCACGAAGATCCACCAAAGCTGAAATAATGCAGCTAATGGCCAGGATCTGAAAACCAGTTTGAAAATCATAGTCGAACACCACTACAATCACGCACGGTAATAACACCTACTACAGTTACATGTACAGGATCGCAGGAATTCTTTGTGCACAGTGCACATCATATCGGCAGATATAACTGCGCTGACCAGAAAACGATTTTAAATAAATTGAGTATACCTCATTTTACCGCATCTGTACCTGTAAGTGCGAATCCCATGATTGGTATACTGCATTCAAGGATCAGTGTTGATCACTTTCACACTGTTATATAGTACAATAACTGAACCTATAGATAAGTAGCGCAACTTGTAATAAAGTTGCTTCCAAAACAAACAAGTTAATGAAGTTGGTGAATTATTTATCTACGATCAAAACGGAGAAGCGCGTGCCACCCAGTTTTTCGGCAACGGAAAAGTATACAAAATCGGCGCGGAAATGCGGCTTCAGCTTTGGGAACTATTAAAGAGCTAAAAGAACCATTTTTACTTGTTCTAGTATAATGGTTGCTTGGCGCTTGCGTTTTTGGATGATGGAATAATTTTGCTAGAACAAATTGATATGCAAAATAAATTAAAGCAGATCACATGCACTGCTATGATCGTTCTGTTGTATGAAAAACACTATTTTTAACTTTAGGTGCTCTCGTTTCCTTATCATGGGATTTCTAAATTTACAGGTTAAGTCGCACAAGTGAAGTACGACCTAACCATAAGTCATATAAACACGTTTTCATAACATGTGTTAAGGTACTACAATGTTCCACATAATTTTTTTAAGTAAGGTATAATACAACCGCAAAAGTTTATGTACTTAAAATATTCGTTTGAAATATATGCGATTAATCCTGACAGGAAAACTTGTACCCCCGGATCAGTAGATACAGCGCAGTTATGTATACTTCAGTATCCTGTATATTCGTATACTTCCAAAGTGCATACTGCAGGTACATTGTACTATATTTGAATGATCCTATGGCAGACTTCTCTGTGTACGTGCATTTTTTTTATGAATCTTCTCCATGCTTAATCTAAATTTAGCAGTACTAATGCTTACTTATCAAGCCACCATAAAGAAAATATTACGGATGAAAGGTAAGCGGAAAACTACGGCGGAAGAGAAAAACGGGTATTAAAGTGAACGTGAACTGAGTTTTTATCCGTCCGTCGGCAAGAACTCAAGCCTGAACCACCGTACGGCGTACATACCGTAATGATACATATTTTTCAACGCTATCTGAATTCAAATTTTGCTTGCAGTTCGAAATGTTCGGTAGTGACAATCTCCACTGAAGCGGAGAGATATGCGCTTCGGTGAGCGCACTAAAAGTAAGCCACTATCAAAGTTGAACAGATGACGCTTTTAAAGCGCAATAAAAGGTTTGTACCAGTTGAAAAAATGCTCTCAATATGGACATATCTGGATTATCTCATATTCCGATGCCGGTTGCACGGCAGAAATATCAATATGAACAATGTCTCTACTTATCATCTTTGAGAGCATAATAAGTAGAAATATTTCTTGTAATATTACTACAATGGTAAAAGAAAGCATCACCATATTATCAGTTCGCATTTTGGTTTTGTATAACTACTATGGATTCTAAATGATGTTCATACTATTCTATTTGTCTAGAAAAAAAGTAGGAACAAAATCGTCGCAAAACATGCAGCAGCGTCCTTTGGTGTAAAAATTTATGGGAACCGTTTACACGGCTTCTACGTATCCCACGCCAGTAATTCTATTTTCCTGATATCACACCAAAGTCTTTCGAAATATCTTCCGAGTGATGAATCCACTTTGTACGCAAAAGTGGCCAAGCACAACAAATGTGAGACAAGGTAATAAGATGAGGTCTGATTTGATGTCGACAACGCTATGTTCCCAATATCGGGTAATCTCCAGCGGCAGAACTTTACGGCTTAAACTCGTGCGTCAGGGCGTTAAGGTCAGGTAAACTGGAGTTTCGCAAGAGAAACTACAGAGAATATCCAGAAGATGGAAATTTTATGCTTAACAAGGTAATAATGTACGGACAAGATTCCTTGACAAAATTCGATTGTGCGAAGTAAAACTGGGCAGGGTGTTTGTAATATGTTATCAATTGGTTCAATATTGTTGTACAGTATAACAAATCATAGCTACCTATTGTTTGTCTATAAAAAGGCCGAAACATAAATTTAAAAGTGAATTAATGTAATCATTCGATGCGTAAGTTGATGCGTGAGTCTTCCCATCATGCGCCAGTATCGAGCTCTCGTATGCATTCAGTTTATAATATGTTACATCTAAACACTAACCCTGCTAACAAAAAAAAACATAGTACTATGATTTGCAAAGGTTTATTTGTATGACATCATATCAATATGCAGCAAAAGATAATACTATAATGGTTTTTTGCTATTTTAGAAGAGCTCAAATTAATGTTGTTAATGAACTTAATCATATTTCAACAATAAGCAGAATATTACAATGCTTATTACGCTATTATTATACACTGCATAAGCTCTCTTAAAATATTGCACATTAGTGTCTGTTCGTAAACAATTGCACAGGTCATGCATCTAGTACCGCATAATGTAAATTACCTGTCTGGCAATACATTTTCTTTTTAATCGTTTGGTACGTCCCAGTTTTTTCTTCTTTGAACTTTCAGCCCAATAAATACAATAATAAAATCGAATTTTCCCATCCGATAAAAAAATGTGCGAAACTATTCTATTTGTCCACAATATAAAATAATTAAGCGTTGTAAATGCAATGTATGGATTATATAAGCGCTTCCAAACTGAAGTCATCAAAGTGCATTTCAACAAATGTTTGATTTGAAATATAAACTAACTGTCCGTGAGAGATAGTCGTGCCGGAATGACTTTTTCCAGCCAAAACGTCTGCATAACCCCTTTCCCCTGTAATACATAAAGCTGCTTGACCAACAGGTTAATTAATAAAGCAATTAGGGCCATGCAGTCAAAGTGGGATACGGTATATAGATATAGACGCTAATTCGTATCTTTCACACGTTTATTAATTTTTTATTTTTGCCATGCTTATTATTATTGTTGTGCTCTTTATTATCGTTATTTTGATCTACCACACGTATAAAGTCGCAGTCGTATAAGGTCGCACTCTAAAGTCTAAACTACATTGCAAATTTGCAATATGGCTTCTAGCTTATCATGTGTACAGTACAAGTACTCCTCGCGTTACAAAACTCCCTTTGCAAAGTAACAATTTTACCTTTATTTCTAAAGATCCACGGGTGGTAAAATGAATCCTTTTGCTGACACAAGGACATCTTTAACATTTACTGTCGTCTGGATCCTCTGAGCTGAAAAGATTTCGAACTTTTTTAAACTTTCCTCAAAGGTCAAGTAACGCCCCACGCGACTTACGTTCACTAGTGGAAGCCATACGTGATGCGCAATTGACCGTATCACCAAACCTAAACAAAAAATGTTGTATACTATACTGATTGCATTACTGCATTGCGTAGGATAAAGCGACGCCACTACGTTTTATTGTACTAGCATGCTGAACACTTACAAGCAAAAGCGTAACATTTTGTTTCCTATAACACCGGCAACCAGTGGACCTAATCAAAAGAGAGGGAGATTTTAAAACATTTTTTGTGATCATAAAATACATTTTTTGTGATCATACAATACCTGAAAAGTTTTTTATCCATAAATTCTTAATATTTATTTTGATTTACCACACTGAATCCCAATCTGCAGTCGTATTCGGCATCCAGCAAACTGTTGGGTGCGTACTGCTTCCAGAAACGCGCAGCATAACGATGCCACTTGAAAAACATGGTACTGTCCATTACGCTCCGGAACACCACTGGTCAGCTAAGAGTGCCAAATTAAATGTTTCATCTCAATATTATTTACAAATTAGGTTTTTGTCAGGCAGTAAACAATTATTTATATATACTTAGTATTACTTACATGTTCCTTATACTTCCTGCGTATTCAGGCAAAAATAATCTAATTATGCTAAAACAATCCTTAAACTGACCATATATGTGTCTTTTATTGTTTCCACTTTGTACACATCATACAAAGGTAGCAGGTTGTCCATACAGACGTAAAGGTCATTCAGCAAGGCAACAATTCCCAGCGGTGTCAAGTGCGCCGTTAACGCAGCAAATTCCCATATTCCCGTAAAAGCTACCGTCGCACTTTCGAAAGATTCCGGAAGAACTGTTTCCCCGCGGAGAAGACAGTTGGCCACGGATCTAATTAATTCCCAAGGGTCATTTTTTATAAGTGCATGTAGTACTCATGATCATATGCAGATTGTTGATTTTGAAAATACCTGGGCAAAATACCCCTCAGCAAATTTTCCGATCGTTCCTTTTCCGCTTGCAGATTCTGTGTGCGTTGGTTGACTTCATTTTCCAAGTCAGCCGCTAATGTTTGCAGTCGCCAGATGAGATTGTCCACATAAGAGCGCTCACAACTGCCTTGCAAGCTGGAGGTCAAGATGGCTACGACTTCGTCGATGGTCGGTCGCTCAATCGGGGTTTGTCGCCAGCACTCCTCTATTAGCGCCTTCAAGTCGATAGACACTTTGCCGATTGACATTTCCGGTCGCATGTATGGACTGCTCGAGGATTTGATTCGGCTGATGATCTCTAAATAATTCAAAATTTCAGATACGCATTTCGTATAAAAGCATTCCAGCATCGGCTTTTTCTACGGTTCTACCACACAAACTATAGATTGTAACTACCACACTGTACATGTAAGAAGCCATACGTTAAAGTGTATTAGACCTGAAATAATAATTTTTTAGCTAACGCTTAAAAATGCGTCGCTAATTGCTGCCATAATAATGATTAGCATTGTAAAATTACAGTTCCATCGGCAGTGTACGACAAAATGTTTTTACCCTTTTCTGACAAACTGGGTGGATGATAAGTATCTCCATCCGGAACGTAATACGGCTTCGTCAAGAACATCACCTCATACATGACAATACCGAAAGCATAGACATCACTTGCGGAAGTCGGGTTGCTCCTCGGGTGCCGTAGTAACTCCGGTGCCGTCCAGAACAATTTCTCGTATTGCCCTTGACGTAGCGCCAACTCTACCCGGCATTTATAAAAAACCGGCAAACCAAAATCTGTCAGCTTGACACTGAAATGCGGTGTCAGCATGCATGTGGCAGTGGACAAAGAGCCATGAAATGTGGCGCATCGGTGAATATATGCCAGTCCCTAAAAACATTTTGTACACAGAATGCCTGAATTTCAAATAAAAGAAACATCAAAGGTCATCTCCAAAGTTCCGGTATATTTTGTAACGCATATGCTTAAATAATTAGGATGTATGTATTACTGCATTGTTGATGTAAATATTAATGTACGAGTATAATGTATGAGTTCTTTTTTACCTGAGCACAGTCATAAAGCAGCATTAACTGCAAATTGGGGTCTATAGGTTTATCCCTATCCTGTATTAGTTTATCGATTCCTCCTCGGGGGAAATATTCGGATATAGTGAGAATGCTGGCCTGATCAAAGCACACTCCGATGAAATCAGCCACGTTCTGATGGCGCAGGGACTTTCTCTACGACAAAGGGTGGCAGTAGTTGTGAGTTATATAGAATAATGTGGGATAAGCGTCATAGTAATTGCATTGCGCACGTTAACTTACGCACCAGGTTAATCTGCTTCCGGAGGTCATCAATATGCGATGGGTCTTTGTGCTCCTTGTTATCTTGCCGACGCACCCACACAATAGTGCCGCGATACGTCATCATGTGCAAGATTTGCATATTGAACATATCGGTGTGTCGCTGTAATCAGTGGCCGCAAAAGTTGTAAGATTTGAGTACCAGTGCAACAAATGTACGAGTACTTTTATTTCGACAACAGGCGCCAGTGTACATAAAAACATGCCTGCGCCGATTTACACTAATAAATGTGCAACAAATTAAAGTAAAGCAGCTCGTTGTAAACTTAATCATTACGTTGAATTTTTAAGCCAACCACTGGAACAAATGCTAACAGTTACTACACACAAGCATAACTATTTAGCGCTGTATTGAAACTGCCAAAAAATAACGTTTTACTCCCTTACCGACACCCTCGCGCGGAAATTGGAACTAGCCAGGCTGTCAAAGGTCGTGTAAGTTACCGGTGTAAGTTCGTCCATGGATATCATCCATTCGCCGGTTATTGGTTTTCTTGTCTTTCTGCGTGAAAAACGGTTTTAAAATAAGCATTTGAATTTAGGCCACCCGGCTATAAATAATTAGAACAAAACATATGTTGATTAAACTTACTTGTATCGAATCACGAATACAGTAGACAAAATACCGGCGATCAAAAGCAGTAAAATTATAGTCAGTGCTTCTACGGCTGTGTTCCAGGCGGCAGTGAAACCTGAAGCAGAAATACGAATTATGCATTGGAATATGCGAATACGAGTTTGACTACTGTAGAGTGATAATAATAATAATAATAATTAAACCGTACTATATGCGAGTAAAAATATGAATAATTTATAATTTCTCAATAAAACAAACGTGTGGGGCAAGGCGCACGTGTAACGTTTCCGACGATAGCTACTTGATATAAATACAGCACCTGTATTCAAACATTTGGGATCTTTTCCATCGAATCCGCATGGCGGTCGGTTGGATGGCGGGGTGCCATTGTTGGGCCAGTCGAATTGCCGATCACCGATGCGACTGAATTCCCGATGCTCTTTATCCCATTTCAGAACAGCCTGATAATCCATGACAAGCATTATCTACCAAATTAGCTTTCGAACGTTTCTAAAGAAATTAAACTTCACATTATGTCGGCACCTGAAAGTCATTTCCCCCGGGTACTAAGCCGGATACGGCGTAATTATTATCCAGATCGCCGTTACTGTTAACGTGAAATGTCCCCAGTGGAGTAGTGAACCATCGATCCCATGCCAGTCGGGCCATATTCACGCTATGCATAGCGGATATTGTGCCATATTCGTTAAGGGCTTCCGAGATAATCTACATTTTTTACCAACAAAATTCAAGTTGTACAGAATGTCGGTTTATTGTCCTATCATCCAACAAATGACAGTACTTTACCCTTGAAATCATTATTACTCCTTGATAAAACTCCCGAACAAACGGTATCACCTAATCGTAAAGGAAAGGAATGCAGACATATACACGTACGTGTACGCTTGAAATATTTTCATTTTGGCTTAAGTCAATTCCAGAAAAAATATTACCGGTACGAAGTATACGATCTACATATCCGTACATCAACAGTTATGACAGAATAAGCTTATTAATACATTTAGTCGAATACGCAACTTGAATTTGTGCGTTTTAGTACTGCGTACAGGTTCATTCAAGTCGTAAATTTGGTCATAATCCTTCAGTGAACGGTTTATCATTTCGTTCAACAATGAACGGGAAGCATTGGTTTCCGGCTCCAACGTGGAAATCAGCAAGAGAGATTGGTAGGCTTTGCGAGTTTGCTAACATAATCAGGACAATTATTAAAAAGCAACTGGCAGCCGGCACTAATATAATATTATCCAAATAACCGGCTTACGTTGTCCAATTCGTCGCCATATTCCCAAGTCATTCGTCCAAAACCTCTTGGAGACTTAAAAGGCTCAAACGCAATAAAAACCTGCAACAGTAACATGCGGATACGGTGGGAACCTCTTAGCAGCAAAAACAGTTTCAGTACAGCAAATCAGCAATATTGTTAAATTTTTATGATATGTGTAATGAGTGTCAGCTTATCAAATACAAAGTCTGTAGAACTGAATTTTTCGTTGGGATATAGATTTCGATTACCACTAGGAGTAAATTATATCAGAACGGTTAACACCCACATGTTCCCCTGCAGTCATTCCCATCTGTTCAGCAGCAGCCTAGAATGCAATAAATAACACGGAGGTATAGAAGAAAACTCGAACAACGTACGTCATGACTTTTTAATGTTGTGCAATGTGGGTAATCATTACGTATGTATATGTTGGTATTGTGTTTAACTTACCAGCATATGCCTTAATCGTGATCCGTGCGTAATGACAATAAACACTGCAAGCAAAGGATTATTACCTTAACTGTAAAGTTCATATTTCTGAAAGGTCTGCTCATTTTTCGTACCACGACTGTATCGTGATGCCTCACGCAGATAATAATCGTAAAGAGGATATTTGACAAAATTGTAATGCAGATAGTGAACGGATGTCAGATTGCCGGCGTTAACATTGTACATGTACTGCGGCAGTTCGCGATTCAGAATGGCGAAAGTGTTTAGCTCTGTGGCACCATCATCACCAATGATGGTTACATCCGTCCATCCAAAATAAGCTAACAAGGCCGCCGTGACCTCGCCCAGTTCGTTGGATAAATACGGAAGCAGGCGCAGTAGTGTAGGGAAGCGTTCGCGTGAATCCAGGTGGGAATCTGTTCCACCGCTAAACAAACCGAATTTTAATATTTAATAACCATCTCCAGATAATAATGCTGATCTATATTATACGTTATGCATCATTGATTACCGCAATTTTTAAACTCATCATAATGGAAGCATTAACAAAATGAGCGAAGGCAAGGCAGCTAACAAGAATTGTAGGATATTATAAAAAACTTTTTGTGGCGTAGACATTCCATTAGCGTTCCACTAGCGCCCATAAATTGTAATGCCCTACCCAACACTTTTTCCCTGCTTAGTCTCTGAATAGCTCTTATTAATTTTTTTATTATTTATAATAATTTATGCAGTTAATAGTTTGCTTGTACGGTAATTACTGTATTTCTAAGCAAGTAAAACAATTGCTCCACTATAAATACGCTTGCAGTTGCATGCTTACGTAGTAATTATGGGAATATTGTTTTCTGCAAACAATAAACACAAAGTTAGTCTTATCACATTTGTTTCGACAAGTATCTATGTAGTATATTTTACGCTTACGTCGTTTCAGTACCTCGTGCGAAATCGCCTAATGCTGGCAACGCGTCGCTGCAGGCTGAAAATTAAAAAAAATGTTACGATTTGCTAGTAAATCAGTAATTCAAAATTGTTGTTGCAGTCTCTTAAAACAGAAAGGTTTACCATTATCTTTTAAATGTTTTACACCAAACCCATAAACGAAAGCCGACGTCAAAAAACAAACAGTTGTGTCGCCTGTTTGTAGAGTTTAAATATGTCCGAAGGCATATCTTTAAAAAGCTATGTACTCGTAACGTTAACTAAAAACAAAGTTGGCAAACTGCAGAGAGCTTACCTGTGGCAAGAATGACGGTGGTTCTATTATTAAGCAAATCCAAATGATGAGTGTAATAATAATCGGCAACCAGTGGTAACGCTTCGGCTTGCACGGTTGTGCACAACTTCACAGACGGTTTCATAAAGGTCACCAAGGAAAAGTTCAGATTAGTGTAGGTATTTCGTGCGTACAGCAGTCCCATATCGATGGCCGGACCAACATATCCCAGACTGTGTATCAAAGTTGAATAGGAGTGAATGGACAAAAAAACCACGTGATTGTCATCAGCGGCTAGCAGATTCACGACGGAGTTATAAAGCAGCAGTGAAAAATACACGTATGTTCGCACTGGCCACATCGTATGAATGATTTTCCATTGTTGTCCAGAACCAGATAATTTTACTTAATGTATCTTCAGAATAGTTTCCACAAAAACAATGGCAAAACAAGTTGGATTTTCGGTGTGTATGCCGTCTCCTGCTGGTTTTCACAGCAGAAATGGGTTTAATCAACCCTTACCGTGTCCCGAGAGAAATGTATTACAGCGCTAGTAACGTACTTCAATCTACCAAAAACACCGGAAATACTTCGTAGTAGTTCGTACAGAGGTGCGGAAAGCGCTAGCTAGCACTTTCCGGTTTTACCACAGACGGGATGATTCCCTCTGTCTTGCCGGAATAGTTAAATTTTTCAGTCTGTTGAGACCTTAGGTTTCCGTATCGATCTGTATTACTTACATATCGGTACACGTTTCCAAACATTTCTGAAAAGACACCTTCAAAATTCAACAAGGAAGTTAGTACATACAGGTGAGGAAATCAATAAACTAACATGCGCATATTTTTATGTGAAAGCATGTATATCCGGACGGATATACTACGGTACCGGTACTTTCTTTAGTACAAAAGTTAACGGCGCAGCGGAAACAACCAGTCAATCGCTATGCCTGTATCCCCGAATGAAAAGTCTTGGATAATGACATCACTGCTACGAGGTATTTATAATTATACATTATCTGCGTCCTTTTATGCATTAATACTGTATGTATTGGAAATAGTGTAAAAAAATAGTTGAAATAGTTCTCATTTGCTACGAGTAGTTCGAAATAAGGTGTCTGCACATATCTTGAACTACTGTACCTATGTACGAATACGTTTCTATTAACTTTGAACTGCTACAATAAAAAAGCATGTGTGATAATCTAATAACTGAATGTTGTGAGTGTGGTTGAAGCAGGTAAACCGAAAGACCGACTAAACATGGAAAATGTTAAAAGTGCGAACTGAAGTATTACAGTAATTTTACTATAAGATATGATTACAGCATACCATATTAAATTTTTTTCTTCAAAGTTGGCGCGCACTCACGCAATTTTTTATTACTTGATAACCCATAGAGTTGAACTGACTTGACGCTAGATGAATTAAATTAGCGATCCTTGATCTCGAAATCGGTACTTGCATTATGATTTGTTACCGAAAATCACCACTGTTTTCTCAGTTCGATTTGGCTTTTACTGAGTTTTACCGTATTGTTTTTGTACTGTGTGTCCACAGGTACAGGTCTGCACTCCTATTTGAATATTTTACGAAATCGGGACTGCGAAATTGCGAATTCCCAAACTGTTCCACGGCCAGTCATCAGCTGTGCCAACGGTCATCGTTTATCGGTACGCTAGGTAAAGCTACTGCAGTTCTGGTAAAATCTGAAGCGTTATTACTTTGTATTAGTATCGAACTTTAGCGATCCCTTTTTTCGCACCATATTTTTCTGGAATTCTTCGGAGGACTTTTTAATTATTAAAAGAAATGCTGTACTGTACCATTTTTCATAATTACATGAGACTGCCGTTTGCGTCGAAAACTTTTAATAAATTCGTCTGTAGATGATATGATATCGGGACAGCGAAAGTTTTATCACAATTATACAACTGATAATCACAACAGGACAAAAATAATTTGCGGCTGAGGCAAACAAACACAATGATAAAACATAAAACCTTCCCACTGGACTAGTTGCGCTAGTTTTAAGCCAATCGTGCATCGCTAGAAAGAAATCGCAATCCGACCAAACACTGGTCAAATTCAGAAAAAGAACAACATCGGCGAAATCGGCCCAACCAAGAAATGAGAATCAGCAAGTGCGGACATAACGCAGTAAATGAGATCCACAAAAAAAGCAGTTACATATAATCGGTAACCCTTTCCACCTTGCCAAACCGGTGTCGTACGCGTGATTCAGATCTGTGTGTGTGTTTGCAGGTGATTTTTCACTGCACAGCCCAACAAAAACAGACTGATATCGTCAGCCGGAATCATAGTTCCATGGCGTCTTTCCGACTTCATATGAATTTAATAACGCTGAATCGACGGGCTCCATGCAGTTCGGACAGGTTAACGAATGCTTCAGGAGCCAGTCATCAATGCAGTCTTTATGATAGACATGCATACAGGGCAGAAAGCGCACCGGATCGCCACAATTCAATTCCACCATGCAAATTGGACACCTAGACAGCGCAAATATTTAGTCACCCTAACGTCCTTCTTCCACCTAAGTTAGGAATACTGAACAAAACAATAACAACACAAAAAAATAAGCTCAAGTTTCCTTTCTATGAATACTCAATAAATTTTAGCGCTAAAGTGATAAACGTGCTTTCTATATTTTCAGCGCATCTAAGCAAAAAAATAGGGATTATTCATCGATTTAAAAAGCGCTAGTGTCAATCAATAAAAATGTAAGAAGAAAATGCGAATAGTTTTGAGGAATACTAATACCAATTGGCAATTAGCAAATGCGAACCAGCAGGTCAAGAGAGAAATTGCATAACGCATCACTTACTCGCGATCTTTTTTGGCACCGTCGTAGAGCCCTGTTGGTAAATGTTGTATCAAACCGTAGCGCTGGGCAAGTTTCATTTGGCTGTCATCCACTGGCACCCCACGATCCGATGAGATCGTATAGTTTGAGTTACCATCCTGAAATAAATAAAGCCAATGTAAATCGCAGTTAATTTTCAAATTCCTAGTTTTAGCATAACTTCCGCGCGGAAAGTTTTCTGGGGAAGCATGACAGATTTAGCTTTAGACAAGAACATTTATTTTGGGAAAGGACAAAGGAAAATAAAATTTATGCACATAGTAAACCACTAAAGAACAGGATTTTATAAATAGAACAATGCTGCTCGCATAGACGTATGGCCTCCGGGTTTAGAGTTCCAGTCAACAGGCAGATAAAACGACTGTTCGTTTATAAATAGCCTGGAAAATGATGCAGCACAACTTTGAACCAGACTTGGGCCGCCTTTTTGCGGAGCGGGAAAATTCTCCGCCATTCCCGCCCCTCCCCGCTTTTTTGGAGGGCGGGAGCGGGCGGAAGTTTTGAGTTTGGAGGGACGGGGCGGGGAGGAAAAAAGTGTGAGCGGGCGGAAGCGGGATTATTTCAAAGGCGGGCGGAGATCAAGCATAAAATAAAAGTTAACATCATTTACTGAAATATCTTCACTATTTTTTATAGAATTTCTAACGGTTTTTGCGGCGAAATTGGTTGCTGGCTTCGCGCTTCGCGCAAAAATTGGCAACTGGTGTGGTCTTTGAACAGACATTTCTGAAAAAGAACACACGGAAAAAAATTAAAAAAGGAAAAGCACTGAAAATTTTTTTCTCAATTTTGGCGGGCGGGTGGCGGGAAATTAAAATATGGCGGGCGGAAGTGGGAAATTTTTTGTTACGGCGGGGCGGAGCGGGGCGGAAAATTTTTAGCAAGAGCGGGGCGGGCGGAAAGCGGAGATGTCGTTGGCGGCCCAAGTCTGCTTTGAACCCACACGTGATGACTGTAACGAACTGTTTGCTTTTGTTATGCAGCATCCAGGTGCAACAAACCATGTCCATTAACTATTAAGTAACCCATTTCTTAACTCTGCCTAATATGAGCCTACGATGCAAAAACTAGAATGTGATGAAAGTTTTTAGTTTTTTAACAAAAACAATATTTGTTATACGACGTAAAGGGTCTCGCTATTTTCGAATTCCAGATGTAAATAATTCACACTTCTCAGCACGGCATTAAAAAATTTTCGAAGAACTAGAAGCAGTTAATCGTCGAAAAAACGTAAAACATCGGATAAAAACAAAAATGCAAAACAATTCAAATTTCTAATACCAAGTCTTTTCAGTCTGTCACGATCAAAAACAGAAACCATAGGCGCGACTCTAACTTTTCTCTGCAGACAACAAGATGCTCGCGTTGTACAGTACCAGCAAAGCGATGATCTGCGCTTTATTTATAATCAATCAGCTGATATTCCAACAATCAATAGTAAAGGTAACTTACGGACGAAAAATTGGGGAAGTCTCGTGAATCCCGCGGCGATGCTCCACTGAAAGACGACGCTGAATTGACTGCACCGGATGATGGTCCCACACCCGACACGGAGCCCTGCTGAATGTTCCCCATATGATGGTGTCCGCCGTGCTCCTGATGCCCATGTAACAACGAATAATCGTGCTGGCTGTCAACGCGCGACAGCTTCAAACAGTTTCCCATATTCCTTCATGAAAAAGAGCACCATCAGCTCCTTGCCTCGATAACCATTAACTTGAGAAGAGAAATACTTGAGAAAAATGTTTACCCAGCAAAACTGTAAAACATGACAAAGAAAACGCGGAAAAGTCGCTTATTAAAATCGTAAGTTTAACCAACAGAACGACAACAGATCATCATCGTAAAATTTTTAGGCTGGATCACCACTGAAATTATCGATAAACATAAGACGTGAGTCACATTTTGAAGTGAGCAGGCCAACAGCAACTTGGTCATAGCACGAATGAAGCGCAGTTTATTGCTATATGACTCGGCAATACCTGCATTTTGTGCACAGGCTGTTTGCAGTCATGCACTACAAGGTTTGTGACATACCGTAAAGCTTTTCCTTATCACCTGTACGCGCAGGTTAAAATTTTATAAAGATAAAATTTAGCGCAGGTTTATCTCCTAGTTATTTTGAAAGAATGAAATAAGTAAGCTGAAACCCACATCGCATTTCGGGATCGCGCGTAGTAGGTCTACCTCGGGCCGGGCTAGTATCTTGTTTACAGTTACAAGGGTACAAACCTGTGCAAGGTTGGCTGCCGGAGTTTCAAAGTCAGTGGTACAATCTGTAAGTTCTAATTCTTCTAGGCACCCTCTTATTTTGTATTAGTTAAAACAAAATATTATAATAATAATTCTGTTCAGTTGAACTGCGTATAGCTGACTAATTCAACTACCGTATACAGTACGGATTACAGAATACGTTGCACGGTAGCGTTTAATGTTACTGTATGTAAGCGGTGTATCAGGATCGATACTTATTTCTACTCGGGATGCGGATCATAGCGATTAAGCAAACTGTAGCTCTAAATTATTACTGTACGTTTAATGGAAGATACGAAATCAGAATTTTTATGTTATTGATAACTTACAATTAGATTACAATTTTATATTTGTTATTTTAATTTGAAATTGATAACCGTTTAAATTCAAAGAAGCAAAGAATTTACTCACACTTGTAGGCGATAATACCGGTTGGAGCATCGGCTTGTGGATGTGGAAACAAATTAATTTTATAAATGGACATTAGTAACTGATAACAAGTGAAATTTTATCAACTTGTTTGATGCGCCTTAGCGGCAACCGAGAAAGGTTGTTGCTCGCAATTTTGTAGCGCTACGACCCGGATCACATGTGTTTAAAGAAAACGAAAATTTCGTTACAATAATTATCTCAAAAGAGAAAGTGTAAGACTGCCTAGATAAAACACTGTGTACGGTAATTAGCTAGGTAATATTGTACAAGGCATCGCTTATGCGATAAAGTAGTGCTGTGCGGTAAAGTATATAATAAAGTTCGCATCATTAGATCAATTTTATAAAGGTAAGTACTCGTTTTTGATACAGATCTGATTATTTGAATACATGTACAACTCACAAGTCAGTACAAAAGTGGTATTGCACAATTGCAAGTGTGACGTATATGTAATGTGTACATGTCCTTCTCTTGATATCGATGCTATTATACACCGACTGTATGCGAATATGCAAGAAATCCTCCAGCGCTTTGCTTCAGACACTACAAAATTATTAAAATTTATAGTATCTGTTAAAATTTATATAGTATCTGTCTGCACAATCTGGACTGATGCAATATTATGTCGTTGTAACAGCAATTAATATCGAGCAATACAGCAATATCGAGATGCGTTGCAGTGGTTAAACTATAGCTTTCTTTTAACAGAGCCGGAGACTTCCGGTATTACCATACATACCAGCAACTGAATATGCCAAGAATTACAGTTTTCGGTCCTTCTGGATCTGGCAAATCCACGCTATGCAACAAATTGTCAGAACTGCTAAGCGTACCATTCATTGAACTGGACAGTCTGTTGTGGGAGCCCGGTTGGAATCCCGCTCCGGATTTTTTACTGCGCGCCCGCAATGCTATGGAAGGCCCATCATGGATAGTTGACGGCGTATGTTATCTTAAATATCTTCTTGAATATGCTTACGATGGTATCTCATAGTACAATCTCCAGATCAATACGGAATACAGTCACATTTTGCACGCAAATGCATTATGCGCATTTTTATTATTTTGTGACCTTTTCAAGGCTTCGAAAAGGAGGAGCGGTGCTCGAATCTCACAGTATTCAAATATATTATTTAAATTTTGTAGTTTACCGTGGATGGAAACTTTAATTACAAAGGAAAGCGCATTACACGCCCGTGCACACCCATAATCACACATGCCATTTGGCTAAATTTTCCCTTGTATGTGGTGCTTTATCGACTTCTCATAAGAACCTTTTGGCGATGGTGGAACAACGAACTCTTGTGGGGAAAATGCCGGGAAACTTTATCCAGTGTGTTTGCTTTGAATGACGACGGTCTTATTTATGCGATGATTAAAAATTTTTGGTGGAGGAGGAAAGAAAAGGAAGAATGGGTTCGATATCTTGGAAGTGAAGGAATTCATGTCTGGGTGTTTACTTCTCCACAAGAAGTAGAGGAATTTGTACGTCGCGTGAAGCAAGGCCATATTGACCTCATGCACTGACTCCGGCAAATAAAAATGCACAAAATGACGTTATATCTATATTACATGTTCTGCCTAGTATTAAGTACTTAAGGGGTTGTAGCCAAGCTCATGATTAAGTGCCTGCAGCTGTTTACCTTGCCGTAACCTTTAAATAAGTTCGTGGCAGGTTACGATGCATACTAGATTATTCTGATTACGTTTCCGTGTTTTGCTGCATTTTGGTATGAAACTGTACACTGGAATAAATTTTTCCCAAATCGTCCGCTTACTATGACACCAATTTCCTTTTTAAAAGGATTTTACCCAAAGTCAAACAGTAACCTAAACTGTCATGGCCAAAGGTCACGGTTGACATACCCATCGTTGACAGCATTCCGTCCGATTTTTGCACAAAAAAGGTAATTCGGGAAGGCTCTCTTTATACAGCTGTAACGGTCGCATCGTTTGTATCTGGTGCATATACAAATCGTTGTGATTGAGGTATGTACACATATATGTATCGGATTTATAAATGCGCTCACACACCTGGCAAAACAGCACATATGATGATTTTTAATGTACTCGCACATACGGACTCTGATAATGTGTTCATTCTTTGCAGTATTCGAATTCGTTTAGTTATCATGACATTAAAGGAGTATTGGTTCAGTAGCTCCTTGCGCATTCAAATCATTCTTTTTAAATTTTGCGGTCTGTACCACAGGAGTTCATACAAGCCGGAAGTGGGGTGCAAGCGATTAAAAACCTTACTAATTATTTTTCTCCATTCTTTCACATTTTTCTGGTTGTTGGCCAGTTGGTGCATGGCATTCTTAAATCTCGCCATAGCGGCCAAAGCGTTACTAGATAAATCCGGCCAAGAAAAGTCAGAAAACTCCCTGACCGGTGTCATTACGCTGCTGCCATATGCCACAGTGAATTTCCGGGCTGCGGTTGTTCCGACGGTTTTATATCTTCGGAAAGCTGAATGGAAAAAATTACTGGATGAAACCAATGGTCTCGCCAGCCAATGTTTTCAAAATAATTACCATAAACTGCGGGAAGTTTGGTCACACTGGCAGTTATTCAATATTATAATGGTCGCTGCTACCATTGTGTTGCAAGTGGGATGGGAAACAGCCGAATCCATACAGTACACGGAATCCACAGGAATCTCCTGGATGGACGATGGTGCTTTGGATCCGATACCGGCCAGCATGCTGCTATGGCAGTTCATGGCCTGGTGGTACTCGTGTGTGTCATTTCTATTTTTTATTGGACAATCACTGCTTATATCGATTGCCATAATGGCCAAAATGTCTGGTGATTGTTGTGCGGTTTTAAAACGTGCCATTCTGCTGGAAATTAATAATTTGCACTCAGTGGCGACGTGTGCCAGTGTTGCAACCAAAGGTCAGCAGGATATGTGCGGAGCTTTTGACTTGGCAGCGGAGAATCTGACGGCAATTAAATGCCGATACTTGGATCTTTGTCGTTTATGCGACAATATCAGCCATAATTTCGGCATTATAATTTTTTTTATTTACGGGTTGGATTTGATAACGGTGCTGGGATTTGTGGCAGCAATTGTACAAAATACTGACAAGTTTATTTCAACAAGAATCTTCAATTTTGTCGGGGCAGTCGTATATACAACTTTTATCACAGCTTACATGTGGCCTTTTGCTGCCGCATACGAACAGGTGCCATGTACAGATTAGAGTCGACGGATTAGACATAAATTTCATGTAGCATCACTATGTATCTGTACAGTACTAACAGTATGGTAGAATTATGAAATATCCCTAACGGTAACCATAAGTTTACACTAACAACACTAGTAAATTTCTTAACTTGTATAATTGTATTTTGCACACACCCGTAGTACTGTACTGTATGATGAGTGTATATATTGCTGCTAAATATTTTGCCTTACAAGTTGCAACCGAAGAGATAACAGAGATTTTCTGGAGTCCGTTATCGCGTTTGAATTTTAATCAACAAATGTGTAACCTTTTCTCGAAGCCGCATCAGTTAACAAAAATAACATTTGGATGTATATATCTATAATCTACATATAATATTATGTATATCACGTACATAAACCGGATATTATAGGATAATCTTGCAGCAATCAAACATTTTTACGGGTATTAACGTATTGCAGGGAACAATTCGTTATGCAAAAACGTTACATTTTGTTTTTTGCAGAGTTTGCACGTTAATATTGTGCTTCACGATTCCTTGGCAGTTGTGGAATCCATGAACATTCCTAAATCTGCGGTACGTGCGATAGTTCTCTGAATTATATCAGTGACAGTGATAGTTAGCTCTAGCAATCATTTAACAATGCCGGTAAACACAGAAAATTAAAATATTTCGCGTCAAATTGCCCTAACCGCACAACTTTTTCTTCTTCCCACAGGTGCACAAAAATTTGCGTTCAATCTTGAAAAGCTGCATAAAAGCAAGCACGGATCGGCATTTGTTGTATAGTGGCGCGGAATTCTTACACATTACACGAGCATTCATTTTTAGTGTAAGTCACCGCTTTTGTGTAAAATTAGCGTAGCGCTAATTTGATAACTACAAATATAACTGCACAATACAGTCACCGCTACTAATTTTTGGCTTACAACTTGTTATAGACGTTTGCGGTGCTGATGTCGTTCATTGTAATTACGAAGGAAATTTTAGCGAAGGAGTCAACGTCAAACTGGATGAAAGAAATTATGTCGGCTGTTAATAATACTGCGCCTGTGCACCCAGAAGACTGAAAAAACATGACAGAGCTACTGAACTAATGAATCTTATCCTGATGATGTTTTTAATTTTCTTGTCATTTACTCGTTGCTTACTTGCTAGGTTGTTTGTTTCCAGGATTCGTTCTCGGCATGAATCGTTAGCTAATCATGTTACAAAGAGTACTATAATAGATTATTTAGTTTTTCGATATCACCCGTAAAAAAGAAATAAAATTGGTGTATATGCGACGTGCGAAGTACGGATCTGTAGCGCATTTTACTCACTTTGCAGCGAATGTAATAAGTAATTTGAACTGCCGGTTTTTTGCTACTGATTCGCTGACTCTTTCCTTCCACCATAGCCAACCGTACTTAAACCATTAAAAGCCGCCCGTTCTCAAACTACGAGTACATCTGTTCTGTAATTTCGGACACTTTCCGGTAGGCAAACATGTACAATCCGTTACATTTCCGCCATACTGGTTACTTGGTTCAGTAAAGAAATTACATAAAGACGGGCATATTCCAGATTTTTACCAGACATTTACACTACTGCAGTACATTTATACGGGTGTGGCCCGTGTGGGTCAAAGTTTGCCTTATCGATCGCATTTCTGGCTGTTAGCGTGTAGGGTAGCGGAAATACCCCGCAAGTGAATCAGGCATACCATACTTTGAAAGCTAGCACATTCTTCCGAGCTGTATTGTGCATATGATCACACAACTCGCTTGCATTCGTCAAGATCATAAGAATGATTCTCCATAGTCCATGCTACGGTTTACACTTTACACTGCTTATCAACTAACGAATTACCCCGTTTTATAAATTTAGAATTTACACCTACACCCGGTACTTATATAACCATAGTGCAGGAGGCTTAGTTCACCACTACATAGTTAAAGTTTCGAAAGTTCTACTGCAATTTACGAACGGATTGTATAAGCCTGCAAAATGCCACACCATCATCAAACCCCAGCTGGCGGAGTACCCCCGGGTTATCCATCAGGATCGACGGTGCCACCAGGTTATCCATCGGGATCGACAGTGGCACCTGGGTATCCAGCGGGAGCCGTTCCCAGTTATCCCGCCGGCGCAGTTCCCTCGTATCCCGGATATCCCGCCGGGGCGGTTCCCACCTATCCGGCCGGCGCTGTGCCCAGTTACCCCGCGGGAGCCGTTCCAGGGGGAGCTGCTGGACCGTACAGTCCATACGGAGGTTCGTTTATTATGTTCATTAATATAGTAATCGAATGGTAGTATGTAGCTGCGATAATGCGCATACCAAGTGCGAGCATAATAAGCCGTTCCCATAATTATAAATAATTATGCTTGGTAAGGGCCTAAGGGATAATTATAAGGATGGTAAGCAAGACGTATGGTTTTGTTATGTACTTATCTTAAGTTTCCAGTTGACCTTGATATGAGTACGAGTACAATCGGCGATGTTTGTAGAATATGCCCTGCGAGCTGGACAACGGCTAGTTCCTGGACAGTCGCTTTTTGCCGAAGACCGCTCCGTGTATCTGACGATGCAGACCGACGGGAATCTGGTGCTTTATCGCAGCCGTGACAAGTTCGTGAACAGTTACTGTGTAATCCGAATATTACGTGAAAAAAAAGCTTAAGCAAAACTGTAATTAGTGCTTTAACGATAGATGAAATATACGCTACACCACGTGGATTAAGTTTAGGGTATCAATGTATGTACAATATTAATAATAATAATAATTAGTTTTCTCCTTTTCATGCAGTCATGCAATCTGGGCTTCTGATACACAACACAAGCCTATAACGGAATGCGTCATGCAAGAAGACGGAAATCTCGTGCTATACGACCAGGTAATTTTCGGAACTCTTTGTTTACGTGCATACTGTGCGATTACAAAACTTTTCAAAAGCATGGAGTAAGCCCTAACAATCTTCGGTTTGAATATAATTTATTTGTTTTACAGTAACGTAATAATTATTTTTAAGGCATAAATTTTCACAATAAAAAACTGACTGAGCAGTTTTACTGCCTTACTTTACATATAAGGCAAACATCGCATGAGCTTGCTTATGTTTACTTTTCTGCAGCATAAGCATCCCTATTGGTCAACAAATACACACGGAAATCCTGGTGCAGAGCTCAAAGTGCAGACAGATGGAAATCTGTGCCTTTATGTTCATGGCGGAAGATGTATATGGGCCAGTCAAACATACGGGAAAAATCGCTGAGTATTTTATGATAAATTATTCCTGTTTTTTTCCACTCTGTGATCGTTTTACACCTTTTTTTTATTAACAATAACATAATTAAGACAAAGCACACTTCCTCTGCCCGTTTAAAGAAATTTCTGTCATCCTGAGATACCCGGATACGTTCGAGTAATTCACTGCAAAAAAATGGCGATTGAATTAAATTTAGCGAGCACTCCTGGACATTTACAGTACTTATGGTGGTATTATACAATAGTCTGTGGCGCTCTGGTGGATGCACCGGCGTAGCTGTTGTCTTGGTTTTTTAACCGCACTATGTTTCTGGAATTACTACTGTATAACAAAATAAAAACATCGAATCAATAAACAGCGCTTTTTGATGTGCTGAGGCGTTTGCGTGATAGTGCTGGTTTCCCGCATAGAATAGTGTACGTTGTATAGCACGTACGCGGTGCTGCATAAGCAATGCCAAATATAAGATTATGTTGGTGCAGTTTTATAATAAGCACTTGTGCACGATACATCTATTAACAGAAAAACCATTATGTAATTTAATATTCCTGCATTCTTCATTCACACAAATGTTCAGAACATAACACAACTATTTGTAACGAACCAATTCTCTCAAAAGCTCGATGCACAAAAGAACGTAACAAATACTACAAATTGTACGATACAGTCTTCCGCTCCTTAGGATTGTAGTAGTCATAAACAACTATGCTCTGGTCTTTGAGATCCTTCACTTTGTAGATTCGATACATGGTCAGCTTGAAACATGTCGCTGACTCATTCAACTGCAAACGAAAAACCTAATGTAATTATGTAAACATTAACAATAAGATATGATTCGCTATTTTGTGCGCTTAATTAAGGAAAGTTTGCCGAAATACAATTATACTGCGTATGATACTTATTGATAGTGGTAACAAGCCATCATAAAGACAGCTACTCGTACAAGTACAACACGTAAAATACACGTCTACGGTATTGAATACTGACCTCATCGAAATACAAATTCAATTTGGTATCCTTATTCTCCATTTCCGTTTTTCGCAGACCAGGGACCATCTTTGGCAGTTTACGAAGTTCATCTTCATCGAACTGGGAACCCGACAGCGTGTTGACTTCAATAACAGCCATGCTGCTCTTACCGTCACGAGTATACCTGCAAAGGTCACGGATTGCTAGCATTTTATAAATCCAAATTATCACTCGTTAAAATTATAGTTTCGCACTAATAAAATGAACAACTTATTTCACCTGCTGCATATTCCCATACGAAGATCCGCTGTGGAAACCGTTTTGGTAATGTTAAGGTCAAACGCCACATCTTCTTTGGGTTTTCCCACGTGATACGTCCAACTCAAATAGGCTAAGGCTACACCATTGCCTTGAGCGTTCAAGGAAATACTTTTCGGTTTCTTTGGTAGTTCAATTGTTTGAAGGATGACGGCTGTTTGCGGAGTGACGGACACCGACTGTTTTGATTGGTCATTGTACTTCACATCAATTTGCATTGATGGCGGATTGACAAAAACTTTCGCAAACTCTGCCAAGCCCGTCAAGCCGACTACAGTATCCTAAAGCGTCATAGTCATGTTTTGAGTTTCTCTAACTATTTAAATATGACGCCATGGAGAAAACTGTACAATTCTTTTACCTGCGTAGAAATAAATCCACCCTCTGCATTCTGCTTCGAGATCAGCCACGAAACAATGGGCAGAGCGGACGATACTTTCCCGTTAGCCATGAATGCTAAAAGCGCGTAAGCTGTCGCTTCAACATCCTTAGCATTCGTTGGATAGGAGTGCTCCTCATCGGCGCCTTGATCAGAAAGGGAGGCCGTAGTTGTCCAGTACGCCAACGAAGAATTTCGAATCATTTTCTGTTCCAGTAAATCCAAGGCAGCAGCGTTCTTTTCACTCTTTGCCTTTGCCAGCGCATAAGCCGTGATGGCTAGAGCGTAAGAATCGTTGCTCAGTGTATTCAATTTGGATTCCAGATAATTTGTGGCTTTCTGCATGGATTCGTCAAATTTAACGACAACAGGTTTACCGGACTCTTTGTACTGCAAGAAGGCTATCAACGTAAACGCTGTCAATCCAATGCCTTTGGAAGCACCGCCTTGATGCTGTTTGTCAATAACTCTGCCGTTCTCTTCAAACGATCCATCGGTATTTTGCTGATCTACCAAAAAGCGCAATGCCGTTTTGATCACGTCATCCTCAATGCTCGGGACAAACTCTACCGCTTCGGCGAAAACGCGGGCGACGTAAGCGGTTAACCATGTTGAGCCTTTTGGATCAGATTTGCCCCATGCGCTGTAAGAGTTATCACCACGACGATAGGTCAGTTCCCGTTGATATCCCAGTTGAATATTCGCTAACAGCTTGGACTTTTGGGGTTCAGCCAACTGGTTGAGCTGTTTAAGATATTTCGCAACCACTAAATTAGGGACGGTCGTTGCCATATTCTGCTCGCCACATCCAGTAGGCAGGCGAATTAGCTTATCCAAATTATTCATAGCCGCGCCCAGAATGTCACCGACCACTCTCACTTCCACTCGATCGGATCCGTCAACTTTACCAGCTGGATCGGACGGCAAGGTGATTGGTGCGCTCATACTGGCTGATTGGCGGAGATCAATAAAAACCGGTTTTGTGAAGTACTGTTTGACGCCTTCGGGTTTGACTGGAAGGGTCTTCTCCAGCTGGTCGGCAGCAAATGACGATTGAGCGGTCACTTTCAGTATTAGATCACCAATCTGCTGGGGAATGATCGTGAAAGTTGCGGTGGTGCCTTCGTTCGGTTTGGCGAGAACATTCTTTTTCAACGTAGCCGTTGTATTATCGGGATTGCGAATTTGCAGCTGGACCGTCACATCTTGTTTTTGCGACATGTAATTGAAGACCAGCACTTCGGCAGTCAGGTTTTCAAACCGCACTATGCTGAACGGCAAATTCAGTACAGCAAAAAAGGGCTGAAAAACTTTCAACTGCAAAACCAACGCCGTAATTTAAATATTTTGTGCAGTGCTTTGTAAATATCAAAGTTTTGACGACATGACGCACCTTGGCCGGAGTGGAGGTTAATCCAAGACCGCTAGTGTTACTCAAGCTAAACGCCGAGATTCTCCATGTTGTTATTGCATCCGGCACTTTTGAATGCAGTTCCACCAGTCCGTTGGAGCTAACAACAGCGAATGCAAAGTATCAAAACAGAGCAGCCGAAAGGTCATCCGGGAAAAAGGTAACTTATTGTTTTCAGTGGAAAATTTCATATTCTCGTCTAGGCTTACTTAGAAAATGCTGTTTCAAACAAGAAACTCTGACGGAAATCCTTTCGCGTTTGATGTGGAGTTTCCAAGTTTTCTACGGAGCTTTCCTCACTGAATGGTGCTTTTGACGTCGGCGGAAGTTCCGTGTATGCAAAAGACTCTAACTCCACATCAGGCTGTCTTCCAGGAATACCGACGCTGCCAGACGAGGCACTACTAGCGCTCATAGACCACGATTTACGACTGCTACTTGCACTTGCAAAGCGTGAGGAACCGCCGGAACGGGCACCACCCCAGCCACGCCCACGCGACGGGCTGTACCGCCTGTGATAAGACCATGGTCGCTCTTCTCGGGATGTGGGGAGTTGGTTATTGGTCAGTATGAACTGGCCAGAGGTGTAAGTTTTCTGTATAAAACAGTTGACGTATAATTAAAATGACCTGTTCACATGCAGTTATAAACATTCTTTCAACTTACGTCAAAGTAATCTTCCACGGAATAGATATCTGACGGTATAACGAATCTGTCCTTGCTTATTACCCAGTTCACCTAGAAAAAATATGATTTCATCGAGCAAAATAAAATATTAATAGCTCGTGTTCTATTAATATCTTGTAAAAGTACAAAACTCTTGAAACTGAACCGGTTTTTGCAGGTCAGAAAAGGAAATTACCGGTAAAGTCCAAGAATATTGTAAGCTTAATTAAGGTGCAATAGTTATGTGCCAGTGATAGCTGATGACCAAAAGTGTCCGATTTACGCGTATCGTTATACCTCATCGGCTGAAAGATCATTCCCGGTTTTCATCAGTAGCAAGCTCTCATCCACAGCCAGAAAAGCCACAAAGGCTGACGGACTAGTGTTGGCTTTAAAGAGCGCCTCCTCGCCGGGCTGGGCATAACCGAATCCGCTGGTTGCTTCAGCCGACACATCAACCTGATAAAAAAAGCCTAATTTACTGCCAGTGCACATAACGGTATATACGACCATGCCGACGCAGTTTATTGAGATTTATCAGCAAATGCCCAATAAATAAGGTTACTGACAGTGTTTTTCATTGTTGGTGTCGGTGACAGGACGAAAATGTTTCCAACAATTTCCTTATCGGCTCGCACATAGTAGACCATCAACCGACCAATGAGACCCATCGCCTCCAGAATGGGAACGGAAATTACGACGTATGGACCGGTTTCAGATGTTGAGTTACTCCATAAAAAGCTGCTGTTGGAGTTTGATTGGACCTAATAACATAACGACATTCTTCACATCTACGATTCTAAAATTAATCTACGAAACATTAATCTACGATTCTAAAACATTAATCTACATTAATCTACGATTCTAAAATTATTAAATATTTACAAAAACATTGTTTTACAGTTTAACTACTTGGCGCGTGTATAAAAAAATTACGATGCTCGGTATGTTTGTAAGGGATTTTCAAGGGATTTTCAAGGGATTTTCGCGCAACAGTTTACAACTGTTGGAAAAGGGCTTTTGTCTATGTGGATTTACCAGAATTTGAATTGCTTCGTTTGTCCTCGTTGTCATATTGATGCCAAAAGTTGCAGAATTTCCACTCTGCAGATCATCTGACAGTTGTTTTATCTCCAGAAAACTGCTGCTCGGCGATTCCTTTCCTTTGACGGTGAAACGTTTCTCTTCCTCCAAATACGTGACCTTTATCTCAATCCGACGAGCCTCTTTAGGTGTTTTGAAAATGACGTCGACGATGCCATCAGCAGGAATGGAGGAGTTTATCACATCGACCTGTGACTGTGGCCATGACACTGCCCACGACGGAAGACGCTAAAAGTGTACTTGTACATTATACAGTACAAGCGGCGCACTGTTGAAATATCATTGCAAACTGTGGATACTGAATCACTTACAGGACCGACGGATCCACGGTAAAACGAATCTGGCGAGATGTCTGCGTCTGAACCGTTTCCGGTTTTATTGATGTTTGTATATTTGGTCAGCTGGGTTCCCCAGTAACCACGTTTATCGAAGAACGAAATTTCGATGTTGACCTTTTTGGTGCTGGGAGGCAGTGGACGCCCAACGAGATCGCTGACGAGGGCGCGAAAAGTGTATGGGTGTCCCGGCGAAAATGTGCTGGCGTTGTTCGTTACTTCTAATTTGTACGGCAAATCACTGACGCGTACAAATGCTGTAGCGTTTTTAGTTTGTCCGGTCAGCGCTTCGGTAAAATTAGCACGGATTTCCAGGTTGCTTAACTTGTACTTTTTCTCTGGATTCAGTACGGAACGGCTTAAAGGGACAGTAAACTTGTAGCGTCCGTTAAAATCCTAGAATGTTGCGTATCGATGTATGTTAAAATTTCAGAATTGCACCAAAAACAACAGGCATTTGTGTGCGGTTATTTAGCACTGATGCTATACTTGTCCAAGCATATAGTTATTTTTACTGGAAGTGCACAATTTGTTACCGATAATTATGAGTTTGCGATTTTGAATTGCCAAAGTGTATGCGAGATAAATATCTGTGACCTTAGTCTAATGATCAACTAAACTGATAATGGTAAGACGAAATTATTAGATCTAACTTGTTGAACGTTATTGCACTTACCGTAACAGAAACAGTAGTATTTAACCGGTCCGTTTCATGCACATTGCTGCGTCGACCGATGATTCGTCTGGAACTACTTATAGGTTCAATTAATTTGACTTCCAGGTTTCCTTTCACGGGTTCACCAAATGTGTAGCTAAAAACGTGAAAACATTGATCAAAAACTGCCAGAAAAAATTCTCCACAGAATCCTTACTTTGCATCCACGACGAACTGCAGCACGGAATCAATTGTAACAACAGGCGGATCAATTGCAGATATTTTGACGTCAAAGCGTGGCAAAACTAATGAAAAAATGGACAGATTTTTCTAGCGAATTGTTGCAGAATATCGCCACTTACCATATTCGTCAACGGAAAACTGCTTGCTTCCCATGACCTTCTGTAAATCGCCGCTGCGCACTTCGATTTTCCATGCGCCTATCAGTGGGTCAGTGGACAGAAGGAAATCACCGGCAAAAAATCCAACAGCTAAAACATTACAAATACAAATTTCCATGCGAGGTTGTTGTAATATATTAATTTTTACATCTAGAAGTATAACTGAATTTTATTACAACACAGGCCAAAAAAATGAGTAATACAAAGCAGTATCACACTTTACCATTAGGATCCGAGGCGTTGCTATATTGCTTCACAATGTTATTTTGAGGATCCTGTGAAAGAGAAAGGTGCTTATTTATTGCTCCGATTTGATTATCTCGTGCAGTACTTTTACACATTCATAAAGTTTCTGGGGTTTGATTTTTATATGTTTCAGAGCATTTAGAAAACTTACCAAAACGCGAATAGTGAAAGGTGCATATACAGGAAGTAGTTGTTGGTCAACAGTAACAATTCGAAATCGAACGGTATCTTTGGCTTTATACAATGGCTGGTCAGTTTGAATGAAAACCAACTGTTGTTTCACACTTTTCGACTCCTCACTCTCCACAGTCAAACTGTACACAGCCCGATTAAAAAAGTCTTCGGCATTGGAACCATTGATAACTAAATCCATAGAGAAAGCGGTTTTGGTCGGGTAAACTGATAAATCACCAACCTGTGCATGAAACAAATCGATTAGCGATTAAAGAATTACGAAGACGCATTTTGAACAGCGTTATAAATACGATTAGTTTAAACTAGTTATTGCAGCAAATTAGTTATAAAGGGATGGCAATAACAAATTACAGCGCAAATGTACAGAAGGCATTACAAAATACAAATACAGTACAGTATGTATGATAGATGATAAATGAAGTCCGATTCACCTTGAAATCCAGCTGACTTAGTTGATTCGGTTTAACAAGGAAAGACTGCGTAAAAGTCAACTTGTTCTTGATATCCGTATCTTGGAAATCTGCGTATGCCTGCGGTCGAGGCTGAATAGTTACATCCACCTTAACGTCCGACGAGGTATTCCGGCACAAAATAGATATCGGCAACACTTGACTGGACCGCAGTGATTTTGGCCCGAAAATCACATAATCAAAAGCGCTTGCTCCATAGACAAACGCTGTTATTACTACCAGACTTTTCAAATGAATATCCATCGTTTTCCTTTGCAATAGCAAGTACGATTAAAAAAATCGGTTGAGGAAGAGTAAAGCTGTGTTCTCTTCCGGTGATCACTGGTAAAGTGCGGCTAAATGGACAAATGGCCGCTTCGTTAACGCAACAAGCATTTATATAGTACAAAATAATGCAACAATCTGTATGTATTCTGTTTCTTGATTACAACCAACACACTGTGCGCACGAAACCGGTTTGAACTTAACACTCCAAAGAAATGTGTTGTTGTTTTTTACGAAAATAGGCTCGAGAAACTAGAAATATTCAAGCAAATGTGTGGAATCTCTGCCAGATTTACTTACTAATATCCACGTGTCACCTTCAGCTATGAATTCTGCGGTTTACTTCTAGGCATATAAAAAAGTGATAATGATCTATTAGACTAACTTCTCTAACGTTGTGACGTATTGTTGTCGGGTGTTAAATAACCATTTCGTAACCAGACAGGACAGGATGTACTGTACCTACCACAATTAGAAGAATTCGCACAGCGAATGTTTATAAGTCATAAGTGCAGCAAGTACGGGAAAGGGAAATATAGCGCTAACAAGAGTTAAAACTTTTTTGTTTAATGACTTTAGGTTGTGTCATTATATAGCATGGCAATTGATGTGTTGTCTGTAATAAATAATTAATAATGCAGTATATAATTATTAAACGTCTTGCCATGCTTTCCTCTCAGGAATAATTCTGGATTGTTAATTTATCCTCTTCCCACATAATTGTCATTAAATGATTGTAGTTAAGTGATGCCAAAATCGAAAACCTGCATGAAAAATCTGGCAACCCAAAGAAAGTTCACGACTAAATAAAAATGTAATCGTATAACGAAACAGTAACAAAGTTGAAAAAGCGCTGCTCTGTAAGAATACACTTATGATTATCAGAAACATGTAAACAGCAGTAGCGAACACAATATGAGAGTGACTTTATTGCGTAAAAGCCGGAATAGGGTACTCGTACGGAATTAACAGTAGAAGTACACAAAAAGAGCTGATCATATGTGCCGTCAAATGCTAAAAAAACGCAACGATGCAATTCATAATTAAATATAATTTTCCTCCAGTAAAAACATTCAGTTAACGATTAACGATTAATCTAACTTTTGATTTTCATAAATCCTTTCCTACGCAAATAGTTGACGATTAAAGGCGATACGGTCAAAGTCAAAGCAATCCGTAATGGAGCGGTGGCCTTATGAATAGCATAAGCCACAACAAATGTTCCGGCGCCGCTAGCATATTTCCCCAAGGTTCCCTCAAGTCCAAAAGTTTTGATCACGCTTGTCACGTCAACACCGCTACAAACAACAGGTATTTTCACCGCAATAGCATATTCCAGAACAGAAGTGTCTAATTTCGGTTTGCTTAGTTAAAACTCACTTAAAAGATCTTAATTGCGCGACAGCAATCCGTACTGATAATGCGCAAGAAACTAACAAAAATTTTAAGAGCATCTTTGAAAGAATCATCCCTTTTTCAAATGTTCTCACTGTTTTGCAATCCATACAATCCCACATGTGCGTTTCAACAAAATATGCAACAAGTCGCACCAATCTACTATAAATAAATATATTTATCCCATTTTTTAGAATAACGACTAACGTCCCTATCATAATTACAATCTGATGTTTCGACACGAACCTTGAAATCAATAAATACCACATGCCCAGAAAACTGACTCCACTGGCAATGTGGAAAACAAGAACAGTGGAACCATAATCCCGAATCGCTGCTTTTAATTTCTCTCGGCTGGTCTTCGGTGCAGGGGAAGGCGTCCCTTCTGCTAGCGGAGGATCAGTGGTGGAAGGCGTTTTAGCTGGTGTTTCTGCTGAGGAAGACGCAAATCTTGACAAACAAAACAAAATCGCATTTGTTTTTTGACAAAAAATATGTATGTATGTTATTATGTATATCATAACGAGTACCATTAGTCTTCACTCTACATCTGCAGATACTTGCTACGCACATCTGCGTAACCACTAACCATTAATCATTCAATGAGAAAAAGGGTTATAAATTTCTTTCTGAAAATTCTGAACTTTTATATTAGAAGCGACAACAACAGACCTCGCAGTCATACCTGGAAACTTTTAAAAAGGAGGGCGCCCGACTCCGGCGACTCGTTAGCATCGTTATCGTGTCTGGGTTGCTCCTAATGCCACCAGGAATATTGACGGACCCACGAAGCACAAGATTCAACACGCGAGGTATTCGGTACATATTGCACTGCAGTCAAAATCCCACTTTTGGCTTTGACTGTTTTGATTCGAAAACGTGCAAAATCGTAATCAGCAAACGCTACACAGTAAACACTATCTCATGCTCATTGTCAGCTGAACGGTGGACCGCAGATTTCACTCTTTTCCACTTGATTTTCATGGATAAACGTGGCAGCAGATCAGTAGTGTTTATATGAGATATTGAAGATAACACAATTCGAGTTCACGGTTCACACAGCGGCAAGGGTCTGGACGACTTTACGACTGGACGAAAACCTGGACGACTTTTCATTATTTAATGTCTACTGACGTATGCGATATAAACGCAAATGGTGGAGTTCTGTTTTGATTAGTATTACCACCGTCCACCGGTCCCTCAAATACCTACATAATATTATAATTATTCCACTTTCCAAATATATTTCCATTTTCCAGGGATATATTCCTCAAATATATTTCCTCAAATAAATAAGCTATTCCACTTTCTATGCTACTAGCCTACTACTACTAAGTATGGGATGAAAAATTAATATAAGTGTTTCTGTTTCGCAGAACAACTTTAATACGGTTAGCAGGGTAAATTGGTGTAGCGTTCACAACAAAAAAAAACAGTTGACGTACAGTAGCGTATGGCCGTACAATGTAGGACTAAATGGTCGCATAGCCCCATACCCAGCATTCTGTACGCAAGCGGTGCAGTGCACTTGTACGAAACGGATATTTTGAACTCAGTCGTACAGTGCACTGCGCTGCATTCGTACTGAATGTGGAGATATTGAGTATGCGACCATTTTGTCCTAAGCTGTATGCGACTGCTTTGTTACAATTCAACACATCCCATGTGAATTAACATCACTGTTTTCACGATGCTGTAAGTTATTGGGATACATATGTGCAACGCAACTTTCCATTTTCCATACGAGATATCCATATTTTCTGTTTTTAGTAACTACGCCCAAAACTTATCATTTCGATGGACGTACGCGGAACAATTACAAATCGCAATAAATTATAGCATTGGCTGCAAACGAACGCAAAGATTTTTGTCGAACAGTTTAATAACACATTATTACCTGTATCACACACACACAACAGGCACAATAACTTATACTATCAACATTTATTAGGCTTAACCCAAGTGAGGCTCACAGACTGCCTGATGGTTTCTGGCTGTGAGTGCGATGCGCTCGTGGACGAATCCCCCGATGTAATGTCCAGCCACTGCCCCAGCAATAGTCCCACACATCCAAGCATCAACGATCCTCATTCTCCGGACAGCACCGTGACGGATGTAAAGCTTTCGGACGACGATGCCACCCAATCCACCAAACACTACCCCACCGATACCTCCAAGCAGTTGGGCATTAGAGTAATTCATACCACTATCGCCGAAGAAACTCAGGTATCCAGAACCAAGACCTGCCAAAGCTCCGAGCGACGCACCGACAAGCACTGTAGAGCGTTGCATACCGATAATATCACAATAGGCTAAATTTAAAAACAGGCACGTCGAAACTAACGTAAATTAGAAACATCTACGAGATTACGGTTGGGACGTGCCACGGATTTCGCAGGTACCACAGAAAACCTAAGAAAATTGAAAGGAGATGGATGAAAAATCTCGGAAATGTGCAAAAATAAGCAAAATGGGATGAAAAATTGGAAATGACCAAATAAATGACCAACTGTCACCAACTTGTGAATGTCAAAACTAAGGCGCCATCTCGTGCGGTCGACATCCGTTTTACTACTCTAGAGGGGCATAGGTTTGCCGCATAGGTTTGTTTCACGAGATGTGCGTTTCCAGGAGTTCGGACTTCGGAGTTGTCAGAACTCAGAAGTGATCAGCATTCAGATCTTCGAAAGCAAGCATTCAGATCTTCGAAAGCAAGCATTCAGATCTTCGAAAGATTCTGCTTTACGAAACGCATGAGCAAGCTCGAAGGATTGGGCATAGTGGTGATAGCGAAGCTTTAAGAACAACATGAGTGCGCGTTTGGGTTTGAGGACAGTTGCGTCGCTCCCAAGGCGTTTCGGTCCATCGTTATGGTACTTGACGGAGTTAAACAATCGTTCATCCAGGTAATTCAGATGTCTGGTGTGCGATAATATTGAGTTATTGGAAGGTGTATCTCAGTATGTCACTGTATGTGCCACTGGTGTGTACTTGTGTTTAACGTTCGCACATATTATATCAAGCGGATGCATGGTTATGTTTTTACTTATTGTAGCATCACTTAGGTGTCTTTCCTACACGCAGTCCCGCTTTGCGACTGTTCAGGAGGAAAAGCGCACTCCTGACTACAGTAAGATGTCTCTTCCTCTGAAATTTATGATACGACTTATTGTGGGATATCGGGACTACGGCCTGACGGCGTTGACGTTCCATGCTGTATGCGCTGGTTTCTCCCTGGGTTCGATCTGGTATCTGATCTACAAGTAAGTCTTCCGCACTCGCTCGTGAAATTTGTAATAAAATTTGAAAATATAGCCAGCTGTGATGTTTCGAGTACATTATTTCTAGATGTTTGTGTGAGTTTTTGTCGGGTAAGCGCTTTGTTATGCACAGAATGTTTGGATCATGCATAATTGATTACGCAGCCATACAGTACGAGTACAACTACTTCCATGCTTACAAAATACAAGTTACAAATGAAACTGTATAAAGGGTTGCTAATTTAATACAGTACAGTACTGTACAATATTTTGATCATAATTATTACGTACGTTGTTGTATATCTGTAGACTGTAGTTTGCAAATACTTTTCCCAGCGCTGTATAAAATCATTGTAACTTTTTGATACCGTAGATTACTTAAATCAGTTAAATGTGAAAACGCTCGAGTGTGTGATCACTGTAATGCTATAACTGTGGTGTTGGTTTGTGTTTTATACGTTATTTTTTATTGTGAAACTCCAGATTGTGGATAAATAAAGTGTTTCGTGGGCCGTTGTAGTGGATACGATGTGGTGGGCTTTTTGGCACGACTGGGATTTGTGTCACCGTTTAACCTGCTGCTATCCCATATCCAACAGGCATTTGGAGGCTCCCATTTTGCCTTAGCGTATTCGATACATAAAGCTTTTTCTCCGGTCCGGGTGCTCATCACAGCGGTTTCCACTCCCTTTATTGTTAAGCGCCTTCGGAAGGAACACATTTTCAAGTTGCCTCCAGGAATGCGGCCTTGAGAAATTAGCATCTTGCTCAATGAGTGCATGTGTTGATTTGCATTTTGAAGTTCGTGATACAGCATGTGGTGTACCGGTACGATGAAAATGCACAGCATCAGAAATTACCTGTGTACATATCTTCTTATCTCGTTCTCAGTTTTCTGTGGAAAATGCTTCGTTTTCCTTGATATGTTGTAGTGTTGCTGGATATTTATTTATAGTACTAGAGTAGTACCAGAAATTGATAGTGTAGTGTACTGATAACTAGAAGTCGGTAATAAATGGAGCTGTTTTGCTGTTGGTGCACAGATTGCAGAATTTTGTTTTGTGAAATCAAAATACAAAAATAGGTGCTGCACATGTACTGAGCGGCTTCTAGCGGAGGCGGACAGCAGTATTGTTTGATACCTCGTTTCTGATGTGAGGAAATTCACTCACAGTGTGCAATAACTATGCATACAGTACATCATTAATTGTAAGCATCGCTCACAGTATAAATATGATATTTACCTATATATATAGTATACAAAGTGCCATGCATTTTGGTACTATTACGCCCTTAACCTTTCACAAGTAATTAATTTTAGTTGCTTTCCTTGAGTTTCGGGAGGATAAAAATGTGAAGGGGAAAGGTTAGCACCATTTGTGCTATACTGTACTGTATGCGTACAAAATTACTATCTTGCCAGTTGTCAGTTGTCCCCAAAACTTAACCCAGTTCGCGAGTTTTTCGTTTGGAATGATAATGTAAATGGCGCAAGTACGTTAATTAAGCGGACCGACCGCTATAATCAAGTAACATCCTTGTACGTGGTCATTACTCATTACCTGTAACTTATAATTGTAAGGAACATTGGCGTAGTGATTGGTAAAATAATGCTAATGCGTTAATTTTCGCGGTTAACAGGTGCCCTCTTGATTTCCACTGGACCGGCGACCGCTACAGCCTCTGAACAGAAAAATTCCGGCTCTGTGGCGCATATGAAATACTGGCACAACGCAAATAGGTACTTCTACTGCAGACTATTAACGATAATTATTTGGTCATATGACTGTTTATCTGAGAACGCAACATTTAACTGGTAGTTTCTGCGAGGAGTTTATCATCATCAGAAAAGGTTGACAATAGGATGTGATTAGGTCCGTTGGAATTGTTTTGGTACCTGGATAACAAACAGGCGCGATATGTAATAATGGGCGCCGGTATGCCAGCGCGATATTTATGTCCGTTTTTGCATGTCCTTATTGATAAACAGCCAGCCAACGCCATTGTTTATAACTCTCGTCCATTTTGAAAGTTGAATATACTCGGCTCACTAATCGCTTGTTGTTCTATCATATATATACCTGGGAATGTTTTGTTGTCCCATTTTGGCGAAGACCGTATTGTTCCCTAATCGCGATCGGAAGCGCTATCTGTCGCAGCTGCCGATAATCCACCCACTCCGACCAGCCAGTCGCCTACAGCATTTGTTGGAGCGCCGCCCATCTTGTTATATAAAATCCACAGGCACATGCCAGTTGTAAGTACTGGTTTCTCTATCAGCTGTTGCAGCGTGTTGGCAAGCGTTTACGCTCCGGAAGCAAGTTTAATTTGATTGGAAATCCTTATACTACCCGTTAAGGTTTTCCTGTGCGCCTTTTGCCTTTTTCTCCGCACATATTCGCTAAGGGTTATGACATCCCGTTTGCCATTTCGAGTTATGAATAAAGCCTACTACGATTTCGTCGTCAATCGCTATCCATTTATTTCACTACGGCCATTTAGTCTGATTATAAAATGAACACTGCATGCCGCAGTCTGCTGAGCACCGTCGGTCGACGAGCGTTATTGAACGCCACACGTAAGTCACGGCATCGCGGGTATAACGGGAAATTGCCGGAAACTGACAGCTTCTTGATGTATGCTTTTTGTAGGAGTCCAGCATGTCCACAAGGCGGCCGCGGCATCATCGCCGGCCGAGCCATTGGTTCAAGGAGAACCGAATGGACCCAGCATGAAAACCGTCATTCCGGGACCGAAATCCATCGCGCTGAGGGAAGAACTGGCGCATATACAGGTAACAAAAATAAACTGCTTCGTAAAAATTATACTCGTACATATTTTACGATTTTGTAACTTATGTTGCGCTTTAAGTATTGTCAATAATTCTACTGCGCAAAATTGTCATGTTATATGTGTGTTACGTTACGTTGTCCAAATGAATAACAGTACAGATAGAGTACTACTTAGTAGGACAGTTGTGACCATTCCGGCTCTTTACTATCTTAAATAATACACCATTTTCAGTTTACTGAACAAGAAAAAATTGTTCTGTTTCAGAACTGTCTTTGCACGTAGGAAAACAGCGCACTGACACAATAGACATAGAAAATAAGTGACATTAAAACCGTAATGAGGTATTACGGCATCGGCGTTGTAGTGCGCAAAAATACCGGTACTGAGTGTACCTTCCGGTGGTTGTAGCTGTGTTTTCGACAGGATTGGACTAATAGTTAGCCCGTAGCCAAAGCAAATATTTATGATGTTGTGTTACGTATCGAAATTCCTGCCAGAATGAATGCAAAATACCTAGTCTTATTCTCACCCTAGCACTGCTTGCTGACCAGCAAGAAAGATGGTTTTAGCCAGGTTAATTATGCTGAGGAAATCAACAGATTTTTGTAATGCAGTTCCGAATTGGTGTGCACTTTTGCAGTGCAATTCCGAACGGGGTGTGACGAGTGTCACGACTCGAATTAAGTTGTATTAGTCAATTTTGTGCAGATGAATTATCTGTCATTAATTTTAGCAAAACTACCTGGTAGATCCTTGTAATATACCCAATGCTTGATTTTTTACTAAAGCAGCATAGTGTTTTGTGTTGCGTAGTACAATGTAAATTTTGCCCGCGTGGCAATTTTTCAGATCATCATATTTCTCCCTGAACAATCAATGAACAAACAACTTGCTAGCAACGATAGCTTTATTTCTTAAGGATTTACTCGACTTTTACAAACATAGCATTTTCGTAGTGCTACGATATAACGGATATAACGGATATTATAAAACATATAATCATATTACGTTTACCAAAACCGTTCTTGAATTACATATTTCTACGAATCCTTAAATCTCGATGAAAATCTTTATTTCTACTACTCCAACCTATCGATTGGCAATGCCGATAATCAGAGAAACTACCGCGATCACTATCACAGCTGCACGTGTTGAAAGCACAGAAAAGAAGAGTTATATCCGTTATATCGTAGCACTACGAAAATGCTACGCAAGTACATTATTAAGTTAGTTTGCAGTTTTACTCAAGCTGGAATGTGGAAGGGCGTAATATAATAGGTATAAGAAAACAGTTGTTGTTGGTATTGGATGCTTATTGAAATTATTTTGTAATGACTAATGTTGTCGTTTGCGGACTGGTCTAAGTGCAGTAATTAGTGCCGGATATAAGAAATACCAATATCTTGCGATACACTTACAATATATAGAATTCCTGTAAGGTATTCGATTATTCCTTTTCCGGCGACGTCTGTTGGTAATAATAGCCTGTTATTTACTGAATGGCAAGTGACAGGGCTTTTACCCCGGCAATTCGTATGAGTGGTACAAGTGGTTATTATACCATTTGCGTTTACTTGTAGAACTCGGATGCGGTTTTCTTTTTCGCTGACTATGAGAAAAGTATCGGCAATTACCTCGCGGACATCGATGGAAATGTCATGCTGGATACATACATGCAGATCTCATCGATTCCTCTCGGTAAGTTAATGGGATAACGTTTACACAGTGCCGGCATTTCTGGATGCCGGGTTTTTACGAGTATTGTATAACAGACGCTAAAGCAGAGTTAAACGAATGCAGAATGGTGGATGCTTATTCAAACCGCTTTGCTTTCCACTTTCCTCTCCAGGCAAAAACTTTCAAATCCTAAAATAGCAGGAAAACGGGCTTTTATCCGTTCTTGTCTAAAATACGATGACAACTTCACAATTAATGCAACTCCTGTTTACCACATCATATTTGATCGGAATGGGGCACACCGTGAATGAAATTTTTGAATACGATCTCGTTTCTATTACTGTGCATTACTGTGTTGTTTTGTTTTACGTAGCACATCTTTAACGACTGTATTGATTTTATTCGGCACTTTGTATGAGATGCGAAGAAAGCATAAGGCCCATTTTGCACAGTTAGATGATTACTGGTACTGTAGAAAAAAATCAATGCTCATTATAGGATCAAGTGCCTTGGGTAAATAGTGGCAATCTGTGAACAAGACGCACTTGCTTTTCATCCTGCAGTTGTTTCTCACATCCGGCTTTCCGGTTGTCGTAATTTGTCTTTCGCCGATACACAATGGGTTCTTTAATTTGCAGGATACAACCATCCCGACCTCATGAAGCTGACGCAGAGTCGTGAATACCAGGTAAAATTAATAGCGAAAGAAATCTCCGGTTCGAAGTGGTTTCGTGTTACATTGGCGAACAATTCCCTCATTAGGCTCTATCCGTCAATCGGCCGGCACTGGGGAACATGCCGGATCGGAATTTCGTGCAGCGTCTACACGGCGCCCTCATGTCGGTAAGGGAGGCAAGCTCAAGCGCGGGAACGCAATCCCGGCGCTGTCAATTACAGGCGCTGATTGGTGATGACGCTAATGGTTGGAATGGGTGTGTTATGGTGTGTGTGTATTGCAGATTGCGCCCAAGGGCCATAAGCATGTGCAGACGATGTCGTGCGGATCGTGCTCCAACGAGAACGCCTATAAGGTCATCTTCATCTGGTATAATGTGAGTACCCGGGGTGCTAATGTGATTATCACGTTGGGTCCGCAGGGAATTAATTGTGTGGTTTGTGTGTCTGGCAGCAAAAACTCCGGGGTGGTAAACCGTATACGGATGAGGATCTGCAGCAGTGTCTGGTTAACCAGGGACCGGCTTGCCCGGATCTGTCCTTGTTGTCGTTCAAAGGAGCATTCCATGGACGTACATTAGGTACTGCATAGTAAATTAACTATTCACAAGACTGATTAAATTTGCACTGATGACGTTCGTGTGAGTTAAAAGTTTTACTGCTGTGACCTTTGCTTCATTCCTTATATTACGTACACCACATAAATCACATTAAAGTGATTTTGCATGGGTGCCGTGCCTAGCGCCCTACCAAAAATTTCCATTACTATAAAAACTGTACATTAGTATAAATCCAGAGAAAAGAAAAGATATTTCCATATAGTAAAGCGTTTACGGAATTGACGAAATTTGGATGTGTTTTCACGAAACAACGGTAAATAATTTATAATATGCATTATGTCATGGAAGAATAATTAAAGGTTGTTTGGCGACCACCCACACCAAACACGTGCACAAGCGCGATGTTCCATCACGAGATTGGCCGGTGGCATCATTCCCGAAATATAAATACCCACTGGAGCAGAATGTAGACTACAATGCCAAAGAAGATCTCCGCTGTCTGCAGGAAGTCGAAGAGCTGTTCAAAGCCTACAAAAACAAAGGTCGTCCAGTTGCCGGTGTTGTCGTGGAGCCCATTCAAGCGGAAGGTGGTGACGTGCATGGATCGCCTAACTTCTTCCGGGAGCTACAGAGAATTACCAAGAAGGTTGGTGGATGATAAAATGCAAAATAGGGATATAAACAGTTAAGTACGGGTGATTTACGATTTTTTGCTTGAATGGCTGTTTAGAATGGAGCGGCACTGTTAATCGATGAAGTGCAGACTGGCGGTGGATCAACGGGAACGCTGTGGGCGCATGAGCAGTTCGGTCTTGAATCCCCACCGGATATTGTTACCTTCAGCAAGAAGATGACGACGGGAGGATATTATTATACTGATGAAATGCATATGAGTGAGGTATGTCCGATCGGACGTGCATTATAGAGTGTTCATACAGGTTTCTATTTTTCATACCAAAAATTTTACATTGAGTTTATTACATATGATTTTACCGAAGTAGGAGTATGAGAGTATCAAAAAATGCTGTGGTGATGTGATTACGACATTATTTATTGATTCCCGATATTTATTAAATACTGTGTATATATATGTACTTGTATGATCATAGAAAATTTGTTGCAATACTTTATTTGCAGGCTTATCGAATTTTCAACACATGGCTGGGTGATCCAACAAAGATCATGCTTCTGGAAGAATTCGTGAAGGTTATGCAAAGAGATAATTTGCTGGATGTTGTTAGACGTACATCATCGACCTTGGAAGCTGGTCTGGGTGATATTCAGGTATGTCTGGAACTTGGTTATTTGGAACTTCAGATAACTGCTCTAGACTAGTTTGAAAATTTTGATTGTTTACTCTAGCACCAGTTTCCGAAATTGGTTGCCAATTCCCGTGGTCGTGGAACATTCCGAGCTTTCGATCTTCCTTCCATGGAGGCCCGTGATAAATTTGTCAATGAAATGAGAAATGCCGGTAAGTGTTCGTATTCGTGAGAAAAAAACAGAGCGTAGTTTATGAATTTTTTATTGTTTGAAAAGGCGTACAAATCGGTGGATCCGGACCAAACAGCGTTCGTCTTCGCCCCGCACTGATCTTCCAGCCTCGCCATGCTGAGTTGTTCCTGGACATTATGTCCCAAGTTCTGCGTTCTAAATTTTGAAGTTTATTTTTCTAACCTTTATTTTATGATTGTTAATTGTCGTTAATTTTAGTTGCGTCAGATTTCATTTTTCTACCATAAACCATTAGTGTTCGATTTCGAGGCGGCAATGACCATGTGTTTCAAGTAATTAGAATTGTTCTTATGGTTCGATCAATAAAAGCTGTTGATTTGTTTTGTCGCTCTTTTGTTTGCCAAACAACCAAAAGGCCCAGTCTGGCGTTCAGCACTTTAAAAACAGATAACTGTGTCAGCAAAAAGAATGTTACAAAATCATCAACAACAACTACACACCAAATTCCGGCCAGTTAATGATGTAGGTAAGGTATCTGTACAGAGGGTGCGGCAGCCAAATTGAAACAGCTCATTCAAAAATTCTCAATAATTTTGTTTTTGAAATTATTTGGCAGTGTTTATCACCATTTATTCCTACAATGTGTTTGCTCTTGAATGATGCTAATTTCCTGGAAAAAGTTATTCGCCATTGCTCCAATAATCAGGTTCCAGTAAATGTCATCGATTTTTAGGCTGGACCAGTTGAAAAAAAATTCTCTAGGCAATTTCGGATAGAGGAACGAAATTCTCTAATCGTGATTGTTTTCGTTGTCAGATATGACACAGAAGCAGGAGGAAAATGGGGGGCAAATATGCCTTTATTGTGTAACAATAAAGCAACCAACAAAAACCAACAGAAAACCCGATGGGGAAAAGCTGTGGAAAACGTAGCTGCAAGCGCGCTCGTAAGAATCGTGATAATGATTCAGCGTGCTGCAGGTATGCAACAGCTGATGCCGCAAAGCATGGAATCGCTCATAGGCGCTGGGCTACGCCCCCAAGAGTGCTGCAATGCGCTGATTGGTCAGCGAGACAAAGTGAACGCTGAGTAAGCAGCGTAATAACGCGGCACGAATGGCGTGGCCATGTGCGGGCGGGCGACAGAGCAAGCCACAAGAGGTGTCTACCGCCTCGAGTGAGCGGTCTCTGACATGGCTCTGGGCGGGAGTGGGAGCTCCTGCGAGCACCTTCCCGACTCTGCCCCCTGGCCAACCCGGTAGGGTGCCAGGATCCGATACCCGGTAGGGCCGGATGCCGCTTTGTCTCTCAACCCGGTAGGGTTGCTGCCTCCAGACCCGCGGTGCAGTGCACCGAACGGCCGAAATCCGGAGTGCACTCTGGTTGCTGGGGGTTCCAGTGTGGTTGAAGGCTTGCTTTGGTCGAACAAGTAAAAAAATAAAGTTTTATAAGGCTCAATGGTTAAACATCAAAATAAAAGATCACAATTCCAGTGAGAATTAAATTAAAGATCATAGTTAGAGATCCCAAAGCCAATTTCTTTGGTATTTGGCTAAATAAAAACATCAATTTCTTTGGTTAATAAGTCTAGAAAAACCAGGTATGATTAAAAAACTAGACAAAATTGGCTTATTCCGACTAGGTTTACCACAGGGCAGGTTCTGTCCACACGGGTCCTAGTCAACGGTCCGCTTTATCCGGTAGGATTGGTCTGGTCCTGTAGATCCGGGGCGACGGTTCCCAGAAATGTCCACAGGGGTCCAGTGAAGTAAATCCAGCGGTGCGGTATATGGAAGGCACTGTTGCATTACGCAAGGACACTTTGCCCCCTTCCTGGTTCAGTGTGGTGGACCGAACCCGGTTGGGCGGTCCATGAGGGCCAATGAATGAGGCCTCTGGGCAGGAGTGGTGCTCCAGTGACCAAAATGATATGCTGGACTAATTCCGTTTGGATGGCCCACATGGGTCTCTAACTTGGACCGGTTTGGTCGTGCATGCCGGTTTGGTCATGCACCTCGGTCCAAAAATCTTCTAAGTCCAGGAGGGCCATAATGGAAAAATTTCTAAGTCCCAGGACCGGGGTGATGGACCAAACCCGTTGGGGCGGTCCGAACTCGGTCTCTGACATGCCTTGGGCGGGATCCTAGGTTCCATTGCGACGGGACTTGTCTCTGGCAGTTGCGGGAGTGGGAGTCCTGTGTAACAGGCTTTGGCGCTCCGATGTGGACTTAGTCGTTTTTTCGACGGTCCAAGGTGTATGGCGGGCCAAAAGGACTTAGTCGTTTTTTCGACGGTCCAAGGTGTATGGCGGGCCAAAAGGACTTAGTCGTTTTTTCGACGGTCCAAAGTTGATGGCGGGCCAAAATTGGTCCGTCTCACTGGCCGTGGGCCATGAGTTGGCTACCATGTCCGATGAGTCAGGTAGGTTTCGCTGAGACCGTGGCCATAACAAAATTAAGTGGCGTCTGACGAAAACATCAGGTTGGCCGGGCCAAACTCCAAAAAAATTAAGTTGTGGGCGCCGGTAGGCGTTTTCCACAAAGGAGTCGGTCTGCTGACTAGAAGCATCCTCTTTTGGCCTCGGGCGGTGCATCTTTTGGATGGGCCTCTGGGCGGTCCGTGGTGAGGATGTTGGACATGGCATGCAAAGTGGGTGTACCACAACTTCTATGTGGCTCCCAAACTCACTTGTCCCAGTTGCCTGGTATGGCAACTAAACTCGTGAGCCATCTATGGTCGATTAGACGCATAGTGGGCCTGGTCCAACTTCTATGGGCCAGGACTTGGCCTTGGCTTGTCGCAACTTGTATGCGGGCCAGGCTGATCCACGGCTTGTCGCAACTTTTATGCGGGCCGTCGCCGCCTTCTGGGCGCTGGATCCTTTCCATGCCGGTGAACTTAGGCGTTGTGCCAAGTTCGGTCCGGTGGACTCCGTCGGATGGTCTGGGATGGCCGAGCCAAATTCATGGTCCCAGCCGCTAAGCCAGAGCCTATCCGGGGAATCCGGTTAAGATCCAGGGATTTAGGTCCGGTGAGGTAGACGGTACATGGCCGTAAGCCACGTTTGTTGGGCGAGGGTAACAACCGTTAGATTGCACCCATCATGGTGTTCAAGTCCGATCCAGCTAATGTTGGTCCCTGTTTAGGGCCAACATGCAGGAATGGCCGTTGGCCTATCCCTGCCCTCCTTGTCCCGCTTGGTCGCCATCGCCCAACCCGGGGTTGAGTGGGTCGATGACGCTTTCCTCCATGTCCGCCAACTCCTGTTCGGTCTGGTTTGCTTGTTGTTGGCTGGAGGTGCTGGTCGGCTGAGCTTCTTGGCCAGGTTGTGTGGCCTGGGTTTGGACGTGTGCGGACGATCCTGTTGAGGATCGTTGGGTACGGAACTTCGTTGGAAGTTTCCTGGTCGCCGTTCGGTTAACGAACGCTTCCGCACCGTCATCGAAGTCCGATGGCTGTTTATAGCGGTAATCTTTAGAGCGGTTCCTGTAAATGTTCAGGGCGCTTTGAATTTTGACTCCCGCTTCAATCTCGTGGATCTGGTTTCCCAGGAGAGCCACTTGGGTCAACAGCCGAGGGACGATTTTCCCTTGCCGGTAGGCAACTTCCAGTTCCCAATGGCAGTGTAGATGACCAAGTCTGGAGGCAAAGATGCGTATCATCGTGCCGTTATAGGAGTATTTTTGCGTTTCTGGGTCATCCTTGTGATCCGCTGGCTTGCATGGGATTTCTATGGCCGCTCTGCAAGCTGCGATGATGAAACTGGCGTTCGCGTCCGGTAGGACAAACTGGGCCAGATATCTGACAACATCCAGTTGGTCGTCTTTGATGTGCAGTTGGCACAAGTCGTTCCAGTCCGGTCTGGTAATGGGCTGTCCAAGTAAATTCACGTCCGTGATGCTCGATAGAGCATTGTCACGGACCATTGGGTAACCCTCGCGGTTTTGTATGTGCTCGGCCATGCTGAAATCACGAGGCCAATCTTTCCGCTGCATCTCCATTTCAAGTCCGGACCGGGTGACGAAGGTTTGTAAATTCTGGACCATGGCGTCAACTTGGGCCCATCTGTCCCTGGGGTATGGGATGGCCCTCATAATGTAATCCGTCACCTCCCGGTGGGGAAGTGGTCGGATGTTAATGCCTGGTCCTCAGCATACTTATATGGATCGAAGCCCGTGGCACTGATGCTCGCGTCTTGTCGGGCCGATGGGTCCGACGACGGCGGTGCGGGCTCCGTTTCCATCGGTATCTGGATGCTGATGTTGTGGGCCACCGAGCTGACACTTCGTTCTGGTCGCTTGGTGGACTGCGCGACAACCAGGCTGGACTCCGTCTCGTTTCGCTTCCCGGGTGATGTGCGCGGTTGGCGCTCGGGCTGGCTACGGCTTTGGCGTCCACTTTGGTCCTGGTTGCGGCTCTGGATCTGGTGACGTAAGTCATCTGGGGTTCCGCGGTAGCGGTGTCAGTGGTGTGCGCTGTTCAGTGCGCGCTGGCTGGTATTGGCTTTTTAAGGCGTCCAGCAGTCCACCTTCCATCAGCTGTCGGGCCACCTGGTCAACCATAGCTTTGTTGATGTTTTCCAGGATCGTTTTCTCGAACCCCTGGTTGTATTCCATGGGTATGGGCAACTCGTGTCCGTAGGATCGAGAGCCTGATGATGGCCGCTGATGGTCGTAATTTTTCGGGGCGGCCGTTGGGCCACGCCCTGAGGACTGGTCAGATCCCGAGTTGCGGGATCGACGTTCCCGGTCCCGCTCGTCCTTCCGTTCTCGAGCCGATTGGCTGAGTGGAGGAATCGGAGTTCCGGTACTGCACCAGCCAGGTTGTCGGGCGCCACTACGTTGCATGTAGAGATCGTAGATCTCTATCTGCTCGTGGTCCCTCAGTAGGGGAATCAAGTGGCTACCGTCGCGGCTGGTCATGTGTATATAAGCGTCGAAATTGCCTCTCACCACTTCCAGGTAGAAGCAGTAGGCTCGTTCGCTCTCGTCGCGGAAGCCCGGCCGCAGGTGGTATGCGCAGGGGAACAACTCCCGTGAGGAATTGTCCCGGCGGTGAGGATGTGTCATGCTATCGCCGCTGTTGCGTCTGCAGTCCGAGCATCGCGGTTCGTATTTCTGCTGCGGTGTAAGTCCCATTCTCTGTGGTAACAGAAATGAAACTTGCAGAATGAGGTTAAGTCCGCTTTCTATGACGGGTCCCTATGATAATTACGCCCTATGGTTTACGTCCCTATGATTTTACATGTGATTTGTTAACTAGGCTTTTCTTGCCCGGTGAATTATTTCGGGATCACCCCCTAGACCCTATGCGAATTCTACGCCTAGGTCACTGATGGTGAGTACGCCGCTTCTTCTTGGACTTGGTTGAGGCCAAGGAGT